AAAACATTCAAAGTTAATTTTAACCTACCACATTTTTTAATCGTAGTATTATTGTCATTTTAATTTGTGGCTAATTCTAAGCACAATCGCCAATGGCTGATGGGGTGGTGTAAATCCAGCTAGGGTCCATGCAGGAAACAAAAGTACAGGAAGTCCCCATGGACCCTAGCATGGTGATCTACCTTCAGTTGTTGGCGATCTATAGCCTGTTTTTATATTATGTATTGTCCAAGTAGTGCAATTAATTTTAACTTTACATGCTAGTTTTAATTCTAACTGTGATAGTCTAGTTGTTTTACTATCTTTTGACGACAGGTTTTATAATATACGCATATTCTTTATCAACGTCGAATTTGTTCTCGTCACGAGATGGCTGAAACATTGCCGATGTGACGGTAAATATTAACTCACTCACTTCTATTGCTGTATTAAAGGTTTGATCATTATTATTATTATTATTATTATTATTATTATTATTTTTGTGTATCCCTTCCAAATAGTGATAATAGCAGTTGTAAAAGGTGTACATGCTTTTGACTCGCCATTTCTTCGCAGGCAAGCTATAAATAGATATATTTATTTACTTTCTAATATCTTGTACAAATTACTAATGAAATGTGCATGTCGTTTCTTCTGAGACTGAAGGCTTTTGAAGGTTAATGCAACATTTTCTTTGAAGGAATGCCTCTCAGAGAAGGAAAATGTTCTTCGTTTTGATTTTTGATAATGGCCCCACTTAGCTATATTCCAGTTTTGTATAAGAAGGCAGTCTGTAGGTAATCGCGTCTGCATCAGACAATCCAGTGATAGACATCGCGAACATTGCGACATAACGATGTGCGTAACCCAAGTCAGCCATCCCGATCACCTCTTGCGACACGATAGTCGCAACTGGAAACACTGGCTGAAATACGCATGTGGTATCATATATGATAATACGTAGCATATATTTAAAGTATGTTATAGCAACCACTTATTCAGATCATGATTGAAATAGACGCAGAGTATATCTAGAATACACATGGACTAAAGATTATCTTGTCAGAAGATAGTGACACCGATAGAATTTGCTTCACGGAAGGGCACACTTGCACAAAGCCATCTTAACCCTACGAGTATATTTTGAAATTAGTTTCCGTTAATATATCGGAGGTAAAATAATCGTAGCGTTCATATCGATTTGTGCAGGTGGGCCCAGACCTATAATTCATTTCAAGAACTAGAATTGAGGGCAGATTACCCCTGTGCAGTACCAACAACCATGGTCGTCTGCCTCTATCCGTCCATGTCGATAGTCAGTGCATGTTCATCAGTGTCATCATCAGAGAGAAACTCATACAGATTAGGGTCATATGCTCCCAACGATAGTTGTCCAGGAGTCACAGACGGCACGATGTCTTCCATCGGGATGCTTGAATCACCAAATGAGAGGTCTGGAGGTATACCGCAGTGACCAGTGGCTGGAGGTATACCGCAGTGGCCACCGGTTACACTTTGATCTCTCGCCTGACTGTCAGTCACGTTACCTTGAGTAGTTTCACTTACCAGACCTTTATCTCCATCAACTTCAGAACTGTCTTTTCTACACACAATATCATCAATCCCTCGTGGCATCTCACAATCAGTTGGATCAACTTTACAATATTGGCTTGTGTCTGCCTTGTATTCTAGTTGAGAAGTAGGGTCAACTGTTTCTCCACCTCTGCATCCACCACTATCAACAACTAAAAGAGGAGATTCACCTTCGTCAGCAACGCTATCAAAAGTTATATTGCTGGTCAAGGAGACTTGGTCACGGATCTTCGTGTCCTTAAGCTGAGTCCTGGTTGCGTCACTTTCTATTGTTACAGAAGGTGTGTTTTCTTCCTTTCCGTCTGCTGTTTGGGTGCTGTCAGATCGTGGTGCGCGTATTTGTAAAGTGGGAATCATCGTCTCAAGATCGACAGCTTCGTACTGCGGCACTGTGGATAAGTGACTGGCCTTTGCATCTTTGTCCTTCACAGAGGTATTAGTTTGCACAGAATTAGGCGATGTACTGTCTGTTTTGGGGGATGCAACGCCTGTTCTTGCAACTGGTCCTTCTTTCAGCATGTGGACATACAGGCCGTCTTTATCTGTTTGTCGTATTTGTTTGTGTTCAGAAATCGGGGCTGTGCTGGCAAATGGCAGCAACTCAGTCGTCATCGTATGACTTTTTTGAAAGAACTCTGCTTTTCCTCCATTGTCAACATCTCTCGATGATGTAGTATCTGCGAAAACATTCCTTCCTGTAGAATTTGGTTCTACTTTCAAAATCCGTTTGGTGACATCATAGTCCGTTTCATGAACCTTTTGGTTTAAAAGGGAGACCAGTTTCTGCTTTTTCTTAGCTGGTTGTTCACATGAGACATCAGCTTCAACCATGGACGGAATTAATGGATGGTGGGTTTCCTCTGATTCTCCGAATAGCAGACTCTTTATGCTTAAATCATTTGACGTAGCTTGGATGCTTCTCGGGACCTCCAATGTCTTTGGCCAAGTGTCCTTTTCAGACGGAGCAACATTTACTTGCTTTGCACTTGAAACAGTAGCTGGTTTAGGATTTAACAGCCGAGGACTTGCTAAAAGTGCAGTTTTCAATTTCATTTTCATCCCATCAGCAATAGTTTTCAAATTAACAGACGATGCTATTGGTGGCTTTGAAGTGGTACACGATACTGGTTTCCTTGGTCTTGTTAAGTTAACTGGTTCTAGATTAGGACGTGTTGAGTCAGGAATGTTATAGAGGAAACCTGCGCTACGATCCAGAGTTTCGGGGTTTACTAGAGCTCCAGCTGTATGCAAGAAGGATGGTATGTTATAGGGTCTGTGGAACAGTGGGTGGATGAAGTCATGCATGGATGCCGATGGGCTGGCTGGATAGGGAAACCTGTAGGGATCAATGCTACCCCCGCTGAACATGCCGAGTGGAGGAAGGCGTGTGTCCACGTCCAACAGCTTGGACTGAAGTCAAGAATTTGAAACAAAATATACTTTAAAGTTGACCACAACGTTGAGAAAGATTCGTGCAGCATCACATGTATACAGCAAAATAGCACTCATAAAATGGTGAAAAACTAGGGTAAATGATGTTTATCATGTAGCAATACCTCGTATCCTACACTTCAAGTCTTTCATAGCTGTGATGCATCCACATTAACAACATTTCACGTTCTTTTTTCTCTGATATAGTGATAAACAAACCTTAAGTCCCCCACCATATTGATTACTATTAACGATCCAGTAGATGTTCTACAGTCAGGAATTAAAATATATCAAGCATTGTCTAAACGCACGCCACCTAAATCTGTCACCAACTTCAAAAATTGTCTGACAACTACATAAGTTGGTTTCCTGAACTTAACTGAACTTCAGTTCATTTACATTCAGGCTGCTAATCATGGCATTAGTGATACAACATTTACATCATTATGTGCATCTAAACACACAAGTATAGGATATGCAACAGCAACGAGCAGTGAGTGCAGATAATAGAGTACAACATTCAACTGTTTGTGTTAGTAACACAATGGTTTCACACATTTTGGATAATTGTGTTGAGTTCCTAGTTTTTAAAGAAATAATCCATTTCAAAGAAGTTTGTTTTATTGCAAAATGTGTGTGAATTAGGTGTTTTTCTCATTTTCCAGAGTAAACAGATAAACAAGTAATGAAATTCATCATCTGAATCAGTTGTTTTACAAAGTGGACAATTTCTTTCAGTTTTTTCTATTTTCCAGTTTCAATGGACAGAGATCTAATTGGAGGTTCTGTATTTTACACCCAACGCATTTTCCGGGGAATTTAGGCATTTAGACACTGTACATGATTGGAAGACGTATCTACCGTAGTTCTCCAAAAATATAATCTGATATGACTGATATCATTTTTTTAGGTATTTTTTTTAGGTTGTGACTTTGAAAACTTTGCCAAATGTAACAAAGTCAAAGACCATCGAAAACGTCCTATTGTTGTTGTACAGAAACTTGTGGGTGAGGAGAGATAATTTTGATCTTTTCCAGGCAGTAATTTTGTTGTACAGAATAGACTTAGTCGAAAATAAACCATGCAATTATGAGTATTGACCGATCGATTGGGTTTAGTTTTAGCAATACTCCAGCAATATCATGGCAATAACAGAAATGGGCTTCATATATTGAAATTAAGAGTACTTTTGAGTGAGGTTGGAAATTTTAGAAAACGCAGATGAATATGTTCAATGCTCTATAAAGGTTCTAAACAACAAATCTCTCAACCGTACAAACGTATCCTGTGACCAAACTGTCAAATTGGCGCAGTTGACAACCAAGAAAGAGACTGATTAAATTTACGTCCTTTGCTCAAAACATAACACACAGCTTTGTTTCCTGTTGTACTAGATTTTGTTTTCTGAAGGTAAATTTTGAATGCTTTGCATGGTGATAGCGAGGCATTTATAAGAATTGATTTTCCAAAGTGGCTTGATCTATTTATAAATAATTTATGTATCTAATCACGTTTGGATCCTCCAAATTTCATCACCTTAATTTCAGAAAGAGTTCTCACAAAATATGTTGACTGAGTCTAAAATAATTTGCAAATGCTGATTATTTGTAGCTAAGATTACTGCATCATATACATACAACAACAAAAATACACACGTATAAATCAGTTACACACGTGCCTGCATTGTGCCCAGTGTTGAAAATGCCAGAGAAAAATGATCTGCAGGAAGGGAGATTATACTCTACATTAACTTGGAATTTCAACTCTGAGAATCTGCAACATTGAAACTATGGAAACGCAAAGGCACGATCATAAATGGTAAAACAGGCTCACACCAAAAGCTTGCCTTTATCCTTCCACCTTAAACTAAAACGTGTAGCACCATAGAAACTTTGTGCACCACGGTAAATACATTCACGACAGCGTCTTCCTCCTACACAAGACACAAGACTGTTCTGCCAGATGACACAGAGAAAGATAGGAGACAACACAGAAAAAAGACTGCAAGGATTTAATCATGATTTTCTTCAATACATTGAGACTTCAATTGCAAAAGAAACAACAGAATTACCTTCAGCTTTGTGAGTTTCTCTTATCGTTCGTCTACAATCATTTGTGTCAGTTTTAACAATGAAAAGCAATATATTGACAACTGGACTTCAATTTGAAATTCATCATGAAAATATGTTTGAGATCATTGGTTTCGTGCTTAATAACAAATGTTTGTGCAAAGTAACAAATCTAATAGATACACTAAAGAGCGATGGAGCAGATCAAAGGGATACTTCAACATGGTGGAAGATCAGAGACAGAGCTTCACACATCAAGCAACTGTAGCTTCACCTGCTCTAACATTCTACAAGGAGAATTTTACCTTTCCTATTCTCATACATCACAGATGCACACACGTTGTAGTGAATACAGTTAATCTTAATCAGAATCATCTTTCCTTAAACTATTAGCGCTTTATATCCATGTGCTATGATTGAAGAGTGCAAATGATCCAGTTTGAGCAATGATCAACACCACCATCCGCTCTGACCACATATTCGCCTCATATTAGCAGCACAAGTTCCTGAAGGCCTATTCCATCCTAGAATCCACACAGGGATATTCTTACACCACACCCCTGTATACAAGTTCATACAACACAATCTCCTTGTATCTGGTACTCACATGAACCTGTGGTAGATTGACATTTCTGAAAGTATTCCTTATCAAATACATCCCTGGTGAATACTTGATAACAGTTAATAGCAAACACAGTCAAAAAGCATCAGAGACACAATAGCTTGATAAAAGGGAGTGAGTCAGTGTGGTTTTACGTCGTTTTTCAAAATATTCCAGTAAAAATACAGCAGGAGATATCAGGAATGGGCTTCACACATTGTACTCCGGTGGAAATCAAACCTAGACCTTTCATGTAATGAGTGAATCCTTTCCCCACTAGGCTACCCAACTGCCCCAACTGAAAAGAAAGGTGTTTCTTCAGATTCTGTTTCTCAAGCTTATCGTTGGAAATCCATCTCACGTTCAATAACGTTATACCGCTTGAAATTTGGCAATCCGTAAATTGTCTAGCCCATTTTGGCTCTTTCGATGAAGAGCTCATCTCATTTTGTATTATGTGTAAGACAAATGATAATAAACAGTTTTGCAGGTAATCCTCCTTGGAAGGTTACAGGAACGTTCTGTATCACTGTGATCTGTTCTGTAACACACTACCTCAGTCAACATGCCACATAAAGCAGCATACAGTTAGCAGCACGTGTAACAGATTAAACAAGCTACAACTTGTCAAATAACATCTACTGCATATACATGGTAGTCAATCAGCATTCAGATGCGTAAGGAACAAAGATGAAAATAAACAAAGACAACAATGATCTGCACAAAAAAGCGGCTTCCAAAAATATTTATTTGTCATCAGAAAGTGCAACAACTTAGATGGAACTTTCGCTAAGCTGTGGGCAAAACAAAGTACGGACATATGCACCATGCCGCCATACCGAGATATACACCATCATTAATAAGGACCATGCGGAAGGTGTACCTGTACCGCTGAAGTCAGTTTCCCTGGCGACGGAGACACCAGTGCATCATCCCCATCTGATTGGCTGGTAGCTCCAGTGGAACTGCCATCTGATTGGCTTGTGGACACCTTGCTGCCATCTGATTGGCTGCTTTGAATTTTGCTGCCATCTGGATGGACAGGCAGTTTAGATGGGTTGGTGGGTGATGAAAATGGAGACAGAATGTTCTTTTTGGGTGAAGGTGAGAAAGGGCCTGTATGTTTGGGGGAGAGAAAGGCTGGATCCCCAGGTGAGCTGTGGTCGGACGTCTGGGATGGAGCTTTGTTAGGGGGAGGAGACAGGAATCCAACTGTGCTCAAGTTTGCCGACTTGTTCGCATCAGATGACTGAAAGAGTGAGAGTGGAATGGGTTTAGGACCACACTGAACAGCATTTTAGCCCCATTACAGTCCGTTTGAGACAAAATGATACCGATGAATTGCAATCTAACAGCCCCAAAAATAGACATAAAAGAATCAAACCAATGCGGACTGCAATAAAAACAACAGACCAACTCTAGAAAAAAATTGAAGAAGTTTTGTCACAAAAATAAAAAAGTGTTTAAGAAACTGTCATCATTAATTTGTGCGTTTTCCAAGTTGGTTACAAGGGCGCGGTGGCAACTAAAGGAACAGCGTGAAAAGCGAGATGCACATGCATTAGTGACGTCAGAGACATGTGATTACTGCTGATTGACGAAGTGAGAGCACATGAAAGTCTATAATTTACAAAGTCTATGATTTCTTCAAGGATGAAAATGACAGAGGGTGACCCAAGTATGGAATTACTCAGTACATACAGCACACTGCCTGTGCAGCTGGGGTACGTGTCATCTCGCCAGCTCAAAAAATTGTTGCGGACCCGTTAATGCACGTGCATCTCGCTTTTCGCGCTGTTCCTTTACGTGCTAATGCGCCCTTGTAACAAAGTGGGAAAACGCACAAATAAATGATGACAACTTTTTTATGTTTGTAACCCAAATTATGCAATTTTTTTCTAGAGTTGGTATGTTGTTTTTATTGCAGTCCGCGTTGGTTTGATTGTTTTACGTCTATTTGTGTTTGTGTTAGATTGCAATTCATCGGTATCATTTTGTCTCAAACGGACTGTACATTACATCAGCCCTTCAGCTGACAAACTAGGCATCATATCTTGTTGAATTCATGCCATTGATCTATCAATCCTGGCACATGTAAGGGACACAACTCTGAATGGGCCTCAGAATTCTTTCTCAGTTCTTTGCCCATTTATATTCAACACTGAAACAAACACTATTTTTTGAGAATGAAATATTTACCAAAGTTCCCTTCAAATAATTCCCTGGTAGATAATCATAAACACTGATGTCGAGACATCACAAGCAAGTGTCCGACCCACTGATCTAAGCTCCATAGTGTGCCATGGAATTGAAGGAGCTGTAATAACAAGTGAAGAAGTGAGCACAGCTCACATACCCCCGCTTCCCACTTTGGGACATGGAAATGATATTGATATATATAATGTGACAAGGATCAGCAGCTCACAAGACTTTCTCCTTGACTCTACTAAACTTTATATACATGTTAGATAATAGTTTTGCCATGTACCGATTACAGTAATAATTTATGGAAACATTATGTTTTTGTGTTTTCCGTGGAAACCTGACATACAATTGAACTTGTTGCACACAATGAAGTGGACGTAGATGAAGATTGTTTTTTAGCACATGGCATATCAGTGGGTCATGATTAACTTGTGTATTAAGTTTGGTGAACCTAGCATGTATAGTTTCGATGATATGCTGTGGCCAGGTAACCATCAAACACATTTTGCACCAAGTCATGTTTCCATGGAAACAACAACAAAACAAATTCTGAAAAAAATTAAAATAACAAAAGGCACATCAATGGGTAATGATTAACATGTGTGTGAAGTTTGGTGAACCTAGCATGTAAAGTTTAAGAGATATGCTCCGGACAAAACCATCAAACACATTTGGCACTAAGTCGTGTTTCCATGGAAACAGCAATAAAACAAAATTCAGAAAAAAAAAATTAAAATAGCAAAAGGCACATCAATGGGTAATGATTAACGTGTGTGAAGTTTGGTGAACCTAGCATGTAAACTTTTAGGGATATGCTCCGGACAAAGTTTCGGGACGGACGGAATGAACGCTATATACCCCGTTACTTCGTAGCGGGGGGTATAATAAACTGTAACCTACCTGAGATGAGGGTCTGTTCATTGCTATTCTTTGTTGACAGAATTTGATTGCTTGCTCTAAGACAGACTGGCTGCTATCAATCTGCAAACAGAAATGTTCAAAGTTTCCTCTTACAGATTTCAGAGAATACTTTTTATTTCTTTTACATGACACAATGGCAACAAAGTGTTATTAATATGTTTCAGAGATGTGTGTTATTTGATTTACCGGTATGTTCCCATACTGCAATCCTGCAACATCACACAATCCTTCTGAGCTAGTTTAAGAGTTTACACTACAACCATGAAATACTCACATAATCCTTCTGTACAAGTTTGTACGTCTTGACAAACAGGTCCGCACCATCTACAAAAGCATTCAGCTTGTGAGAAGAGTGGTGCCACACTCGGTACACCGTCATCAAGTAGTCCAGCTGCTTGTCTCGTGGCTTCTTCCGGTCCCACTGTCTCAGCTCCTCTCCGATGGCCTCCAGGATTGCCTTGAAGGACGACTTGGCAAAACAGTTCCTCTCCTGGTCCCTGAGATACTTCCTAAAACATACCATGTACATATATGCAAATCACTACAGCTAAAACATCTTAACCAGGTATATGACAGAAGTCTGTAAATAATCGAGTCTGGACTAGACAATCAAGTGATTGATGTAATGAGCATCATTCCAGGCAATCTGGAAACAATTAGCCAGTCAATGAATCTGCATACCTGACAACACTTACATGCTTTGCTGAAGACTTAACCTACACAGAGTGAGTGAGTCATTTTTACGCCACTTTTGGTATATTGCAATATCATGGCAGGGGACACCAGAAATGGGCTTCACACATTGTACTTAAGTGGGGAATCGAACCCGGGTCTTCAGCGTGACTAGTGAACGCTTTAACCACTAGACTACCCCACTGTCCTGCAGACCTGCATGGGGAGTATTTTTAGTACTGATAACTTCGGCTTAACATATATACCTGTAAGAAATAACTACAGAAAATGAATCTGAAATTAATCCCACTTCTAAAGTAAAACTAGTTGTAGGTGAGACAGAGTTAGTGGACTTCCACAACCAATCAGCCTATTGGAAATTTGACTACTGGTTGTCACGGGATTGTGATTGTTCCTACTGACAACTGTCCACTCACTTTCCAGTGTCCAGTGATCTGTTGAGCTGTATGTGGATGTGGTACAGCATCATGATGTCCTTCTGTTCGGTGAGGATGTCTACCAACAGACGGACACTACGGTGGATGTGAGATGCAAAACTCCCAGATCTATCGATCTCTTCGATGGGAATCTTCCATATACCCTTGAGGAAGATATGGTATAAATCAGTGGCGGACATAAAGAAACAGGAAGAAATAATAGAAAAAACATCTTCCAGTAAACCTCAATTCTTTTAAAATCACAACCTCAGGCAGTAAGTATTGAAAAAGTCATTCATGTTGGGTTCGGCTTCAGGTAGGTTAGTTATAGAATATGCTAAAGCAGGTGAAATTAAAATTAAGGGTTGTTGGAGGAAACATTTCCAAAGTATGTTTATTCCTATTTAATTGTTGCATACTGACATCTTCTTTCAAAACATTATCACTTTATTTTATGGGCACCCACCTGTGTAAAGCAAAACTTCCAAGATCAATTATGGATGGGTCTGAATAACAGATTCACTCTGATACTAATACTTGAGTCTAGTTGCACCATTACGATACGAAAATGTCTGCAACCTTTATCAATGTGGGCTTGCTCACTTACTGCCACAACATAGATAACTGAAACACTGTACCTGGAAGAAGTTAGCTGTCCGTCTTTCTGCAAACAGACCTGGTCCAGGCATGTGAGATAGGTTCTGCCAGTTGTTGTTGCCTAGCAACAAGTCCCTGGCATACTCCAGGTTCTGGAACAATGTTTCAAAAGGAATTTTAAGACTCGTCTCAGTCTGAAACTAGGAAATTACTGTCGAAATCTAGCAATTAGTGAGGTAATACTCAAAATAAAGTCCACAAGGTACCACTAACTGACGTTTTCTGACCTCAAGACATATTTGGACTATCAAGGATCATCGGCAAAGAATCTGGACCAAACAATCCAGTGACTGATGTCTTGTGCATCAATCTACTCAACTGGGTTACAATGACCAACATCAGACAAGTGTGCAAGACTGACATCCTAATTCCATTATTAGACAAGAACTGTCACAAAGACCTACTCTAACCCATTCTCTTCCCACAGAGGTTACTTGTCATTTCTCCCTACGAACCTCTGTTCTAATACGGTCATATTTCCTGGTTCTCGTAAAATCCCCTAGCGGCAAAAAATCGCAACACGAATTATCTCCCTTCTTTCTGTCCAATCAGAACACGCGTTACATCAACTTGACTAATACAAGCAAATGTTGGGTCACAAATATCCCTGCTCTGCCAGGAACTTGTGTTGATGTGACATACAAGACATTTAATGGCTAGCTTGTCCGTTGACAACGAGGGCGATGGAGACGCCATTGATCCGCCATTTACATGACTGAGTTCTGTCTATAAGAAACGTTTGCACATCGCGCAGGGAAAGAGCTTCTAGTTTTCACAAAGCATACAGAAATAACCGAGGCCTTGCGAATGATCATTTTTGAAACAACGTCGCTGATTGCACAACTAAATCTGATTGCAACCAATCACGAATCCTGAACACTCGCACCATGAAAGGGCCGTATTAGAACAGAGGTTCATAGGAAGATATGACAAGTAACCTCTGTGGGAAGAGAATGACTCTAACCTAGATCTTCGGGTTGTTTTGCTATAAACATGGCATGAGATCTCTGTCTTACCTTGTGGTATGGTGATGTCATATACACGTGAGCCAGTCTGTACAAGGACTTGTAGTGAGTCGGGAAGCGCTGCACACACAGATGAAGTGCGTCAATACACTTATCGATCAGCTCCGTGTGGAGGATCTCTGTGTCCAAGGAGTCCTGTTGATATGAATCAGACTCATCTGAGTTGTCCGACAACCGTGATGATTCATCATGCAGTGATTCATCATCTGGTTTAGATTTATCAGTATTCTTAGTTGCAGGTTTTGGAGAGTTAGAACTAGAGCCTTTCTCCTTAATCTTTCCAAAAAGCTCCTTTTTAGCTTCAGGTCCAGCTTTAGTTTCAGAATCTTTAAAAGAGTCAGACGTCTTCTTCACTGATGAGGATTTGGTAGATTCAGCAGGATTTGAAGATTCATCATCACTTATCTCAATAACATCTAAGTCTTGGACAGGAGGGACTTTCCCCAAGATTGGAGTACTTGCAGAAGGTTTGGGATCCTTTACAGAATCCTCGGCAGTCTTGGCCTTAGACTTGTCCCCACCAGCTGAATCTTCCATATTTGGCACATCATCAACCACCATGTCATCTTCAGTCATTGGAACCATGAGGCCAGTGGCAGGATCCAACACCAACACACTATCATTCAACTTGTCCTTCTGTTCAGCTTCATTTGCATCTTTCCCTTTGTCTGCTGGCACTTTATCATCACTAGATGTCACCTTATCATCACCTGGCATCACTTTATCACTATCAGGCATCACTACACCACTTTCAGACTTAGCACTGTCTGCCTTGATGTCCTGTAAATCATTCTTCTGTCCTTTTTCTTCAGGAACTGATTCCAATTCCTTACCAACACCTTTCTGTTCAGCAGTTCCTGTAGGATCTCCATCTTTTGGTGTAAATCCTGTACTCACATGCCTCTGCATCTTCATCGCATCTCCATCTTTTGACACCTCCATTGCTTCAGGTTTGCTTCCTCCTTCTTTTTCAGCAGTTCCAGATTTATCCTCTGACTTCTGTACCTCCTTAGCAGCTACAGCTGCAGGTTTGGAGTGTGAGCTGTCGCTACCTTGAACGTCCTTGGCCACGTCACATGATGTGTCTGACCCGTCCACGGAGCTCTTCTGCTTTGAGTAGGTGTGGTCCTGGGGGGTCATGTGGTATACTGGGCGGGCCTTCAGCTGGCTGTAGGCTGGGGGAGTGAGGTTAGAGGAGGAGCTCTCATCCATGGAGCCTGAGTGGGACTCTCGCCTGCATTATACAAATACATCATTACACAGTAATCCCACTGAAGGAACGTTTCATATGCCAAAATTTCAATTAGAATTATAGCTGTTTTATATAATATGGTAACCAGTAAACTATCTTAACCTCACCTGGGTGTTGATAGAACAAGCAAAGATTGAAATAAACGAGGCAACATCATATGAAACCTGTCTAAACAGGCATCCCACGTGACTGAAATAAAATGCCTGTTTAGACAGGGGGGCCAGATTAGACAGTGACGATAATTTTCCAACATGGCTGCCATTTACACACGTCAATCTCTCAATCTAGCGTGCCGAGAGGAGTGTATTGGATTAAGGGACCCTGATTGGACTGCTTAGAGCAGCTGATTCACCTCGCAATCACTACTTCCTGATTATCTGTCGTGCCAAGAGGATTAATTAGTGTATTGGATTCTAGGGCCTTGATCGGACTGCTCATACCCATGCCAGTTAGGAAAGTGTTAATTACAGTTAAAATTGCTTGTTTGGACAGAAAAGTCGTGCCGGAATACGGAATAGACAGGTGCCAGATTAGACAATGTTTAATGATGATAATATCATCGTAAAATGGCAGGACCAAAATTTTATGCCAGTTTTGATAGTGTGCCAGGTTAGACAGGTGCCGGTGTTGGCAGGTTTAACTGTACAATTAACCAGGCCACATATTGCAACCACTCAATCACTATCAAGCTCAACCTTGTATTTTAGACCATGATTGCCATATCATGGCACACAAAAGGATGCATCTCTGCAGATTGCATTAGAACACTTGGTGGCCTGTATCTGTTTCAGAATGATGGACCATCTGATCACATGAAAATACATCTATCATGTATCAAGAACGTCGAATTCAGCTCGTGTTGGGATATGTGAGGAATCCAGGTGGTGTACATCAAACAGCCCAAGTACAAAACTCACCTTTCATGCCTTTTCTCCTTTCCCTTTGCGAAGGGACTCTCTGCAGCCTCTGTGAGGTAGTGCTGGAACAGCTCGTAGTCCACCATCCCGTCCTTCTTCAACAGCTGCTTCAGGATGGCCACATGCAGGCGGTAGAACACCTGAAACATCGCCATAACATCACATATTCGCCACAGGTAGAACACCTGAAACATCGCCATAACATCACATATGCACCACAGGTAGAACACCTGAAACATTGCCATAACATCACATATGCGCCACAGGTAGAACACCTGAAACACCATGAAACATCGCCATAACATAACATCACATATGCACCACAGGCCATCACACAGGTAGAACATCATCAGCCATAACATAACATCACCTGAAACATCGCCATAACATCACATATCGCCACAGGTAGAACACCTGAAACATCACGCCACAGGTAGAACACCTGAAACATCGCCATAACATCACATATGCACCACAGGTAGAACACCTGAAACATCATCTTAACATCACATATGCGCCACAGGTAGAACACCTGAAACATCGCCATAACATCACATATGCGCCACAGGTAGAACACCTGAAACATCGCCATAACATCACATATGCGCCACAGGTAGAACACCTGAAACATCCTGAAACATCGTCGCATAACATCACATATGCACCACAGGTAGAACACCTGAAACATCATCTATAACATCACATATGCCACAGGTAGAACACCTGAAACATCGCCATAACATCACATATGCGCCACAGGTAGAACACCTGAAACATCGCCATAACATCACATATGCGCCACAGGTAGAACACCTGAAACATCGCCATAACATCACATATGCACCACAGGTAGAACACCTGAAACATCATCTTAACATCACATATGCGCCACAGGTAGAACACCTGAAACATCGCCATAACATCACATATGCGCCACAGGTAGAACACCTGAAACATAGCCACAGGTCTTAACATCACATATAGGTAGAACACCTGCCCACAGGTAGAACACCTGAAACATCGCCATAACATCACATATGCCATAACATACAGGTAGAACACCTGAAACATCATCTTAACATGACTTGTGCTCAATTGGTACAACACCTGTAAACGATGTGTATGTTCTATGAGTAGAACAAAAGCAACATCATCCAAACATCATCTACACTTTATAGATAAAACATCATCTTCACATCACTCAAGCAAATTAATTTCATCAATGTTCTGTTGGTTAAACACCCAAAACCACACCAATGTTTCATAGTTAAAACACCTAACAACACCATCTTAACATCAACTGTGACACCTCGGGACATCTTTTAAAACATCATCTACACTACGAGATGTACAAGTTAAATGTGAAGCTGGACTTCTATTCCAACTAGTGACATGTAGCTGTGAGTGCTGAAACAACCACACCAATGAACCAGGTCCCACACTGTAACCCCCTCTGCCTCCTCAGACAGGCCAGGACTACACAGGAGCTGAGTTGCTGTTACCTCAAGTGCTTCCAGAGCCAGTTTTGGTGGGCTGTTGGCATATGTAATCTTCTTGGGGTAGAAGGCCTCATCCTCATGGAGGTAGATTGCTGCCTGGAATGAAATGAAGTTAGTGAATATCTTGCTGAACATCATGCTGCATGTGTGGAATATTTACCAAAATTTGCATTATATGTCAGACAATTAAGTGGTTCTGTAAGGTTCCAAGCATAGCTCACCTGTCCAGGAATATCTCACCTGCTTTCAGTGATCAAGCATACCTCTCCTGTCCACAGTGCTCATACATATCCAAACTATACTCACCTGTCTGTAATGCTCCATGCATAACTCACCTATCTAGTGCTCCATACATAACTCACCTGTCCGTAATGCTCCATGCATAACTCACCTGTCTGTAATGCTCAACACATAACTCACCTGTCTGTAGTGCTCCAGGTACTCACCTGTCTGTAATTTAGGGTGACACCTCTTCTTCTCCTTCACCTTGCCTATCATGTAGTGGTGCAGCCACTCCTCTCCTAACTCACCTGTCTGCAATGCTCCATGCCTCACTCGCTGGCCTTCCAGTAACAGTTCTGGGCGATCTGCAGCATCTCCTGCTTTGTGTCTCCGCCTCACACTGCTCCCAGTAACAGCAGCTCTGTCATCACAGGGGGAACCAGTCTCTCTGTGAGGACATAGAGATTAAGACTGAGTCATCCATATTGATGCCCCAAACCCCACCCCCTCTCCTCTCACTGTACAGGAGGAACCAGTCTCTCTGTGAGGATATAGAGATTTGAGACTGAGTTATCCATATTGACCCCCAAACCCCACCCCCTATTACTGTGTGTAACGGGGAACCAGTCTCTCTGTGAGGACATGGAGATTTGAGATCGAGTCATTCATATTGACCCCCTACCTCCCCCTCACTGTACAGGAGGAACAAGTCTTTCTGTGAGGACATAGAGATTTGAGTCATCCATATTGACTCCTCAAACACACATTCCCCCCTCTCCCCCCTCTCACTGTACAGGGGGGACTAGTCGCTGTGTGGGGGTACAGAAATATGAGACTGAGTCATCCATATTGACCCTCCATCCCTGAGGGGAAACCACCAGTCTATCTGTGAGGAAACACAGATATAAAACAAAGTTACCCATATTGACCCTCTGTCCAGCAAGGCTAGCCAGCCTCTCCATGTAATTGGAAATTTTAATATAAATTGTATGTTTATATATAAATATACAATTAGGTGCAAGTCGTGAGATAGGATAAGTATATATACTTATCCTATCTCACGACTTGTACCTCTCTCTCTTGCTTCAACTTTTAGTGGAACGACTGTAAACTTTTTTCCATAGGCCTCCTTGTCCATTCGCCCGTGCACTCCATGCTGCTCTCCTTAATTAGCTTCCTAGTTCCTAATAAAGCTTGCAGCATGCTCCACTAATTGCCCACTACCTTGAATGATCATTCTCATCTTGGAGCCAACGTTGTAATCTGAGTAGTGGGGAGGCTGGGCATCCATATTAAGTGATAAAGGACAGTATATAAATTTACAATTTATATTAAAATTATCCATAGAACCCTTCTGTTTAACAGCTGGTCTTATCCTGATGCGTGATAGTAGATGTTCAAGGGAACCCCTTGGCTTACTGAACTCATATGCTTGTAGTGGGACTCGAACCCCTTGGCTTACTGGCACAACGACTCCCAGGGAGATGGTTGCTCCCAAGCGGTGTTCGGCCGCAACCTTGTACAAGACAAGGGACGCAACTCGGCAAGTAAGCCTCGCCTCGCCACGATTTACAAGGTACCCCCGTAATTAAAGTCTTGCGACTAGAATCGGGCCAGCCCCTGCTTCAAGAAGGCCCCCAGACACCGACCGAGGCAGGTGAAAGAGAAACACAACTCGGCGTCTCCAAGGTTTAACGTTCAGTCCGGGCAGCATCAAATTGACCCTCACTCTTTTTCCTAAGCTTAGTCAAAGGGTGTAACTTTGGAGTCAGAACGCACCGAAATCCACTGGAATTCGGGAGTGTCACACTTCACTGACGTAATTGCTCCTTGGAGTAGAGGTCAGTAAGGGTGAATGTCGAACACCTCTGCATCGTCATACTGATTGTGCCTCAGATCCGTAGGGCCACGCTAGGTGGCCGTATTCCGATGCCTTGGTATGGAGGCCAAGTGAAGTAGTTCTTAAACCCATATAATGAGAACAAAAGGTTGCGATCCAGTTCAAGTTTTACTCAGTATATACAAGGAAGCAGTAACGCGAACGCGGAACCGTCCCTCATCTGTGTTGTTGGGCCTTCAATGATAGCGGTCAAGGAGCAGTTGCTATGGAGGGCCATCGTCGAGGCTAGTGCACGAGTCTCATGAGGATTGGAAGCGGCTGGAGGAGGCAACACAGGATCGTGGCACGACCTGAGCCGTGGTGGAAGTGGAAGATGCAATTCCCCTAAGCTTGCAATAGTCTTCAAACTTCTTCCACTTGTTGTCATTCAAGGAACGGGTTGAAGTACAATGCGATGAAGTGATAGCTGTGGCTCTGAAGATGCACCAAACGTGTAGATTGAGGGTCTCAGGTGACCCGTGGCGCATTTCCGAGAGAGGGTGAAGAAGCAGGTCATCCCGGTTGGGAAGCGGTACTGGGTTTTGCCCTGCCAGGCTTCTTGGGTTGACGAACCAACTTCTTGCTGGTTAGAAGGGTGCGACCAAAGCAGTAGTTTGTTGCTGGTCGCCAATAGTTTCTGTATTACTTTTGGTAGCAGAGCTGGAGGGGAGAACGCAAGGGCATTGAGACCCTCCCACGATATTGCCAACGCGTCGAGGTCCCACGCCAAGGAATCTGGGATTGGTGATACGAACTTTGGAAGTTGGTTGTTGAACCTTGTGGCGAACAGATCTATTTGAGGCCGTGATAAAGGGTAGATCATCGACTGAAAGATCTGGGGTAGTAACTTCCACTCTGTCGGGGACGGTCGGTTAGATCAGGACAAGGCATCGGCGATCACATTTTTTCCCCCGGAATGTGTCTGGATCTGGCTAGATGGAGATGAGATGGAAGAACCTGATCGCCCATTGTAGCAGATTCGCCGAGCCTGTCGAGCTGTCTGATTGGATCAACAGACTGGTTGATTGAAGCTCTGCTGCCCAATGTGAGAAGGCTGGAATTCCAGCTCGTTTATATGAAGTACCTGTTCGTCGGATGACCACAGCCCGGCCACTTGGTGGTCGAGGAAGTGGGCTCCCCAACCCATGAGGGATGCATCGACGAATAGGTGATGAGTCGGTGCAAAGGGCATCATAGAGACTACGGCGCAAACATTCAATTCGTCGAGCCACCATTGAAGGACTAGATGAAGTGGTTCTGGAAGGCAAATTAGTTCCTTGGGGTTGTCGGCCTGAAGGTACGGGCATAGAAATCGCTGTATCGGCCGAAGTTGGAGCTGGCCTCTGTACGTTAAGGCTTGAGCTGACGTCAGAAGGCCCAGTAGCTCCTGCCACTGTCATAAGGTTCCTGCCTGAGACAGTGCTGGAGGAATGCATCGCTGAATCTCTATCCACCTGTCGTGAGGTACGAACATCATCCCCTGACGAGTGTCAAACAGTGCTCCGATGAATTGGAGTTTCTGAGTCAGTATTCGTTCTGATTTCGCGATGTTCAACAGCCACCCTAACTATCTGAGCAGCGTGGTGGTGAACTGTAGCTGGCGAAGCAATACGATCGGATCCTGTTGTGCCAGGATGCAATCGTCTATGTAGCTTTCGAAGGTGATCCCTTGAAAGTGGAGGAAGCTTGTTATGGGCTTGGTAATTCAGGTAAAAAGCCACGGGGCTGTGGAAATTCCAAATGATAGGACTTTCCGTTGGTAGTGATTCCCGCTGAACACGGTCGAAGGTACTTCCGGTACTGGACGTATCGGAACGTGAAGATAAGCATCCTGAAGATCTAGGCTGATGAGGAAGTCTCCCTTCTTCAAGATGGTGCGTAAAAGGTTGATCGACACCATCCTGAAGTGAGGCGGTGGACGCAGGAATCGGGCATTGAACAACTTCATATTGAAGATGAGCCGGAGTTTGTTGGAATTTTTCTTTGGAACCAAGAAGATGGGGGAGTAGAATCCTGCAGTGACGGGCGATGGACCTAGGAGCTCTATTGTGAGTTTGTCTCATAGCGTACCTATTGTGGATTGCAGAGTCTGAAGCTGTTCCACAGGATATGAGCGACGTCAGAGGTGGACTGCCAATAACGGGTAGCTGATAGCCGTGAAGTAGCAGGTTGCTGACGTAGGGATCTTTGAGGATGGTCCAATTTGGGGCCAAGATCTGCAATCTCCCGCCTACCGGAGTGTTGTAAATTGGAACGACTGGCGACAGGAGGAAGCACCACGGTCAGATCTGTTTCCTCTGCCACGGCCTTGAGTGGATGCGCTTTGAAAAAAGATTGAGTAAATCTGGATTGTTAGGGGTGAACTGTGCAGTTCGACGCTGTTTTAATGAGTCCTGGAGCTGTGACTTCTGCATCTTTAACAGTTCAATCGAGACTTGAAAGTGGGTTTCTTTATCAACTTTATTAGATACTTCTTGGATGCTACCATTGAAGAGGGAGTCAGTAAACCAAGGCTGGGGAAACAGTTCTGTTTTAAATCACTCCTCCCATGAAGAGATGTTAAGGGGTCCACGTCAGCAAACAGCAAGAGTGTAGCCCAAAAAATGAGACAACTGATCCAAGATAATTTGGAACTGGTCCAGTGCTAAAGTCATTCATCCTCGGATGTAAGCATCTTGATCAGAGTAAGTATGCTCCAGAGCAGTGTTAACAGCGTCGACTGCTGCAATCACGCAACTAAAAGATGGCAACGTTTTTCTCACGGCTGAATCCATGTAAGCCAACTCTCGGTCCTCAATAAGGTAGGGCGAAGCAGCTCGTTTTATACACAGGGTTCCAATATCCTCATCAACTGTTGGAGCCGTAGAGATTTTTGTTCGGCCGTGGACATGAGAGGTAGAAGGATTATATCTGGAAGCAGAGAATCGTCCTTAATTCGTTTCAGGCTTTTGAAACCATCATTTAGTGTACTGGATAATTTCAGAATACAAGGTCGAGGTAGTAGGGTGATGGTAGACCAATCCCTGTTCCTAAGAGTATAAGAGTGATCCAGGTCATCTGCTGAAGTACTCAAGGGAAGTTGGAGCTTCTCAACAATCCAAAGGAGTACCTGAGGTGTCTCAACTGCTGCAAAGCTACCCCCAGGGGTAGATAACTCAGAGTGAGCGGGGGATGCAGGCATGGCTGTTTGGACTGGATCAATCTCAGGAGGTGGACCAGATGAAGAGCCAGGAGCTACTGAAGCCGGATGGGCTGGAGTAGACGGCTGTATTTGGTTCCAGGCTGAGGCTATGGCCCTGATCATCATATTTAGATCCGGAGTCGCTGTAGGAGTTGAATTGTTATCATGTTCCCATGACTCAGCGATGATCCTAGAGTGAGTCGAAGGATTCTCAGAGCATGTAGACAGAACATCGTAAGAGACTGTAGGCCTATTAGTGGTATCAGAGCAATGATCACCCGAACGTTGGTCAGAGGAACTGTATTGAGATCTCGACGTGGTAAGAACCGAAGTAGGTTGGCAAGCCGGTGATCTGGATTCCCAAGTATGGCTAGGTGATCCGGTATGATATGAAGAACTAGTCCGGGTCGCTGTAGTTCTAGTTGGTGATCTGGTTCTGATTGGAGCTCTGGTTCAACCATCTGAATAGGATCGGCCATGAGATGTGGATCTGTACTGTGATCCCATTTGGTCAATGGCTCTGTAAGGTGATCTGGATCGAACAGGTGATCTGGTTTGCAGTTGCGATCTGGCTTGATTTGGTGATCTGGATTGGTTAGGTGATCTACTTTGATGTTGTGATCTGGATCGGTTTGGTGATCTGGATCTGTACGGTGATCTGATTCGAAGTTGTGATCTGGACCCGTTTGGTGATCTGGATCGGTTAGGTGATGTGGATCGTAGTTGTGCTCTGGATCAATTCGGTGATCTTGATCGGCACGGTGATCTAGATCGGGCTTGTGATGGTGATCTGGATCGTGAAGGTGATCTAGATCGTTGTGGTGATCTAGAATGATGTGGCGATCTAGATCGGCGATTAGGTGACGAAACCTGAAGAGTTGATTCATGATGAACGTCCCCCGGCGACGCTGTTGTAGCCAGCTCCGTCCGGTTCAATGGACTGTGGGGAGACAGTTGGCTGGTTGAACGCGGTTGGCCAGGCTCCAAACAAACTGAGACAGTCGAGGGGATATGTACCAATGATCTGGATGATGATAGTGTCGATCTAAGGTCCCCTGGTAGTGTAGATGGGACAGGCAACGAAGAATTGTCGATCACAACCACCCGCGAGTGATCTGACGCTATTGAAGGAGGTGATTGATGCGTACGTAATAGGGGCCGAACGTCCTCAGATAAGTAAGAATCTGATGAAGCGTCCATAAAATCCTCTTGAACAACAGACGTCGCTCTCTTGCGTGAAGGTACGATTTTCTGTCGCTGTAACTTGATACGCTTGGCGGGAGTGGGATCAGATTCTGTTGATTTCCTGTCCCTATCGGCGATTCTCCGGGAGCAAACACGGAAGGTAGGCCTTAAAATTCTCATCTTTTAGTGAATTACACTTGCCACATCGTTTGTTCCAGTTACATTGTCCAATACAGTCACTGCAAGACGAGTGAGGGTCGAGGGATGAATAATTCGTCTTGCATTGAGCACAAACTTTCCTTTTCCTTGACTGATTATCAGTTTTCCCCATGATGTTAGGGTGAAATAATGTCCCTAATATACAGCACGTCCACACAGTCGTGCCACAAGAAAGAGAATGATCATTCAAGGTAGTCATGTAGGCAATTAGTGGAGCATGCTGCAAGCTTTATTAGGAACTAGGAAGCTAATTAAGGAGAGCAGCATGGAGTGCACGGGCGAGTGCAAAAGTTTACAGTGGTTCCACTAAAAACCGAAGCAAGAGAGAGAGGTGCAAGTCGTGAGATAGGATAAGTTAAAATATTTATATCACATCAACCAACTATATCATCCACCATCCTACCGTGGGAACCAGTCTCTCTTGTTGTCCCTAACAATCCAATTGTTGTCAATCACTGGATCGTCTGATCCAGAATTGTCAACATACAATATGTTGTCATAGAGCATGGATCTTGCGTGAGTGCACATAAACAACAAACAAACAAATCCTAATTTGGAATGGTCACGTACCATCTTGAATTGCCGTGAAGCATGTGAGTGTAGCTGGAAAGCCAGGGAGCCGTACTCTATCCAGAGGTTCCTCTGTGTCTCATCTATCTCCACCGCTCGCCTGAAACAGCGCAGTGCTGCTATGGACTTCTTGTGTATTGAGATGTCCATGCGGAGCTCCATCTGAAATGTGTTACTTTATCATATGGGCCATCAGGTGGAAACAAGGGTGCATGACCACTGCTTTGATACAACCATTTTAATCCTTTCAGAAAATCTACATGTATATATTAATTTTCCCCATACTAAAAATTTACAAAAAAAGTTAAAAGGAGTGTATTCATGAAGTATTTTCTATGGAGTTACTTGTTCAAAACAGTTATAGTGCACAGAATTCATGTCTTTCAAGATAAAAGTTATCATTGGTTAGTCAATCTACAAAGAAATATGACAGGAAATCATTTCTTACTGAACTGAGCTTCTGTTCCAACTGGCTCATCCGTGCCAGTGCCAGCCCTGCCCACGAGTCCAGTCTGTTGGGGTTGCTGCCGAGATCGTACATGTAGAACTTGATGGCCTTCCTGAAACAGAACAGTGATGTGTAGAACTGTATGTCTAAATATTCCATGTCATCTTAACTCCTCTCAAAAGGTCCAGAAGAAGCTGAAAGTTATGGGTCTCAACAATCCCTTAAATTAACTTTCTGCATCTAGCTGCAACAAACCAGATGTCATGTGAAGTGATGCAGGAGGTGAGGTGAAATTGGGTTTAACATCGTGCTTGAGAATATTTCGCTCATATGACGACGTGCATACGTGTGTATGTGTAAGTACGGCTGCTTGTACTAGCCCAGACTGAAGCTGGTTTTATAGTGCTAGCCCACAGAGATACCAAGCCTCAGTTAAGCATGAATACCCCACTCAGACACATTATACTGACTCCGAGCCGACCAGTCCTTGTTGTACCCATTAATGCCGAGCGCCAGGCAGGGACCAACAAGTACCATATTTTAACGAATTTTGGTATGACGCGGTCGGGGATCGAACCCGCAACCTTCTGCTCTCCGGGCGGACGCTCTAACCACTACACCACGGAGGCAGTCAACTCCTCTCAAAAGGTCCAGAAGAAGCTGAAAGTTATGGGTCTCAACAATCCCTTAAATTAACTTTCTGCATCTAGCTGCAACAAACCAGATGTCATGTGAAGTGATGCTGAGTGTCTACTTACGGTGTTTCCTTATTCTTGAAGTAGTAGTCGCCCAGGAGATAGTAGAGGCCCTTCAGGATGGAGCTGGACAACAGGCAACACAAGATCATTCAGTGTCAGTAGCATCTTACTGTCAGACATTCATGATAATTTCCAGAATCACTGTAGTGTTAAATAGAGACAACCAGCAGATTGTGGAATTTCCAGTTTTGCAGTGACATGAAAAAGCAGTGTTAAAACGGACATAATTAGGCATGAAATATATACATGCTAATGTACTACAGTTTACAATTGGAAAATACAAAACTGAAAGTAAAAACATTTCATCATTACACTAGGAAACACAAGACAGTCTAACACTACTAAAAATAACGAGTGATTCCTGACTGACCTGTCTGTCTGTGACGATGGTGCAGAGTTGGTGTTGCCTTCGATGTAGTTCTGAACTGTCTCATGATGTTTGGCTGAAGATTAGAATTAAAGCATAATACAAGGACAACTTGTATCTAAATATGACAACCAAAGTCTAAGGTACAAAAGGGTATCATGGTACCGAAGTTCACCTCAGGCTACATGCTATCATATTTACTTTACCCATGTGAACATCTGGACTGGAGTGAGTGAGTGAGTTTAGTTTTACGCCGCTTTTAGCAATATTCCAGCAATATCACGGCGGGGGACACCAGAAATGGGCTTAACACATCGTACCTACGTGGGGAATCGAACCCGGGTCTTCGGCGTGACGAGCGAACGCTTTAGCCACTAGGCTACCCCACCGCCCCTCTGGACTGGAACTGGCTTTTAGTAACCCTAGCTTGTCCTAAGACCATAACATGATTGGTTGGTCAAGCTCGCTGTCTTGTAGATGCATGCTATTGTACCCAATTGCATAGATTGATGCTCATGGCATCAGTCACTGGATTGTCTGATCCAAGTCAAGTATTTACAGACAATCCATCACAATATTGCTGAGGGGTGATAAACAACAAAACCCAGTCACTTTAGTTACAATTTTGTCTTGGTGGAACAGAACCCCCATTTTCGTTACTACTATACAGACACACACAGGTAATAATCTCTTTATGCTCTAATATCACTACAAAAATAATAAATGTCTCACTTAGTGGAGTAGGTTCAGAAGACAGTGTTTGAGTGAACTGTACCATGTTACATATAGTGACAAATTACTTAGAACAATAAATTTAACACTGACTGCCTATCACGAGTATACTCGTAGTATCAATGTCTGGCCGAATTTCCCACTACGAGTTATCTCCTAGTGGCAATATGATATTTTGAAAGTTTCACATGTTGGCAAAATAGGCACAAGAAACAATCGTCTCCTGGTGTTCTTTGTTACCGCCAGCAAACAATTGCTTCTTGTGCCTGTTTTGCGAAGGTGTGAAACCTGTCTATAATATCATTGATGCAGCTACGAGATAAGTCGTAGTGGCAAATTCGGCCACACACTGATACTATGAGTATACTCGGGTGACAGTCAACATGCTAATGGTTGGAGTCACTACAAACTACAGCTTCTCACCTGCACCAACATCACTTGGAACCAGGGCAAATAACCGACGCAGCAGATTCTCGAACTGAAATAATGGACATTGGTTAGCTCTCTTTGAGGTATGATGGCTTGTTAGCAGTGAGTGGAAATAAACGATTGTGCTGAGCAATGCAATGTAACTGAAAACCTAATCAACTAAACTTTTGAACTAACCTTCAGCCTAAACAAGGAACTAAACGTGACAACTATTATCAGTGAGAAAACTATGGATTATTTACAAGGAACTAAACGTGATTCTCTTTAAGTGATTCTAAATGAAGAAATGAAGTTGGATTGAAACTACTAAATAAAGCTATTTAAAGGTCACATGCAACGAAAACACAACTTTGCAGATTCTGATACCTTCGCATGGACATACCCCAAACAAATGTCAAAATGCAAATTCAACTTATAAAGTTGAAAAATAACGAGATGAAAAAAACCGCGAAATCGAGTTCAAACGTTTTCACTAATTTTCCCCAGACTTTTCTGGGGAAAACGGGTTTCAATAGCTGGGCTGGCGCCATAGCATGTGCGCAGTGAAATAGGTTCGCGCAGCTTGGAAGCCGGTTGTCGGGTGAATACTCGTGAAGGCTTTGGTGTGAGCTATTTTTCTAATGTTTTGTTGATATCTCACAGGCGCGCAGCTTTTATATGTTATGACAGTAAATTAACTGTTTATATAATTTCATTTGTCTATTTCACCACACGCTCTTCTTACCGAGACACTTTCTCAGTTCGATACTTAAAAGCAATGTCATTATTTAGCGCTGACACAATTTCTAACTGTGATATAGATATGTCGTTGTCACAGACAAAACTCAATGTCTTGTTTTATTGACACCTGTGTGTCTGCCTGCCTGTCTGCTAATGACAATATTCAATACACAACTGCGATCACTGACCACATGCAATTTGAACTTAACACCAATCAGGCTATACACCATAAACAAAACGCATTGATTTATGGCCCGAAGTTCGGTCTCTGTCACATTATGTAATTACACAGACAGGCAGGTGTGATACTTGAACACATGACATGTTATGATGTCTGTTGATTGCAAAATGTTATACACAAAAAAATGAGCATGTATTTACAAAACCCAACATCTCTATATATACACACACAATGAGCCGTGAAGGCAGCATCTGCTAATGAACCAGCCGTTACACTTGAGTGCACACCCACCCGCCTTCTGACTGGGTTCGTATCCCGCTGCTTCGTTTCGAGGGAGGTAAACCCAAGTACAAAATATTGCACTTTTGATTTTCGCGATTATACGCTTATAATTTTGTTTATTTGTTTTTTCATAATCAGCAATGCATATTATATGTCATGAAGAAGTGATAATTGTGTTTTAATTATGTTTGATTTTTGGTTGCATGTGACCTTTAAGATTGTACCCATGTCGGGAATAGAACCTGAGTATTCAGCGTGACACGCGAACGCTTTAACCACTAGGCTATGCGACTGCCCCTCACATTTAATAGACGTTATTGCACTTGTGCTTTGAGTAACAATTATTGTGATATAATGTGAGCCAAATGATATATAGATTGACACCCCTATTGCATACAGATCCTATTTACTTCATACTTAAGTAAATATGGTGAGTCATCACCATTTGAAGTCATTCCTCGTTCCCACCATTTTGTCAATCAGTTTCAAGGGAAATATCATTTGTGGGTGTTTCCTGGGGGATTGTAATCATAGTGATATGAATAAGGAAAATAAGAAATATATATTGGCATATGGGAAAACAATATTGCTATAACTATAATTTGAAGAGTATTGCATTATAGCAATAATACCACACAATCCCTTATATCACCTATATACTAATATACCAATGAAGATCCGGGTTAGAATTGTTCTTCAGTAACCCATGTTTGTCCTAAAAGGCGACTAACAGGATCAGACGGCCAGGCTCGCAGACTTGGTTGACACGTCATCGGTTCCCAATTGTGCAGATCGATGCTCATGCTGTTGATCACTGGATTGTCTAGTCCAGACTCGATTATTTGCAGACCGCCATATAGCTGGAATATTGCTGAGTGCAGCGTAGAACTAAACTCACTCACTCACTATATACTAATTACTTTGTAGTGGCCTGAGACATCATGATGATGATGGTGGTGGCGAAAATGGGTTTATGTTGCGTTCAGTTCATTATTGAAATTTACAGGCTTCAATGAGTGAGTGAGTTTAGTTTTACGCCGCACTCAGGAATATTCCAGCTATGTGGCGGCGGTCTGTAAATAATCAAGTCTGGACCAGACAATCCAGTGATCAACAGCATGAGCATTGATCTGCGTAATTGGGAACCGATGACATGTGTCAACCAAGTCAGCGAGCCTGACCACCCGATCCTGTTAGTCGCCTCTTACGACAAGCATAGTCACCTCTTGTGGCAAGCATATGTTGGTGAAGACCTCTTCTACAAGGATGTTGTGGACAGAAAATCCTGCATCCCATAACCTAACAATTCAAATCTGACATGACCAAAAGAAGAAAAGTGCTACCACACGGATGCCTACATATTCAGGAATGACTGTTGCTATTTTATAATTTGGTTTCATTTTAAATGGTTAAACATAGAATAATTTCAACGATCAAACTCTGAGAATGAGATATTTTACTTGTGGTAAGGGGTACTGTATTTGATGTTTTGAAATATGTTTGGGTCTGTCATTTTGTTGGAAGGATTACCATGTTGTTTTAAAGTCCTCTAACATGGAATTGCTCATATGTATGGCAGAGACAAGCCACCGAAATGGTTTGCTTGGTCGCCGGAAGACCAGCCTGAACCCCCGCCATAACAACAAAACAATTGGTTACCCCTTACGGGTACCCTTTGTTCGCTTGATATAAGCCTTAAGCGTCTTTACTTGACATCTAAGACGCGAGCACGTCGTAGAGAGGTACCGGACAGGAAGGCTGAGTGAAAGCTGGGAGCTCAATAGGCTTCATCACATGGAAGGGACTATCCTTCTTAGGACGGTAAGTATCAGGCAGCCGTGATAACTCTGTTCTTTGTGAAAACAGGACGCGGATCGGGCCGATGATTGCATGAATATCGCCAACCCGCTTCGCCTGAAGTCACCGCCACAAGAAACGCTTTCGCCTTTCCACGCCAACAGCTGGAGTGAAAGAGCCGACAGATTGTGAAACAGTGGACCGGACAGCCAATCAAGAACGCATTGACAAGTCCCACGGGACTAATCCGCCGGACAACCGGACGCGATTCTGGCTGTCCACGCCGCTAAAAGCGCTGTACCAGAGGGTGCTGCCCCAAGAGAGCACCGCCAACAGGTATATGAAACGAGAAATAGCTGTAGAATATCCTCGAATCGCTGAAGCCGCTAGACCCGGCCCAACCCGAGACTGAGGAATTCTAAACACAGACTAAATCTGTAGAAAAGGGATCAAGAATCCCCCTGTTGACACACACACCAGCTGCGAATAACAGGCCCATCTATCCTCATATTGAACGCTTGTCGAATAACTCCTCGCTGGCCAGAATTGTGTCTCGGGCAACTGGTGCAGGAATTCGGCTTTGCACGGAGGCGCATCCCGCCAGCGGCCCGGCTACCCACTGAATCCTGGGATTCGGTAATGCCCGCTTCTGGGATAGGAGGTCCGGTCGGTATAGTAATAGAACAGGAGGCTGAGCCAGAAACCTGAGAATTACCGAAACCGTAGCAGTCAATTAAAGGGTGCCAGAAGCACAACAGCCGAGCTATTAAAGCGGTCAGCTGTGACAGGACCCTGGAAATCAGCGGTATCGGGGAACGCTTCACAGTATCCCTGTCCTCATCCAATCGAAGCTGAAAGGGCGTGCCGTTAGTTAACGCCTCCGATCCGAACTCGAGCAAACACAGGAATCTGGTTCACACCCCAGACGCTAAACAGATCCACCTGGAACGCATCTCTAACAACTGGGAGATAATCCCGAATATCTCCCGTCGAAAGATCCACTCGTAGGCTAGTATACTCGCGGAGAGTGCATCTGCACGGACGCTGTCTACCCCCTCGAGATAAACAGGCAAACCCTAATGTTGAACTTCGATCGCACCACATTAGAAACTGCCACGCCTCCTGAAGGAGCCACGGAGACACTAAAAGTCAGCTTGCTTGAGAATGTAAGACATGGCCGCTTGATTGTCCATTTCTAGATGAACCACATGGCCCTGCACCAACACTGGAAGCACTCAACACCCCGGCGGACAAGCTCTCAGATTCTAACACATTGATGTGTAGGCTGACTTCCCCGGCCCCACCAGAGGCCAGAGGCTGCGTGATCAGCCCCAGGACCCCCCAACCTGTGAGGGAGGCAGCCCCGTTCGAACTGAGAGGAAGGTGTCGGGTGTTGAGGGGATCCCCTGACAAATTCCCCGACTTCCTCGCCCACCATCGCGAAGTGAGGAAATTAACCACTGGGTCGCCAGGAGAATAATCAGAGGCTCTGCAGTGGGACTACAGATGCGCTTAACGCTGCGCTGAACTGGTCGTAGATCCTCAGACGCCGCGACTGTCCACCGCCCACTGTCGCGCCGCCTATGTTGCTCTTCCAGCAACCGGCCATGTTCGCTGACGATTAATGCACTGGAGAAACGTGGTAGAAACAGTAATTTGGACTTTGACGATGCGTCCGGGCAAGTGGGAAACAATTCCTAGTTCGTTGTTGAATTTTTGCCCCAAGAAATCATCAGATCCCTGCGGCCGGAACGAGGTCTGATTTCTTTGAGGTTCATAATCCAGCCCAGTGACACCCAGAGTATCCATCACGCACAGTGTGGAGGCTCTGCTTAACTGAGGACCTGAAGGCCCTGAGAAGCCAATCGCTTCAGGCACGGGTGACAACACCTGCCCTGAGACCTGGCTAACTGAGCTGGGATTAGCATAAGTTTGGTGAACACCCTGGCTACCGCGGGAGATGCCGAAGGGGAGCACGCGAAACTGGTAGCACGCCCCGTCCGTGGAAGGAGAACCGGAGGTACTTCTTGAACTCGCGCATTGGAACATGGAGGTATCGCGTTTTGAGATCGATTGACGTAAAGTTAACTTCTGTCTCGACGGAGGAGATCACTGACCTGAGTGTCTCCATCCTGAAAGACGGCACCTCCAGTAACTGGTTCAACCCTCTGAGATTCAGAATGGGTCTGAACCCTCCGGCCTTTTTGGTCACTAGGAAGCAGGTGGAATAAAACCCCTCTCCTTGTTGACCCACAGGAACCACTCGATGGCTGCCTTGTTCAGTAAGGACTGAACTGCGCACGAGCTGGCCCGCTTTGTCGGCATGGAGGTCGGCATTGTAGGCGCAACCCGAACCCGGAGAAGGACGGAGGATCTCACCTCCACTGTGGCAAATGGCCATCCCTGAGCGTGACAGGACCCAGGGATTTGAGGTGGCTGCCTCCCACCCCGGAGGAATAGGGACAGACCGGCCGACAGGGACGCAGTGGCAGGAGGCAGTGCACACCCCACAGTCGGCAAGTCTCCGCTATGCGGAGTGGGGGGCAACAAGGGCTCTGGGGAAGGAATCAGCCGGAAGCCGGGCTGGCTTCCCCTTTCCTCGTGCTGCCAAGGCGCTTTGAGCAGATTTGCCCTGGCTTTCGGCCAGCCCGCTTTGGACTGCAAAGGCAGTCCAGCAACATCCTTCGCCGGGCAGAAGGATAAGAGGACGAAAGCGGGAAGGCCGCCGCTGGCGAAGGAGCCGGAGGGCTGCTCCAACAAAGGCTTTAGTCTTTGAAGGTAGAGACTGCCTCCTGCGGGTTCTCCCCGCACTACCTGCAATGCCCCAGGAACAGGGAAGATCCCATGGTATAGGGCAATGACAGGAGCCGCTTGTTGTGTGGTCGGCGAATACCGCGCCACAGACAAACTACAGGCGGCGCGAAGTTCATGATGACGGCATTCATCATCTGGCTGGCATTGCGCAATCAATGCCATCCCTAGCCAGATGCGCGAGTATCGCCCGGTGGAGCTGGAAAGCTGAAAGCACCCACTATGAGTCGGCGCTACAAGCGCTGTGAGCCAGCTGTCCTCGCAGTGCAGACAGGTAGGCCGAGTGGACTGGTTACTTTGAGGTGCTGGGCCGCGCACGGGTAACATTCCTCGAATGACTGGTACGCAGACTTCAGCGCAGTGAATTAGCAGGAAAAGGGGGAGGCGCCTGCCCTGCCCGGTCGAGGCCAGGGAAGACGCAGGACTCCACCCCTAACGCGGACTGAGGCAAAGACGACTCGCCCACCACTGGTGGTTCGGACAGCGCCTCCCCAACTGGTACCTCCTGCCAACGCGGCGGCAGATCAAATCTCGAATGCAGAACCAGTTAAGAGAGGATTTACCCTCACCTACCAGTGATGGTAGGATGCATAGGCGCTACCGGCTTAATCTTTGGTAGGGCGTTAAAAGCCTCCCCGGAGCCAAACTCCGCTGGGTCGAAGCGCCTGTGTGGGAACGCCACCTGGGGCAGGGGGTTCGCAATTTTTCCCCGCGCACCCGCCTCAGAGACGAGCCAAAGGAGTGCACTCCGCCTCCCGGCCTCGCTCCTCCTCGCCCATCTAGTCTCTCCATGTCCACCTTCGGCATAATTCGCCGGCAGCCGCATCTTCATACTCCTGAGAGACGCGCCGAGGATATACCAGAGGTTGAACCCGAAAAGACCATGGGAAGCGTCAAGAGGCTTCAGAAGCAACGAAGTCAGCCCAGCCGGGCAGAACTCGCCTAAGTCGCCGAGGCGCCAGGAGGAACCTGCCGCGACAGGCCTCCCGGCAACCCAGACTGGCTGCCAGGGCTTGAGGTGTCCTCGAGCTGGGCAGTGCCGGCGACCGCCAGTCAGGGCACCAGGCGGCCAGGGCAACCCTGCATCGCCGGGCGCCAGCTTACTCTGTGACGGACCTAACCGAAGCGTAGGTCGCTCTTAGGTGTCGAGGGCGACTATCTCCATCGCCTAAAGCGGGATCAAAGTTGCCCAGGGCGCTGCCCGAAGCCTAAGCTCGGGCCGCAGCCAACCCCCACAGATGCGCCAGATCCACTCCCACGCATCGGGCGCTGTGAAGTTCTTTACGAACCCATCCAACGCCCGATCAATGAGAGATTTCACTGACGCCATGTGTTCCTGGAATAAAGCGGTTAGTGATTCAACGGGCACAACTGGTGCCGCATACAACAGGGGAAGAGACAGGAGCAAGTAGAGGTTTGGTATTAGATGCCTCCTTGGAACCTTTAGCTCTTTTGGGAGCCGGCTCCGTATGGGAAGCGGCTCCGTGAGACCCCTTTTTGTGTGAACGCTGGACGGGGATCCTGTGCCCAGATATCACCCCCTCACCGACTCAGATTGCTGTAGAACAGCAGATCCGCTTCGTCAGGTGTTTCTAATCGCTTGAGGTGTAAAAGTGGCACATGCCACACACCCCTCTTCCTCATGGTCAGTTTGGGTGAGGCAACATAAGCAGACCTCGCATTTGTGTCCTTGACGGAATGGCCGCAAGGCACTTAAGTACAGGATTTAAACTGCAACAAGTAAACAACCTGTGCAGCAATCAACCCCATACACACACATACATATATGAAAAACACGATGGTATGCATAATAACCAATGCGACAACGTGAGCATACAGTTGACAATAACCATAATACGCACTGACATAACTACGACTTTTATATCGTGAAGATAGAAAATGCAAGCAGTGGAAACGCCTCTACATGTAACCACACATATACGTAAAAATTACTAACCCCACCTGTAACATTGAAAACCACCGGAAACCAATGAACAGTGATATGCGAAGCGAAGGTACCTGGTCATACATCTTTGGCACGCACTCGCGAAGCCGACCGACGCGACAGGTACCAAGTTACAACTAAAAATTATGAATGAAAAAGTTCAGAACAAGTCTTCAAATCGCCCATGCAGGGCAAAAAAAGAGAACCATACATACAATTGCTGTTTCTGACCCACTCATAATTCTCGCCGGGAAAAGAAAACTTTCTTGTAATGGACCCACGTCTAGGTCGGGAAACGACAGCATGGAAACTGAGGTGCGAGGTTACGGTCTAGAGTTACCTGCTCTTGGCTGTAGGGGGCCAGAGGGCCCTGTAAGGGTGGTCTCACAAGACAAAACGTAGTTTTTGTTTTGTAAATATTTTATTCAAATATTGTTACAACTGTCGTAGGGATTTTAAATGGACATTTAAATGCTTATAAGTACCCCAAGGAGGAATATATAAAAAAGAATCTCATCTTTTAGTGAATTACACTTGCCACATCGTTTGTTCCAGTTACATTGTCCAATACAGTCACTGCAAGACGAGTGAGGGTCGAGGGATGAATAATTCGTCTTGCATTGAGCACAAACTTTCCTTTTCCTTGACTGATTATCAGTTTTCCCCATGATGTTAGGGTGAAATAATGTCCCTAATATACAGCACGTCCACACAGTCGTGCCACAAGAAAGAGAATGATCATTCAAGGTAGTCATGTAGGCAATTAGTGGAGCATGCTGCAAGCTTTATTAGGAACTAGGAAGCTAATTAAGGAGAGCAGCATGGAGTGCACGGGCGAGTGCAAAAGTTTACAGTGGTTCCACTAAAAGCCGAGGCAAGAGAGAGAGGTGCAAGTCGTGAGATAGGATAAGTTTAAAAATATTTATATCACATCAACCAACTATATCATCCACCATCCTACGGTGGGAACCAGTCTCTCTTGTTGTCCCTAACAATCCAATTGTTGTCAATCACTGGATCATCTGATCCAGAATTGTCAACATACAATATGTTGTCATAGAGCATGTATCTTGCGTGAGTGCACATAAACAACAAACAAACAAATCCCTAATTTGGAATGGTCAATGCACCATCTTAAATTGCCGTGAAGCATGTGAGTGTAGCTGGAAAGCCAGGGAGCCGGCACTCTATCCAGAGGTTCCTCTGTGTCTCATCTATCTCCACCGCCGCCTGAAACAGCAGTGCTGCTATGGACTTCTTGTGTATTGAGATGTTCATGCGGAGCTCCATCTGAAATGTGTTACTTTATCATATGGGCCATCAGGTGGAAACAAGGGTGCATGACCACTGCTTTGATACAACCATTTTAATCCTTTCAGAAAATCTACATGTATATATTAATTTTCCCATAATAAAAATTTTACAAAAAAAGTTAAAAGGAGTGTATTAATGAAGTATTTTCTATGGAGTTACTTGTTCAAACAGTTATAGTGCACAGAATTCATGTCTTTCAAGATAAAAGCTATCATTGGTTAGTCAATCTACAAAGAAATATGACAGGAAATCATTTCTACTGAACTGAGCTTCTGTTCCAACTGGCTCATCCGTGCCAGTGCCAGCCCTGCCCACGCAGTCCAGTCTGTTGGGGTTGCTGCCGAGATCGCATGTATATGTAGAACTTGATGGCCTTCCTGAAACAGAACAGTGATGTGTGTAGAACTGTATGTCTAAATATTCCATGTCATTTTAACTCCTCTCAAAAGGTCCAGAAGAAGCTGAAAGTTATGGGTCTCAACAATCCCTTAAATTAACTTTGTGCATCTAGCTGCAACAAACCAGATGTCATGTGAAGTGATGCAGGAGGTGAGGTGAAATTGGGTTTAACATCGTGCTTGAGAATATTTCGCTCATATGACACATGCATACGTGTGTATGTGTAAGTACGGCTGCTTGTACTAGCCCACACTTAAGCTGGTTTTATAGTGCTAGCCCACTGAGATACCAAGCCACAGTTAAGCATGAATACCCCACTCAGACACATTATACTGACTCCGAGCCGACCAGTCCTTGTTGTACCCATTAATGCCGAGCGCCAGGCAGGGACCAACAAGTATCATATTTTAACGAATTTTGGTATGACTGACTGACTGACTGAGTTTAGTTTTACGCCGCTTTTAGCAATATTCCAGCAATATCACGGAGGGGACACCAGAAATGGGCTTAACATTACAGCCCATGTGGGGAATCGAACTCGGCCTTCGGGCGCTGACGAGCCAACGCTTTAACCACTAGGCTACCCCACTGCCCCAATTTTTTTTTTTTGGTATGACGCGGTCGGGGATCGAACCCGCAACCTTCTGCTCTCCGGGCGGACGCTCTAACCACTACACCACGGAGGCGGTCAACTCCTCTCAAAAGGTCCAGAAGAAGCTGAAAGTTATGGGTCTCAACAATCCCTTAAATTAACTTTGTGCATCTAGCTGCAACAAACCAGATGTCATGTGAAGTGATGCTGAGTGTCTACTTACGGTGTTTCCTTATTCTTGAAGTAGTAGTCGCCCAGGAGATAGTAGAGGCCCTTCAGGATGGAGCTGGACAACAGGCAACACAAGATCATTCAGTGTCAGTAGCATCTTACTGTCAGACATTCATGATAATTTCCGGAAACACTGTATTGTTAAATAGAGACAACCAGCAGATTGTGGAATTTCCAGTTTTGCAGTGACATGAAAAGGCAGTGTTAAAACGGACATAATTAGATATGAAATATATACATGCTAATTTACTACAGTTTACAATTGGAAATTACAAAACTGAAAGTAAAACCATTTCATCATTACACTAGGAAACACAAGACAGTCTAACACTACTAAGAATAACGAGTGATTCCTGACTGACCTGTCTGTCTGTGACGATGGTGCAGAGTTGGTGTTGCCTTCGATGTAGTTCTGAACTGTCTCATGATGTTTGGCTGAAGATTACAATTAAAGCATAATACAAGGACAACTTGTATCTAAATATGACAACCAAAAGAAACTATTCTGTATCCATCACAAAATCAAAGTCTAAGGTACAAAAGGGTATCATGGTACCGAAGTTCACCTCAGGCTACATGCTATCATATTTACTTGACCCACGTGAACATCTGGACTGGAGCGAGTGAGTGAGTTTAGTTTTACGCCGCTTTTAGCAATATTCCAGCAATATCACGGCGGGGGACACCAGAAATGGGCTTAACACATCGTACCCACGTGGGGAATCGAACCCGGGTCTTCGGCGTGACGAGCGAACGCTTTAACCACTAGGCTACCCCACCGCCCCTCTGGACTGGAACTGGCTTTCAGTAACCCTAGCTGGTCCTAAGACCATAACATGATTGGTTGGTCAAGCTTGCTGTATTGTAGATGCATGTTATTGTACCCAATAGCATAGATTGATGCTCATGGCGTCAATCACTGGATTGTCTGATCCAAGTCAAGTATTTACAGACAATCCATCACAATATTGCTGAGGGGTGATAAACAACAAAACCCTTTCACTTTAGTTACAATTTTGTCTTGGTGGAACAGAACCCCCATTTTCGTTACTACTATACAGAAACACACACAGGTAATAATCTCTTTATGCTCTAATATCACTACAAAAATAATAAATGTCACTTAGTGGAGTAGGTTCAGAAGACAGTGTTTGAGTGAACTGTACCATGTTACATATAGTGACAAATTACTTAGAACCATAAACTTGACACACTGACTGCCTATCACGAGTATACTCGTAGTATCAATGTCTTGCCGAATTTGGCACTACGAGTTATCTCCTAGTGGCAAAATGGTATTTTGAAAGTTTCACATGTTGGCAAAAATAGGCACAAGAAACAATCGTCTCCTGGCTTTCTTTGTTACCGCCAGCAAACAATTGCTTCTTGTGCCTGTTTTGTGAACGTGTGAAACCTGTCTATAATATCATTGATGCAGCTACGAGATAAGTCGTAGTGGCAAATTCGGGCCACACACTGATACTATGAGTATACTCGGGTGACAGTCAACATGCTAATGGTTGGAGTCACTACAAACTACAGCTTCTCACCTGCACCAACATCACTTGGAACCAGGGCAAATAACCGACGCAGCAGATTCTCGAACTGAAATAATGGACATTGGTTAGCTCTTTGAGGTATGATGGCTTGTTGCGCAGTGGAAATAAACGATTGTGCTGAGCAATGCAATGTAACTGAAAACCTAATCAACTAAACTTTTGAACTAACCTTCAGCCTAAACAAGGAACTAAACGTGACAACTATTATCAGTGAGAAAACTATGGATTATTTACAAGGAACTAAACGTGATTCTCTTAAGTGATTCTAAATGAAGAAAATGAAGTTGGATTGAAACTACTAAATAAAGCTAATTGTCTACCTCTAGACACTACTATTCTAACAATAATGTAACGCTCAAAAGCTACATGACGCCACAAGAGCAAATGAACCCACAAGTCTAACAATGCCTAAAACCGAATGGCATGAACGCAAGAATGGGGAAATAGCAACGAATGGTAGAAAGGAGCGAATGGGCCGGTGTATCCTTGACCACCGTCTTATATATGTAAACCTACTTCGGATTTCACGTGCACTCATCCCCGGGTGTATTCAGGCGATACGAGCAGTTTGCACTGGGTGTGATTGAGCGAGCAGTTTGAAATGAAAAACCTAAATGTCTTCAGAACATGGCTCACATTTAAAGGTCACATGCAACGTAAAACACAACTTTGCAGATTCTGATACCTTTCGGTATGGACATACCGAAACAAATTGTCAAAAATGCAAATTCAACTTATAAAGTTGAAAAATAACGAGATGAAAAAAAACGGGCGAAATCGGTCGGGTTCAAGCGTTTCACTAATTTTCCCCAGACTTTTCTACTGGAAAGCGGAGTTTCAACAGCTGGGCTGCGCTCATAGCATGTGCGCAGTGAAATAGGTTCATGGAGCTTGGAAGCCGGGTTGTCGGGTGAATACCGGTGAAGGCTTTGGTGTGAGCTATTTTTCTAATGTTTTGTTGATATCTCACAGGCTGAGCTTTATATGTTATGACAGTAAATTAACTGTTTATATAATTTCATTTGTCTATTTCACCACACGTTCTTCTTACCGAGACACTTTCTCAGTTCGATGCTTAAAAGCAATGTCATTATTTAGCGTTGACACAATTTCCAACTGTGATATAGATATATCGTTGTCACAGACAAAACTCAATGTCTTGTTTTATTGACACCTGTGTGTCTGCCTGCCTGTCTGCTAATGACAATATTCAATACACAACTGCGATCACTGACCACATGCAATTTGAACTTAACACCAATCAGGCTATACACCATAAACAAAAGCGCATTGATTTATGGCCCGAGAGTTGAAGTCTCTGTCACATCAGGGTTTGACACTCACTGATTTCTCCCACTTGCCAAGAGGGCAAGTAGAAAAGTTAAACTACTTGCCCATCCACAGATACTACTTGCCCCATGTTACTTATGGTATAGAAAGAACTAGACATTTTGTTGGAAGGATTACCATGTTGTTTTAAAGTCTCTAACATGGAATTTGAGCCCCCAAGACACCCAAAACATAAAAACTACCTCTGCTGACACTGTGTTAGCCTTGTAGCTGTCGTACTCTGGGAACGTTGCTGGTTTGAAGTAGTCAAACACTATCCCAGCCTTATCCCAGACAAACGATATCTGAAACACAAGTAACAATCATTGCCAAATTCCATAGCGGAACAAGCAGAATCATCAATATTTTACAACATGAACTAATGAACAAACAAATGAAAAAACAACAACAAAACAAACAAGTGCAGAAGTGAGCAAAGCTCACATACCCCCGCTTCCCACTTTGGGACATGGAAATGACTGATATTGATATATATAATGTGACAAGGATCAGCAGCTCACAAGACTTTCTCTTTGACTCTACTAAACTTTATATAAATGTTCGATAATAGTTTTGGCATGTACTGATTACGGTAATAATTTATGGAAACTAGATTTTTTTGTGTTTTCCGTGGAAACCTGACACGTAATTGAACTTGAGTGTGTCATGTTGCACACAATGGACGTAGATGAAGATTGCTATTTTTTAGCACATGGCATATCTGTGGGTCATGATTAACTTGTGTATTAAGTTTGGTGAACCTAGCATGTATAGTTGCGATGATATGCCGTGGTCAGGTCACCATCAAATACATTTTGCATGTACCTAGCATGAACCTAGCATGTAAACTTTAAGAGATATGCTCTGGACAAAATAATCAAACACATTTGGCACTAAGTCATGTTTCCATGGAAACAGCAAAAAATACAATTCATATCTGGATGTAAACCCCAAAAGGCACATCTAGGGATCATGCTTGATATGTGTACCAAGTTTGATGAAGCTAGCATGTATAGTTTGGAAGATCTGCTCCGGACAAGATGACATCCTCATAGTCACAGCCTAAGTCGTGTTTCCATGGAAACAGCAAAAAAACTAAATTCTGAAAAAACTTTAAAATAGCAAAAGGCACATCAATGGGTAATGATTAACATGTGTGTGAAGTTTGGTGAACCTAGCATGTAAACTTTAAGAGATATGCTCTGGACAAAATAATCAAACACATTTGGCACTAAGTCGTGTTTCCATGGAAACAGCAAAAAATACTATTCATATCTGGATGTAAACCCCAAAAGGCACATCTAGGGATCATGCTTGATATGTGTACCAAGTTTGATGAAGCTAGCATGTATAGTTTGGAAGATCTGCTCCGGACAAGATGACATCCTCATAGTCACAGCCTAAATCATGTTTCCATGGAAACAGCAAAAAAACTAAATTCTGAAAAAACTTTAAAATAGCAAAAGGCACATAAATGGGTAATGATTACTATGTGTGTGAAGTTTGGTGAACCTAGCATGTAAACTTTAAGAGATATGCTCCGGACAAAGTTTCGGGACGGACGGACGGACGGACAGACAGAATGAACGCTATATACCCCCGTTACTTCGTAGCGGGGGTATAATAAACAATCCACTCTAAAATCTTTTGTTATGTCAAAGGACACTGATATGTGGTGGCGCGTGTTTCAGTGCGCAGAGCTCAGGTCACGAATCAGTTGAAGTTAAGCAAAGTCGAGCTCGGACAATCCCTGGATGGGTAGCCGTGTTTGGCAGCTTGACTCCTGAGAGTTTCTAGGACTTCAGTCCTGTCCCACAACGAAGCACATGTGATACATGTGGTCTCACCTTAGGCAAGTGAGTTTGTTCAAATTGCCTCTGTTTTACCCAGCAGAAAATGGGTACCCGGTTGGATAAAGTCATGCGACTATAACCTTCTAGCGTCTAACAGGCAGCTTGGGTTATCTGGGGTAATAAGAATCAGATTCTGGTTAAGCGCCGCGAGCAATCACTTGGTGTTTGGAGACTGTGCGCTATAGAAGATGACTTATTATATGGCATTCAGAGGCTGTAGTACGTGTGAAGACAGGATATTCCTGTAAATAATCACATGGGTGACTGTATGAAAACACTGAACAACTATTAGAAATCACCACGTCTTATTTCATGGATTTGTTTACTTATATTTTTTCAGAAACCAGGTCAAATCTAGGCTTACTCCCCTTCGCATCTGATCTACATACATATTTTCATCACTCATACACATTCACAAACTCATCTGAAAAAATGACCAATGAAAAATGAAATCAATTCTTCTCTGACTTCAACGTTTCCATTAACCAAGAAAACACAAATAGCATCAACATTTATACAGAGGTTTTGTTACATGAGAACAGTGTGATGTGCAGTAAAAATGATGCAGGGTGACTGACCGATGGTGCATTGTGGTCCTGAAGGTGCTTGGCCTTGCCCCGCTTGTGTGGGTGTCCATACAGACAGAAGATACACTGCTCTAGGGCCATGTCCAGCCCTTCCCTGATGAAGTGGGGTTTCTTCATCTCCTGTTCCAGCTCATTGAGGAAATACAGCAGCAGAGCACCGTCTGACTTGGTGCACCACGAGTGTCTGAATCAGCATATCATTGCAGTGTCTGAGTGCAAAACTAACTCTAAATTTTATTTATTTTATACAATTTTCAGGATTGTTGACTTGTTGCTTTTGTCTACAGAATACACTAGAGTCAGTTTGGTTTAATGCTTCTTTGGATAGTTTTACAGTGTTATGACTTTCAGTGCAAAACGTTTGGAAAGACTGAAGTGAGATATCGTAAGGTTAGCAAGCTGTGTCTATGGACTGTGTACATGTTATATGAACATCAAACTGTGGAAAGTGATGATTTTGAGTGAATAAACGGTAGCAATGGCTCACAGCAGTCTATTGATTATCATGCCGAGGAAAAATTGAAATATTCAATCATAATTTTGTTATGAAAAAGATGACCTTAAAACATTTGTCACTAAAAAAGATTCTGTTTAAAAAAGCTTTACGGAAGTATGTTTAATACGTTTCCTTAAGCTGATAACTCACCTGCCGAGATACTCATGTGCCACGTTGAGCAGCATGAGGGAGCTGCTGATGGCACCATCCATGTTGGTCCCTTCCTCCCCCGGGGCCAACATGGACCTCAACTTGGCCTCCTCACTACACATACAGACACACAGACATGAAGACACACAGCTTGGTTCAAGATCTAAAGCAATAACTGACATTAACTAAAATCAATGTTGTAAATACACAACATCCCACACTGAAGCACATGTGGTATCTCCAGTGACTTTGTTTGTAAATATCCTCTATAGCTCAAAAGCGGACCGATGAATTGCAATCTAACTCAAAAAACCAATAAACATATAATACTCAATGAAACGCTGATCATAATCAAAATATCAGACCAACTCTGTGATTTGTTTCCAGAATTTATATCCTAAAATTAAAAAAGTTGTTTAACAAACTATCATTAAAATATTGACACAGTTCACTATTTGTTACGAGGGAGGAGTGCAGAGAAAGGGACAGCCAGGTGTTAGAGAAGCACGTGCACAAGTGCCGACAAAGTTATTGATTCATTAACCTGTGCTGTGCCATCTCCATCCTTTTATCCTTTTATCGCAAACAACTTTTTTATTTTTAGGACATAAATTCTGCAAACACCTCTCAGAGTTGGTCTGACGTTTTTATTATGATCAGTGTTTCATTGCGTATTTTATGTTTATAAGTTTTCGAGTTACATTGCAATTCATCGGTCCGCTTTTGAGCCAAACGGACTATACTCACCCTGCAGTAAATGGGTACCCTGTAGGTTGAGATCTTAATGTGAATTTCAAGGTAGAAGGGAATGTAAGTGTAAACTGTGTCCTAACAATGAAAGACAACTTTCATTTATTACTTGTATTTATATGATTCGTTGTGACAACAGAATAGTATATACCTTTCACATATTAAAAATATTGTAGTCTACATGACTTTATCTTGTTGATGGCTTTTAAAAAAGCCATATGTAATGAACAACCTAGTCTTGTGTACTGAATTCCAGAAGAAGCACAAATATTTTGAAATTACATGACGAAAATACATCAAGGCAAGGTGGTGTGTAGGACTGCAACGAATACACTATGTGGCGAATATGATATGTATCATGAATATTGGGTAACGAATACGAATAATTATTCATGAATACAATATTGTAGTTGAGTGATTGATGTACAATATGGAACGCCCATGTTGACAGTTCGATTTCTCACAGCAATACGAGTGATCTCATGACATTCAAATTTGGTATGTAATAGTTATAGATGACAGTACCATGTGCGACCTTGGCAAACTAACGTGACTTGCACTACTGCTATAATAGTACATGTTCCATTCTTGCATATCTCACTTTGGAAAAGGACATAAGGGTTCAAGTAAAACATGCTGCCTTAAAAAAATCATAAATATTTGTTAATACTCGGTTCTGGTGACCACGAATAACGAATTGAATTCATGAAGGGCTACGGTTCGATTCACCGAATATGCGAGTGAATTGTTACAGCCTTAGTGGTGTGTGTTCTATGCTCAAAGAGTCATACTTGTTAGTTGTGTGTTCTGATGACACTGATCACAGTGCAGTGTGGCGTCATTTCCCATGACGCTTAAATGACATTACCAAATGGCACGGACCGCCTCTGTGGTGTAGTGGTTAGAGCGTCCACCCGGAGAGCGGAAGGTTGCGGGTTCGATCCCCGACCGCGTCATACCAAAAGACGTTAAAATATGGTACTTGTTGGTCCCTGCCTGGAGCTCGGCATTAATGGGTACAACAAGGACTAGTCGGCTCGGAGTCAGTATAATGTGTCTGAGTGGGGTATTCATGCTTCACTGCGGCATGGTATCTCAGTGGGCTAGCACTATAAAACCAGCTTCAGTCTGGGCTAGTACAAGCAGCCGCACATACACATACACACGCATGCACGTCGTCATATGAGCGAAATATTCTCAACCACGACGTTAAACCCCATTTCACCTCACCCAACCAAATGGCACAATCTCACAATGCCTTATTAACATATCACAGAACACGTCTAGTTATGAATAAAGATCATTTATGAGTGCGCTTTAAGGACATGTTTTCTTTGCATGTTTTCATTAGCAAACATCAATGTCGTTATTCACCACTGTATGACAGATTCAAGATTCTTCTGTAACTGAGTATATACCCACCCTGCATCTTACAATACAACTGCAGTGCTAAAATATATGTATGAAGAGACTGTAAAATACTTGAAGTTTGAAGCGCACATAAAAGGTCAACTACTGTTATATGCTGTGTCCTTTGAATGAATTTGTATGGCATGTATCTTTTCATCAGTAAACTTATTACAATGAAGTTAAAGAAGGTTTCATATTGTATGGGTCTTGATTGCCATTCAGGGTTTACTCAGGTCGATTACTGTAATAGTTTGGGGTCTGTGCCATGAACATATCGGTACCTGACAGCAACACACAACCTCACCTACAGATAACAGACTGAAGAAATTCTTACACAAGATCCCTCATCTTTGAGTGAATTTCTGTCAAAAGTAAATCTTTCTGTAACATTTAATCTTCAATTTTGATACTATTTCAATAACATTCCGAACTTGTGTGAGTACAGCTTGTTTGATGAAACCATAGTTAGATATGTTGATATAAATTTACTTATACTGCCCACTTATTGAGCCTAAGCATTTAAGAAAATATTCAAGTTTAGTGACTTGTAACTCATGAATGCTGACCTCTTAATGAGCCTGGACAGCAGTATCCATGACAACACAACTGTGTTTGGCACCTCAGGGGAGGTGTCGGAGGAGTCCATCGTCAGCTCAATCATACGGATGAGGTTCTGAGTGTGCCGGACTGTGTTGCTGGATGGGAGACTCTTCAGTATATCCTCATCAATGTCCAGGACTCTGTGTGGAGATGTAGCATGTGAGTCAGTGAATCAGTCATGTACAGGTAATGCTATTCTCACAGACTTTCAGGCATGCCACAGCATTGCTTATTGTGGGATTATTTTAAGGGTGGAAACAAGCTAAAATGATGTAATTCTCTCACTGGAAATGTCACAAAGTTGTGATGACTCTTCACACAAAAAAATTCCACTTCTGAAAACAAATTGTCTAAAATAGGTTTTGGCTTACTTATTGATGTGTTCAAAGATCCTTCTGATTGTAGTCAGCCATTCATCCCGTGCCTGTCCACGACGCCCGGCGGTAACACTGCAGAGCTTCATTGAAGGACACCTCCCCCCACAGCAGGCATTTCTGGAATCATTACATATATGTAGATGTGCCCTACACATGGATCAGGGATGAGGTCCCCTACACATAGTGCTTAGATGAGGACCCGTTCACATGAACCTTAGATGAGGACCCGTTCACATGGAGCTTAGATGGGGCCCCCACACATGGACATTAAATTAGGTCCCCCACACATGGACCTTAGAGGAGGTCCCCCACACATGGACCTTAGAGCAGGTCCCCTACACATGGACCTTAGAGGAGGTCCCCTACACATGGACCTTATAGGAGGTCCCCTACACATGGACCTTAGAGGAGGTCCCCTACACATGGACCTTAGAGGAAGTCCCCTACACATGGACCTTAGAGGAGGTCCCCTACACATGGACCTTAGATGAGGTCCCCTACACATGGACCTTAGATGAGGTCCCCTACACATGGACCTTAGATGAGGGTCCCCACACATGGACCTTAGATGGGGTCCCCTTACATGGACATGGACCTTAGATGGACCTTAGATGAGGTCCCCTACACATGGTCTTTAGATGAGGTCCCCTACACATGGACCTTAGATGAGGTCCCCTACACATGGTCCTTAGATGAGGTCCCCACATGGTCCAGATGAGGTCCCCCACACATGGACCTTAGAGGAGGTCCCCACACATGAACCTTAGAGGAGGTCCCCACACATGGTCCTTAGATGAGGTCCCTACACATGGACCTTAGATGAGGTCCCTTACACATGGACCTTAGATGAGGTCCCTTACACATGGTCCTTAGATGAGGTCCACTACACATGGACCTTAGATGAGGTCCCTACACATGGACCTTAGATGAGGTCCCCTACACATGGACCTTAGATGAGGTCCCCTACACATGGACCTTAGATGAGGTCCATACAAATGGTCCTTAGAACAGGTGCCCTACACATGGTCTTCAGATGAGGTCCCAACACATGGACCTTAGATGAGTTCCCCTACACATGGACTTTAGATGAGGTCCCTTTCTCATGTACCTTAGATGAGGTCCCCTACACATGGTCTTTAGATGGGAGTCCCCTACACTTGGACCTTAGATGAGGTCCCCTATACATGGTCCTTAGATGAGGTCCGTTCACATGGACCTTAGAGGAGGTCCCTACACATGGACCTTAGAGGAGGTCCCCACACATGAACCTTAGGGAGGTCCCCACACATGGACCTTAGATGAGAGTCCTTACACATGGACCTTAGATGAGGTCCCTTACATGGACCTTAGATGAGGTCCCCTACACATGGTCCTTAGATGAGGTCCCCTACACATGGACCTTAGATGAGGTCCCCTACACATGGACCTTAGATGAGGTCCCAACACATGGACCTTAGATGAGGTCCCCTACACATGGACCTTAGATGAGGTCCCTACACATGGTCTTGGTGCCCTACACATGGTCTTAGATGAGGTGGACCTTAGATGAGGTCCCCTATACATGGTCCATAGATGAGGTCCCCTTCACATGGACCTTAGAGGAGGTCCCCCACACATGGACCTTAGAGGAGGTCCCCCACACATGGACCTTAGAGGATGTCCCCCACACATGGTCCTTAGATGAGGTCCCCTACACATGGACCTTAGATGAGGTCCCCTACACATGGACCTTAGATGAGGTCCCTTACACATGGTCCTTAGATGAGGTCCACTACACATGGACCTTAGATGAGGGTCCCTACACATGGACCTTAGATGAGGTCCCCTACACATGAACCTTAGATGAGGTCCACTACACATGGACCTTAGATGAGGTCCCAACACATGGACCTTAGATGAGGTCCCCTACACATGGTGCTTAGATGAGGTCCCCTACACATGGTCCTTAGATGAGGTCCATACAAATGGTCCTTAGAACAGGTGCCCTACACATGGTCCTCAGATGAGGTCCCCTACACATGGACCTTAGATGAGGTCCCCTACACATGGACCTTAGATGAGGTCCCCTACACGTGGTCCTTAGATGAGGTCCCCTACACATGGTCCTTAGATGAGGTCCCCTACACATGGACCTTAGATGAGGTCCCCTACACATGGACCTTAGATGAGGTCCACTACACATTGTCCTTAGAGGAGGTCCCTACACATGTTCTGTAGAGGAGGTCCCCTACACATGGTCTTTAGATGAGGTCCCCTACACATGGTCCTCAGGACACATGTACCTTGAGGTCCCCTACACATGGTGTTTAGATGAGGTCCCCTCAGATGGTCCCTACCATGGTAGAGATGAGATGTCCCTACACATGGTCCTTAGAACAGGTGCCCTACACATGGTCCTATCATGAGGTCCCCTACACATGGTCCTTACAGGAGGTCCCCTACACATGGTCCTTAGAGGAGGTCCCCTACACATGGTCTTAGATGAGGTTCCCTAGACATGGTCTTTAGATAAGGTTCCATACACATGGTCCTTAGATGAGGTCCCCTACACATGGTGTTAAGATGATGTCCCCTACACATGGACATTAGATTAGGTTCCCTACACATGGGGCTTAAATGAGGTCCCCTACACATGGTCCTTAGATTCAGTCCCCTACATATGGTGCTTAGATGAGGTACCCTACACATGGTGCTTAGAGAAGAACCCAACACATGATGCGAGATTAGGTCCATTACACACGGACCTTAAGATGAGTTCCTTTGAACAGAGTCCTCCACATAGTCCTTATCAGATTACAGTAACCTTTTTTCAAATCTTTTTCATAAACTGTTATCTGTAAACCCATCTGCATGATTCAGGGAGATGCTCTCTGACTTCAACATTATTAAAACAATGTCTGTGGTGTAATGAGAAAGTTGAGTTTTTTAGTGCAAATTTGATTTCAGCATGAACACAAAGGGTTTTGTTAGTAAAATGATTATTAGAGAGTGTTCACAGTGGAAAAAGTGAATCATAATTAGACAAATAAACTTGGCATTTATCTGTTATGTGAGATACTCGACATTAAACACCAACCTTGTAGTCCTTGAGCTTGAACAGTGAGTCCTGCAGCAGCATCAGCTGACGGTGCCGCTCGGGGAGAGAACTGCGGGCCTCTGATATCTGCAATAGCCATCATCTTCATCATCATCATCATCATCATCATCATCAACATCATCATCATCTCACAGACAGTAGAATCTCATGCTGATAATATTCTGTTAATATCACAGCAAGAGACACGATGAACAGGCTTCACTTTCTTGTTTAAGAGAAAGTGCAGGCCTGAGTAAAAGTGGAGTATAACTCACCTTCTTGACTGTGTGTGGCTGAGAGGTGGAGTATAGCTCACCTTCTTGGCTGTGTGGGGATGAGAGAAGGTGGAGTATAGCTCACCTTCTTGGCTGTGTGGGGATGAGAGAAGGTGGAGTATAGCTCACCTTCTTGGCTGTGCGTGGCTGAGAGAAGGTGGAATATAGGTCACCTTCTTAGCTGTGTGGGGCTGAGAGAAGGTGGAATATAGCTCACCTTCTTTGCTGTGTGGGGATGAGAGAAGGTGGAGTATAGCTCACCTTCTTTGCTGTGTGGGGATGAGAGAAGGTGGAGTATAGCTCACCTTCTTTGCTGTGTGTGGCTGAGAGAAGGTGGAGTATAGCTCACCTTCTTTGCTGTGTGGGGATGAGAGAAGGTGGAGTATAGCTCACCTTCTTGGCTGTGTGGTGAGAAGGTGGAGTATAGCTCACCTTCTTTGCTGTGTGGGGCTGAGAGAAGGTGGAGTATAGCTCACCTTCTTGGCTGTGTGGGGCTGAGAGAAGGTGGAGTATAGCTCACCTTCTTGGCTGTGTGGGGATGGGTGGAGTACAGCTCACCTTCTTGGCTGTGTGTGGCTGGAGGTGGAGTATAGCTCACCTTCTTAGCTGCGTGGCTGAGAGAAGGTGCAGTATAGCTCACCTTCTTTGCTGTGTGGGGATGAGAAGGTGGAGTATAGCTCACCTTCTTGGCTGTGTGTGGCTGAGAGAAGGTGGAGTATAGCTCACCTTCTTGGCTGTGTGTGGCTGAGAGAAGGTGGAGTATAGCTCACCTTCTTAGCTGTGTGTGGCTGAGAGAAGGTGGAGTATAGCTCACCTTCTTTGCTGTGTGAGAGAGAGGTGGAGTATAGCTCACCTTCTTGGCTGTGCTCATGGCTGAGAGAAGGTGGAGTATAGCTCACCTTCTTGGCTGTGAAGGTGGAATATAAGCTCACCTTCTTTGCTGGATGGCTGAGAGAAGGTGGAGTATAGCTCACCTTCTTGTTTTGAGAGAGAAGGTGGAATATAGTGGCTGAGAGAAGGTGGAGTATAGCTCACCTTCTTGGCTGTGTGTGGCTGAGAGAAGGTGGAGTATAGCTCACCTTCTTGGCTGTGTGTGGCTGAGAGAAGGTGGAGTATAGCTCACCTTCTTGGCTGTGCGTGGCTGAGAGAAGGTGGAGTATAGCTCACCTTCTTAGCTGTGTGTGGCTGAGAGAAGGTGGAGTATAGCTCACCTTCTTGGCTGTGCGTGGCTGAGAGAAGGTGGAGTATAGCTCACCTTCTTGGCTGTGTGTGGCTGAGAGAAGGTGGAGTATAGCTCACCTTCTTGGCTGTGTGTGGCTGAGAGAAGGTGGAGTATAGCTCACCTTCTTGGCTGTGTGTGGCTGAGAGGTGGAGTATAGCTCACCTTCTTGGCTGTGTGTGGCTGAGAGAAGGTGGAGTATAGCTCACCTTCTTGGCTGTGTGTGGCTGAGAGAAGGTGGAGTATGGCTCAGTATAGGTGGAGTAGTATAGCTCACCTTCTTAGGCTGTCACCTTCTTGGCTGTGCGTGGCTGAGAGAAGGTCTGCAGCAGGAACTCCACCACCTTGTCATAGCTCCCAGCTTCATACAGCTTCTGGGTCTCTTCCAAGGACTGGCTGCGCTGGAGGGACTCCTGCTGCTTGTCTACCTGGTCTACAAAACAGGGATAGATTAGACAACTTGGTACCAGAGTGACAGATATATAAACCTGAAGTGTGCCTCTCACTATATATTAAGCATCTCTTGTTTTCCCAGAATAACCTCATTTGAGGATTTTGTTTGCTCTCAGGTTTTACTTGTTGTAAGTAAGACATCTTCCCAGGTTTTACTTGTTGTACCTCTATATGAACATCAACATTCAAATGATATATGAGTGTTTGAAATCAACTGAAAAATATCGTCCAAGATCAATATCAAAGTGCAAATGTTTTCTCAAGCAAGATTGGAACCACATCTTTCAGGTTATTGAGCGGACGCTCTACCTCACGGCCACCAAGCCGACGTAGACGTTGGGGTTGAATTATTTATTTATAGTTACTGTCATTAAATTGAATTTACTTGCGCTTCAGTTATTGTTATGTAGCTTCATTAAATGATCATCTACATCATAATTATCCATCATTGACGGTTTATATGTTAGGGAAAACACTTCCCCTCGGTTTTGGTAGAGAATGTAAAAGCTTGGTAGGAGGGAAATCCCTCCTCCCTAGGTTTTACATTCTCTACCAAAACCTCGACAGTCAGGCTGTGTCATAAACAATTTAGCAAAATCACAAAGAAAGTTAACATTGATCTGGTTAATGAAAATGAAACAGAAAAATGATGTGATGCAAAGCAAGTCATTACCTTTTGATATTACGTCATCCACCTTGCAGTTCTGTAACTTGAAGTATGTGATGTCCTTCTCCTCCTTGGCACAGTCCATTACATAGGAGAGCTGAATCAGATCATACACGCTGATAAGAGGATACAGTCCATCACATTGTGAGTGAATGTAAGGAAAAGAGTGTGCTTTTTCTTGTTTGTACAACGCCCCAATCATTAATATTCCTCCTAAATGGCGGTCTGGACCAGGCAATCCAGTGGTCAACAGCATGAGCATCGGTCTGAGCATGAGCATTGGATACGATGACATGTGTCAACCAAGTCAGTGAGCCTGACCACCCAATCCCGTTAGTCACCTCTTACAACAATCATGGGTTACTGAAGGTTGATTCAGTCCTATGAAAGAGAGAATACAAGTATGTACTTCAACTGAAAACAGTGTTTAGGACTAATTTACCTTGTCGAAGCAAAAGTCAGCTTCATCTTTGTCATTCTGAATCATGGAGAACCTTGCCTTGAGCCAGTACACTGGAAACGAACACGATCACCACTGTCATACAATATTACTTCCCAGATCCAAATTCTTAATTCACACTTTTTTTATTTTATGTAAATATCCATTCAATTTCTGAACAGTAGCAGAAGCTGGTCTCACACTCTCTTACTTTCCTCTAAAAAGTCAAAAAGGGACTAGATGGCATCGAAACTGTGAAGATGGCAACGTCAGAAATGTTGTCCTCCACTCACCTCTGGGGCGGTGGGGTAGCCTAGTGGTTAAAGCGTTGGCTCCTCACGCCGAAGACCCGGGTTCGAATCCCCACATGGGTACAATGTGTGAAGCCCATTTCTGGCGTCCCTCGCCGTGATGTTGCTGGAATATTGCTAAAAGCGTAAAACCAAACTCAGTCAGTCAGTCCACTCACCTCTAGCAGCGTACTCTATCCACACCTCCTTCATCCGACATCTGCTGCCTGCCAGGGTGGTGATATACCACAGGTCTTCTCTGTAGAACTCCTCCATGGCAGCTGGCTCTCCTAAAATTGACTGGATCCCCCTGCAAGATGGAAGATGGCAACTAAAATTATGAGGACTCACATCAAAGGCGAAATAACGAAAAATGCCCATAGCTGCAAATGCTACTACCACGAACAAGTGTCAAAACCTCAATATTTCACCTTTTTCATTAATTAATAACTGAATATAATGGTCAAAGATAAGTCATGAACTATAGTTCACCGTTAAACACTGTTGTGTAAAAGTTGACCGAAATGAATACTTCGCGTTATCCAAGGTGCAGCAAAACCGAAAACGATAAATATATAAGGAATACACAGACTGAACTTTCTCCTAAAAATAATCAAAAGCACTACTCATCAAAGTTTGACTGCACTCTGGAACTTTTCATTTTGTGCGCTTTGAGCATGTCACAGACATGGATATATGCGCTATATAAATAGCCTTTTATTATTATTATTACAAACCCTAGGAACAATCTGGAAAACTATGATTTGATGCATCTCAGATAATGAGTTTAGATATTGCACATTTCAAGACATATCCATTAAAACTGGCCGAATATGATAAGACAGAGGACTGCATCAATAAGGTACCCACCCTCTTGGAGATGTGCCGGAAGTGTTGGAATGTATCGACAGCCAATGGTCCAACTTCAGCTCAGCCCACATCAGACAAATCTACAAACATCAGATGATAGTCCAGTTGTTATACGTATAGATAAAGAGCATGTATACAGTTTTATGTAAGCTTGATACGGCCAACAAAGAAATCTGTTCCTGCAAACTTAGTGTGATGATGATTTAAATGGAGAAGCATGTATAATGTGAATGACCACACCCCTAAAATTTATGTACAATGTATGTCACCAATGACACCCCCCAACCCTTCCCATAATTTTAAAGATGATTTTTTAAATATTTTTATGCACAAAATTGCTGACCCCACCCCTAGTACATGTGTACTGACTGACTAACTGAGTTTGGTTTTACGACGCTTTTAGAAATATTCCAGCAACATCATGGCGGGGGACACCAGAAATGGGCTTCACACATTGTGCCCATGTGGGGATTCGAACCCGGGTCTTCGGCGTGAGGAGCCAACGCTTTAACCATTAGGCTACCCCACCGGCCCTAGTACATGTGTACAAAATTGATGACCCCCTTACCTCCCTGGAACAAAATGGGTGACCCCACCTTAAAATTATCACCACATCCCCTAGCCATAAATTATGAACGGTCCCTTACATCACATAACAGTAAACACAAAGTGCAGACAAAGAATCCATGGTTACTGCCAGTCTATCTCGAGTCTATTTTGTACATTTAACTACTGAAAAAAAAATTCACAGAAGAGCAAAAGGAAAGTAATGCTTCGACTTGTCAACCCTATAAGATTATTTTCTTTTACCCTGGGTATGTATGTTATGTTTTGTTAAACCTGACAATAGTTGATGTTATTTCAATTTCTACTACGAATCCTCTTGAACTAGAACATAACACATCTGAAGTTATCAACTGTTCACTTCTACTTGTATGACATCATGTTACTTACTCGTCCGTACTCGCAGATGTCCTCATCTTTCACATCATCTGCACTCCTGGAAAGAAAAACACAAACTCGGCTCAAATATCACAAATACAGTGAAACAACTCTTTCCACAACCATAAGACTCCTCTGCAAATAGTAGAGTCAATTGTACAACTCTTACTGTGTCATAAGCATGTGTTTACAATCACTATCAAAAAAGTGATGATTCCAGGTGTTTGCAAAGGTAATCATATCCTCCAACATGGGTGCACCCATCATAAACACATGCAAAGGCTAGACAACTATTCACCTGATAAGATCCAGGAACAAAGCTTATTGATATTATTACAATGTTGATCTAAATATAGCCAAAGACCCGGGTTCGAATCCCCACATGGGTACAATGTGTGAAGCCCATTTCTGGTGTCCCCCGCCGTGATGTTGCTGGAATATTGCTAAAAGCGGCGTAAAACCAAACTCAGTCAGTGATCTAAATATAGAAGTGAGGTGAAAAGGAATGAAATGTTGAGTTAAGATTATATTGCACTACTGCACACTAATATATCAAAGTGTATATTAGTGTGTGTGCGTGTCTCTAAATGCATCTACACACTTGACTACTAATATTCATGGTTTTAAGATGTGAACATCTACAATTTGAACATTCCTCCCCCAAAACTGGAGCTTGAGAGTTCACTCACCCAAACACACATGGAAATGTTAGGTGCTGGCGAAGCTTGTCGTACACCTGCACAAACACCTCCCCTAAACCTTCGGGCCTGCAACACAGAGTCAACAGTTATACAGAAGAACAGTGCCACATATAAACACATATCACATGAATTCAGACCAAAGTTTCATAAAATATAAGAGGCAAAAAAAGAAATGTCATAACCTCTGCCTCATCAACACCTTAAGATTATCTGCAAAGAAGAAACTGTGGTTTCAATACAGCAAAACACATTAGGAAGTCATCATGATCAACATTATATGCAATGACCTCCTTCCCATACTGAACAAAAAAAGTTAAGGATCCCGATTATTTTAGGGGTATATTTTTGTTGTCAAGACCAAGTTGACTTAATGTGTACAGTATATCACTGGATTGTTTGGTTAAGACTCGATTAATTACAGACAGACGCCATATAAGATCCGTTGGTATATGACCAGATGGTGGCCACATGAATACGTGCAGACACCTAGTTGCGGGTACCGCAATGTACAGTGAACTTGGACAAAGTACTGTGACTATGTGTCCCAGTCCACCCAACTGTGAATGGGTACCTCGTTAGGATGAGAAAGCAACAATAACTCGGTGCGCCTAGTGGCAGCAAGAGTTGTATACTCCCCAGGGAGTTGAGATTGATAATACGATGTGTTGTTGAGATTGACATCCAAAAATACCAGCGCCATGAGCATGCACCAGTTGCGTGGATATGTACGCTATATAAATATACTAGAATAATAAAAAAAGAAAAAAAATGAATAGAATATAGCTTGAATATAGCTGAGTGTGGCGTAAAACTAAACTCACTCACTCATGATCCCCAAACTGCCAAAAGTCAACATGATATATATGAAATGCTGTTCTTAGCAGCTGTAAGACAGCCAGTAATCACCAAATGTTTGGGCAGTAATCACCAAATGCTTGGGCAGTAATCACCAAATGCTTGGGCCCCACAGCATTAAACCCCCTATGGACTTGCTACTGTACGTACCACTTCATGGTGTGTTTGTCGGTGAGGGTGGTGAGGAAGCGGAACAGGAGATCAATGATGCCGTAGTTCTTGATGGCTTTCTGGATGAACTGTTTCACCTCCTTCTCCTCCGTCGACTCCAGCGGTGCTCCATCAGAGGGGCGTCGTGCTGCTCCTGCATCAAGGCATGGTGTTAATATACAATAGACAATGTAGTAATCCTTTAAACGAAATACGTGGCGAGGTGAAATGGGGTTTAAGGTCGTACTTAAGAATATTTTGCTCATATGACGAGGTGCATGCGTGTGTATGTGTGGCTGCTTGTACAAGCCCAGACTTAAGCTGGTTTTATAGTGCTAGCCCACTGAGATACCATGCCGCAGTTAAGCATGAATACCCAACTCAGACACATTATACTGACTCCAAGCCGATTAGTCCCTGTTTTACCCATTAATGACGAGCACCAGGCAAGGACCAATAAGTACCATATTTTAATCTCTTTTGGTATGACACGGCCAGGGATCGAACCCGCGGCCTTCCGCTCTCCGAGCGGACGTTCTGACCACTACACCACGGAGGTGGTAAATGAAATATGTATGTAAAATCAACTGTTATATGACATTTCATCATCACATTAGTGACCTGCATGTCTGACATCTGGCTCATCAGTCTCACTCAGTATCTAATATGTGAGTACCTCTACTGCTTGGACTGTCCACTGCCATGACACTCAAGTCTGTCTCCTCCATCGTCAACTCCTCCTCATCATCACTCGCCTGCCTGAAAACGTACACATATTACAGTCCATTTGAGTCAGAAACGGGCCGATGAATTGCAAATTTGATCATTGTACAAAATTGCCACATATATATAAATAGTACACATGTTTATCATTTACTAATACCCAACAGCTTTCTTATATTTGAAAATTGTCCGGACTCCACCAAAAAAGTTCTTTAAGAAACTATCATTAAAATTTTTCACTATTTGTTACGAGGGAGGAGTGCAGAGAAAGGGACAGCCAGGTGTGCGACAAAGGATGGAGACAGCACAGCACAGGCTAATGAATCAATAACTTAGTCGGCACTTGTGCACATGCTTCTCTAACACCTGGCTGTCCCTTTCTCTGCACTCCTCCCTCGTAACAAATTGTGAACTGTGTCAAAATTGTAATGATAGTTTCTTAAAGTGGGCATGAATACCCCACTCAGACACATTATACTGACTCCGAGCTGACCAGTCCTTGCGCCAGGCAGGGACCAACAATGAATACAACAAAGAACAGAAATGAGATGGTAGCAATGTGAGTAAACATCACTTTTTTGCAAAAACAATCAAAGATCTGAGAGCTTGCTACTGATACACAAGGACCTGAGGACATTACATAAGAGGTTACATCAGACTCACAGGAGGGACGACGGCAGGAACTTGTACAGCAGCTCCTGCATGTTGATGCTGTCTTCCTGCTTCTTCCGTGATGTGTTGCGAACCTGAGGGTAAAGAGGTCCTGCTGAGGTGGTCTAGCATGAATCATAAAAACATGATCTTCAAGCAAGTGCTTTTGGTATTGTGGATGGTTGGCACTATATGAACAGTTGGTCTGTTTGACTGGACAGCCATGTTGCAAATATTATGAGCATTTCATTATGAGCTAATGTTTCAAGGAGACACTGCATGTGCTCCTTGTGCAGGACCAAAGAGCAAAAACTCCCATAGTCATGCAGCCAAATATGATCACCATCCATTTACTACCCTGACCAACATCGCTAAAAGTCACATGACTTTGGACCTGTGGCCTACACATGGGACCACATACCTCATGCACGAGGCCTAATCATCCCCTAATCCTTGATAAGAAGAATCTTGATTCATCTCTCAACCTCTAATCCTTGATAAGTAGAATCTTGATTCATCTCTCACCCTCTAATCCTTGATAAGTAGAATCTTGATTCATCTCTCAACCTCTAATCCTTGATAAGTAGAATCTTGATTCATCTCTCACCCTCTAATCCTTGATAAGTAGAATCTTGATTCCCTCTAATCCTTGATAAGTAGAATCTTGATTCATCTCTCACCCTCTAATCCTTGATAAGTAGAATCTTGATTCATCTCTCACCCTCTAATCCTTGATAAGTAGAATCTCTGATCATCTCTCACCCTCTAATCCTTGATAAGTAGAATCTCTGATCATCTCTCACCCTCTAATCCTTGATAAGAAGAATCTTGATTCATCGCTCACCCTCTAATCCTTGATAAGAAGAATCTTGATTCATCTCTCACCCTCTAATCCTTGATAAGTAGAATCTCTGATCATCTCTCACCCTCTAATCCTTGATAAGAAGAATCTTGATTCATCTCTCAACCTCTAATCCTTGATAAGAAGAATCTTGATTCATCTCTCACCCTCTAATCCTTGATAAGAAGAATCTTGATACATCTCTCACCCTCTAATCCTTGATAAGTAGAATCTCTGATCATCTCTCACTCTAATCCTTGATAAGTAGAATCTCTGATAATCTCTCACCCTCTAATCCTTGATAAGAAGAATATTGATTTATCGCTCAACCTCTAATCCTTGATAAGAAGAATCTTGATTCATCTCTCACCCTCTAATCCTTGATAAGAAGAATCTTGATTCATCTCTCACCCTCTAATCCTTGATAAGAAGAATCTTGATTCATCTCTCACCCTCTAATCCTTGATAAGTAGAATCTTGATTCATCTCTCACCCTCTAATCCTTGATAAGATGAATCTTCATTCATCTCTCACCCTCTTATCCTTGATAAGTAGAATCTCTGATCATCTCTCACCCTCTAATCCTTGATAAGTAGAATCTTGATTCATCTCTCACTCTAACTTGTTAAGTAGAATCTCTGATCATCTCTCACTCTAATCCTTGTTAAGTAGAATATCGAATCATCTCTCTCACCCTTGCAGATCGCCTCTTCATCCCAGCATCCTCAATCGGAATGCTGACCCGCTTCCTCTTGGCGCCGAGCCGCCCTGCTGTCAGACCCCGTCCCAAGTCCCGGGACACGGGGTTGGGGTGATCCTGCAGAGCCACTGGGGACAGAGTGGATTGTTGAAGGAGAGGAGCTACTCACATACATCAGGAAATAATCCAGAAATCATTTATTACGAAAATATTAGGGCAACAAACACTACAGCCACAGCAAGTTAGCTCAATTGTTTATACAGTTCACAATAAAATGTCAACAGATACAGATACACAAGCTGACGAAACTTCTTCCCAATAATGAGCATGACAATAGTACTGATTTCACTCTTTCAATAACGAAGTTCAGTTCTACACTGTCAGCTTAGTCAGTTCTTTGGACAGTGTATGACAGGATGACATAAAAGGTATCCCTCTGGTAATAAAGACGTTAACTGTCAGTCTAGTAAGATCTAATGACAGTGTATGACAGGATGACATTACAGAGATCCCTCTGGTAATAAAGACGTTAACTGTCAGTCTAGTAAGATCTAATGAAAGTGTATGACATGATGACATTACAGAGATCCCTCTGGTAATAAAGACGTTAACTGTCAGCTTAGTAAGATCGAATGACAGTATATGACAGGATGACATTACAGAGATCCCTCTGGTAATAAAGATGTTAACTGTCAGTCTAGTAAGATCTAATGAAAGTGTATGACAGGATGACATTACAGATATCCTCTGAAAGTGTATGACAGGATGAATAAAGATGTTAACTGTCAGTCTAGTAAGTGATCTAATGAAAGTGTATGAGTCTAGGATGACATTATGAGAGATGACATTACCTCTGGTAATAAAGATGTTAACTGTCAGTCTAGTAAGATCTAATGAAAGTGTATGACAGGATGACATTACAGATATCCTCTGGTAATAAAGACGTTAACTGCCAGTCTAGTAAGATCTAATGAAAGTGTATGATAGGATGACATTAGAGATATCCTCTGGTAATAAAGACGTTAACTGTCAGTCTAGTAAGATCTAATGAAAGTGTATGACAGGATGACATTACAGATATCCTCTGTTAATAAAGACATTAACTGTCAGTCTAGTAAGATCTAATGAAAGTGTATGACAGGATGACATTACAGATATCCTCTGGTAATAAAGATGTTAACTGTCAGTCTAGTAAGATCTAATGAAAGTGTATGACAGGATGACATTACAGAGATCCCTCTGGTAATAAAGATGTTAACTGTCAGTCTAGTAAGATCTAATGAAAGTGTATGACATGATGACATTACAGAGATCCCTCTGGTAATAAAGACGTTAACTGTCAGTCTAGTAAGATCTAATGACAGTGTATGACAGGATGACATTACAGATATCCTCTGGTAATAAAGACGTTAACTGTCAGTCTAGTAAGATCTAATGAAAGTGTATGACAGGATGACATTACAGATATCCTCTGGTAATAAAGACGTTAACTGTCAGTCTAGTAAGATCTAATGACAGTGTATGACAGGATGACATTACAGATATCCTCTGTTAATAAAGACGTTAACTGTCAGTCTAGTAAGATCTAATGACAGTGTATGACAGGATGACATTACAGATATCCTCTGGTAATAAAGACGTTAACTGTCAGTCTAGTAAGATCTAATGACAGTGTATGATAGGGGGTACTGCTCCACATCCAAAGGGGCGATCAATAATGGAAAGATGTCACACACATGTCACAGCAGTCAAATAGAGATGCACACTGGACAATGACACCCAGCTCCAACAGATGGATGAGCCACTGGGTTGACAATTAACACATCACCTGTCTTCACCAGGTCGTTTGATTGTTGTTTAACGCAGCACTCAGCAGTATTCCAGCTGTATGGCAGCAGTCTGTAAATAATCGAGTCTGGACCAAACAATCCAGGGATTGACATCATATGATGACATGTGTCAATCAAGTCAGCAAGCCTGACAATCCGATCCCTTTAGCTGCCTCTTACTGCAAGTATGGGTTTGTAATTGGGATCTTCACAGGTGGTCAGGAAGTAGAGAAAACAACTGGGTTGACACAACAGACTTATAACCTGTAACCTACCTTCAGCAGGTAATGGGAAGGACTGTGTGGACACAACAGACTCCGGTGACTGCTTCATCAACCCTCCTGACATAAAACCGGCAGAAGCTGTGAGCCTCTGGGGAGATAGTTGAGTGGGCATCTGGGCCAGGGCGATGAGGGTGTGAGCTGCAGCCTGCTGTGCCATCATCTGGTTGTCCTCCGGGCTGAGAGTGGTGTGGCCTCCAGCGGATGTTGCCTGTAGAGGAATAGCTGTGGACAGATGTCTGGAGATTGTACTCTGGAGAGGAACTGTCTGGATGGGAGATGTCTCTTTCGTGCTTGAAACATATGTTGAGGTTTGTAGAGGGTATGACACATGGACAGGCGACAAGAGGGTTTTGGATGTTGGAGAAATATGGACAGGTATCTCAGTAGGATGAGCATCACCAGCTGCTAGCATTAGTGGATAATTATATGCATGAGGTTGAGCTGGAGGCTGGGTCAAGGCCAGAGTCAGAAGAGACTGAGATTTAGATGCCGTGGCTTCCAGAGGTCTGGATGGTGGCGACCTTGGGAAAGGGTTCCGTTGGAGGATGTCTGGTGTCACAGGAGCGGAGTGGGATTTAGGGGAAGCCACCAGTTGTACAGGACTGAGGAGTCCAGGTGTCAGAGGAGGTGAACGCATCTTTGGATTAGGAACCTGAATTCGAAGTTCAGGTGGGACGGCGGTGGTAAGCAGCAGGTTGCTCTTGGGGGTGCTAAACAACTGAGTTGCTGATGTTGGGTGCGGCTTGGTGAGGTGGGGGTCATCAACTGCCCCTACAACATGAGGATGACCCAGCATACCTCTCATGATGGGTGTCTTAGCAGCATCTGATGCAGAGGTAGGCAACTTGGACACAGGAACTATTGATGTTGTAACCGTGGCTACTGGAGACTTGGAACCCGGAACTATTGATCCTGGAAGTGTAGATACAGGCGACTTGGACATGGGAACATTTGATGCTGTAACCATGGATACTGGAGACTTATAACCTAGAACTATTGATCCTGGAACTGTTGATACAGGCGATTTGGAGACAGGAACAGTTGGTGCTATATCCATGGATACTGGAGACTTATAACCTAGAACTATTGATCCTGGAACTGTGGATACAGGCGACTTGGACACAGGAACAGCTGGTGCTATATCCATGGATACTGGAGACTTATAACCTAGAACTATTGATCCTGGAACTGTGGATACAGGCGACTTGGACACAGGAACAGTTGGTGCTATACCCATGGATACTGGAGACATGGAAGCTGGAACTATAGTTCCTGGAGCTGTAGATACAGGTGACTTCAACACTGGAACTGTTGAGCCTGAAGCTAAGGCAACTGGTGAGCTGGACACAGTTGCTGTCTGAGAATCCTGCCCCATTGTTGACTTCTGACTCTGACTCGTCACAGTTATAACAATAGCCTCCGAAATTGGCACAGCGAAAGGTAACACAGTGTCTGTCCTCTCAGACACGTCACCCACCTGTGACTGACTCGGTGAAGCGTCCAGTCCATCTGATATGGCATACACATCTCCATCATCATCCATGGCCTCGGCCAACACCCCCTTCACCTCCTCCTTCACCTCAGTCTTTATCTCTGCCACTACAGGTGGAACCTTCACAGGTGTGTCCACAGTTTCCATAGCCAGAGCTGCCACCTCAGTAGTATCCATTGGAACTATTTCAGCTTTAATCTCATCGGGCACAGGTTCCTCTTTCACAACTGGAGCTTGTGTATCTGTTTTAGCTTCAGATTGTTTCTCATGATCATCCTTCTTGTCAGTGTCTGCAGGTGGCCTGATGTCGCCATCAACCACATCAAACAGTCCATCAACATCCATACTCAAATCTGCCTCTTTGCCATTTGCTGCTTCTGGTATCTCAGTAGAGTCCTTGGTGACAGATTTACTTTCATTGTCCTTGTCATTGTCTCCCCTAGCCTCCTCCTTGTACTCAGACATGTCAACTGGCATAGACAGGCTCTGGAACAGAAATGATCAGGAGTTACCTCACCTTTTGGTCAATATATGGAATGTGTTTTTGGTTTTTCATATTTAACACTCAGCAATAATCCATCTGTATGAAGGTCTGTAAATAATCGTGTCTGCACCACACTATCCAGTGATCAACATTATGAGCATTGATCTGTGAAGTCAGCAAGCAAAGGCGGATCCAGGAATTTTCAAAGGAGGGTTTCAGGGGGTTCGAACGCCCTGAACCCCCTCTTCTCTCCGCCAGTGCAAACCATTAACTTCTATGTGGTCTTTAGTCATTTTCAAAAGGGATCCACCAATGGCAAGTCTGACCACATGATCCTGTTAGTCGCCTCTACGACAAGCATGGGCTGCTGAGAACCAATTCCAACCCAGATATTAACCCAGATCTTCTTGGGTCTGATCATGTGTTACCTCCCCTAATGGTCGATAGACTGAATGAATGAAACAAGCTACAAATGTCCACACTAATTTGGACATGTCTCTCAGGACCAGACTGATTGGTCAATAAACCTATTGCAAGCAGCAAATTGTTTTCCCGGGAACAATTTGACCTCTGATAATTGTATTCCAACATGATTACATTTCACACAAAACAATAAGAAAACTTTGTTCTATTTGTAAAATTTGCTGCTGTTATTTTTAACATGAATGGATATATATTAATGAATATTACTAATTAACATAACAGTTGTAATATAACTGGACCCGTGGAGTGATGCTACTCACCAATGGAGGGTCTGCCCGGGTAGCATGGTTGTAGAGAGCTATAAGAGCCTCCCCTACTGACTTCCATCTGTCAGACAAAACCATCACCAGTTAACAAGTTTCTTTCTTTGATATACTGAGGGAAAAAAATTAGGGATCACATGAAAGCACAAGTGTTCCTGTATTTTTTTCCAGGTTTCTTTACAAGCTATGCGATTCAAAGCTTGTACTTTTTCATGATCCCTTTTTTTATTCCCTCAGTATATATGCACATTGTAGGGACAGTGGGGTATCCTTGTGGCTTGTCACGCCAAAGACCTGGGTTAGATTCCCACATGGGTATAATGTGTGAAGCCCATTTCTGGTGTCCCCGTGATATCGCTAACTAAAAGCAGTGTAAAACCCAACTCATTCACTCCACACAGCAAGATACAGATACAGCAAGCTACAATGAAATGTACTGAAGTCTAATCAAGATCTTACTGACACAAATACACCTAAAACATGTGACAGAAAATAAGAGACTGAACATTAATTAAACAGATACATATTACTATAAAAGCAACAGCTTTATTGTTGTAATCAATGAGTGAGTGAGTATAGTTTGATGCCATATTCCAGCAAGATTATGGCAGGGCACTTAAGAAATTGGCATGACAGATTGTACCTAGTGGGGAATCAAACCAGGGTCTTCGGCTTGACATATGAACATTTAAACCACTAGGTTACCCCACCACCCCATGTTGTAAGCAACAAACAGGATTAGACGAGATGCTTCATACATATAAGTATCATAGTTGGTAGGTTGTTGTTTAACACCGCACTCAGCTATATTCCAGCTATTAGTGGTGGTCCGATTAATTGAAATAATCGAAGATTGGTCGTAGTGACTAAACGACCAAGCAATCGATCATAATTTCTCATAATCGAACACAAACAATTCTGGAACACTTGTTTTCATTAACAATATTTTTCACATGGTTGGTTTTGTCTGTTACATTTCGTAAGCACTACAAGCTCGTTTCAAGTCATGATTGAATTTATCTTAAAGATTCCCCTAACATACTAGTCATCCTTTAAAGATGTGAAATTTGGCCAAAAAACCCCAGAAGAACTACATTTGTCCCCCTTTATTTTAATGTGCATTAACAAATTTCATAAATGACGCTAACCAATTATTTGCGATGATTGATCGGTAGTAATGAACCAATCATCAATTATGAGATTTTAACCAATTCCCAACACTACCAGCTATATGGCGGCAGTCTGTAAATAATAGAGTCGGGACCAGACAATCAAGTGATCAATATCATAAGCATCGATCTACACAATTGGGACACAATGAGATGTGTCAACCAACTCAGCGAGCCTGACCACCCGATCCCGTTAGTCGCCTCTTACGACAAGCATGGTTACTGAAGACTAACAAGTATCATATGCATAGAAGGATAATATATAAAAGGATCAGAGTCACCTGAACAGAAATAATTCCCCTTTGTATTCAACTCAAGTTTTATGTAAGTTATCAATATTATTACGTGTTCGATTCAATCCTCTCTGGAAACTTGATGACTGGGGGTGGAGGTTTCTTGGCAAGTTCTCGCTTCTTCCTCCGCATGGCTAGAGCTTCCTCCACATACTGCAAGTGACCATGAGAAGTAGATCTATAAGCAACTGAGCCATTCAACTCCAGATAATAATAGAACACTTCAAGTTTGGATCAACATTTTCATCAAGAGGCTTTAGGATTCATGCTGTTCCTTACAGTATCATATCTCAGTATCAAAGCATTCCAAAGAATGAGTGAATGAGGTGATGACGTCAGGTGATGCCTTCAAGTACTGAGGATAGGTTCTGCCCCAGAATACCAACAAAACAAATGCCTGACTGCTTCAGTTTTATGCTGCACTCAGCAATATTCCAGCTATATGGTGCCTGTCTGTATATAATCTGGACCAGACAATCCAGTGATCAACAACATGAGCATCAATCTACGCAATTGGGATACGATGACATGGTCAACCAAGTCAGCAAGCTTGACCACCCAATTCTGATAGTCGCCTCTTATGACAAGCATGGGTTACTAAAGATCAATTTTAACAAGGATCTTCATGGGTCTTTGACTTCTGAGAGAATAAATCTGCAACACAATATTGAACATCTGCTTGCTATATTTGTTTGTTTGTTGTTGAACACAACTGGTATATGATGGCAGTCTGTAAAGAATTGACTCCACACCAGACAATCCAGTGATTGATATCCTGGGGATTGATCTACGCACTTGGGATACAATAATGTGTGTCTACCAATCCCGTCAATTGCCTCTAAAGGGAATCATGGGTTGCTGAAGATCAGTTCTTCACAGATATCTTAAATATGTGATTAGTGGCAGTGCAAAAGGCAATTTGTAATAACTGTTATCTGTACCTCTTCTGCGTCCTCCTTGTCCAGCTTCATGGTGAAGATGATAGGGTCACTGTTGGGGAAATCACAGAAATATTTAAACGTGTATGCTGGCTCCTCTTGTTATCTATTTCCATAGAATATAGACCAACCATAATGTGCAAATATATATCCCAACCATAATGTGCAAATATATATCCCAACCATAATGTGCAAATATATATCCCAACCATAATGTGCAAAAATATAGACCAACCATAATGTGCAAAAATATAGACCAATGGAAATCTTTACGAGAAAATGGAAATTTAATAAAATAGTAAAAACAAGTAGATCAACAAGGGAAGAGAATTGGGACAACATGGGAATAGATGTGAGAAGGTCAACATGGGAAGATAAATTATAGTTATTGTTTGATGAGACTTTGGCATCCAATTTGCACAGCCTAGAGCTCACCAGTACATGAACATATCCTTGGAGTCTTGTCTGAGGGAAGGTTGTTCTCGGAACATCTCCTCTCTCAGGGCAATCCCCTTCTCATAGTGACAGTCCTTCTCTAGAGCTTTGGCAATGTAGTACAGGCACCCTGTAAAGTCATCATCATCATCATCATCATCATCATCATCATCATCATCATCATGGTAATAGCTCAAGTCAGAATAACAGTAAACCTGTCCACTATGATTTATAGTGAGTGAGTATGATTTTATGCCGTTTTTAAGCAATATTCCAGCAAATATCACACTGGGGGACACCAGACATGGGCTTCACACATTGTACCCATGTGGGGAATTGAACCCAGGCCTTCGGCGAGACCAGCGAACGTTTTAACCACTAGGCCACCCCACCGTCCCTACACTTGATGTGTGAGGAAAGCGACTGGAATAGTGCTGAAAGGTCTCACTCGCTCACACTTCTTGGAAGCCATGCCCAGGGTGGGTTACAATTCTTGCATCAATATTAAAAAAGATTCAACAATACCTTGACCAAGAATACATAGGTATATTTGGTACACACAGTACAGATAAACACTTACGCCAGTAATCATTCAAGGCGTATGACACCGGGATCACGTGATCCAAACATGGCCAGTGATTGGGATTGCATTGTAGGCCCTGCAATAAATACAACAATATTTTCACAGCTGAACTCACACATAAAAACATCGTTTCCATTTAACAAGATCACAAATGGTAAATGTCAAATCTACAATATGGTTTCCATGCCAACAAGATGAACTGAAGTTTGTTTTTAGTTTATGCAACATCCAGCAATAGTCCAGCCATATGATGGCAGCTGGTAAATAACCGAATCCCGTGATAGCTATTGTGATCCTTGATATCAGGATGTCAACCAAGGCACTGAGCCTGACCACACTGCCCATTTGGTCACCTCTCCTGACCAGCATTGGTAGCTGTCAATTCATTCAAACTCACAAGTGAGTGAGTGAGTGAGTGGAGACTTCACGCCAATAGTGAGTTTGGTTTTACAAGTCTGGACCAGACAATATTCCAGCTATTTGGCGGTGGTCTGTAAACAATCAAGTCTGGACCAGACAATGAAGTGATCAACAGAATGAGCATCAATCTTCGCAATTGGGAACCAATGGCATGTATCAACCAAGCCAGCGAGTCTGACCACCCGATCCCGTTATTCGCCTCTTACGACAAGCATGGGTTACTGAAGGTTCATTCTAACCCGGACCTTCGACGGTCACAAGAGAGTGAAACAGATGGTTTTAACACTGTTTGAACAGTATTCCAGCTATATCAAGGTGTTTTAACACTGTTTGAACAGTATTCCAGCTATATCAAGGTGTTTTAACACTGTTTGAACAGTATTCCAGCTATATCAAGGTGTTTTAACACTGTTTGAACAGTATTCCAGCTATATCAAGGTGTTTTAACACTGTTTGAACAGTATTCCAGCTATATCAAGGTGTTTTAACACTGTTTGAACAGTATTCCAGCTATATCAAGGTGTTTTAACACTGTTTGAACAGTATTCCAGCTATATCAAGGTGTTTTAACACTGTTTGAACAGTATTCCAGTTATATCAAGGTGTTTTAACTTCATGCATGAGGAAACCGAAATGTGACCATCACCACTTTGGTGAATCCCATAACTATGGTGTCGACACTACTAGATACATTATGGGGGTGAACCAGGATTCGTACCCAAGATCATAAACTTTTGTCATATCAAAGAGACGAAAATCAGCACTATGAACTGGATTACTGGGCCATCAGTGCTTTCTATTCAGAAATCCTCGCAAGGTTTAACGGTTAAAATCTTTTCATATCATAATGTTATATGTACCTGTTGTTCAGGAGGTTCGGAGGTGAGGGAGGTTTGAGGTGAGGTGAGAGGTGAGGTGAGGTGAGGTGAGGTTGGAGGTTCGGAGGTGAGGTTGAGGTCTAGGAGGTCTCGGAGGGAGGTGAGGTGGGGTGAGGTGAGGTGAGGTGAGGTGGGGAGAGGTGAGGTGAGGTGAGGTGAGGTGAGGTGAGGTGAGGTGAGGTGAGGAGAAATTGGGTTAACGTCGTTCTTGAGAATATTTCGCTCATATGACGACGTGCATGCGTGTGTATGTGTATGTGCGTTTGCTTGTACTAGCCCAGACTGAAGCTGGTTTTATAGTGCTAGCCCACTGAGGTACGTACCTGTTCAAATGCCAGCCTAGAGAGAGAGTAGTCATGTATCTTCAGGCCAATAGTTCCAATCTTGTACCACACAGTCACTTCACTGGAGTCGATCTTCACTGCCTGAAAATACAACCTTGCAATGTATACTTTGTGAACATGTTTAGTGTATGAAAGTACTTTTTCTATGCCATGTTGTGTGGTAACTACGATGAAAAGCAAATTCATACAATTAAGTGGTAAAGGACTTTCCAAGACAAAATGAAACATAATATAGTTACCTCCAGGTAGGACTTCATGGCAGCTTGTAGGTCTCCCCTCTCTGCAGCGATGGCCGCCAAGTTCTTGTGGATGGAGTACAGCAGCTGAAGGCCGGGATGGACCACATTGTCCAGCTCCTCCTCCACGATACGGGCAGCCTAGGGGCATGGACATACGTGGGTCAGTCAGGCTTTACACCACGTGGATCAATGTTTCAGTAATAGCACAGCATGTTGCGACATTACAGCGGGAGGAAACCAGCGAGGCAGGGCGTACATGTTATTACTTTAGAGAAGTCTAAAGCATAGGTATGATGCTGACAAACAAGATCTTGATATAGTGAGGTGTAACTGTGACAAAGGGTGCAACAAGGGGTGCAACTATTGGTTCAGCTGAGGGTGCAACAAGGTGGTCGACAAAGGATTCGACAAAGGGTGCAATTAAGGGTGCAACTCTTGGTTCAGCTGAGGGTGCAACAAGGGGCGACAAAGGGTGCAATTAAGGGTGCAACTCTTGGTTCAGCTGAGGGTGCAACAAGGGGTGCAACTCTTGGTTCAGCTGAGGGTGCAACACAAGGTTCGACAAAGGGTGCAATAAGGGGTGCAACTCTTGGTTCAGCTGAGGGTGCAACACGAGGTTCGACAAAGGGTGCAACTAGGGGTTCTACTGAGAGTGAAACTGGGGGTTCTGCAAGGGCTGCAACAAAGGGAGCAACTGTGAGTGCAACTATCGGTTCAGCTGAGGGTCAACTAGTTGTTTAGGGTCCACTAAAGTTCAGCTGAGGGTCCAGCTAATAGTTCAGCTGAGGTTGTAACACTTAGAATCTAAACAGTCACTTGAGTAAGGTCAATAGATTAAAACACTGAAGTTGAAACCAGTTACAAATGTTTCCTGGTTTTACTCATCTGCATTTTGTTTCAGAAAAGACTGAAAGCATGTGAAAACGATACCCCTTGTAGGAGGACAACATGTGGATAGACCAGGTTAGAATAGGCCCATATCAACCTCTGCTTGTGGTACGCAACCAAAATAATAATCATGATAATAGACCTGATAGTCAGGATCAGTGATTGTGTCTTTGTACCCCATTGTTCATAACATCAGTCAGTGTTTGTCTGGTCCAGACAACATATATGCTATCATCACACATAACATACCTCAATCAGGAAATCATGAGACACAAGATCCTGCAATGTCTGTTCCGCTCCGCTGACATCTCCCTCCTGCTGGAGACTGAGTGCCCGGCTGTACAGGCTGAAGGCTTCAGCTTCCTGTGGTAACACAGTGAATCAGGGCTCGAGAAAATGTTTAGAGAACCATTTTCTAACTAATTATCACTCACTTTGGGTATTGATTCTTTACTTTCTTGGTATTCAATACATATTTACTCACTAGGGTACTTTTACAACAATGACTAAACATGGCATAAATTATATACCTTAGGCTTAAAATACACAATATTTACATTCTGCTACATTTATGATTTTCAAGGTGGCTTCTAAATAGTATTATATATGTCCATGTACTGCACAAAGCATGTAAAACACTGCATACACTCACAACAGTGATATACACTTCTAATTAACCCCTAATAGTCCTTTGTGACAGATATTTCTTAAACTTGATTTAACTGTTCTTGTCCATATGGCTGAAACACTGCCCACGTGATGGCAAAATGAACTCACTCACTCACTTTAATAGTCCTCATAAATTGACTCAATGTTTTCGACACTGCACAATACATATTCGTTCGTAATCTGTAACTTATTCAACCAAAGAAAATGATTACCTTATCATGAAACATGACAGGAATTTAAATATGGTTAGAACTGTCATTTGTTAGTTAAACAAATAAACATGGTGTACTTCTGTCTACAAACCTTGGCCTCTCTTGTGGTGGCGGCATGCTGGGAGTAGGTAGTGTTGTCATCACCACTGTCACTCTCATTCAAGGCAGCAATACGGAACTGAAATAACGGAATGGATTAAACAAGAACTAAAACTTAGACAAGTCAATACTCTTCAGGTCAAATTTCTGCGTTCAATATTTAATGCACAACCGATTTTACAACTTCGAGTTTCTTGCTACACTGGTAATGCAACACGTCAACTGAAACTCCTGTTGACAAACACACGACATAAACAATTCCACGAGATTCAATCTGAGAGTCACGTAGATTTCAGGTAAACAAATTGATAGTTTTTAAGATATTGAAAGCTAAAAAGGTGAACAGTTGCCATAGGAATAAGCCTTGCTTATTTCAAATAGCCAGCAGTCTGCAGACACTCGGTTTAGTTTACTTGAAATGACACCAATAAAATTACAAAAAAATAGCTGCTAACCATTCTTTATTTCGTTGACATTCGGCTTCTCCGCCTGCCATTAACACAAAGAGTTGTCACATTGGAAAACGTTTCATAACGATGAGGAAAATGCATTCATAACAGCACGAAACTACTCCTTTGTTTCGTCGTCGTTCGTCAGTCCCGCGGACAGCGCCATATTGAAAGCGGTGTACACTGAAAGTGTAACTTCCTGTTTGTGAGTTACGGTGTCGGCTATAAATGCTCCCCGTGCGAGAAAGGGCAGCCCGGACGCTTGTCCTATTTACATGTGATTAAACGACCATTCGCATCACTGAGGATGTTTATGTTGGGTTCGAATCATTGGCACATCATGCTCTAATTTAACGTAAACAATATAATAAAAAAAGTTTCAAAATGTTTTGATGTTTATTTTTAAAAATGTCGTGTTTCAAAATGTTCACATTAATATTTCGAAGTAAAGCTAGATCTACCACAATTTCGTTTGGGTTTTTTCAAATGGAAGTTGAATTCTTTTGCGGAATACGCTCTAAAAACTCAGTAACATTGTGCGTAACTATGCATACGCTGAACAAAATGTGATTTGGAAATCGACATATATATAATATGTATTAGGTTCTAAACAATAAGTACCCGTGAAGATCCGGGGTAGAATAGGTCTTCAGCAACCCATTCTAGTCATAAAAGGCGACTATGCTTGTCGTAAAAGGCGACTAACGGGATCGGGTGGTCAGGCTCGTTGACTTGGTTGACACATGTCATCGGTTCCCAATTGAGCAGATCGATGCTCATGCTGTTGATCACTGGATTGTCTGGTCCAGACTCGATTATTTACAGACCGCCGCCATATCGCTGGAATATTGCTGAGAGCGGCGTAAAACTAAACTCACTCACTCACTCCTCTAAACAATAAGAACAGTATTCCACGGCACTTTGATTTCTTTGTATGGCAGGGTACATCAGTTAATAGGAAATTAATGTCAGCCTAAATATATGGAATTTACGAAGGTGAAAGTGTACCATTTAATTTCCCATGTCGGTAATTGCAAGCTAATATCTGTTTTGTGAAATTGCATGTGAGTGAGTGAGTGAGTAAGGTTTTATATTATATACGCCGCTTTCAGCAACATACACCAGAAATGGGCCTAACATGGTAAGAGCGGTGACTGAAAACCTCTCTACCTAACGGGATCGGGCGGTCAGACTCACTGACTTGGTTGACACATGCCATCGTATCCCAAATGCGTAAATGTATGCTCATCACTGGATTGTCTGGTCCAGACTCCATTATTTACAGACCGCCGCCATGTAACAGTGGACTATTCCTGAGTGCGGCGTAAAACTAAACTCACTCACTTGCTGTTTGAAGCTGATAGATCGGTCATAAAACACACTGAAAATTCATCAGTTGCAATTGACGAGCGTTGGTCGTTTCTGACCTCCAATCCAAACATGTCATGCAGAAATACATTTTAAGTCTATACTGACTGAGTTTGGTTTTACGCCGCTTTTAGCAATATTCCAGCAACATCTCGGCGGGGGACACCAGAAATAGGCTTCATACATTGAATCCATGTGGGGACTCGAACCCGGGTTTTCGGCGTGACGAACCAACGCTTTAACCACTAGGCTACCCCACCGCCCTCTGAAGTCTATAACCATACATAGTTTTACCCTTGTTTGCAATTTGTTAGTTTAGCATCGTTTAATGCACTTTGTAAAGGGAAGGTTCACATAACCATATTTGCTGATGAAGCAATGCCTCTGTTTGTTGCTTTACGCCACATTCAGCGATATTCCAGCACTCACAAAGGATTGATGGCGGTTTCGAACAGTCAAACCAGTGATTGATATAATGAACAATAACTCCCGTCACTGAGATATTGAAACATTTAACCCACCTGGAATCCATCATGGTCGGTGTAAGAACAACCCCGTCATGAGGACGGCCCTCTGCGAAAAGTACAATCTCAGAATAGAAAACACATATTGGAAAAGGCTTATTTGACTGTTTATGAACACGATTTACATTTTGCATTACATGTTGCTATATGAAATGAGTCACCACTGTCATCAAATCGTTTTTCACGAAGTACATTCAAAGACGTAACTGGTTTCCTTGAACTAGTACATGTGTACATTTGGTTTCGACGGTATAAGGCGGAAATAATGCTGATGCGATGTAAAATCTTAGCTCACTCACTAACTCACTGAACTAACGCGCCATAACCTGATTTGAATACTGATGACAGATGCATCAAATCCAGCTTACTCGGCATTTTGTAATGAGCAACATTGACCTTTACTCAAGGATTTTATACGAACATTATTATGTTTAATATGGAACACGTTTTTATGGATAACAACTTCTTTATTTCGTGAGTGCGACGTTTCGATACAGATTATTGTACCGTTGTCAAGCAAGAGTGATACATGAAGTGGAGGAGCTGCATATATATACTGTATATAACAATGAAACAACATACATTGTAATTGAGAAAGGAAACAACAATTACAATGTATGTTGTTTCATTGTTATATACAGTATATATATGCAGCTCCTCCACTTCATGTATCACTCTTGCTTGACAACGGTACAATAATCTGTATCGAAACGTCGCACTCACGAAATAAAGAAGTTGTTATCCATAAAAATGTGTTCCATATTGTACGTCTCACCTTCTAAAAATGCCACTCAAACAAATTATTATGTTTATTCTGGAAAGGAGACATACAGCGGGTGGCCATATTATTACGTACAAACATGGCGGACCGATCGTTGACGACAAATTTACGCGGGAGTTCAAAGTGTCATAACTCGTTAAATATAAACAGTCTTACCTCAGTATTTTGTGATATGTCCCTTGTTCCTTATTATTTTCAACATCCGCCTTGGAATCGATGAATAAAGATTTCTGATGACAACAAGGGGAATATTTTCCCAGATGTCCCGCACTTCGCGTTCCAAGTCGGCAGCCGACTGAATGTTTCTTCGGCGTCCCTGCAGTCTATTCTACAGGTAGAGCCAACAGTTCTCAATAAATTTGCGTCTGGACTGTGCAGGCCACAACATTCCAGTAATGTCATTTTGTCGCTTGTAATCCTGAACGACACGGGCCCGATGTACAGGGGCGTTGTCATCTTGGAAGATGTACCGGTTTCCCGGAAAATGTCTTGCTATAACGGGCCAAAGCATATCATCGAGGATTCCTGTGTATTTCTGAACATTTATGTTGCCATTAACAACACAAATGGCACCAACACCATGACAGGTGATACAAGCCCACACCATCACACTGACGCGTGGCTGTCGTCCCGGACAAAGACATTGCGGGAGGTATTCTTTTCCAAACAAAAACACGATTGTTTTCCCCAATGATAATTTTACACTCGTCAGAGAAGATCACTCGATTCCAGTAATGATTCACTGTACGATATCGTTGCCCCCTTACCCAGGCCAAACGATTTCTGACATTATAGTCACGAAATTCGGATTTTCTTTCTAACAACACGTCTATGAAAATTATTTTCATATAATCGTCTCCTTACAGTCCTCACCGATACATCGGCTTGCAGCCCTCCCGCGGACAGCGCCATATTGAAAGCGGTGTACACAGTGTAACTTCCTGTTTGTGAGTTACGGTGTCGGCTATAAATGCCCCCCGTGCGAGAAATGCCCGGACGCTTGTCCTATTTACTGATTAAACGACCATTCGCATCACTGAGGATGTTTATGTTGGGTTCGAATCATTGGTCTATTTAACGTAAACAATATAATAAAAAAAAGTTTCAAAATGTTTTGATGTTTATTTTTCAAAATGTCGTGTGATTACCAAAATTTCGTTTGGGTTTTTCAAATGGAAGTTGAATTCTTTTGCGGAATCGCTCTAAAAAGGTAAATTGTGCGTAACCTATTAAGTCTCCTGACCAACCTCAAAAGTTGTCGATTGTCCTAACGGGAGGAGTCAGTTTTCTCATACGGCCTGTTCTGGGAGCATTCTTGACTGATTGTCGTCCATTAATCCGCTTCACCACCGCCATATCGCGCTGCTCTGAGGCATTCTAAAGAATCTTGCAATGTTAGAACATTTTTCCACGCCACTTTGATTTCTTTTATGGCAGGGTACATCAGTTAATAGGAAATTAATGTCAGCCTAAATATATGGAATTTACTACCATTTAATTTCCCATGTCGGTAATTGCAAGCTAATATCTGTTTTGTGAAATTGCATGTGAGTGAGTGAGTAAGGTTTTATATTATATACGCTGGGCTCTAACATGGTAAGAGCGGTGCTGAAAACCTCTTACCTAACGGGAAGATTCACTCTTGATTGACACATGCCATCGTATCCCATTAAATGTATGCTCATCACTGATTGTCTGGTTCAGACTCCATTACTTACAGGCTGCCGCCATGAAACAATGGACTTCGTAAACATAACAAATCAGCTGATGAAGCAATCCTCTGTTTGTTGCCGCCAAATCAGCGCCAGAATCATGTAGCATTGACGGTTTCGACAGACGACAAATAGATTGATATAAAACAGAGTCACGTGACAGACACATGACATCATGGTCGATCATGTGACACAATCATGACGATACGCGGTGTCGTTTCTGAGTAGCAGTATTTTAAAACGGAACACTATATATTTTGCATTACCGTTACAATTGTATGTAATGATGGTCACCACTGTCATCAAATCGTTTTCACGTAAGTACATTCAATGACGTAACTGGTTTCCTTGAACTAGTATATGTGTAAAATTTGGTTTCGACGGTATAAGGCGGAAATAATGTTGATGCGATGTAAAATCTTAGCTCACTCACTAACTCACTGAACTAACGCGCCATAACCTGATTTGATACTGATGACAGATGCATCAAATCCAGCTTACTCGGCATTTTTTGAGTACCTTTACTCAAGGATTTTATACAACATATGGAACACTATGGATAACAACTTCTTTATTTCAAGTGCGATTTCGATAGATTATTGTACAAGCAAGAGTGATACAATGGAGGAGCTGCATATATATACTGTATATAACAATGAAACAGCATACATTGTAATTGAGAAGTTGTTATCCATAAAAACGTGTTCCATATTGTACGTCTCAACTTCTAAAAATGCCACTCAAACAAATTATTATGTTTATTCTGGAAAGAAGTTTTCAATCCTTCGCTTATCTAAAAACGCTCTTCAAACTGGAAACAAATTGAACAATGAACCTACTTAAAAATGTAAACGCTTATTTAAGATCGGAATCTGAATAAATTTATGTTCAGTATGTATTCTTTCAATTTCTAATAAAAAACGAGTACAGTCAGACTTCTAACCCAGTTCCTTGTTTAAATAAAGACTAAAGTTTTAATGATAACTTCACCGTCTGTATGGTCATTTTGTAGGAAACACCCACAAATGTTATAACAATAAAATAAAGATTTTAATTGTTTTACCGAATGTGCACTGATACTTGTGACGAACACCAAGTCTGTGATAACACGGGCAAAGAGATGGTGATTTTACGTACGCATCGGAGTTAAGCCAGGTGATTCCTGATTTACTGATGGTTACGGTTTGGGACCCAAAAGGCCTATTTTTGTTCCTACAGTTCTGGATATAGTTGATAGTACAAGAGAACGCCAATAGAGACATCGCATATATGTATGAACACCCTTTTCAGGAATTATCTCCATCGTCATTACTGGTGAAAATGGAAATCACTACTTTGATATTTCAAGACCATAGTTTGTTCTGTCATTGAATATAAATCGCCACTGTTCTGTATGGAATCCGAGAAGGGACATTGTCGCGTTGTCGCATTGTCGCCCTCTCAAAAACAAATGAAATGAGGCAAAATAAACCAAAGCGCGACACGCGACATCGCGATAACACGACATTTCGCTCATTTGTGCGACATAGCGACAATTTTCAAGGTCAAAATATGTCGCTATGTCGCGTGTCGCCCTTTGGAGGAATAAAAATGTTTTTATTCAAAACGCGATACGTGACATCGCGACAATGCGAGAAATGGGCGAAATGTCGCGTTGTCGGGATGTCGCGTGTCGCGTTTTGGTTAATTTTGCCTCATTCTGCTTGTGGGGCGGTGGGGTAGCCTAATGGTTAAAGCGTTGGCTCGTCACGCCGAAGACCCGGGTTCGAATCCCCACATGGGTACAATGTGTGCAGCCCATATCTGGTGTCCCCCGCCGTGATGTTGCTGGAATATTGCTAAAAGCGGCGTAAAACCAAACTCAGTCAGTCAGTCAGTCATTCTGCTTGTATTTGAGAGGGCGACGACCCGACAATGCGACAATGCGACAATGTCCCTTCCAGGATTCCATAGTTCTGTAATGACAGTGTAATTCATTTGAAGGAATTTTTGTGATATGTAAACTTAATTATTTTCTGAATACTTTTGTTAATTATTGTATACCATTTCTAGCTAAGTCATTGTTTCAACATTCCTGGTGTCCCCCGCCCTGATATTGCTGTATTATTGCTAAGAGCGGCGTAAAACCATACTCACTTACTCACTCACTCACCCACTCATTGTTTCAGCTTAAGTGGGTCAAGGGTATGGGAATGGCAGATGGTACACTGGACACTGGATACGGGATACTCGAGGGTGATCTGGAATGAGTATGACTCTATTGTCCACTCTAAGATATGGTGTCTCCCGTGTACACTGTAAACATACTTGCTAACAATGCAAACATAAAAAGACACGTTAAGAGCCAAACGTGTAGGAATGTGTGGACATCGGAATACAGATTTGATGTCGGAACACGTTTAGGGTCGAAACAAATGCCATGACCTAATGTCTCACAGCCTCAACTCTACACATACACAACGTCCCCCAAACATAAACATGTACGCTCTGTACACTATCCATGTTGGAATGGGGCATATCATTTGAAAGTTACAGGAATCTTAGCCGGTCAGCCTCGATGCCTTGGTTCACAGCGTGTCATCTGGACAAAGGCTTGGTCTATGAATGTATATATTTGATCGAACAAAATCCTTTTAAATTGAAATGGAGCCCCGGTGAGAACCGAGATGAACCTGAGCAAATCTAGACTTGCTTCACTTAGGGCTAGGCAGAAGGTGAAATAATACGGTTGAGGAACTGTGAGGTGAGGTGAGGTGAGGTGAGGTGAGGTGAAATTGGGTTTAACGTTGCACTTAAGAATATTTCGCTCATATGACAACGTACATGCATGTGTATGTGTGGCTGCTTGTACTAGCCCAGACTTAAGCTGGTTTTATAGTGCTAGCTCACTGAGATACCATGCCGCAGTTAAGCATGAATACCCAACTCAGACACATTATACTGACTCCGAGCCGACCAGTCCCTGTTTTACCCATTAATGACGAGCACCAGGCAAGGACCAATAAGTACAAATTTTAATGTCTTTTGGTATGACGCGGCCTGGGATCGAACCGGCGACCTTCCGCTCTCCGGGTGGACTCTCTAACCACTACACCACGGAGTGAGGAACTGTGGGACACACTAGGTGTCATCGTTGCTTGACAGCGTTGGTCGTTGCCGATCACTGGATTGTATGGTCCAGATTCGATTACAGGCCGCTATCATGAAATAATGTAACGTTGCTGGGTGCGATGTCTAACAACGCAACCACAAGCACTTAATACATCGTCCTTAAATCTTTTGATAAAAAGAGGATAGATCATAATCCTTGGGCAGTAAATTTGAACAAGCAGTATGAAAACATATTCTTTATTATGAAAAAGTAAAAAGGTATAACACACAATGGTACGTATGTACATGGCAGATACAACTCCAATTAGCCAAACATTCTCATCAGCAGGAGTAGCAATGGTTATATTGATGACTTGATGCGTACATATGTAGCAATACATGGGAAGCTTGTACTGCGATTAATGGAAGATCTGAATGCTGTAAATATCAATATTTAACCAAGAGTATTATGGCACAATCCATTTTATACGATGAGCTACTTACTAAAAACACACTAGTTTATTCACACATTGGTTGAACTTCATACAATCATGTATAGGTTCTTTACTACACACCCTCACGCATCCAACGCACACACGCGCGCGCACTCTCACACACAAAACACAAAGCACCAATTGGATACACAAAGGTAAATTATACTAACGATGTATTATATAGTAAATACAACTGCATGTTTACGCTTCCAGACCCATCTCCTACTGTACTCTACATACATATCTATTACATGAGCTGTAACGCCGATTGACAATGTACAGAGTTGCATCCCGTTGCACGCAAGAAACCGATGCATGTGGGTTAGAATCCTAGTTAGGATCCCAGAATACTGGGTTACGTTTCCTGGCTTGTCAGTCTCATTCGGTTTCATCAAAGTGGTAAAAGTCTCAGACCTGTATCCCTTCGGGATTTTCTCCCACTTTAACCAGACACGCCGTGATGTAACTGTTCAAAGCGGCGCTAAACCAAACTCACTCATTCACACCTTGATGGAGTATTAGTAATCATTAACGCATTCTAGTGACACAAAAAATAATATATAAATATATTGACCATATACACACAAGTAAACAATGTATAAATAAACCCTTGTGCACAAGTACAATGCAACAGCCAAAAGGTGAAATTTCCCGGCAGTGAAAATTAATATCATGTTGCCTTTTAATCTTTCATTGCGGTCTTTCATTCAATGATTTCTGACATCGAACGCCCATAAAGATTGGACATAACGGCTCATTCTTATCAGTTTGATATTTGATTTGAAAATCGTAGCATAAATTCATTCATTTCAAATAACCGACCGCGGAGATGAGATGGGCTCGCATAACTGTGAACCTACTCTTTCCCCTGAATCTATCCTCGTGGTTCTCACGATCTTAAATTCACCGCCCGTAATTTCAATTAGCCAGTTTGATTTGCTACCCTGGCCAGTCTAACGGACCAATCAGAATGTGAGTTACAAATAAGCCTCAGTGGTGGGTGTGATATTTAAGATAGTAGAGTGTTCGAGAAATTATACATCGAAAAAGTGACTACCACGTGAAAAAGAGCCTTCAAACCTATTTTTATAATCTTGCTGGAATTGTTTTCTTTACGTGCATTAAAACTGACGGCGAGTTGTCTTCTCTTACTGTTTTCCTTTACCATATCTCATTGTTTGATTGGTCGATAACATTTCAATATTTTGAGATCACTAGAAACACGTGAGCAGTAACATGACTTTGGTTTACGGATGTGTCAGCTCTTGGGATAAAGAGGTTGCCAAAGAATGAACACAGACAGTACCATTCTTTTAAACCTGGTGTACATCATTACATGATAAATGCTGAGATGGTGTTCCTAGCATACACGACATGTCTGCTAACACCAACCTTCTGATGTAAGTCAATCTTGCTCCCATTACCTAATTACGTCATTACTCAGAGAGCATCATCATTTCGCACACAACACTATTATCACCTGCTGATCGAAACCGATCACCCGTGAACTAGTCAATTTGACGTCATCAGGACATGAACGTGTCCTTATAAAAAAGTTGTAGAAAATAACATATTTTCTGAATACACACTTCAAACTTTTTGATAAGAGTATATCATATTTGACAAAGTGAATGGAAGAGCCTAAATTGTGCAGAAATGAATGTGAAAATAAAGTTGCAGTGGTTAACTGTGGTTGAGATACAGGTTCGTGCTCTTGTCTGTTAATGTTGTAGTATCCGTTTTATTATTACTACGAAATCTTTAGGGGCAGGGACGATACGCCGTATTAATTATAAATATATACTCAGTTATGCCATATACTAATATATACAGGCACTGCTACATCCCAGTTCCCCCACCCTGAATATCACATGGTTCGCCAATCACAATACCCGCCATTTTGAAACGACACCTGCAATGTAGGAAACAAGGTCGAAACACAATATATCTACTGTTGAGTTCTAGATGGCGGTGTACAAGCGACTGGGAAATCGGTCTGTAATCTCTTTAAGAGGAGGGTCACGTGTGTCCCTTTAGTCTCATCTTCATCCTCATCTTCATCCCCCCATCCTCTTGTTCATCATCTTGATGCAGATGTTACATCAGACACAGGCTTATTGCAGCTCCGATCATCACCAGTACAATCGTTCCAGTTGTCTTGGGAGCTGAAGAAGGAACACTTAGTTTTAGTACAATATTATTATAGGATATTTATATAGCGCACATATCCACGCGACTAGTACATGTTCAATATCGCATACAAAAGTATAGCACTTCTTGACTGCAGAGAAATACCGCAGCAATTGTGCTATTAGAGACACATAGAACACAGGTTGGTTGGTTGTTGTTTAACGCCACTCTACAGCAATATTCCAGCTATATGACGGCGGTTTGTAAATAATCGAGTCTGGACCAGACAATCCAGTGATCAACATCATGAGCGTCGATCTACGCAAATGGGATACGATGACATGTGTCATCCAAGCCAGCGAGCCTGACTACCCGATCCCGTTAGACACCTCTTACGACAAGCATGGTTTGTTGAAGACAAATTGTAACCTTGTTCTTCACGGGTCCGAGAACACAGGACTGAAGGTAGTGAATGAATAAGATTTTACGCCTTGAGCAATATTCTAGCAATATCACGACGGGGACACCAGATATACCCTTTAGACATTGTACCTATATGGGGAATCGAACCCGGGTCCTTGGCATGAGGGAACGCTTTAACCACTAGGCTACTCAACCGCCCCAGATTGAATTTATGATATTTTCACAACAAAAAGCAAAACAACATCAAATATTGTTCCTTCTTAAATAGGAGTTGTGGGGTAGTCCAGTGGTACAAACTGCTCACTCGTCATGCAGACGGGTTCGAACCCCCGTATGCATATAAAATACACGACGCCATTCTCTGGTATCCTGAAAAAGTGTTACATTAGGAATATTTTTGAACGCGTCGTAAAATGACGTTCACTCAATTTCTTAAATACCAGTTTTCTTGTTTCGGTCAATGAAAGAATTATTTCTGTTTGAAAGCAAATTATTGCTACAAATTCCCTAATATATAAGTTAAACACAAACAAAATAACATTCGGGGTACCCCAAGGATCAAGTGGCATGTTATGTACGAAATCCGTCCCAGTGGGGGTGGTGGGGTAGCCTTGTGGTTAAAGCGTGCGCTCGTCACACCAAAGACTCGGGTTCGATTCCTCACATAGGTACAATGTGTGAAGCCCATTTCTGGTGTCCCCCGCCGTGATATTCCTGGAATATTGCTAAAAGCGGCGTAAAACTTCACTCACTCACTCCGCCCCAGTGGTGGAAGTAGACCCGTTGAGGGAAATTCAAAACATATGTGCAAACATTAACCACCCGTAATCTACCCCGAATAGCATTGTCAGCGAGATTTAACGTACCACCAGTTGTCGGACATCTGTTTCCGCAGGATCTGTTCTCAGATTGTTTCCCTTCGCCTGGGCAGCCCGTCCCACCTATGCAGGTTCTCGTCCTCTCGACGGTGTGTCTGGCTGACGGACCGCACGTGGCGGAGCATGGAGGGTTGGACCACAGCGACCACTCACCCCAGTTGCGGTAGATCACTGGAATCAGAAGTACCATTTCCTAAACAAGCTGTTGTGTTTTACACACCTACTGGAGTAAAAGGATATTTGAGATACATTGTCTAACACATGTCAAATCGACTTTCACGTTAGCGATTGGGTACGCCATGGTATGGTACGACCGCATTTAAAAACTGTCATCTTCGTAGAAAAGTACTTTCATCTATGAAGGGGACACTTTCATCCAAGTATCTTTAAGGTTCTTTCATCTACGTTGAAGGCACTTTATCTACGTCGGTTCTTTCATCTACGTAGAAGGCACTTTCATCTACGTAGAGGTTTCTTTCATCTACGTTGAAGGCACTTTCATCTACGTAGAGGGTTCTTTCATCTACGTTGAAGGCACTTTCATCTACGTAGAAGGTTCTTTCATTTACCTTGAAACTACTTTTATCTACGTGGAAGATACTTGCCTCTACGCAGATGATTCTTACATCTACGAGGACATACAACATATGTAACCATTTGAAATCTATACCTTTTGAAATAACTCGCTATAACATATGGTATCTAAGGGCAACTCGTGTAAATCTGTTTCTCTAATTTTAACGAAAAGTACTTTCAACCTGTAATTTGAAAGATTTGAAAGAGCGACACACAAATCTTCCTCAAACGTTGTTTGATTAAGGTGAACACTCAATGCCTTAGTAAAGCTTTCAAAACGTGTTAAGGAAGACATGTGAAATTTAATACATCAGTGATACAATTCCCAGGTTTAACTATTACCTGTGTCCTCGTGCTTTACAGGTGAACAATTAATTTGCCTTTGCATGTGTTTGTGACAGCATACGCTTACCTGGTATCATTACTTCTTGATAGAAATTACTAATTACTAAACACATAGTACGAAAACATAGCTCTATGGATAGTTTCGGTGGAGATACTAACACCGTCATCAAGTAAGTGTTAACAATGTAAGTACCTACACCGAAACGTCGCATTTATTGCAATATAGAAGTTGACTATCCATAGAACTTGGTTTTCCTCCTTTATTCATGTATCACATGGAAATACATTAGGCTACGACAGGTATCGCATTTTTAATGAGAGAAAAACTTCACTCACTCACTCACTCACTCACATCGCTAACATTCAATAGCAAAATTGGCATATTGACCTTGGCAGACCGGAAGGTCACAGGCAAACACTTGACCCTGCGTGTTGTTTCCAGGGCAGGTGGGTTGCCCTGGCTGCTGGTTGCAGGTTCTGGTTCTTTGGGACGTTCTTGTCACCCCACACCACAGGTCACCGGGCAACCTGGGTCCACCCAGCGTCCCCAGTCGGCCCACACAACTGGGCGTTCTGAAACGGAAGTAGGAAGGTTAAAGAGTATGTTACAAGTGTTTGTGAATAAGTCATGTACACTGCATTGTATGAAATATACAATTTTACAAGAGTCTCATCATCTGTCACGTAGAAAATCAACCACCCAGTACTACTACTACTAGATTACATTTTCATTTATTGAAATTGCAAATCACGAAATAATGCAATAAAAAGGTGAAACATATGCACACACGATTAACAACTTGAAATGAATTGCAATGGTATTGAGCAATAATACTCTTACAAATAATTAAAAGCATGTACCCGTGAAACAGTCGTGCAAAATGTGCAGCATTGATGGAGCAAAATGTTAACATTAGGGTTCAAGTCAGTTTTGGACAGTGAAGCAGTGTTCAGTAACGCGTATGACCACCATGAGCACAAATGCAGGCTTCTAGACGTCTTTGCATTGACCAAATGAGCCTTTAAAGTTGCTGGTGTGAAACGTTCTGCCATTTTCTGTGTAACGTCTGTTGAAGGTCATCCAGAGTCTGGAGTGAACATGGAGACAGTAAACACGACTTCCAATAATGTCCCAAGCATGTTCAATGGGATTAAGATCAGATGACCTTGCATGCCAGTCCATATGTGTGATGTTGTTGATCTAAACAACATCGTTTACACCTCTTTCTCGGGATTTATCATCCATGGAGGGGCATTATCATCATAAAAATGAAGTTTGGACCCGCTTGTTGTGCCAGAGGAATGATTACAGGTAGGTTTACACCGATCAGGGTGCATGTGTGAAGAGTGGAGCACATTCATGCCACACATTTTGCATGCCGTTTCTGAGGGTGGTTGTGTTTGGGTGATGTTGTCAATGTCATCAGATAAATCAATTGGACAGTCACTGAAGGTTATGTATTCTTTGAATATTTACCTTTGGTAACATGTGGCAAAAATCGCTGTCAACATTGATAAAGATATTACACTGAAAATATTTGTTGCTTAATTTTTTGTGAGGAGTATATATACTACGATTACTGTCTTCTACTGATGCTGATACTACTACTACTACTATTACTACTACTACAACTACTAGTACGACTTCTGCTACTACTTCTACTACTACTACTACAACTACTTCGACTACTACTACTACTACTACTACTACTACAGATGCTACAGCTGCTACTACTTCCACTACTACTACTTCTACTACTACTTCTACTACTACTGCTACTACAGATGCTACTTCTTCCACTACTACTACTTCTCCTCCTCCTACTATTTCTACTACTACTACTACTACTACTACTGATACTACTGCTACTACTACTACTACTACCACCACTACTCCCACCACTACAACTCCGCTGCTTCGGCTGCTACTACTACAGCATCTATAACTGTTAACATACCACACACAGCTGCTACTCCACAGTCTCGGGTTTGGTTTTGAGTGCTGTCACCAATACACGGAGCTCCACCATCGCTGGGAGGTGGGTTAGTACAGTACCGATCCCTGGCCAAGGTGTGTCTAGCCATGGGACCGCATGTGGCAGGACAAGAGGGGCCACGCCACTCTGTCCACTCTGTCCAGTTCCCGTTTATGCCCGACCCTGAAAAGGAATGTAACGGTAGTTTCATGGTGACATAAACTAACATCTTGTCTCTGAAATGAACATATTTTACAGAAGAAATGTTAATCACAATCTCCACTTTCAGAAACTGTGGACATCTAGGCTTGCCACGTTAATCTAGACTTGCATGGACTTTCTTGGATGCAATTGTTTCAGGGTCTGTATGACAGACTAACAGTGGCAATGATGCATGCATACAACAATGACATGCTTGTACAGCATCTCCTACAAATGCCTTGGGAGTTTTGTTCCAACAAATGTAAAGAAATACATGAATAACAAATTTGTAAAAGAGAACTCCCGTTGATTTCTACAGTTCAAGAATTGAAAAGGTTTATTAAACCGTGCCTGGAAACCTAAACAACATCTGCGCATCTGTATGGACATCATAACGATACTTGTCAGTCACAGTGGACCCAGATCCCATACCGAGTTTTCAAAGTCAATTTCGACCTACAAAAATTAATCGTAGAAAGCTGGTGTTTTAAATAATGGCTAAGTTTCACTACAATAACCAGTGGCTGAAGGGATGGTGTAAATCCAGCTGGGGTCCATGCAGGAAGCAAAGGTACTGTAAGTCCCCATGGTCCCTAGTATGGTGATCTATCTTCAGTTGCTGGTGATCTATAACCTGTTTATATATTGTAATGTACCAAATAGTATACTACCCATCACAAGTTTAGACTCGCTTAAATCAATCACAATAAGTTATGTATGTTAATAAGGTTAAAACGAAGATGGATTTCTCCACTAACTTGGGGGAAACATTTGCAAACCTTATGCAGATTAATTGCACGAGGATCATGCATCAAATTGCTGAAAAACACGTGCAAATATCGTGCATGTGAACAGCTGCGTATTGGTGTAAAGTTATGATAAAATCGCCATTTTTCAGCGAGTTTCATCATTTATTGAACACATGACAATAAACCTTTCAACGTCTCGAATTTGTTTTACAACACATCAGCTCATGTATAAACAGTACCTTTAAACTGTATGGGTTATTTTACAAAACCTAGTTCAGAACAGTTGACTTGAGTAAGTGGCTACATTTACACTAGTGAGTCTAAAGTTTACATGGGGAGTATATATACTGTTAAGTCACATTGCTAGTTTTAAATCTCTGACCGTGATATTCTTGTTCTTTTACTATACTTCGCAGACAGATTTTAAGATATAATAATAATAATAATAATAATAATAATAATAATAATAATAATAATAATAATAATGCTATTTTTTGCGCCTAGAATCTGTTCTCTGGCGTTACATTATTACCCTGACGGAATTGTACTTTCAAAGCTGCTACTAAGCGCTAAGTGCGACCGTATAGGTCCGTACATCCGCATCTCACGTACCCATTTTAAACAGCTGGGTGGACTCACTGCAATGTGGACGAAGTGCCTTGCCCAGGGACACAACACAGTATGAGACCCAGGTCACAAATTTTGATGTCTCCAAATGGGATTCGAACCCTGGCCTTTGGCGTGAGAGGCCAGCATGTTAACCACTACACCACTGTGCTCCACATATAACATTATACATTCCTTAAATATCACTCTTTTAAGTCACGCCATGGCTGAACCATTGCCAAAGTGACTATAACAGTTAACTCACTCACTCTGATACCGAACTACGTTACTCTCTACCTCGGGATCAATCTTGAACTCAGTATCATATAAGCACCGAACATTTGTTCTTCTGTTTAGAGACAGTGTGACGGTAGGTTCGATACGTCCATCAGCTGCGTTTGTGGTGAAGGTTACGAGCTGCAAGGTCGAATACAGGCCATGTCCTTCGTTTCTCGGAGCACAAGGTCATTCAAATAATAGCATCACAGACCTGATTTCAGGCACATGTGACGCATAATCTACACTGGGAATGGTGAATATCCCTCGTATAGCTTACGTGACGGTAAGTAGCCTTGTTATCTGAGGCGGTGTAATTCGCTGTGCAGAGTTGTGGCCCTTGGCGCACCAGAAACCAAAGATTGTTGACATAAACCATTCTATGCTTCTAGGATTGAAAGCACCGTACCCATGCTCTCGGGTTTCTGAAAATTGGTAAACTGCTGTTTAAAGCTTTCGCTCGTCACGCCGAAGATTATGGTGCGATTTCCCACATGAGTACAATTTGTGAAGCCCATTTTTAGTGTTCACCGCAGTGATCTTGCTGAAATATTGCTAAACTCGGCGTAAAATCAAACTCTATTGGTGCGAATTGCAAAACATACATGATAATCTTCAAATGAGTGCCAATTTACCTGTGCAGTCAGGACTTGCCACGCACACTTCCTGCTTCGTCTGGAGAGTGTCACCCCGACAGGGCCCCCCGTTGAAGGCTGGGGTGGGGTTGTTGCAGCTACGGGTGCGGATTAACGTCTTCACCTCGGCCTCACACGTGCCCGTACAGTAGTTGTAGGTCACCCACACGCTCCACGGAGAGAACCCGCCATCAACTGATGATCAGAGGTGTAAGCTGAGTACAGTTACGACGAAGGCTGTTATGATGAATGTGATTATTATAAACATATTATGATCTCTTATTTCTATACAAATGTAACTCAACAAACAGTTTTCAGTACAGTTCACATATCAGAAGGCGGTGGGGTAGCTTAGTGGTTAAAGCGTTCGTTCTTTGGGTCAACGGTCCGGGTTTGAATCCTTATACGGGTACAATGTATGGGGCAAATATCCTCAATGTTACATTGCTTGGAAATTGGTAAAAGCGACATATAATTTCATTCATTTGAATTTAAAATTCGTGCTCGTGGTTTTGTTAAATCATCATCACACCAGACTCTCTCTCTTCCTCCATTTGCCGTAATATGACTTACACGCTGTTAATACTAGTGTTTCGCTCAACCGCCTCATTCATTCACTGTAATAGTATGTCTGACAGTCTGTTCTTGGATGGATGTAGGAGTGGATTAACATTGCTGGGTGTTGGTGTGTATGGACATTGCTGGGTGTTGGTGTGTATGGACATTGCTGGGTGTTGGTGTGTATGGACATTGCTGGGTGTTTGTGTGGATGGACATTGCTGGGTGTTGCTGTGTATGGACATTGCTGGGTGTTGGTGTGTATGGACATTGCTGGGTGTTGGGATGGACATTGCTGGGTGTTGGTTTGGATGGACATTGCTGGGTGTTGGTGTGTATGGACATTGCTGGGTGTTGGTGTGTATGGACATTGCTGGGTGTTGCTGTGTATGGCCATTGCTGGGTGTTGCTGTGTATGGACATTGCTGGGTGTTGGTGTGTATGGACATTGCTGGGTGTTGGGATGGACATTGCTGGGTGATGGTTTGCATGGACATTGCTGGGTGTTGGTGTGTATGGACATTGCTGGGTGTTGGTGTGTATGGACATTGCTGGGTGTTGGGATGGACATTGCTGGGTGATGGTTTGGATGGACATTGCTGGGTGTGGGTGTGTATGGACATTGCTGGGTGTTGGTGTGTATGGACATTGCTGGGTGTTGGTGTGTATGGACATTGCTGGGTGTTTGTGTGTATGGACATTGCTGGGTGTTGGTGTGTATGGACATTGCTGGGTGTTGCTGGGTGTTTGTGTGTATGGACATTGCTGGGTGTTGGTGTGTATAGGCATTGCTAGGTGTTGGTGTGTATGGACATTGCTGGGTGTTGCTGGGTGTTGGTGTGTATGGCCATTGCTGGGTGTTGGTGTGTATGGCCATTGCTGGGTGTTGCTGGGTGTTGGTGTGTATGGACATTGCTGGGTGTTGGTGTGTATGGACATTGCTGGGTGTTGGTGTGTATGGACATTGCTGGGTGTTGGTGTGTATGGACACTGAAGGATGTTGGTGTGTATGGAGCCTGAAGAGTGTTTGTGTGTATGGACATTGCTGGGTGTTGGTGTGTATGGACATTGCTGGGTGTTGGTGTGTATGGACATTGCTGGGTGTTGGTGTGTATGGACATTGCTGGGTGTTGGTGTGTATGGACATTGCTGGGTGTTGGTGTGTATGGACATTGCTGGGTGTTGCTGGGTGTGTATGGACATTGCTGGGTGTTGGTGTGTATGGACACTGAAGGATGTTGGTGTGTATGGAGCCTGAAGAGTGTTTGTGCGTATGGACATTGCTGGGTGTTGGTGTATGGACATTGCTGGGCGTTGGTGTGTGGTATGGACGTTGCTGGGTGTTGGTGGCATGGACATTGTTGGTGTGTATGGACATTGCTGGGTGTTGTGTGTATGGACATTGCTGGGTGTTGGGTGTGTGTATGGACATTGCTGGGTGTTGGTGTGTATGGACACCGAAGGATGTTGGTGTGTATGGAGCCTGAAGAGTGTTTGTGTGTATGGACATTGCTGGGTGTTGGTGTGTATGGACATTGCTGGGTGTTGGTGTGTATGGACATTGCTGGGTGTTGCTGGGTGTTGGTGTGCATGGACATTGCTGGGTGTTGGTGAGTATGGACATTGCTGGGTGTTGGTGTGTATGGACATTGCTGGGTGTTGCTGGGTGTTGGTGTGTATGGACACTGCTGGGTGTTGGTGTGTATGGACACTGAAGGATGTTGGTGTGAATAGACATTGCTGGGTGTTGGTGTGTATGGACACTGAAGGATGTTGGTGTGTATGGACATTGCTGGGTGTTGGTGTGTATGGACACTGAAGGATGTTGGTGTGTATAGATATTGCTGGGTGTTGGTGTGTATGGACATTGCTGGGTGTTGCTGGGTGTTGGTGTGTATGGCCATTGCTGGGTGTTGGTGTGTATGGACACTGAAGGATGTTGGTGTGTATAGATATTGCTGGGTGTTGGTGTCTATGGACATTGCTGGGTGTTGCTGGGTGTTGGTGTGTATGGACATTGCTGGGTGTTGGTGTGTATGGACACTGAAGGATTTTGGTGTGTATAGACATTGCTGGGTGTTGGTGTCTATGGACATTGCTGGGTGTTGCTGGGTGTTGGTGTTTATGGACATTGCTGGGTGTTGGTGAGTATGGACAATGCTGGGTGTTGGTGTGTATGGACATTGCTGGGTGTTGGTGTGTATGGACATTGCTGGGTGTTGGTGTGTATGGACATTGCTGGGTGTTGCTGGGTGTTGGTGTGTATGGACATTGCTGGGTGTTGGTGTGTATGGACATTGCTGGGTGTTGGTGTGTATGGACATTGCTGGGTGTTGGTGTGTATGGGCATTGCTGGGTGTTGGTGTGTATGGACATTGCTGGGTGTTGGTGTGTATGGACATTGCTGGGTGTTGGTGTGTATGGGCATTGCTGGGTGTTGGTGTGTATGGGCATTGCTGGGTGTTGGTGTGTATGGACATTGCTGGGTGTTGGTGTGTATGGACATTGCTGGGTGTTGGTGTGTATGGACATTGCTGGGTGTTGGTGTGTATGGACATTGCTGGGTGTTGGTGTGTATGGACATTGCTGGGTGTTGGTGTGTATGGACATTGCTGGGTGTTGGTGTGTATGGACATTGGGGTGTTGCTGGGTGTTGGTGTGTATGGACATTGCTGGGTGTTGGTGTGTATGGACATTGCTGGGTGTTGGTGTGTATGGACATTGCTGGGTGCTTGTGTGTATGGACATTACTGGGTGTTGGTGTGTGTATGGACACTGGTGTTGTATGGACATTGCTGGACATTGCTGGGTGTTGGTGTGTATGGACATTTGCGTTTGCTGGGTGTTGGTGTGTATGGACATTGCTGGGTGTTGGTGTGTATGGACATTGCTGGGTGTGGTGTGTATGGACATTGCTGGGTGTTGGTGTGTATGGACATTGCTGTTGGTGTATGGACATTGCTGGGTGTGTGTATGGACATTATTGCTGGGTGTTGGTGTGTATGGACATTGCTGGGTGTTGGTGTGTATGGACATTGCTGGGTGTTGGTGTGTATGGACATTGCTGGGTGTTGGTGTGTATAGACATTGCTGGTGTTGGTGTGTATGGACATTGCTGGGTGACATTGCTGGTGTTGGTGTATGGACATTGCTGGGTGTTGGTGTGTATGGACATTGCTGGGTGTTGGTGTGTATGGACATTGCTGGGTGTTGGCGTATGTACATTGACATTGCTGGGGTTGTATGGACATTGGGTGTTGGTGTGTATGGACATTGCTGGGTGTTGGTGTGTATGGACATTGCTGGGTGTGTTGGTGTGTATGGACATTGCTGGGTGTTTTGTGTATGGACATGGACATTGCTGGGTGTTGGTGTGTATGGACATTGCTGGGTGTTGGTGTGTATGGACATTGCTGGGTGTTGGTGTGTATGGACATTGCTGGGTGTTGGTGTGTATGGACATTGCTGGGTGTTGGTGTGTATGGACATTGCTGGGTGTTGGTGTGTATGTATGGACATTGCTGGGTGTTGGACATGTATGGACATTGCTGGACATTGAAGGTGTTGGTGTGTATGGACATTGCTGGGTGTTGGTGTGTATGGACATTGCTGGGTGTTGGTGTGTATGGACATTGCTGGGTGTTGGTGTGTATGGACATTGCTGGGTGTTGGTGTGTATGGACATTGCTGGGTGTTGGTGTGTATGGACATTGCTGGGTGTTGGTGTGTATGGACATTGCTGGGTGTTGGTGTGTATGGACATTGCTGGGTGTTGGTGTGTATGGACATTGCTGGGTGTTGGTGTGTATGGACATTGCTGGGTGTTGGTGTGTATGGACATTGCTGTGTTGGTGTGTATGGACATTGCTGGTGTTGCGTTGGTGTGTATGGACATTGCTGGGTGTTGCGTGTGTATGGACATTGCTGGGCGTTGCTGGGTGTTGGTGTGTATGGACATTGCTGGGTGTTGGTGTGTATGGACATTGCTGGGTGTTGGTGTGTATGGACATTGCTGGGTGTTGGTGTGTATGGACATTGCTGGGTGTTGGTGTGTATGGACATTGCTGGGTGTTGCTGTGTATGGACATTGCTGGGTGTTGGTGTGTATGGACATTGCTGGGTGTTGGTGTGTATGGACATTGCTGGGTGTTGGTGTATGGTTGGTGTGTGTATATGGACATTGCTGGGTGTTGGTGTGTATGGACATTGCATTGCTGGTTGGTGTGTATGGACATTGGTGTGTATGGACATTGCTGGGTGTTGGTGTGTATGGACATTGCTGGGTGTTGGTGTGTATGGACATTGCTGGGTGTTGGTGTGTATGGACATTGCTGGGTGTTGGTGTGTATGGACATTGCTGGGTGTTGGTGTGTATGGACATTGCTGGGTGTTGGTGTGTATGGACATTGCTGGGTGTTGTTGGTGTGTATGGACATTGCTGGGTGCTGGTGACATTGGGTGTTTGGACATTGCTGGTGTTGGTGGACATTGCTGGCGTTGTGTGTATGGACATTGCTGGGTGTTGGTGTGTATGGACATTGCTGGGTGTTGGTGTGTATGGACATTGCTGGGTGTTGTGTATGGACATTGCTGGGTGTTGGTGTGTATGGACATTGCTGCGTGTTGGTGTGTATGGACATTGCTGTGTTGTGTGTATGGACATTGCTGGAGTGTTGGTGTGTATGGACATTGCTGGGTGTTGTGTGTATGGACATTGCTGGGTGTTGGTGTGTATGGACATTGCTGGGTGTTGGTGTGGTATTGACATTGACATTGCTGTATGGACATTGCTGGTTGGTGTTGGTGTGTATGGACATTGCTGGGTGTTGGTGTGTATGGACATTGCTGGGTGTTGGTGTGTATGGACATTGCTGGGTGTTGGTGTGTATGGACATTGCTGCGTTGTTGGTGTGTATGGACATTGCTGAGTGTGTTGTGTGTATGGACATTGCTGGGTGTTGGTGTGTATGGACATTGCTGGGTGTTGGTGTGTATGGACATTGGACATTGCTGGGTGTTGGTGTGTATGGACATTGCTGGGTGTTGGTGTGTATGGACATTGCTGGGTGTTGGTGTGTATGGACATTGCTGGGTGTTGGTGTGTATGGACATTGCTGGGTGTTGGTGTGTATGGACATTGCTGGGTGTTGCTGGGTGTTGGTGTGTATGGACATTGCTGGGTGTTGGTGTGTATGGACATTGCTGGGTGTTGGTGTGTATGGACATTGCTGGGTGTTGGTGTGTATGGACATTGCTGGGTGTTGTGGTGTGTATGGACATTGCTGGGTGTTGGTGTGTATGGACATTGCTGGGTGTTGGTGTGTATGGACATTGCTGGGTGTTGGTGTGTATGGACATTTGCTGGGTGTTGTATGGACATTGCACATTGAAGGATGTTCGTTGTGAATGGACGTTAATGGGTGTTGCTGTGTATGGACGTTAAAGGTCGTGGATGGACATTGCTGGGTGTTGGTGTGTATGGACGTTGCTGGGTGTTGGTGTGTATGGACATTGCTGGGTGTTGGTGTGTATGGACATTGCTGGGTGTTGGTGTGGATGGACATGAAAGATTAATACAAGAAATATGACAGGGTTACCTGGACACAACACGTCGATGCAGGTGAAGTTCCTTCTCTCGAGGCGGGAAATTCCACATGTGTTGTCGCTACCACTGGGATTCAGAACAGTGCACGTTCTAGAACGTTCCTGAACGACTCTGACGTGGCGACCACAGGTAGCCGGGCAAAGAGGTCCAGTCCAGCTGCTCCATTGAGACACTAGAAACAGGGGATTTACAGTTAACCTTTAATCCTATGCCTCCATTTCCTGATAAGCTCCATATCCAACTTAAGATGTTAACAAATAGACAGAATAACAAGAAGTCAATATCCCCCGCAATGGCAAAATACTCTTCATGATTATGTCTACGAGTTAGGATTATGTCAAATATTTAGGTGTGTGTATAGAAAAGTGGAAGGAGTGTATTGAAAAGTTTTTAAAGTTCTGCTCCAGAAAGGAGCACTATCACCAATTTCAGGCTAAGTCGAACTTGTTGCCATGGAAACGCCAACAATATTTTATTCAGAATTCCAAAACTACCAAAAGGCACCAGTACACCACCAGATCTATCTATGTGCCAAGTTTGGTGAAGAAATAGTGAACGGTTTTAGAGTTCTGCTCCGGCAAAGAGCACTACCACTAGTTTCAGTCTAAGTCGAAATTGTTGCCATGGAAACGCCAAAAATATTTTATTCAGAATTTCAAAACTACCAAAAGGTACCAGTACACCACCAGATCCATGTATGTGCCAAGTTTGGTGAAGAAATATTGAACGGTTTTAGAGTTCTACTCCGGAAAAGACAAATGTGCACGGACGGACGGGGGATAATTATCGATAGTAACATCTCACATTGATATTCACACTGTACTCGTCTATTTGTCCCTGACACTCGTCTATTTCCCCACATGTACCTATCCCCTGACACTGTACTCGTCTATTTCCCCCCTATCCCTTACACGGTTCTGCCTATTTTCCCCCTTACATCCTTCACTGTCTATTTCCCCACATGTACCTATCCCTGACACAGGACTCGTCTATTTTCCCACATTTACCTATCCCTGACACAGTACTCGTCTATTTTCCCACATGTACCTATTCCTGCCTCTGTACTAGTCTATTTCCCCACATGTACCTATCCCTGACACTGTAGTCGTCTATTTTCCCACATTTACCTATCCCTGACACAGTACTCGTCTATTTTCCCACATGTACCTATCCCTGACACTGTAGTCGTCTATTTCCCCACATGTACCTATCCCTGACACTGTAGTCGTCTATTTCCCCACATGTACCTATCCCTGACACTGTACTCGTCTATTTTCCCACATGTACCTATCCCTGACACTGTAGTACTGACACCGTCTATTTCCCCACATGTACCTATCCCTGACACACTGTAGTCGTCTCCATGTACCTATCCCCTGTACCACACTGTACTCTGTCTATTTCCCACATGTACTATCCCTGACACTGTACTCGTCTATTTTCCCCACATGTACCTATCCCTGACACTGTACTCGTCTATTTCCCCACATGTACCTATCATCCCTGACACTGTACTCAGTCTATTTTCCCCCACATGTACCTATCCTCCCACACCGTATCCCTGACACTTGTAGTCGTCTATTTCCCCATGTACTCTATCCCTGACACTGTAGTCTATTTCGTCTATGTACCTATCCCTGACACAGTATCGTCTATTTTCCCCACATTATACCTATCCCTGACACAGTACTCGTCTATTTTCCCACATGTACCTATCCCTGACACTGTACTCCGTCTATTTCCCCACATGTACCTATCCCTGCCTCTGTACTAGTCTATTTCCCCACACGTACCTATCCCTGACACTGTAGTCGTCTATTTCCCCACATGTAACCTATCCCTGACACAGTACTCGTCTATTTCCCCACATGTACCTATCCCTGACACTGTACTCGTCTATTTCCCCACATGTACCTATCCCTGACACTGTAGTCGTCTATTTCCCACATGTACCTATCCCTGACACTGTACTCGTCTATTTCCCCACATGTACCTATCCCTGACACTGTACTCTCGTCTATTTCCCCACATGTACCTATCCCTGACACTGTACTCGTCTATACCTATCCCCGACACTGTACTCGTCTATTTCCCCATGTACCTATCCCTGACACTGTACTCGTCTATTTCCCCACATGTACCTATCCCTGACACTGTACTCGTCTATTTCCCCACATGTACCTATCCCTGACACAGTACTCGTCTATTTTCCCACATTTACCTATCCCTGACACAGTACTCGTCTATTTTCCCACATGTACCTATTCCTGCCTCTGTACTAGTCTATTTCCCCACATGTACCTATCCCTGACACTGTAGTCGTCTATTTCCCCACATGTACCTATCCCTGACACAGTACTCGTCTATTTCCCCACATGTACCTATCCCTGACACTGTACTCGTCTATTTCCCCACATGTACCTATCCCTGACACTGTAGTCGTCTATTTCCCCACATGTACCTATCCCTGACACTGTACTCGTCTATTTCCCCACATGTACCTATCCCTGACACTGTAGTCGTCTATTTCCCCACATGTACCTATCCCTGACACTGTACTCGTCTATTTCCCCACATGTACCTATCCCTGACACAGTACTCGTCTATTTCCCCACATGTACCTATCCCTGACACTGTACTCGTCTATTTTCCCACATGTACCTATCCCTGACACTGTACTCGTCTATTTCCCCACATGTACCTATCCCTGACACTGTAGTCGTCTATTTCCCCACATGTACCTATCCCTGACACTGTAGTCTATTTCCCACATGTCGTCTAGTACTCGTCTATTTCCCACATGTACCTATCCCTGACACTGTAGTCGTCTATTTATTATCCCTGACACAGTATGTCTATTTCCCCATGTACCTATCCCTGACACTGTAGTCGTCTATTTCCCCACATGTACCTATCCCTGACACTGTAGTCGTCTATTTCCCCCCATCCCACACTGTAGTCGTCTATTTCCCCCATGTACCATCCCCTGACAGTACTATTCTATTTCCCCACACGTACCTATCCCCTGACACTGTACTCTCGTCTATTTCCCCACATGTACCTATCCCCTGACACTGTAGTCTATCCCTGACACTGTAGTCGTCTATTTCCCCACATGTACCTATCCCTGACACAGTACTCGTCTATTTCCCCACACGTACCTATCCCTGACACTGTAGTCGTCTATTTCCCCACATGTACCTATCCCTGACACAGTACTCGTCTATTTCCCCACATGTACCTATCCCTGACACAGTACTCGTCTATTTCCCCACATGTACCTATCCCTGACACTGTACTCGTCTATTTCCCCACACGTACCTATCCCAGCCTCTGTACTAGTCTATTTCCCCACACGTACCTATCCCTGACACTGTACTCGTCTATTTCCCCACATGAACCTATCCCTTCCACTGTACTCGTCTATTTCCCCACATGTACCTATCCCTGACACTGTACTCGTCTATTTCCTCACATGTACCTATCCCTGACACTGTAGTCGTCTATTTCCCCACATGTACCTATCCCTGACACTGTACTCGTCTATTTTCCCACATTTACCTATCCCTGACACTGTACTCGTCTATTTTCCCACATGTACCTATCCCTGACACTGTACTCGTCTATTTCCTCACATGTACCTATCCCCTGACACTGTAGTCGTCTATTTTCCCCACATGTACCTATCCCTGACACAGTACTCGTCTATTTCCCCCACATGTACCTATCCCTGACACTGTACTCGTCTATTTCCCCACATGTACCTATCCCTGACACAGTACTCGTCTATTTCCCCACATGTACCTATCCCTGACACTGTAGTCGTCTATTTCCCCACATGTACCTATCCCTGACACTGTACTCGTCTATTTCCCCACATGTACCTATCCCTGACACTGTAGTCGTCTATTTCCCCACATGTACCTATCCCTGACACAGTACTCGTCTATTTCCCCACATGTACCTATCCCTGACACAGTAGTCTCGTCTATTTCCCCACATGTACCCTATCCCATGACCACAGTACAGTACTCGTCTATTTCCCCACATGTACCTATCCCTGACACAGTACTCGTCTATTTCCCCACATGTACCTATCCCTGACACTGTACTCGTCTATTTCCCCACATGTACCTATCCCTGACACTGTACTCGTCTATTTCCCCACACGTACCTATCCCTGACACTGTACTCGTCTATTTCCCCACATGTACCTATCCCTGACACTGTACTCGTCTATTTCCCCACATGTACCTATCCCTGACACTGTACTCGTCTATTTCCCCACACGTACCTATCCCTGACACTGTACTCGTCTATTTCCCCACATGTACCTATCCCTGACACACTGTACTCGTCTATTTCCCCACATGTACCTATCCCTGACACAGTACTCGTCTATTTCCCCACATGTACCTATCCCTGACACTGTACTCGTCTATTTCCCCACATGTACCTATCCCTGACACAGTACTCGTCTATTTCCCCACATGTACCTATCCCTGACACTGTACTCGTCTATTTCCCCACATTAACCTATCCCTTCCACTGTACTCGTCTATTTCCCCACATGTACCTATCCCTGACACTGTACTCGTCTATTTCCCCACATGTACCTATCCCTGACACTGTACTCGTCTATTTCCCCACATGTACCTATCCCTGACACAGTACTCGTCTATTTCCCCACATGTACCTATCCCTGACACAGTACTCGTCTATTTCCCCACATGTACCTATCCCTGACACTGTACTATTCTATTTCCCCACATGTACCTATCCCTGACACTGTACTCGTCCATTTTCGCACACGTACCTTTCCCTGCCACTGTACTGATGTATTTACCCACCTTGACAAGTCACTGAAACGGCTTATGTTCACCCACATGTACCTATCCATGGCACTGTACTGGTGTATTTACCCACATTGTCATGTCATTGAAACCTTCTATTTACCCACATGTACCTATCCCTGACACCGTACTCCACTATTTACCCACCTTAACATGTCATTGAAACCTTCTATTTACCCACATGTCACTGAAACCTTCTATTTACCCACATGTACCTATCCCTGTCACTGTACTCCACTATTTACCCACCTTGACAAGCCACATTGCATGGTGCTGTTCGGTTCTCAGCGGACGGTCCTGAACAAGGCAGACCCCCGTTCTGCGGTGTAGGTTCAGTACACGAGCGTGTCCGTGTGTCGGTCTTCACCCCGTCTCCACATGGCACTGAACACTGACCAGTGCTCCACGTGCTCCACTGACTGTAGCCGCCATTGATTGTAACATTTGCTGAAACATAAATAATTAATAAAACAGGTAGAATCGTCGGTAAACCTACTCGTGGTAATAACACCCACCCACACAGACAGTCAGTCAGTCAGTCAGTCAGTGAGACAGACAGACAATCCGACAGACAGAGGGACAATCAGACAACAGAAAGACAATCAGACAGACAGACAACAGACAGACAGACAATCCGACTCGTAAAGGCCTGGTGCCGGTCCTCGTAGTTTTGTTCTTAAAAAACATAACAGCCACAAAATCATGTTCCATAGTAGTAAGATATCTCTGATACCATTGTACTATTCCAGTTTATGAACACATGCATATGCCTATGAACTATATTACCAACCAGTTGCAAAAAAATATGTCTACCCTTCCTCACTGGTGTCACCCGTTAAAACACATTAAAAGGCAAGGCATGAATTACCCTTTTGAATTTCATGAAATTTTATGCATTAAGTCACGTTTACCATTTTTCTATGATTAACTTTGATACCTGCTAAAGACAGTATATATTAATTTATCCATTCGTCTCCATCGATTCAAACACGATCAACAGCCAGCAGTAGAATAGAAGAGAATAGAAGAGAGTAAAATTATGTATATTCTTATATCCTATTACACGTGCAACAGAAACATAAAATCAGAAAGAAATGGTTTTAATACCACAAAATGACGGTCCACAGGATATGCTTTCAGTCATTGAGCCTTGACCAGAACAGAACACTCCACCACTGCTGGGAGGTGGGTTATTACAAGACCTGGATCTCGAGATGTTGCGTCTGGCTGTTGGACCACACGTGACAGAACAGGGGAGACCACTCCACTGTGACCACTCGCCCCAGTTCCCGTTTACTGAAACAAAAGAAAATAAAGGAAATTCAGGTTAACCGAGGTTAACATCTTACTATTATTAAAGATACATTTCAGTGGGATATATATCCTTACATCTATAGTATGTATTTTCCCTTTATGTAAGATTCAAACAGATTGTAGTAGGCGGAAATTGAAGGTCACATTGTGATCACAACGAAAATTGCCGGCATCAGCAATGGTTAATTCCATTGCAAACCTCTCCTGAAAAGAGTCTGTTTCTGTCACGTACGAATTCCATCAATGAACTTTGTGACATACACGTATTTGATACTTGATACAAGATACAGGATACGTGGCATGTATTTGATACATCTTCAACAACGGAGAAAGTTTGGAAATCTTGTTTAGGCGTGATCATTCATTAAATAGATTTCAGGTCATTTTGCGAGATCTTTAACAAAGGTGACATCGATGACGGCTTATCCTTGTTCTGTTTCTGTGTAACACTTACAACATATACTTTCACTTACATTGGCTATTTCATGTATATGTCAGCTTCTATATCCACATCATGGTCCTCGTTTTCATTATACGCAACAAAAAAGGACCACCCCAATATTCAATATTTAAGCATTGTATGGAACATAATATGAACTATTAAATACTTTAATATTGAAAATTGGGGTGGTCCTTAACGTTTATTGTTGAGTATATTATTATTGTTATTCTATGTGAGCTCTATTTTTTTTTGCATAAGAGATTACATATTCTGTCACTGTGTCGAAACACAGAGCACGTATTCCCTGCCTGGGCTGAAAGAAAGACTGCACGTCCTAACTCCGCTTACAAAATTTTTACTTTCATGTTACATCTCCAAGACTTAATCTGCAATCTAAGGCACGTTCACTCATTCTGTTTTTAAGCAGAAAAACATAATGAAGAACAAAAGAAATTCATTTCACATTGGTTACCTGCGCACAAAGGAAGGTTGCACGTCCTAACCTCGGAGTCCTCGGTAGAACCAGAACAGAAGGGTTGACCTGGCTGCTGGTTGCAGGTCCTACTTCGAGTGGCAGTTCGTGTCACACCAGCACCACATGTTCTTGAACATCCGGGATCGATCCATTGGCCCCAGTTGTTCCAGGTTGATTGTACTGTTTTATATAGGTGCCAGTCAACAATATACAGTCCCCGCAAATGATAATCATGTCATTCAAAGGTTATTCAAGGAGTATAAATAACTTTATCAAGTTTCGGTATTACATAAGCATGCTTTTTTTACATACTGTGTTGACGAAATTGACGCGCTTACCATGAAATTTCAAGTTCTGATACAAGTAACTTTTCATTCGAGTGAAGTAACGTGGTATTGTACTCAAGAGTTGGCTTTGGTCGTCGTTAAATTCATCCACGAGTTGAAATGTCAATTTTTTTCAAGATTAGACATGACATAAACATGGATTTGTTACAAGAAGTAATGTATAGTTTACTGTAGTACTGACATTCACCATTTGTACAGATATAAACAACGTTTCATTCAAAGCAAAATTATTACTTAGATAAATGCAATATTTTATTAGCAAAAATCAATAAATGTATCATCCTTACATTTCTAACATATTTTCATCTGTAGGAATTTGTTTTATAGGTTGTATACTGTGTTAACGTACTCTGAAATGTGAAGTTCTAATGGAATGAAATTCTGTAGTAAGGTCGATTGCTATTTCTCAAGTTTCCTATCAGTCTTACATATTTAAATAACTAGAGAATTCTAATATGTCTGTATGTTTTATCTAGGTTCAGAAACCATTAAGAATCTGTATATTTTGTTCCATTGATTCCATGGATGTAATTGTAAGTATCTTATTGCTTAACGTGTAAGCAGCTATATCCATAATACTTTGTGTTCCTTATATCAAAGATATCGCTTCTTAAATAATATATAGGCATTTACACGTCAATAAAGAAAAAAAACTACAGAAAAGGAAAGAAACAAATGAGTATGCATTGATGTAAAAACTTTTGAAGTACCTACCACATATGGAGGGTCCACACGAAAATTCATTGGTCACTCTGCCAAGGCCCGAACATGATGCGCCACCATTACTGGGAGGTGGGTTATTACAGAGCCTGGACCTGGTGATGGTCGTTATGGCTGTAGGTCCGCATGTGGCAGAGCATTGAGGCGCACTCCACTGTGTCCATTGACCCCAGTTTCCATTAACTGAAAGTTGTAATTAAGCAATAGGTAAGTCACGATATAATATATTTTGTGGGTATTTAAGCTAGGTATCAACAATACATGTAAAGTTATGGAAGCACCATTCCCCAAAACATCAGATTTAAAGAGAGTGCATGAAATCTTAAAAGAACTGACATTTCATGCATAAGCATTTCTATTTCCAAATAATAGCGACACAATTATACATCTCTCGACTGTACAATTCTGACTATATCGTGAGCATGTGTTTTCAATCACTGACAAAAATATATAGGGTGTTCACGAAATAACAAAGGCAAGTCACATCTTCACATAAGATTCGGAAAAGTACGGTGCAAGTAGAAATAGGGAACTGCACTGGACATAATTTTGTCAACGATGTGTCAACATTTGAATTTCCTTCATATGTGTACCATACAACTTTTTGAAAGCTTTAACCTTGCCTTGAATGTTGTAACCTTGATCGACAAACATTTACTGTCAAACTTTACGAAGATTTTATGAATGAGGCATTTCACATTTTGTTTTCTCAGTAATTTGCAGATGGCATTACTTTCATTCTTGACAAAATGTCACTATCCTCTGAAGTTGGATAAGTCACCCTATCTATGCTCATCACGGTTATTAATAAAAGCCCCATGAATAAAGGAATGAAGTATTTCCTTAAGTCTGTCCTGTGGGATAGTCTTGTATGACACTGGAAAATCAAATGTTTTGATACTGAACTGAACTCGGTCCGTTTCTGAGATTGCAAATATTCAAGCACAAGTTTCTTAGAATCCTCATGACATTGATTCCGCTTGTTTCAAATACTTTCTGTGAATATAGAGAGAGTCTTTCCTTGAAGGGTTGTGATTTATCTTTCAGACAGTCATTTTGGTGATACATTTGCTGGGTACAACAATATCTCTCTCTTTGCATGGGCTTTCTAAAGTTTTGGAAGCCAGTAGAAAAGGAGAATGGGTTCAGGCTTTAGAGTAAAGCCAAAGGGTGATAATACCGATGACTGGTTTCCACAGATTACCTTAAGTTAAAATACTGGCCTAATATATGTTTCATTAGATGCTTGGTTGGCATTTAAGAAGATGATATTTGATGAACATAGAGATTTTTTCTGGGTTACATCTTCTTTTCATTCTCGAGTACAACGTTTCAGGGCTTGTTCTGGCCCCATCATCATCATCATCAGTTTTACCTGATGATGGGGCCAGAACAAGCCCTGAAACGTTGTACTCGAGAATAAAAAGAAGATGTAACCCAGAAAAAATCTCTATGTTCATATGTTTCATTGTTTGATATAACCATTTCAATAATTGGGAATTATGAATTCACTTAGGAATCCAAGGAATACATTGTGTGATATCATGTGTGAAGCCTGCAACATCATTACTCTTAAACACCGATGTAGTGATAATAATGTGATAAATTCTAAATGTTTATGTTCAGACAATAATACAAAGGCAATGAAAACATAACAATGTAAGTAACAATATCCATCAAAGTCGTGACAGTTTCCTGATATGTTTCACTTGTTATGTTCAGGAAATGATATGAATACAGCTGCACTTTATGAAAACTTGTCACTTTGTCTCTGACCCACTGTCCCATGGTTTTGTAATACCTATTTCAATATCTCTATTAACGGAACCTTACGGTTGCAACTTTGGTAGCATACGTGTATTTATCAAAAATTTCAAAATAACAATGTTTTTTTTCTTGCTGCTTCCCTCAATTGTACATATTTCCAGTGATTTCCTAAAATTACGAAATTTTGGTCGTTTTCTGGTACTATCGATTAATTTCTCGTTAGATTAAGTCTTCGAGAAAATAATCTTAAGTACCAGAATATTTAAAATTTCAAGAAAGTATAAAACGAGAGAGGAAAATACCAACGTTTGAAAGAATGGAATTAGAAATTCGTGTTTTTACAATAAACTTGAAATGAGGAGAAATTAGTCGGAAAATTAGAAAACAATCCAAGAAACGACAAATAACTCTACATTTCGAAGAATATTTAAGCAAGAAAATATTTTAAACACCGAGAGAAAAAGGCACATATCAAGTTTTTCAAATAACTAAATTACTAGGAAACAATCTAAATTACAAAAATATATCAACATTTCAAAAATACACACCACTCATAGTGAAATAACGAGAACGTAATGTTCATTAATAATTTATGCTCTTGAAGTGCCAACATCAGGCTTTCTTAGCTATCACTCTAATGGTAAGTACTGCTGGATGTGTAATGGTATATGTACAAGAACGAATATTTGATGTTGCTAAGGGACAAGGCTAAATATCCTATTACAGAAAGGAAATGGTATATATGTTGCCTACCTGGGCACAATGGAAGCTCGCACGCCCTAACTTCGGAAACCTCGTTAGAACCAGAACAGAACGGTTGACCTGGCTGCTGGTTGCAGGTCCTCCTTCGAGTGGCAGTTCGTGTCACACCAACACCACATGTCCTTGGACATCCGGGATCGATCCATTGGCCCCAGTTATTCCATGTTGAAGTCACCGAATCTGTCACATAGGAAGATTGTCGAATGAGGAAGACACTATATTTATTCTAAAGGCAACAGCAATTTCTTGGAGGCTATTGGAGAATTATTCTTAAAACAGATGCTTCTCTTATCTTGTGATCAGGTAGAGTTAATCATTGTATAGAAAAATGAGAACTTGGCAATTCACGTGGCGTGACAAAACTAAAATTCATTGCACTAACCACCAGAACTCATTCTGACACAAAAGAGTACTGTCAATTCGTATACAACAGGAAGTTAAATATATTTGATCATGTCTCTTGAATGAAGATTGGATTGTGACCGACATCACAGCCATATTCCCATTGCGTATCACCTAAATTCATATTCTAATCATTTGAACAGAAAACTCAACATCAATATAGTCCTCAAACTGAATTAGACCCGTGAAGATCCGGGTTAGAATTGATCTTCAGTAACCCATACTTGTCGTAAGAGGCGACTAACGGGATCGGGTGGTCAGGTGCGCTAACTGGGTTGACACATGTCACCGTATCTTAATTGCGTAGATCGATGTTCATGCTCTTGATCACTGGATTGTCTGGTCCAGACTCGATTATTTACAGACCGCTGCCATAAAGCTGGAATATTGCTAAGTGCGGCGTAAAAGTAAACTCACTCACTCACTCAAACATAATTAAGACAACAGAACCGTGCTTTAAACTAAAATGTAATATGAAGGTATACATTGATACAAATATATCTTGAAGTACGCACCACAGATGGAAGGTCCACACGATAACTCATTATTGACTGTGCCTTGGCCTGGACAGGAAGCACCACCATTGCTGGGAGGTGGGTTATTACAGGACCTGGATCTGGTGATGGTGCGAATGGCTGTAGGTCCGCATGTGACAGAACATGGAGGTCCACTCCACTGTGTCCATTCACCCCAGTTCCCATTTACTGAAATCGTTAATTAAACAGTAGTTTTATCAAGGTTTACATATTTTGAATGTATTGAAGCTACGTATGCATAATGCATGTTTTGTTACTGCGTCACATTTCCAAATTACAGCAGATTGAGTGTACAGTACCAGAGTATAGGAAGCCTTATAGAAAAGACAATTACGATTTCATTAATGACTTCAAGGATTTTATTGTGTGGCATTAAATATAAATTCACCGCACATGAACACTAAAATAATGATAATTTTCCGTTGGATTTTGTTTTCAAGATTTCTCGTCATTTTGTCTCTGGCGCACTGGCACACAACCATTTATTGCACATTGCAGTGTCAATATCTATGAAGGAATATATAAGTTTTGCAAAAATGTCGTTAATTCAACCATATTTTGATTATTTCACATCATTTCAAGTAAAAGAGTTCTAGTTTAAGAATATATATTATGGTAAAGCCTTGAAACTTCGAGAACAGTAAGCGTGTAAAAATAATGAACGTATCGAGACACAAAGTAATAATTTCCTAATATCCATTTGAAATAAGGGCAAAACAATCGGAATGACTGTAAAACAGTCGAAGTAACTAAAGTAACTCGAAATCTTGAGAAAAACATGAAATAATCAGAAACTGATCATAGTGACGAAAAACGAATCGCAATATTTTCAAAATATTTGAAATTATTAGAAAGCAATCAGATTTAAGAAAACATATAAAAATTCTTAGAAAAAAATCAAATGCATCGACAAAAAAGAAGGAATAATTGAAATAAGGAGGACTTTCAGGTTGGAAACTATATTTATGCTACCAAACTATCACAATTTCACTGTCATGGGAATACATCTCAAGGTCAATTCTTCTAGGTTGTGTCATTTTCTATTGACGAGAGTGTATTTTCAATTATACATTCATTCTGCCGTGAGATAGAAAGATATTTCACATTGCTTACCTGGGCACAAAGGAAGGCTGCATGCCCTAACCTCGGAGTCCTCGCTAGGACCAGAACAGAAGGGTTGACCTGGCTGCTGGTTGCAGGTCCTCCTTCGAGTGGCAGTTCGTGTCACACCAACACCACATGTCCTTGGACATCCGGGATCGATCCATTGGCCCCAGTTATTCCATGTTGAAACTAATTGATTACATTGTGGAGTTAATTTTGATGAATTGCCAGCTAATTGTTCTTGCTATGGCATTAGGATGTGCAAAAGAGATACTTTGTGATAAGACACATGCTCTTTCACACATGTTTTGATAAAATGTTCATATTCAACATGTACAAATGTTGGATTGGTAAATTCAGGAAATACAATAAACGTTTTAGTGACAAGAAAATGATTATGTTCTATTTGGTATGCATTATATATCCGAACCTGATCTGAATAAAGACAGACACTGACGCCAAAAGTAACATAAGGATACCTGTCTGCAAGGGAAGATAACCCATCCAGGTTCATTTTTGTGGGCATGTTCGGGTCCTGTCTCAAGTGTACGTCATCGTAAAATTGATAATATATTCGAGTGAGTGAGTTTAGTTTTACACCGTACTCCGCAGTATTCAAGCTATATGACGGCTATCTGTAAATAATCAAATCTGGACCAGACAATCCAGTGATCAACAGCATGAGCACTGATCTAACGCAATTAGGATACGATGACATGTGTCAACAAAGTCAGCGAACCTGACCACGCGATCCCGTTAGTCGCCTCTTACGACAAGCAAGGGTTACTGAAGATCAATTCTAACTCGGATCCTCACGGGTGATAATATATTCGAAGTAACGGAAAAATATGTGAATGGCATATTTTTAAATTCTTCTTGTAATATGGAGACATCATTCGGAATCACTATAAAACAATCGAAGCAACGGAAAATATATCCATTTTTTCAAAATATATGAAACAACCAGAAAATAACCAAAGTGATGAAAAAACGATTGAAACATCAACTATATGCAGTGTACTTGAAATTACTAGAAAACAGTCACGTTAAGGAGAACATATATGCAACAACCTTCCAATATTTGAGAGAAAATTAAATGAACAATTGAAACAATGAGAACTCCACTTGGACAAATAGATTTATGCAACGAAAGTGGCACCATTTGACTATATCACACTCTACATAATGATCAAATCATGTAGGTTGTGTAATGTTACATGAACGAACTATTCTTTATATTATTCTGAAAATAGGTTTCTACATTCTGTCGTAGGGTAGAAAAAATCCATTTCACATTGCTTACCTGGGCACAAAGGAAGGCTGCATGCCCTAACCTCGGACTCCTCAGTAGGACCAGAACAGAAGGGTTGACCTGGCTGCTGGTTGCAGGTCCTTCTTCGAGTGGCAGTTCGTGTCACACCAGCACCACATGTCCTTGGACATCCGGGATCGATCCATTGGCCCCAGTTATTCCATGTTGAAACTACATGATTACATTGTGGAGTTAATTTTGATGAATTGCCAGCTAATTGTTCTTGATATGGCATTAGGATGTACAAAGGAGATACTTTGTGATAAGACACATGTTCCTCTTCACGAGTTCTGATAAAATGTTCATATACATGTACAAATGTTGGATTAGTAAATTCAGGACATACGATAAATATGTTAGTCAAATGCTTATGTTTAATATGCTGAACCTGATCTGAATAATGGCAGACACGGACACCAAATTAGCATAACAAGCCCTGCCTGCAAGGGAAGATAATGCATCCAGATTCATGTTTGTGGTCATGTTTCAAGTGTAAATAATCTTAAGATTGAGATCATAATCGAAGTATTGAGAATATCGAAGATTGAGAATATAATCGAAGTAACCAAAACATATACTAATGTCCTGCTTGTTTTATAATCTACTTGAAATATGAAACAAATAATCGGAATCTCTGTAGAACAATCGAAGTAACGACAAATAAATCGAGATATTTAGAAAATACAAGAAATAACAAGAAACTATACAAAATGATGAGAAAAGAAATGAAACATGAGCTGTATTAGATATACTTGAAATTACTTGAAAACAATCAATTTGGGGAAAACATAATCGTGGATATTAAACGATCTTCAAATATTTGAGCAAACATTACATGAATAATTGAAATAATGGGAACGTCCAGTTGAAAAAATATATCTATGCCACCAACGTGGCACCTTGTGACTGTCGGAGCAATTTACCTAATGGTCAAATCTTATAGGTTGTGTGATATTATACGAACTATTATCTTTCTTATTCTGGAACAAGTTTCTACAGTCTGTCATGAAGAACACAAAACATCTTTTCACATGCCATACCTGGGCACAAAGGGAGGCTGCACGCCCTAACCTCGGACTCCTCAGTAAAACCAGAACAGAACGGTTGGCCTGGCTGTTGGTTGCAGGTCCTCCTTCGAGTGGCAGTTCGTGTCACACCAACACCACATGTTCTTGGACATCCGGGATCGATCCATTGGCCCCAGTTATTCCATGATGATTGTTCTGTTTTAACAATTTGATTGTGGTGTGAATCCATATGCAGAATGATTAGCTTGGTTGTTTAGACTCACATGATTGACATAGATGCCAGCGAACCAGTTATCATCAAAACAAATAATTATCACATCATGTCGCTGAGAAGTTCTTGAAGGGATATAAAGAGAAGAGACTTTTTGTGGGTATCCGACTACACGTTTATGCCATCATAAACTTTATCAAGCTTCGATATAACATAAACGTGTGTTTTTTTCTTTACAAGAAATGACTAATGTTCAATGTATTGTATATTGTGTTAATGATATTCACACCTTATCCTAAAACCTTAAAGATATTTTTATTCAAGTGAAGTAAGATGTTATTTCAATCACGGTATTTAGTATCATACATACGATATTTTATTGCTTTATCACATGTCAATAAATTTATCATCAATATATATGTAACATATTTGTGTATATAAATATAGTTAAAAAATCGTTAGGAATCTGTTTTAATGAAAATATTTTGTCTTAGTGATTTAGGTCATGGAGATACGACTTCAATGCTAAGCCTATATAGAACTGTATCCACAATACTTGTGTCTTTCTTTAAACGTTCATTACAAGAAAAACCCTGCTTCCAATAAAAAGCAAGGACCATTAATTCAGGAAAACAATACTGTTTTACAATAGATGAAGGAAAACAATGAGTATACAATGACGGAAAGATACGTAGTTTACGAACCACAAATTGACGGTCCACACGAGAGCTCATTGGTTACTGTGCCTTGGCCTGGACAGGAAGCACCACCATTGCTGGGAGGTGGGTTATTACAGAGCCTGGATCTGGTGATGGTGCGAATGGCTGTAGGTCCGCATGTGACAGAACATGGAGGTCCACTCCACTGTGTCCATTCACCCCAGTTCCCGTTTACTGAAAGCGTTAATTAAACAATAGTTACGTCAAGGTTTACATATTTTGAATGTATTGAAGTTACGTATGAATAATGCATGTTATGTTATTGCTTGGAAAGGCGAATGTATCTTGCCCACCGTTGGAACCCATCATGACCAAACGCAAAGGTTATTCAAATAGAACGATTTCAGTAATGTATGGCTCAAGTCAAATTAGGCAATTGCATTATGCATCATATTTATTGCAGATGCGTCTACTTTTGCAATTTCCTCCATACGCCTACTATACAATTTGCTGAAAGCATTACAGAGTCCTTGAATGTTGTAAGATTAACCCGATCGAGAATAGTACGACGCTCTTTCAAATTTTGGTAAAAGGATCATGCTCGATTGTACCTAAAATACCTGATTGTCAAATGTACAGATGGTAGGCTGTGTCTGTTGGAATATTGCTCGACATAAAGGCAAAACATGCTGTTCGAATGTTGAAATCACCACTTTAGTCATACACCCTTGTGGGTAATGTCACACTAGATCTTTATCCATAGATCTAAATATGACATTGTCTCACGTGTCTCCTTTAGCTCAAACCCATTCTGGTAAGTTCGAACAAAGAACTGGCCATTAGATGGCTCTTGAAAGATGTTAGATCATCGATATACCTAAAGTTAAGCTCAAACTTATCATACAATGTACCTTGTTTTGATTTTGAAAACCCGAGTAGAATTCTGATTCATATGCATACCAAAACTGGTCCGGAGGGGAGGACAACTGATGCCCATGTGGATGCCTGCTTTTTGTCTAAGTGGTTTACCCCTGAAGTCTACGCAGATATTATCAATTAGGAAGTCCAGGATTTCACATACTATTTTCTCAATACACTGTAAATAATATATAGAACATAATAAAAATCCTTGATAGTTTTCAGGGTTGTGGTTTATATTTGGGATGGGATTTTGGTGGTACATTTGCTGGGCCTAACAATATATCTCTCTTTGTTCGGATATTTATAGAGCATTAAAATCCAGTACAAAAATAATGATATGTCTTCAGGTTGATAAGCCAAAAGCTGATAATGACGATGGCTTGTTCAGGCATGTTTTTCAGTTAACATCATAGCCTCATATATGTGCCATCATTTAAATTAAATTATTGCCACTTATCAATTATGTGTGTATCCAAGGAATACACTGTGTGACATTATATGTGAATTCTGCTACCTCATTGCTAATAAACACCAAAGTAGTGATACTTTTGTGATAGATTTCAAATGTTTATGTTCAGGCAATGATATAAACACAAGATAAACTTAATCGACGTATCAACAAACAAAAGATGAAATTGCGAGATTTTGAAAGAAACTTAAAATAGATTGAGAAAACAATCAAAGTAATAAGAGTCAAAGCCTCATTTCCATCTTTCACAGTGCCTTGAAAGGAGAAATCAATCGGAATTACCAGAACGAAGTCGAAGTTTTGACGAATAACTCACATCATTCGCGAAAAAGTTTGAAACAGTAAAACTCAATAATCGAAGCAAAAATAAAAAATAAACAGCGAACAATCGAAATTACGAAAATATAAGGTGTACACACAAAGGTGTACACTTTCCGACTGAAACATATTTTATGCTCCCAAAATGGAACCATCGGGTTTGTATAGCTATCTATGAAATGGCCAGTCCTGTAGGTTGTGTAATGGTATAGTATATACAGTATACCCTGGTTATAATGTCCCGTTCATCCAGGAGCAAAAATGGCATTATATCCAGGGTGGCATTATAACCAGGTAGGACAGTTAGAGGCCCTATGCAATCAACAAGGTGATTGGGCTGATTGAATGGCTGGATGACCCCTACGTGTACCGGCGTCTACCGACTGCAGGTGACTTGTTGTAGGAGGTAGGGAGCGCATTGTCACATGTGTTATCCCATTTGGGATTACATGAGTACTTAAAGCATTTGGTCAATTGGTTTGAGTCATGTCAAGTAACCAATTAAGGTATGTATACTACATGCAGATAGTGTAAATGGCATCATAACCAGGGGAAATGGCTTTTGTTCCAAAAACCATTGGCAAATGGCATAATATCCAGGGTGGCATTATGACCACGATGCACCGTATATACTATATATACAAGAACGATTCTTTTATATTGTTCTAGGGAAATTTCATGTTGCTTACCAGGGCACAAAGGAAGTTCGCACACCCTAATCTCGGAAACCTCATTAGAGCCAGAACAGAACGGTTGACCTGGCTGCTGGTTGCAGGTCCTCCTTCGGATAGCAATTCGTGTATCACCAGCACCACATGATCTTGGACATCCGGGATCGATCCACTGGCCCCAGTTATTCCATGTTGAAGTCACCGAGTCTGTCATATAATACTATTGTTGAGACATGAAGGCTCTGTACTAATCTAGGTGCAACAGAATTATCGTAGAAGCTATTGGGGAAGTATCCTTAAAGATATATATGCTTCCCTCATCTTCTCTTAGGGGGAGGCAACGATTAATATATGAAAATGACCCATTGTCAATTCACAATATGTGACAAAACTGTAATTCACGCTTGAAACCCTGAGTTTGTTCCGCTGTACTAATCACCAGAATTCCGACACATCAGATTACTCGTCACCTCAATAAGAACAATAAAGCATAATCTTATAAAGATAGAATAAGGGTATTCATTTGAGATAAACACAGCCCACCATTAGCATTTCTCTCTCTGAAAAGTATATATTATTATTATAGGATATTTATATAGCGCACATATCCAGGCAACAAGTGCTTGCTCAAGGCGCTGGTATTTTCGCCTCGATCATTGCATGTCAATCTCAACGGCACATCATATTATCAATCTCAACTCCCTGAGGAATATACAACTCTTGCAGCAACTAGGCGCACCGAGTTATTGTGGCTTTCTCATCCCAACGAGGTACCCATTAACAGCTGGGTGGATTGGGACACATAGTCACAGTACTTTGTCCAAGTTCACTGCACGTTGTTGTACCCGCAACTAGGTGTTTGCACGTATTCATGTGGCCACCATCTGGTCATATACCAACGGATGCGTGGGTTCGTTTAAGTGCACAGGGTTGTGTACTCCACACTAGGTGTTGTGACAACACTGAAAGAGTCTGCACACAAAGTTTTTTGGTCACAGGTTGGCTCGATCCCGACACCTCAACCTCGCTGGATCACTAGCCTGGCGCCTTAGCCAGCTCGCCCAGCTCGCCCACCGCGCCCCCATCATATATTCATGATAATGTCTTGAATGGCAGTTACAATACCGACACCGCAGTCATATTCTCATTTCGTATCACCTAAATTCATAGCTGGGTGTTAAATGTCATCGTCAAGATAGTCTTCAAGGGGGGTTAAGAAAATAGAACCGTCCTTTTTAAACACAACAACATGAACGTATACTCTGATATCTTGAAGTACGCACCACAGATGGAAGGTCCACACGATAATTCATTATTGACTGTGCCTTGGCCTGGACAGAATGCACCACCATTGTTGGGAGGTGGGTTGTTACAGGACCTGGATCTGGTGATGGTGCGTGTGGCTGTAGGTCCGCACGTGACAGAACATGGAGGTCCACTCCACTGTGTCCATTCACCCCAGTTCCCATTTACTGAAAGCAGTGATTAAACAATAGTTACGTCAAGGTTTACATAATTTGAATGTATTGAAGTTACGTATGAATAATGCATGTTATGTTATTGCTTGAAAGCAGTGATTAAACAATAGGAAGGATTCGGATTATATATGCTGCGTGTATTGAAGTTACGTATGGATAATGAATGTATTTTCTTTGACACACCTTTCCCAATTGCATCTAATAAACAGTAAGAGATCCTATAGAACAGGCATTTCTGGCATCAGCAATTTCGTAATTCCAAAACCACTCGATGACATTTTTGCTTATTACGAATTTACTAATGAATCCAAGGAATTCCTTATTTGACATTATGTGTGAATTTTGCGACATCTAACTCGTGATAATTTTCTGATAGATGATAATTATGAACACAGGCTCATCTGATGAAGATTTCTCGTTATTTTGCCTTTGATATACTTTTACAATACAACAGAATGCATACGAGTATTTTGATGTCCCTGTCTATGGAAGCCACTATGGTAGCATACATACATTTTTACAGATCCAAAGTTCTCGTTACTTCATTTATGCGTTATGATTTTGCAAACATTCGGGCCTTTTCATCGATTATATTTCCGTCAAGTTGATTTCAAGTCTAATTTGTCTTATTGTATTTTAACACCTTGAAACTTTGAGAACATCTTCTAGAGCATGAATAAATAATCAAGTGACGAGATAAATTTTGACATGTTATCACTGAAATAACGAGAAATAAATTATAACCACAGTAATGAGAAAATAGACTTAAAAAAACAAACCGAACAATGAATTGAAATAACGAGAATATTTAATTTTAAACATACATAATGCCACAAATGCGGCACCATTTGCTTATTCTGACTGTCTACCTCATGGCCAAATCATGCAGGTTTTGCAATGTTGTATGGAGGAACTAGTCGTTTAAGTCATTGAGTAGAAGTCCATTTCACAGTGATTACCTGGACACAAAGGAAGGCTGCACGCCCTAACCTCGGACTCATCGCTAGGACCAGAACAGAACGGTTGGCCTGGCTGTTGGTTGCAGGTCCTCCTTCGAGAGGCAGTTTGTGTCACACCAGCACCACATGTTCTTGGACATCCGGAATCAGTCCATTGGCCCCAGTTATTCCATGTTGAAACTACATGATCACATTGTGGAGTTAATTTTGATGCATTCCCTGCTCAGCGGTCTTGATTGGGCAATAGAATGTGCAAAGGAGATACTTTGTGATAAGACACACATTCTCTCTTCGCATGAACTCATAAATGGTCACTTTTGAAACGTACATATGTTGTCCATTGATAATCATGAAATAATAATAAATTACATGTATAATAAAAATACACTTGCATAGCGCGTGTATGTAGGTAGGTTATGTAATGTTATATGCACGAACTTCTCTTTTCATTATTCTGGAATAAGGTTATACATTCTGCCATGGACTGGAAAAAGAAATAAAAATATCACATGACTTACCAGGGCACAAAGGAAGGATGCACGCCCTAACCTCGGACTCATCGCTAGGACCAGAACAGAAGGGTTGACCTGGCTGTTGGTTGCAGGTCCTCCTTCGAGTGGCAGTTCGTGTCACACCAACACCACATGTTCTTGGACATCCGGGATCGATCCATTGGCCCCAGTTATTCCAAGTTGATACTACATAATTACATTGTTGAGTTAATGGTCATGCATCCTCTGCTCGTTGATCTTGATAGGGCAATAAGATGTGTAAAGGAGATACTTTGCGATAATACACATTCTCTCTTCGCATGATCGCATAAACAGCTCGCATTCGAAATGTACAAATGTTGGATTAGTAAATTCAGGAGACACGATAAACATGTAAGTATATATTATATACTGTTATAAGGACGAAATACTATTTTTGTATTCTGGAGCAAGGTTATACATTCTGACATGGACTAGAAAAACAAAAAACAGTATCACATTGCTTACCTTGACACAAAGGAAGGTTGCACGTCCTAGCCTCGGACTCCTCAGTAGGACCAGAACAGAAGGGTTGACCTGGCTGTTGGCTGCAGGTCCTCCTTCGAGTGGCAGTTCGTGTCACGCCAACACCACATGTCCTTGGACATCCGGGATCGATCCACTGGCCCCAGTTATTCCATGTTGAAACTACATGATTACATTGTTGAGTTAATGCTCATGCATCCTCTGCTCAATGTTCATTGTAAATTCAGGAGATAATGTAAGCATATAAGTGACAAGAAAATACTTATGTTCTAATTGTTATGCATTTTCTACCTGATCCTAGTCTAAATAAATACAGAAACTGACGTCAGAGTAACATAAAAAGCTAAGGACCTGTCTGCAAGGGAATATCCCCACTTACGGTACATGTTTTTACACGTTCGGGTCTCAAGGATAAAGTCATCGACGTAACGACAAAACCCCTAGAAATTACTAGATAATAATAGCAATACTGAGAAAGTAATTGAAGTAAAGAGAGCAAATCTTAGTTTGCTGTTTTTAAATGCACAGGACATAAACAAAACGTAATTGGATTAATGTAAAACGAGGGAAGTAACGACAAAAATCTCTAACTTTTTGGGGAAAAAATTAAATAACGACAAAGTAATGGAAGTGACTACAAAAAATAGAAATATCAATTATTTTGAATATACTTGAAATTACTATAAACAATAATCATTACGAAACCATATTGGAAGTAATGAGAAAACACTAGTATATTTGAAACAAAACCGAAACTAATATATTGATGTGAGACCTTTTAGTTTGGTGGTATAAATATAATTCTTGAAGTGGCACCGTTTAACTTTGAATAATATGAAAAATTAGAACGTCCAAACTATATCTATTCCATATGGTGGTACCTTTTGCCTGTCCTACGAAACAACCAAGTACAGTCAGGCCGCGGTAATCCGGTCCTCGTTAATCCGAATCCCCCGACTTCCGAACGCTACTCACCGGGCACCAAATCATCTCCCTATATATTGTATATAATTGACACCTCGTTAGTCCGATGATTCAGCTTCCGCCTCCGAACGCTGGTCAGTCGGAACGGATTGGACTAATTAAGTTGTTAACAGCTGCGTTAATCCGAACGATTGAAGTTGACCGCGCTGCTGACTGGTCCACCCAAAGTGACACGTTGTTTGTTTAGCGACTTAGCGACTCATCCCTTTGATCCCTTTATCATAAGTGATAGGGAAATTTCGACGAACACGCTGTTTGGGAAAGACTTCAATCCAGAAATATATGCTCGGTACCGAATTAAAATTATAAACTATTTTTCGCAATGTTATTGAAAACGATTCTCGGACACATACTTCGGCAGCGGGTCCACAATAGCATTGTCAAAGAGCAAAGTAACGATGTAAATTGAATAAACTAATGAATAAAATCCATAATTTACGTATAGGTAGCGATTTCTTGCTTAATATGTTCAAAATAGCATTATTTTACCCAAAACTTTCGTCTAAATCTAAAAGTTTTCGTTTACTTAGGTCACGTGTCTGATTTTGACCAATCACGACCCTTATAGCAGACTGTAGCGAAAAAGCGTCATTAGAAACCAATGTTTATCCAATAAAATCGCTTCTTACAACTGTGAAAATACTCTCGGCAAGGGTTCAGTGATGTTGTTGATGTTCAGAGCTTTCGAACGATACCCGACATCAAACGATTCGCCTCCCATGTTATTCATACGACGCTTCGAAAACGGAGGTATTTTCCGTTGTTATGTCATGTTACCGAGCGGAAAGCCACAGATATCGGGAAATAGGCGACCATACATATTATTTAAGAAATCTTTTTATAATAATTTTCTGATGACGTAAAAATGAAAATATAAAAGAAAAAGGCACGGGCATGTTATGACATGTCTCAAATGGAAAAAAATCGCCATAGTTTTTTAATAACATTATAAAAATAAACTTCATATTTATCAACAGTAGGATTAGATCTTTTAAATGGTGTATGGGATGTAGTAGCAATAACGTTTTACAAGCTTATAATTTCCTTCATAAACATATAGGCTTCATCTCTCACCTCAGAGTCTCGATAGTAAGGAAAGATATCAAGGGGAAGTAACTCGGTGCATATACTGTGGTTTCAGCAGTACGAACGTTTCACTATCCGAACGTTTTTTTTAAAAAACCAAAGTGTTCGTATTAGGTTGTGTAATGTTATAAAAACTAACATTTCTTATTTTGGAATAGTTTTATACATTATGTCATGGCGTAGATAAAAATATCACATAGCTTACCTGGGCACAAAGGAAGGCTGCACGCCCTAACCTCGGAGCCCTCACTAGTACCAGAACAGAAGGGTTGACCTGGCTGCTGATTGCAGGTCCTACTTCGAGTGACAGTTCGTGTCACACCAACTCCACATGTCCTTGGACATCCGGGATCGATCCATTGGCCCCAGTTATTCCATGTTGTAACTATATATCAAGAAAGTGACATGAAAATGATCTTCTATTATCTGTTATGCATTATCTGCGTAAACCTCGTCTGAATGAATTGCTGAGTGCGGCGTAAATATAAATTCACTCACCCAGTAGTCTGAACGAAAGCAGACTCGGACGCCTTGACATTACAAAGGAGATATTTCGTGATAAGACACATTTTCTCATCTCACCATGCTCCTATATAATGCTCATATTCGAAACGTACAAATGGTCGATAAATAACTTCAGGAGATAACATATAAGTGAAATGAAAATGCTTGTGATCAATTTGTTACGCATTATCTACCTAAAACTAGTCTGAAAGAAGAAAGACACGGACGCCAAAGTAAACTAACACGATCTGTCTGCAAGTCAAGATAACCCATTTAGGTTCCTGCCACATCTCAAATGTAAATAATCGTATGTTTGAGAATATAATAGAAGTAATACAAAAATCATCCTAATGCCCTGTTTTTAAAGTCTACTTGAAACATAGAGAAAATAAAGTGTAACAGAGAAGGATTATGATGTCATAATACCATAACTAGACATTGGGACAATATAGGGAGTTAGTATTTGCCTGATTTTAAATTTCGAGTCTGGTCCAGACAATCCAGGGATTGACATTATGAGCACCTATCTACGCAATTGGTGACTTGACTACAGGATCCCGTTAAACGTTGCTTAGAACAAGCACTGGTTGCTGAAGATCAATTTCTACCCAGATCTTCAGGGATTAACCACTACCAAAATGGTTCTGATCGTTAGTTCGAATCCTTGATTATGATCACTTTTTGCACGTTAGGATTTAACGAATGTTGTAATTTGCATCGATCATATGCTCAAAACAGAGATGGACTCACTCATTTTCAAGTATACCACGTCTGTTTTGACGAACGTCAATGAGAAAATAGAAACTAATTTATACCCACCACAGACAGCAGGCGCACAATCTTGGACTTCACTTTGGCGGTTTTCTCCAGGACAGGAAGCGCCACCACTACTGGGAGCTGGGTTGTTACACGACCTGATTCTTTCAACGTTGCGTCTTGCTGTAGGACCACACGTGGCGGGACAAGGGGGGCCGCTCCACTGTGACCATGTACCCCAGTTCCCGTCAACTGGACCTACAAATACACGTATACTGGTTTATAATTAGTATCAAGAATAGATGGAGATAAGCGACAAAAATTCCGAAAAATATTCACACATCCCCAGGACACCTGACTGGAGGTAGATGGCAGAGATGTCACGACCACTGTTTACAAAGATGTGTTCCTCAAACGCAACAATAAACCCGACGGGGTTGATATGGTTGCAGCACAACATCACTGTCATCCCTGTTCTGAACTGTAGGTAAATTAATTATTTAAACAGAACCATATCGTATATATCCTAGTGACATACTTTTGGCATAAATTTTGTATAACTTGTAACTGATGTGTGTCAGGGAAGACATTGAAATATATGTATGTTTCTCAGATCTAAACCAAGCAGGCTCATCTGACAATGCAGCTATTGACGTCATAAAATTCAGGATGGATTTTGTGTCACAAATGTTTGGTAAAACGTAAATAAAAAGAGCAAGAGGGAATTACCGGTTTCCGGTTGTATTTGAAGTTAACAATATGTTCTCAAATATATTACATCAAATGCGCCACTGTGGCGTCAACCGTGTAATAACATACCGCCACTGTGGCGTCAACCCTGTAATAACATATACCGCCACTGTGGCGTCAACTGTGTAATACCATATACCGCCACTGTGGCGTCAACTGTGTAATACCATATACCGCCACTGTGGCGTCAACCCTGTAATACCATATACCGCCACTGTGGCGTCAACTGTGTAATACCATATACCGCCACTGTGGCGTCAACCCTGTAATACCATATACCGCCACTGTGGCGTCAACCGTGTAATAACATACCGCCACTGTGGCGTCAACCCTGTAATACCATATACCGCCACGGTGGCGTCAACCCTGTAATACCATATTCCGCTACTGTGGCGTCAACCGTGTAATAACATACCGCCACTGTGGCGTCAACCCTGTAATACCATACACCGCCACTGTGGCGTCAACCGTGTAATAACATACCGCCACTGTGGCGTCAACCCTGTAATACCATATACCGCCACTGTGGCGTCAATACCGCCCGTCAACCCTGTAATACCATATACTGTGGCGCCACCATATACCGCCACTGTGGCGTCAACTGTGTAATACCATATACCGCCACTGTGTCAACCGTGTACCAACGTGTAATAACATACCGCCACTGTGGCGTCAACCGTGTAATACCATACCGCCATCACCGCATATACCGCCACTGGCGTCAACCCTGTAATACCGCCATATCACCGCCATATACCGTGGCATCAACCGTGTAATCACCATACCATATACCGCCACTGTGGCGTCAACCGTGTAATAACATACCCCACTGTGGCGTCAACCGTGTAATACCATATACCGCCACTGTGGCGTAATAATCACCGCCACTGTGGCGTCAACCGTGTAATACCATATACCGCAATGTGGCGTCAACCCTTTAATACCATATACCGCCCTGTATACCGCCACTGTGGCGTCAACCCCATATACCGCCACTGTAATACCATATACCGCCACTGTGGCGTCAACCGTGTAATACCATACCGCCACTGTGGCGTCAACCTTGTAATACCATATACCGCCACAGTGGCGTCAACCCTGTCAACATGTAATACCATATAATAACGTGTAATACCATACACCGCCCCAACTGTGTAATACCATATACCGCCAATGTGGCGTCAACCTAATGTATATACCGCCACTGTATCAACCCGCCACTGTGGCGTCAACCCTGTAATACCATATACCGCCACTTTGCTGTATATCTCCAAACCCCCTATACCATGGTTGACTCTGAGAAACAAAATGATTGATTCACGGATTCTGAGAGATAAAATGATAGCTAACAAGACTCACCAAAATTGATGATATAATATATGCTATATTTGGAGTTACACGTTCTTTGTAAAGTACAAATTCTAGTACTTGTCTTGGGTTGAGTCCCATCCGGGATTCGAACCCACACCCTCAGAGACAGGCACCTAATCGACAGCAGATTAGTGAGATGCCTAGACCCCTCAGCTACATAGGCTTCCACAAAAATGGAAGTCGGACAACTGGTAGTCTAGACTGCGGACTTTGTGAGCCCATCTAATAAGTGTAAATTGGCACGGCTCCCACGGCCGAAATCTATGAATACACAATGTCATTTAGATGATGATGTCAGCCCGATCTTAAGTACATCACCTCAATTATATCAACAATATGGATTCACTGCAAAGTATGCACTCAAGCAACGATGTCAAGTCCCTCTCAACGGAGGGTATTCCTGCTCCAATCAAGCTATTGATATAATTTTGCAATTAGTTTTGGACATACCTGAGCCAACTGTCAGCTGTGCTTCGGTCGTCTCTCCATTGTACGTGTAGGAGTACCGGCCAGAGTCAACGGCGTCGAGGGGCGTTATATACAGATACTGACTATTGCCAGCAGAAGCGATCACAATTTTGCCACCATCCTCAATGACCACACCATTTTTCCTCCATGTGCCTATGATTCCTGGAGCCGGGGCCTGAGTAAACTTCACTTCGAATAAAATCTGCTCACCAATGCCTAGACTCACGCTTCTGAGACCCATACTAAAGACACTCGGTGCTGTTAAAAAAAAATTCTTTTAGAATGCATGATTTCTTTGCATCTGTTTTATTAAAGATGTGTTATGATTGTTACCAGAGAACCGGGTGCAATATATCTACCATGAGCACTGTGTCTGATATTTTACATACATGTTGTGAAACTGTGATAAAATTCTACGAATGTTCATTCCTTGAAACCAAACGTATGACACCTTCATCGTTTTATGATACCACCCTGGCCTCATGCCACCGCCATCCATCATGCGTTAAATCTGCTTGGTCGTCTAAACATATAACATTATGCTGATATTTAAACTTCCCAAATTCCTATTTGATAAATACGAATGCAACTCCTTCTACTACTACTACTACTACTACTACTACTACTACTACTACTACTACTACTACTACTACTACTACTACTACTACAGCTACTGCTAGTGTTGATGCTCATGCTGCTACGACAGCAACAACAACAACTACTACTACTGCTGCTGCCCCGGCTACTACTACGTCTTCTACTACTACTACTACTACCTCTACTGCTACTACTACAGCTACTGCTAGTGTTGATGCTCATGCTGCTACGACAGCAACAACAACAACTACTACTACTGCTGCTGCCCGGCTACTACTACGTCTACTACTACTACTACTACTACTATTACTACCTCTACTGCTACTACTACAGCTACTGCTAGTGTTGATGCTCATGCTGCTACGACAGCAACAACAACAACTACTACTACTGCTGCTGCCCCGGCTACTACTACGTCTTCTACTACTACTACTACTACTACCTCTACTGCTACTACTACAGCTACTGCTAGTGTTGATGCTCATGCTGCTACGACAGCAACAACAACAACTACTACTACTGCTGCTGCCCCGGCTACTACTACGTCTACTACTACTACTACTACTACTACTACTCTACTGCTACTACTACAGCTACTGCTAGTGTTGATGCTCATGCTGCTACGACAGCAACAACAACAACAACTACTACTACTGCTGCTGCCCCGGCTACTACTACGTCTTCTACTACTACTACTACTACCTCTACTGCTACTACTACAGCTACTGCTAGTGTTGATGCTCATGTACGTCTTCAACAACTACTACTACTACCTCTACTGCTACTACTACAGCTACTGCTAGTGTTGATGCTCATGCTACGACAGCAACAGCAACAACTACTACTGCTACCACTACTACAAACACCTACTGTTGCTGCTGTTCCGGCTACTGTTACGTGTTCTTCTTCTTCGTCTACTACTACTACTACTACTACTACTACTACTACTACTACTATTACTACTGCTACTGGGGCGGTGGGGTAGACTAGTGGTTAAAGCGTTGGCTCGTCACGCCATAGACCCGGGTTCGAATCCCACATGGGTACAATGTGTGAAGCCCATTTCTGGTGTCCCCCGCCGTGATGTTGCTGGAATATTGCTAAAAGCGGCGTAAAACCAAACTCAGTCAGTCAGTACTACTGCTACTACTACAACTACTACTACTACTACTACTGCTACTACTACTACTACTGCTGCTGCTACTACTACTACTACTACAACTGCTTCTACTACAACTACTACTACTACTATTACTAGTGCTACTACTACTATTACTACTGCTACTACTACTATTACTACTGCTACTACTACTACTATTACTACTGCTACTACTACTACTACTCCTACTACTGCTACTACAGTAATGTGTACATACCACACGTTGCTGGCGCACACGCTTCGTTTTGACTCTGCTCCCGTTGCCCGGAGCAAGGGGCGCCGCCATCTATGGGAGCTGGGTTGTCACAATTCCTGGATCTAGTGATGTCGCGTCTCGCTGTAGGACCACACGTGGCAGGGCAGGAGGGAACACTCCATTGGGACCATGTTCCCCAGTTCCCGTTAACAGGACCTAAAGTAAACAAATGTTCCAGTTTTCTACATACACAATATGTTTGTTCCTGGTTTGTTCCTAGTTTGTTTGAAGCCTGGGATAAAAAATTTTTTGTGTTGACGCTTTTCTATTTGATTTAACCTGGCAAGAGTTGAGAGCAGGTAAATATTAAATTTTCATTGACACATGTCAATGTTTACTGTACATCTAATGTTTACTGGTTTTTTTTCTAATTTTGTTTACTCGCATTACCTTTTATGAGTGCACAACTGACTATAATAGCCACAAACGTATATTTGGAAAACATTTAACTTGAATCTAAAGTCAAGTTTTAATAACAAACAAAACAAACAGTGAGTCTGATTTGGTATTTCTATATCTTGGAAACTTACCAGTAAATAGAGGAATGAAAACCATGTTCATTTTTAAACAAATCTTTAACTATTTATGGCAACATTTTCTCAAGTTATACATAATTTCTCTATTTCAACATTCCTTAATTCATGAACGGCGTGCTACCCGTGGTATATTTTGTGTAGAAGAGTGAATAGAAACCCTTTATCTCCAGAAATCAAAATCTGTGAGTCACTCTCTATCGTCAAGTGAAAAGTTAAAACCCACCTGTTTCACAGTGCCTATGACTGACTCCTTTCACTCTATTCTTTTCAGCGCGCTGAGCATTCATAAGTGTCTAGACAATTGAGCTCTGTAAGTGACCTTATCATTATTATATTGTGTCAGTCCTACACTCTCTAGGAGGCGGTGGGTAGCCTAGTGGTTAAAGCGTTCGCTCGTCACGCTGAAGACCCGGGTTCGATTCCCCACATGGGTACAATGTGTGAAACCCATTTTTTCGGTGTTCCCCGCCGTGATATTGCTGGAATATTGCACACACACAAAGCGGCGTAAAACCAACTCACACACACACACACACACACACACACTCACTCTCTAGACATAGGTCATCAGCGTTAAAATATTAAACTGTTCCATTATTTGTAAGTTTGGTTTCATGGCCAGTCTCGGCGTGGTTAACAGGGACCTATACAGCATACTAGTGCCACAACATACCACATGCAGGTCCACACGATCGGAATGCACTCTGGCTTCCTACTCCAGAACAGGAATTGGCAAAGGAGCAGGTCCTGCTTCTACTAGCATTGTGCATGGCTGTAGGACCACACGTGACCGGACAGGGGGGACCGATCCACTGTGTCCACTCCCCCCACACTCCCACCACAACATCTGAAATCAGACAGGCGCTCTTGATTCAAATGATACCGATAGACAAAAGAAGGTGTACACGTACAAATTGGATTTGACCAATAATTACATAACGTTACCAAAATGTTCCTAGGCCAAATACTTCGCCAAAACACTGGAAACTATATTAAATGTATATATGTCGTATAACCATGTCTGGTATATTTTATTTTCAGCCACCATCAAGCATAGCTATTTACTTTCCAATGCACATCTGTCTATATGGTGATTAATAATAATGATAATGAGTGAATGTGTAACCCGCCAAACTCCACGCCAGCTGGTATGCTCATGGCGCTACATTTAAAGTTTTTAGGTGAGAGTCTAGACAAAGTACTTCTTAAATAAAAACGTTTTGAGGAGAGTTTTGAAGGAGAGCAGGCGTGGGGCTGTCTTTGAGATCTTCAGGCAGAGAATTCCATAGAACAGCTGATTGGTAGGCAAATGATCAGAATCCAAATCGTTTTAGTCTGTATCTAGGCACTGTGCACATAATTTGGGACTGGGCTCTGAGAGTTCTGGTTGGATTATACTGGCTTACAAGTTCACACAAATAGGATGGCACGATAGCGTTAAGGCACCGGTATGCGAGTATAAGAACTTTAAACTCAATTCTACCTGAGATGGGCAGTCAGTGTAGGGATCGTAGAAGTGGCTGTGTATCTACAAACTTTGGAGCAAGACACACAATTCGGGCTGCAGTATTCTGTATTTTTTGAAGCTTTGAAACAGATTCTTGTGACACACTACACAGTAGGCTATTGCAATAGTAGTGACTAACTATTAGTGATTAACTAATAAATAAATGATCTGACCAATTGCTTGCTCAACATTAACTTTAACTATTTTCTGAAAATTCGATTAGCTGTATCATGCCAGCAGTAACTATCACACACGGACAGTTGCTGGCATGCTAGAAGACGTAGACTCCGGGGCGGTAGGGTAGCCTAGTGGTTAAACCGTCAGGCTCAGGACCCGGGTTCGATTCCCCACATGGGTACAATGTGTGAAGCCGATGATATTGCTGGAGTATTGCTAAAAGCGGCGTGAATCCCAACTCACTCTCAAATCACCCGGGACCGTGTTAAATGGCTCCCTTTTCTCACATTTCAGCATCCGTCTAATTTTCATTTAACGAAGAGAATTATTGATAAACCAATCTCATGAAGTTCCCGATCCAATAAACATGCACATGAATTCACCTTGCGTGCCTTCAATTCCATATATACAACGCCAACTTGCTAAAACACAATTACATCCTTTCAGTAAGTTGATTTATTACTTAAAAGAGGTATTTCCCATGGCGTATTGTATTTATATAAAAACTATTCATTGAATTTTGATTATTTTCAGGATGGTAAAAACAGTACTAATTTTAATTGCAGAAGTTCTTAAAACTGAACTTCTGGATCTTTTCCACACATTTCAGAGGTTCAGTTTAAATACGGCCCATCGTACTTTTTATCAATATTCTGTCAATATATCTTTAATTGAAATTACAAAAATGTATCAGATTACCCATAATTACTTATGCTGTATCGCAATATCTGTCATTCGTGTACACAGCGCATGTAAAACATGATTCATTGTGTTTATATAGCACCTTTATATATTTACATACCAAACACCAAGTATTTGCTTTGAGTCACATGAGAGATATTGTACACTGTACGGATGTAACTTTATTCATTCATTCATTCACTTAAGACAGTGTACATCTTAGGATGTAGCTTCTGTATGGCATTTCATTAATTCATTCGTTCATTCACAGGAGATATATTGTACATCTTCAGATGTAACTTCATTCATTCACTCATTCATTCACATGAGATATAGTGTACATATTCAGATGTAACTTCATTCATTCACTCATTCATTCACATGAGATATAGTGTACATATTCAGATGTAACTTCATTCATTCACTCATTCATTCACATGAGATATATTGTACATCTTCAGATGTAACTTCATTCATTCACTCATTCATTCACATGAGATATAGTGTACATATTCAGATGTAACTTCATTCATTCATTCATTCATTCACATTAGAGACACTGTACATCAGATGTAAGTTACTTCATTCATTCACATGAGATATATTGTACATCTTCAGATGTAACTTCATTCATTCATTCACATGAGATATATTGTACATCTTCAGATGTAACTTCATTCATTCACTCATTCATTCACATGAGATATTGTGTACATATTCAGATGTAACTTCATTCATTCATTCATTCATTCACATTAGAGACACTGTACATCAGATGTAAGTTACTTCATTCATTCACATGAGATATATTGTACATCTTCAGATGTAACTTCATTCATTCATTCACATGAGATATATGGTACATCAGATGTAACTTCATTCTTTCATTCATTCACATTGGAGACATAGTACATCAGCTGTAACTTCATTCATTCACATGAGAGATGTCGTACATACGATATGATAACTTCATTTATTCATTCATTCATTCATTCATTCATTCATTCATTCATCACCTACCTCCTACTGTGAGATATGCTGACGTGGACTGTCCATTCACTGTAAAGGTATATCGTCCAGTGTCAGACATAATAAGGCTAAAGATGACCAGCTGACGTAACTGTCCAGTGGAACTAATCTGTAGTTTGCCGGGTATGTCAAATAGTTGTACGCCATCCTTAAACCATTGTCCGGCATCTGGTATCCCGGGAATGACTGTAACCTCCATGTTACCAAATCTTCCTGGTTCAAAGTTTACGTCCTGCAATTGTTGCTGAAAGACTAACAGTAAAAAAAATCGTGAAAACATATCAGGATGTTACTGTTCGAACAATGTATGAAATGTGCTCCTGATATATTCACATTTATAGATATAAAAGTAAATATCCTGGAAAGGGTAAAACTGGGAGGCATATCATATCATATCATATCATATCTGGATACGGGACTGATTCGGTAGCTTGTGACCTTCGTGTAATAAAGTTTTGTTTTGTCAAGTTTTAGAAGACAGTGGTTTTAATAAGAGTGAGTGAATGAGTAATTATGGTTTTACGCCGAATTTAGCAATATTCCAGCAACATCACGGAGGGGACACCAGAAATGGGCTTCACACATTGTACCCACTTGGGAAATCGAACCCGGGTCTTCGGCGTGACGAACGAACGCTTTAACCACTAGGCTACCCCGCCGGCCCGGTTTACAAAGAGATGTAACGGTATATTGTAAGTATGACTATTCCGGTATAATAACGGTACATCCAAAGCATAGTTCGACAGCACGTATACTTCTTTTGTTGTCTCCATCCTGAGTATGTCAAGGTTGGGGAAAGAGTGGGATGGTGGAGTGTACGCTAGTGTGTGCGTGTGTATGCGTGTGCGTGTGTGTGTATGGATGTGTGTCGGGGACGGAATTGGGGAGGAGAAGGGGTATGTGAGTCTAATGTATCTTTTATGACGTGTCCAGCTTACCTTAAGTTATATGTCCAACGTATACTTTGGGACTTGTTCAAAAGTAGACACACAAAGAATAGGAACAAAACCATTAAACTGAGGTGAGTTGGTGTATCATGGTACCTTCGGATGTATTTATGGGTCATTATTTTGTTGAAAGTCCAATTTGTCACTGGTTACGACACATCGGACTACAGACATACGCGGTACAATTCACATTTCCATCTGATCATCATGGTGCACTGTGAGCCCTATGGCCACACATCTTATCGTCTTTTGTGAGATATTAATAATTAATCGCATAGCCAAACCCTTTCATGTCTAGCTACAATCAAATAAGGTTATATCCTGTCAAACCCTGTAGTATCTCGCTCTGATGTGACCTGAAGGTTGTCTCGAAGTAAAACTGTTTGCGTACACCTTCGTAAGTTATCATTTTATCGGTTGTGCCGAACCTTGGACAACTCGATGTGAGTGCGTTTAGTTTTACGACGATTTTAGCAATATTCCAGCAATATCACAGCATGGGGCACCAGAAATGGGCTTCACACATTGTACCCATGTGGGGAATCGAACCCGGGTCTTCGGCGTGACGAGCGAACGCTTTTACCACTAGGCTACTCCATCATCCCCGAATAACTCGAAGTAATCACATAATTCCTTTCGACTTCGACGTGACGGCGTGTAACTGTTATTTCGTTTGCTCTACTCTCACACAGACACACACACAAATGACGACAAACAACGGCGTTGCAGTAATAGAAAGATTATATACACATAGTCATCGTTCATTCCCACACCAATACTATCGGTAATTTAGATGCTTCAATAAATCAAGGTAGTTATTTTATTATCAAAGCTCAAAAATGAGGACAGTGTTTATGGATATACAACGTCTTTATTCTGTATAGGCGACGTTTCGACACAGATTTTAATGTCACTTGCTAAACACTAAATGTTCTTGCTTGACGACATTAGAATCTATGTCGAAACGTCGCCTACACAGAATAAAGAAGTTGTATATCCTTAAAAAAATGTCCTCATTCTTCATCTCCTCAACTTCTAGAATGCCAATCAAAAAATATATTAAGCTCAGTCGAATTTCCTTGATGCATCAGTGAAGATTAAAACTTGAGTTCGACGTTTAACTGAAATACGCTATTGTAACGTTTCATCGCCGTGTTCATACTTGCATACACTCTAAATGCATTGAAAACCAGGGGCGTTTCGACATTATGGTGTCTACACTTAAGGGCTGTAATAATCATAAATATGGTGCGACGATGATAAAATCCATCTGCAGAGAAGGAATGCCAAGTTATCAAATGTAACCGCTAAGGACACCATTGTACTGTAAGCCTGTTCCCAATATTTCCCACATGAGTCATCGTGAGTAAAACATGCGCCAACAACTACCACAGTGTAAAACACCCGTTTCAACTGAAGACAACCGTCAGTTTCTCCTGGAGTTGAGTCTCATGGCGTCATTTCGTCACACTCCAGGACATTGGGGGTACTCCCCACAGGGGGTATGACTACCGACTGGGAACAATGCCCACACCCCTTTTCGCTGTTGTCAACACTGACCCGAGATTGTCTGTTATCAATGACATTCTCTACCTTTTCTCGCAAATAGATACATGCGTGAATACCCCTTTGATGTGAATGCCCATAGTTGTCAGTCGGGTATAGGCGCGTACAGATTTAGAGGTATTCAAAGCTGGCTAGGAAGGGAATTGTAGGGTAACAACGTTTCATTGTTAGAATACAGGTCATCCTAATGATCCAGTTTGCATCTCGTAGTCTTGCCACGGCGGTGTTGAGTTTTATCTAAGACTCTTCAGAGTTATTTGGCAACACTACACCTACTCTAGAGCGTTTCCTAGGTGTATAATTCAAGGCGTTCTCATCAATATGACATGATATAACTGAAATATATTCTCAGGGGCGTGAACCACACATACACTATTACTCATTCATGTTCACAGTACAAACATCTTAAAATATCCTTGTATAAAGACCAGACTTTTGTGTAATCTAAAGTTATAAAATATTACCGGTCTGTTGATAAGTGAGTTGAAGGCCGATGATCAGACATAATCCGGTCACAATTAGGTTATGGTGTAGGGACGTCATCTATAAAACAACACGTGTTACTAAGACATTTGTTAACGTAAACCCATATCATACATATCATAAAATAACTTATAAACGTTGAACACAAGAAGCAGATCGAGTGACCAATATGCTTGTGATACATATTTCCTTAATATATACACCTGTAATGTATAATTTATTATAAAAACGGTATGTCCGTCATATCTTAACCAAATAAGTTATAAACGTTGAGAAATGAATACGAAATCAAGAAATTAAGACGATCAAAGTGACCAACATGCTTGTTTATACATAATACCTAAATATGTTCACCGGCAATACTTAATTAGTTATAAAAATAGTATTTCCGTATTACTTCGAGGATAAAATGGCTTACCTCTGACTTTGAAGTGACGTCTCTCAGAATCGATTGTCTATATCAGCTTGTTCCTTGAAAGGCGTTGTTTTAGCACGGGTTGTACATCCAGCAAGACTGCATACCGTCACACCCAACCCACTGAACAGTGTGTCACGAATGTGAAGCCCGCTACCGTTAACGTGAATAGCGTTGAATAACTACACGGGTGATTGTTTGCGTTCCCCGAGTCGCTTGTATGCCTTTGTATATTTTCCTCAATCGAAACAGCAATAGAATCAATATACGGGGTGGTTAAACGGGTATGTAGGACAGAGCCCCGCTTCATAACTCGTGCAGCGAGGCTAGCCTGACGTGTTCGACTGGTTTAATCTTCTACATGCGCAGTGTTGCTGTACCAGGGTTCATGAACGTCATCACGAAATGATAATATTTCAAAACAATTAAACCCCAGGGGGATATCGAGGAAGAATAGGGTCCTGGCTCTCAATGTTTGTCGTAAAACCAAGGGGGTTAAAGTCCGTGCCGGCCTCATAACCTCTCGGGTCGTTTACGCTACCACTGGGCGTAACTTTTATAAATGAACACTATGGCTAATTGCATATAATACACGTGAACGTATCATTGTATTAAAGCGTAATTAACGTTACAAAAACAGCATGGGTATACGGTAAATATATAGACACAGTCCTCCTTTAACTCACACACATACTCTGTGTTAGAACGGTTGTTCAAGCATACATTTCCCTCTCTCTCTTTCTCTCTCTCCCTCGGTTTCTATTCACATCTTTCTCTCGCTCTTTCCCTCTCTATCTCTCTCAAATGACCATGGTAGAGCTTGAGTATTGTTTTTTATGTATTTTTATTCTATTTCACATTTTGAAGAACATTATCTTGAGGAAAATAGGCCCTCAACCAACATCCAATACGGGGATCGATCCTTGGTGATTTCGTAGATACATTAATTTTGTTAATTAGGAAACAATTTCACCGTTGGCATCGATTAGTGAACATACATACAACCTAGCTCCGCGACAAATAGCAACAGAGGGCGATCGATATAACCTAAAAACAATGAAAGTGACAAAACCCTTATGCACCCATGAGAAATTTTTGCCAAAAGGATAGTCGACTGTACAATTCTGGCAACATGTGCATGTGTTTGTGAATCAACATCAACATAGTGATGATACCGGGTATTCGCGAACAAAACCCCTCCCACCTAGACTAACGTTTAATCTCTGAATATATATAAGTTTGATAGTAACAAACAATCCCATTTAAATTGAAAAGGAGCCCTAGGGAGACCAGAGATCCTGAACCTGAGGAAATCTAGACTTGCCTCATTTAGGGCTTTAGCATTGCATAGTGGGCTAGGCTGTAGGGACAATAATATGGTTCAGGGACTGTGAGACAGGCTACCCTCCCACCCTACATTAAATTGGTATCCTTGCTATACAAGGCACTTCACCTCATGACCTGACCCCCTGGCTTCAAGATACTCCCCTTTAACCAAGGCTATGCGCCTCGCGCATTTGTGTTCGTCATTCAGTGTTGAATGCACTTCCTGTCATCCTAGGAATGTTCTCAGTTGGAGATATAACGGACTGTACAAACTGCTCAGCGTGAATAGAATGGCCTTGATCTGTCCCGACATTTGTACTGTACAGTGTGTTGTATGGTCTACCCCGCTACAGTTGCTGCCTCATCAACATTGGTATTGTCAGTTCTGTTGGCAGAGATTCTTGCTTCATCGGTTACCGAAAACGTCACGCAGATGACCCGGGTTCGATTCCCCACATGGGTACAATGTGTGAAGCCCATTTCTGGTGTTCCCCGCCGTGATATTGCTGGAATATTGCTAAAAGCTAAAACCTCTCTCACGCTTCTAGTTGCGACTTGTATGTTGATAGCAACACCGAGTTCAGTAGATAAGGCTGCTGCTTTCTAAATGCAATATGGTTGTTTAAAATAATATTTGAAACTAATCTAATCGTGAAAGTTTACTGACTTCACAGTTCTATTGTTATGCATACTGACACTATTTTTGCACAAAGTGTACAAAATTGTCACCATGACAAATAACACAATAACACATAAGCGGATCCAGAGGGATGGTGCAGGGATGCGCACCCTCACTTTTGTCCTGAAATTTTATTAAATGACCATTGACACTCTCGTGAAAATTAAGTGGGCACATCCCCTTTCTCAAAACAACGGTATCCGCCCCTGAAACATTAGCATTGTTTCAATCCATCAAAGGTCATACTTGACACAACCTTTCTTTCAAGTTATTTCCACAAATGCGTCGTTTCAAGAGAGTCCTCATCTTGCGACAACAGTCATTACCAGAACTGTATACGTGAACTGTTCAAGTTGAACTCCCCTGTGTCAGTGTGCGGGTGTAGTCGATATAAAGGCGATAGAACGCCAAAGTGATTAATCATTTACACAGCTATTGAGCCGAGTATCAATCATAGGTGATGTGAGCCGCGGAGGTTGTTTTCAATCGATTTTCCTGACACAGGTAATAAAACAGGTGATGACTCTTTTAGGGAGTGGCACTTTGTTCGTTTCAAGAAAAGATGGTATCGTGACCGCAAACTCAACTCCTAAAATATTTCACCGCTTATCCAACTCCAGTTGTTTCGAGAAACCTTCAATCAAGTGAATTCCTGAAAAAATAACGGTTGGGTCGTAGAAGTAGCAGATACTTTTCGACGGCTGACGAGCTGTTCATTTGTAGACTGCTTCTAATATGAGAGAAATTTCTGTGATCATATCCTGTTTTCAATAAATAAGTGGAAGGTGTAGATTTGGTTGACGATGGTGGCTGCGTTTCAAAGGCTTCATAACCTAATGTACTGCTGCTTAAGACAGGAGTTAGGGGCTATGTTGTGACAGCAAAAATTAGGATGTTTTGGTCACCAATAGCAACCAGAAGGAAGTTCTGGTTTGTTGATGTCTGAGTGAGTGAGTTGGATTTCACGCCTCTTGTAGCAAAATTCCAACAATTCCAAGGAGGGGATGCCAGAAATGACGGCACACATTGTACCCATGTGGGGAATGGAACCCTAGCTTAACAACTAGGCTACCCAACGGGCCCGGTTGTTGTCTGAACGTTGAGTAGACACCAAACCAGTATAATCACTCACGTATAAATCTTACTCCCACGGCAGACTGGGCAAGTGGGAAAGAATCAGCTAGCTCGATCTGATTGCTCACAGGTCCGTTGACTGGGTATTGTAAAGCAACACAAATGCACTAGAGCGTTGACATATTTTCATTTTAAATATGAATGATCAGCACATTAGATCAATAACGATGAATGTCTATTTAAGATCTGGTCATTAGTTCGTAATTACAAAGGCCTCGGATGAAATACTTTTCGTGTCACGCTTAAACAAACAACAGGTAGACTATTTGTATGCAGATTATTTGCAAATGTGATGCAGGAAGGTATTGTAAGTCGTCACTTGTACTTGTACAATATGCCTCGTGATTATCCTGGTTATAATTGGTTTTCAGCAACCTTTGCTTGTAAGAGGCAACTAATGGGATCGGGTGGTCAGGCTCGCTGACTTGGTTGACACATGTCATCGTATCCTATTTGCGTAGATCGATGCTCATGATGTTGATCACTGGAATTGTCTGGTCCAGACTCGATTATTTACAGACCGCCGCCATATAGCTGGACTATTACAGAGCGCGGTTAAACAGCAAACACACTAAACTGACCTGTATAATAGAAAAGCAAATCGCTTTCAAGGCTATATTTTGCTGGATATTGGTAAAGGCCTCTCATAACACCTAAAGAGTACCTACAGTTTTCTTTGTTAGTGTCGCAATGCTGAAAACACAGGTCTGGACTATTCCAACTACATAACACCCTGTAAACAATTATTGACTGACACGATGAGTAATTGATATGTGAAGCTGGGATACGATGATAGTGTCATTCAAATCAACGAGGGTGGCTGCCGTTAACCAAATGAACAGAGGTGACAACCGTCAACCAATACAACGACAGTGACTATCGTCAACCACTACATCGATAGTGACTACCATCAACCAATACAACGACAACGAGGGTGAGTTGAACGATGATGACTACCATCAACCTTATACAACGAGGGTGACTACCATCAACCAATACAACGAAGGTGACTACGGTCAACCAATACAACGACAGTGACTATCGTCAACCACTACATCGACAGTGACTACCATCAACCAATACAACGACTACGAGGGTGAGTTGAACGATGATGACTACAATCAACCAATACAACGAGCGTCACTACGGTCAACCAATACAACGGGGGTGACTACGGTCAACCAATACAACGACAGTGACTATCGTCAACCACTACATCGACAGTGACTACCATCAACCAATACAACGACAACGAGGGTGAGTTGAACGATGATGACTACCGTCAGCCAATACAACGACAGTCACTACCATCAACCAATACAACGAGCGTCACTGCTGTCAACCAATACAACGGGGTGACTACTGTCAACCAATACAACGGGGTGACTACGGTCAACCAGTACAACGGGGTGACTACGGTCAACCAGTACAACGAGGGTGACTACGGTCAACCAGTACAACAAGGGTGACTACGGTCAACCAGTACAACGAGGGTGACTACCAGATTATTTGGCTGCTGGTTGATTCTAACCCGGATCTTCACTATCGACAGATTCAGTACACTGGTACCTGGACTGGTGTGTTTCTTTGCGGTGGTGTTCAGCCAACACGTACAACGATCACATGTCTAAAGAAAAAACCCAATAGTCCAGTACACTCGATGTGCCTTTGCATCTGTTTGGATTGGGTGGGATCCCAGTTTAATAGGATAGGCTTATTCGTTCACAGTTGTATTTTTAATATCATCACTCATTTGTTCAGAAACACCTGCGTATGATATACTCATGGAAACAAATAAGGGAACACGTGAAAGTGCAAGTGTTCCCTGATTCTTTTCCAGGCTTCCTCAGAAGGTATGTATTGCACTGTGGGTGAAATTCTAGGAATAAATAAAGGAACTCTCGTACTTTTATGTGTTCCCTTATTCGTTTCCATGAGTATATACTCGGAATCAGACAATGGAAGGATGTCTGTAGGTAATGGAAAGATTTTGTCACCTTTACTTAAATATGATATAGTAAACTGTACAGCCAAATATACTACCAATTTACAGAAAAGGCCCTCCTTCAGTAAATACTGAATTGTTAAAATGTTTCTCGAAAGAATACTACCTGAGCACAAAGGGGAATTGATAAGTTTATCAAATGTGGGAAATTATAAAACAGATTATAAAACATTTCAAGTCAGATTATCTATATGATGCTGTATTACAAATGCAATGTACACATATGCAGATCATTCACAATACAGTGTACAGCATCCGGTGCAGATCACTTATAAACATAACATGGTACAAAGGTAAGTATTTACGAAATACCAATTCACTGGGAAATAATTTGTAAACAAATAATACAACGATATATTACAATATAATACATTGTGTACGTGTTAGTCGAACATAAAATACATATTTCAAAAATAGAATGGACATAGTGAAAAATATATTATAAAAATAGACACAAATATTTAAGTTACTAATTCGTACGTTAACCCATAACTGGTTAAGATCGGGTTCATGACAACCAGTGCCATGAGAAATAACCAGTCAGATGATGAGCAGGATACAGATCCCAGTACCTGGCAAGGACTGTGGTCGGGCTGGTTATCATTATAGATCATAGGGATCGATAATCGTAAACTAAATATCGATCGATTATCGATAAATATCGGAGACGTAACTTTGAGCAAAAATGCCAAAATGTCGGAAAGAAATGAATATATTTCACATCACTGGTGAGTTTTGACATGGTGTTGCATGGATGATAAATAAACAGCGTCCTGAACATAATTTATAATCAGACCATAAATAAAGTCTTTTGTATATTGTGTCTATTGTATAAACTTGAATTTTGTGTGAGAAAGTGAAAACTTTTCCATTTACAAAAGTAATATAACGAATTATCGATAAGACAATTTTGAATCGATAATCATCAATATTGTTTCCGATCGACTATATTTCCGATTATCGATCAGTTTAGCCAGCCCCAGCTTGTGGACCGTCACTGTCCATGATGTATATTGCAGTTTTCTACAAATGTTTCTACACAAATGGAAGACAGGAATGCCGCCAGTACACCAGCTCCATTTAGAAACAGTCAAGATGTCTCTGCATCAAAATGCCCTCTCCCTGTATTATTTGAACAAAGGGTCAAGTTCCTTCTCCGTGTAGTTCTTTCAGAAGAAGCCGGGGTTACAGCTGAATACTTGTAACTGAAATACAAAGGATGAGTTGGTTAACCTCTTTGTCTTTAAAACATATTTTTTAATTTTGAGTAGGGGTGCTACTTCTTCAGTCTTTTAACAAAGGGTCAAGTTCCCTCTTCGTGTTACTGATTCAGGAACCGGGGTTACAGATGAACACTTGTAACTGAAGCCCAAAGGGTAAGGCTTCCTTTTTCACTTTTTAAAAGAATATTTGGACGTGGTCTAAGAAAAGTCAAAATGCACTATTGAGTCATGGGAGTGTTTGGTCCATCACATGATCGTTTGGTTTGTTTAGCGTATGATAGGAATACTGCAGCGCAGCGTCAGGCAACAATCAAATTCTGTCATTTTCGGGTAGGTGCAGGGCCTGTTTGAAGGACGATAAAGGACAGTTATGGAACTTAATTAAATAATCACACACTTCCACGGCTTCTTTAAATGTACATTTTAGTTTTTTTAAATGGTTTACTTGAAAGTAGAGAGAGAATGAGAGATTGTCGAAAACTGTCAAGATTTGTAAAATTTAAAATCAAATTGAACATCTTTTTATCATTGAAGTGACATAGTTTTACCTTCATTTCAGAATCAGGATATACATGTACGTTCATGTGAACATTTAGATAATCTTAACTGCGAGGAAAATGAAAATTTTCACAACTGGATTCGACCGAAAATATACAAACCTCATTAGAACGTATGTAAGCTGAAAACTGACCCCGAAACACTGAACACTCGAGGTTCAAAAGACAACCAGAATATATCTGTATTAAATACATCACCGTCGATAACAGTTTCATTTTTTATTTTATTCTTAGTTGCGTTCAAACACAGGTGTATACCCTCACCTGCTCGACTGATTGCATACAGTTGTTTAGTTGAATTGTAATCCATTTTGACTATATCAGTGCGTGGTAGCTTGGTGCTTGAGGAAACCCCAAAGTGATGCAGGACAACTACGAGCTCGTTTATGGTACTTCTACATCTAGGAACATTATCGGGATGCGAACACATGATCTCAAGTGTCTAGTGGGACCAAGGGACACAACTCCGTACACGGTGCCTTCTAGACTGCCTGTTGGGCCATACAGCAGCAATGAAGACAATACTCACAACCTCCCATAAGAAAACTTACAGAATCTAAGGAGCCAATAAACCTCGATGCTGTTGCTGTTGACGACTCATCTGTGCCAAAATTCAAGCCACACTCAAGGATGTTGCAGTCAGAAGCTATGGGACAGAAAACATTGGTATTATAACCATATGTCAATGATCGTGTTATGCGACTGAAGTTCTAAGCATTCAAAGGTAGGTTAGAGACTAGATATGACACACACAGAAAAAGCGAATCTGAGATGGAGGTATAGGCGTACTCATACCCCATACTTAGGAATGCCTTGCACACGACCAACCCGGATGTGGGTTCAAGGACTTAGTGTGTCCTTAAACCTTGAAGGTGTTAAGTAAGGCTGGGCTATACAGGTATAGCCCATATTGATGCTATAGTTCAACTACCTTTATGTATATCTAATCTGGACACTAAAGGTGTTGGCAGGTAACCAAACTAGCTGGGACTGCCAATACGTCTTCGTTTAGTTTCACTGAGAATCCTGGGGTCTGATAATGTATGACCTTGATCGCCATGACCTACATGACCCACCTACCTCTCGCCAGGACCTACCATATATTTTTGAGATGTAGACATTAGATCCTGAGGTCAGCACTCCCGTCAGCTCTCGCCCATCGTACAGAATACTCACAGTCTTCCACTCTGTCCGTGCCATTCCCTGGAGGAGAGTAACAACAATGTCAGAGACACTGGTTCCAGTAAACACACCATTTATCATAGCAATTCCAGTAGCTGTCCTAGAGTATACCTGATTTGGCTTGAGTCTCACCCTGTTATTATTCATGTCACACTCTCACACAACTGATAAATCTCACGCCATACTTGGTTCATATGAAAAATAAAAATAAAAATCTGATTCTGGAGTTCCGTTTCGGTCTGAATATATCGTTTTCAGCGGATTTTCTGAGAAAGGAATTTGAATTATTCTTTGGCTTCGAGGGGTGCTTCCTCTCTTTTTAGTTGAGCCATAGGTACAGCGAAAAGAGGGTCAAGCCTTTTACACATGGTATTATTACAAAGAACCCGTCATACAAATCTTGCTCAATATATTGCTTGGTCATGGCTGCAATACTAGAAACTCTTTTAAACTTTTTAACGGTATTTGGAGAACATTACATAATTTGACGCATTATTGATATTTTGACTTTTACTATTCATGTATTTCTTCAGTTAAACAATTGATTTTCCTTTCAACAAATTATGTGTAGTGATTAGAGCGTCCGCCCGGAGAGCGGAAGGTCGCGGGTTCGATCCCCGACCGCGTCATACCAAAAGACGTTAAAATATGGTACTTGTTGGTCCCTGCCTGGCACTCGGCATTAAGGACTGGTCGGCTCGGAGTCAGTATAATGTGTCTGAGTGGGGTATTCATACTTCACTGAGGCATGGTATCTCAATGGGCTAGCACTATAAAACCAGCTTCAGTCTGGGTTAGTACAAGCAGCACACACACGCATGCACGTCGTCATATCAGCGAAATATTCTCAAGCACGACGTTAAACCCAATTCCACCTCCTTCAACAAATTATAGAGTCAGAGTTATAGGACAGCATTTAGACCGAGACGTACACGACTCTACTGGTACCGACTAACTGAACAATTTAGGGACCTTTTAGAGAAGTACAAACTATAAGGGGAAGAGGATGAGTCAGTCAGCTTACCTGAGTATATAGAGTCATCTTAGTGACCTCCCCATACCACGACCATATATGGAAGTGTACGCCATCATCATCAGTAGTGATGAGGAGACTGTTGCCCTTCTTGCAGTTGCTGCTGCTGAGCAGGACTTTACTGCTTGATGGGGCAGCGGTTTCCTTGAAGCGGAACCGCACTGCTACTGGCTTGTTGATTGTCATCTTCACGTCGAGGTAGATGCGGCTGTTGGTGTCAATGTTGGCAATACCTGCGTTGATGGCGACGTTGGTTGCAGTCAGCCAAGATCTTGTGGTACTAGAGATGAAGTCCAGTGCATGACTAGGGCTACAGGTTTCTGTAAATGGTTGGAAAATATAGTTACGATACTTATGAGTGACGTCTACACTATAACCTCCATGTCCCCGTTCCCAACCATACCTGACTCGCGTTTCATCTATCCCATCCTTCTCGATCCCATTCAGCCCCTGCTACAAGGGCACACACTCCACATCCGTCTCCTTTCCTTTCTTCTTCTCTCCAAACTCTCACCAACTTACCAGCTGTCTATTCCACCCGCCCCAGTTTCCCCATTTCCCGCCCGCCTCAGCCGCTCCTAGTTCTCAGCTCCCACCAGCTCTATGTTTACAGCTCTCAACCCTCAGTAATTCGCAATATCCAGTTCCCCATCCCAGCCGCTTAAAGCTCTCTAGTCATTACCCAACCCACCAGCCCCACTGGTGAAAAACACATCCAACACTGCTCTCCACCCTCGCGTACAAGTTCCTTGCTACCTGCACATTCCCATTTTTTAGCTTTTATACTGCACATAATTATGCCCCGTTCCGCAACCTGTCAACTGTACCCAGCTCACTAGAATCAGGTGGTCAGACACACGGGTCATCGTATCCCAATTGTGTAGATCGGTGCTCGTGATAATAATCACTGAATTATCTGGTCCAGATTCGATTACTTACAGACCGCCGCCCATAGCTGAAATATTGCTGAGTGCGACGTTATCATACACGTCCCATAAAAACTCCTCAAGTCACCCCATCCCTCATTGCTAGTATACGACTGAGTGTATATACCCCTTGATTGGTCGTTACAACCACAGTCGAGGATGTCGAAGTATGTTCCTGTTGTACACGATGCCGTCTGCCAACCGAATGAACCAGCGTTTAAGTGGTATGACCTCGAAACATCAACGTAGTCGGGTCGCTTGTTGCAAACCTCTAAAACGAAATGAAATGAAGGAGGATTATATTTTTATTTAATGTGACGGTATTCTTCTAGAGTTAAACCAAGATGAAGACCTAAGCGCCACCTTTCCTTTTTTTATTTCTGTTATATAATCTATAAACCAGCAGAGGCCCTGACAATACACAATGCTTCTGGAAATCTTTGTTCGGGGGGCGGTGGGGTAGCCTAGTGGTTAAAGCGTTCGCTCGTCACGCCGAAGATCCGGGTTCGATTCCCCACATGGGCACATTGTGGTGTCCCCCGCCGTGATATTGCTGGAATATTGCTAAAGGCGGTGTAAAACCATACTCACTCACTCCCTTTGTTCAGGTGTATGATCAACTAGAAATATTTTACGTCCGTTTCATTAGGTTCTTCGAACGTATTTTTGGAGACACACAACAGTTGATAAATGTTGTTAAGGATTTTTTTTAAAGAAAATTCATCGGGTTTGAGTTGAAACCATAGCACTGTAACATTTGTTACATTTGAGATTACACTTTGTCAGGAAAGTACCGTTTCTAGTACATCTGTTAGGTTCACATACTCCCAGAGTCAGCCATCTAACCATTAGCAACCTGACCAACTCAGTCGACGTGGGTGGCTGACGTTGTATGCTGGTGATTAGGTGTCTGACTCTGAGAGTACTAGAAACGGTACTTTCATGACAAGGAAAGATCCTAAATGACATGTTACATTTGACCACTTTCTAAATGGCATTGTGTGTTCATAACATGTTGATAAATGTTCTTGATTATTTTGTTTATAAGACACCGCCATCGGGTTTGGTTACACAGCGTAAACATTCAAGTGATGGATAATAGGGTGCTCAGCCATACTCTAGTTGCCGACATGCTCTGCGTCACCTTTCTCGGTGACGGCCATTGAATTCGCTTTATACCGCGACTTGGGCATTGCCTCACTATACGCTGTCCCGATAAGGTTTGCATTCTTTCTGGTACGTCGTGAATATAGAGATTTTTAAATGTGCATGAAATACTTTTCCTCGTCTTGTGTTATGAATGTAAACACTCAACGTTGGGAATAGCACTTGGGGGTTTGCCCTTTAGCGTGAGGCACACCGCTGTGTTTACATTTCAACCTCGTGAGCATTTTTATCTTTTCTATGTTGTCTCGACAAATGTGCATATGTCATTGATCCTTTTGATATGGGGAATCTCACAGGAATGCATGCATATTAACACATTAGGTGTCAATGCTGTGAACTATACTACTGTATTGACCAATGCTGTAAGTATCAGGACTGTATTAACACATTAGGTGTCAATGCTGTGAACTATAATACTGTATTGACCAATGCTGTAAGTATCAGGACTGTATTAACACATTAGGTGTCAATGCTGTGAGCATTAATACTGTATTGACCAATACTGTAAGTATCAGGACTGTATTAGACCAACGCTGTAAGTAGGACTGTATTAACATTAGGTGTCAATGCTGTGAGCATTAATACTGTATTGACCAACGCTGTAAGTATCAGGACTGTATTAACACATTAGGTGTCAATGCTGTGAGCATATATACTGTATTGACCAATGCTGTAAGTATCAGGACTGTATTAACACATTAGGTGTCAATGCTGCACACTGGATATATTTGTCACAGTCAGTTGGGTGATAACGATATCCAACATCGTCCCGTCTCTGAGCACTGTCACACAAGCCTGTTGCTGGAAAAAAGACCGTATCCATCAATTATCAATACTACTCATGTACCAAAATTATCGTCCAGGAACATATGGCTTATAAGAAACGAAAGACACCATGAATGTATGTATAAAACTAATTTCATGAAAATTCTGTTACCATTTCCGGGCGAGACCGAAGTAATATACTGCATCTAATACAAGGATCAGTATAATACGGGCAGAACTGTGATCACATACAAAACGTAATGGCAAGCTGTAATAAGAGCATACATCATCTTCTAACACAACTGTCAATAATGACGCACCAGTTTTACATTGTCACCCCTCACCTCACTTCCGGTTGGAATAAGACTGTCACATAATTTAAATAATTCTGTCAGTGAACTCAACTCCAGTGGCAATATGAACTAATGACGTATAGTCCCTGGAAATAAACTTATGAACGACCGGCATCGTCAGCCTAGAAGATCGCACTGACGTTTGGGCTGGCTAAAATGATCGAGATTCGGAAATATCGTCGATAAAAAAATATTATTAATGAATATCGTTTGTGTTTATACTGTCTTTTACCGGGTAGTTTATTCATGTTTTAGAATGATATATTTATAAATAAGGGTCAAACTTACTTGTACAAGGTCCAAGCAGACAGTTTTCTGTTCTGGTTTCAGAGGAGGATCCGTTACAACCTGATCCGCCATTCGCTGGGGCAGGGTTTGTGCAGGATCTGGCCCTGGTGAAGACCTTCTGTGCAGACGCACCGCATGTCTGGGAACACGACGGGACGTCCCATGCACTCCAGGGTGAGAAGCCACCATGAACTGGAAATAATTGTTATGTCACCTTAATGTATACACTACACACGTCCAACTTATATAACGATCTTAGGAATCGAGCTCAATCACGTTAAAGACGAGAAGGAGTTTAACTGATGGTGGCGATGGGCAACGAAGAACACTTATTTTCAATTCTTAATGTTTGTAGTGTCACCTATTTTCGCCGATTATTTTCGGCGATCCATTCACGTCATTTTAAAGACTATTTTGCCTATTACGTCCAATAACATCTGTTTCGACTCCTGCCAGAAAACTGTTATCTGATGTCAACACACATAGAGTGAGTGAGTTTAGTTTTACGCCGCACTCAGCAATATTCCAGCTATATGGCGGCGTCAACACACATAGAAATTATTTATAACGTTTTACAATAGGTTGGTGTTTGTATGTTTTGTTGTTTGACGCCGCACGCAATATTCCAGCTGTATGTCAGCGGTCTGTAAATAATCGGATTTGGATCAAACAATCCCGTGATTGATATTATGAACACCGATCTACGCAATAGGGTGGAGAATGAATATTGCTTCAAAGAGAGTATTATATCAGTATCATGACCTCGGGCAATAGGACTGGCACCCTGGTTTAGAGGTAAGGGCAAATCCATTTAGAGATAACATGTTGTTATCGGTGATGTTGTGAGCACCGGATCGTCGGTGGAAGTTCCAGGTTTTATGTTGGAAATTGTACAATATCGGAAACCAATTTCTGTTTACAAAATGTTTACAACTGGCAAATATTACTCATACGTCACAACTTTCTACTAATTATAAATACGTCACAAATAAATACACTGACTTTAGTTAGATACAGCAGCATGTTTTCTAAATGCGAACATTGAGATGATCTCAATGCCTCCAGAAGTGAAAACATTTCTCTGAACTTAACTCCATCTTACCAACACCTGCCAGGACTTTGAGATATCCAAATGTATTCCCTCTTCCGTAGACATAGATGTACATTCCCTCGTCCGCCGTGGTGGCACCAGTAATGGTAAGTCTGTGACGAAGTCCCGACACGGAATACTTGGTTCTATCAGTGTCTGGCACTGGCACGTTCTGCTTGTACCACGCGCCTTGTTGTTGGCTCTGAGAGAACGTCACCTCGAGAGTTACCGTAGCTCCCACTGTAGTAGTGACGTTGTTCTGTAGTTGTTGGACATCATCTAAAATAACCAGTGGAACATAAAATGATGTGCTTGTAAAACTACCAGACAATCCAGTGATCAGCATCATGAGCATCCTCCTACGCAATTGGGAACCGATGACAAGTGTCAACCAGGTCAGCGAGCCTGACCACCCGATCCCGTTAGTCGCCTCTTACGACAAGCATTGGTTGCTGAAGATCTAACCCGGATCTTCACGGTTGGTAAAACTATGTACTTTCGTCAGAAGAAGACATTAACCTGCGGGTAGTATACAGAAACTACGCATATATCGAACACTGGATATAACGAACTGTCTCCTTTATTCTGTCCAAGCCGAGTGTAACGACTAAAATTGAGGGTCCATTGACTTCGTTATAACCTCGGTTTTGTGTATATAGTGTACGAATTCTAATTTGAGAGATTATATATCAGGTTTTGAGTTAAAAGTGACATATCGAAATTAGCATTCTCCATGACATTCTGCAATATAACGCCATTCATCATGTTTATACACCCGACATGTATTCTATCATCCGCATCGTATCCCAAATGCGTAGATAGATGCTCATGTTGTTGATCACTGGTTTGTCTGATCAGACTCGATTGTTACAGACCGCCGCAATCATGGAATAAACCGAAACACTCACTCATTATCACTTGTTGTTCAAATCATAACAAACCGAAACACGAGTCTTACTAACAATGACCTAAGTTTCAGCCGATCCGAATTTTCTCGTGTCAAAGTAAAAGAGACATTGCAAACAACTATGATTAGAATGGATTCCAATTTCTTGTTTCATAAGTAATTGGTATTTACAAATTAATTTTAAATTTAAATTTAAAAAATCGTATTTCTATATTTTATGTCGCGGTTTAGGCAGCATGTCGTTAACTAAGACGTCACAGACTGCCCCTGTTTGAAGCGGTCGTACAATGATTCACAATTCATCTGGCTCACTGTTTGCACCTGTTATGTGTTCTTTGTGCTTATTCAGTGTAATTTTGTAACGTACAATGTGATTGATAAAATATCAAGTCCGTACCAGACCGCCAAACTGTTCGTTTTGAGATTTCCACGATTTCCAGATTTCCGTTTGTCAGAGCAAGCTGAACGACGTGTTTGCAAGGATTGGGAGTGTAATGTTGCAATATACAAGTGATTTAAGGTATCAAATGATACTGATTAATATCTATATATCCAGTTGAATGAGTTGGTCTCAAAATTCTGGACTGGTTATTGTACTAAGTTGCGCAATAGGACGGAACTCAGTCAACAGGAAACGAGACCATTGTGTAAACAATGATCTGACTTGACACTTGTATATACGACAGATTCTACATACCGCTGCACAAACACCCCTACAAACAAGGATTATCTCCCCATTTACAGACATACTGTATGGTTCATATATAACCACCGCTTTCATACCAACTTACATTTGTACGAGGATACCTTATGCAACGGTCTCTTGATTTGCACCCTTAAATTTCTTATTTGTGCCTTTCAATTATTAAATTGAAAAATAACATCTCTCAAACATTTCCGACATGAAAATTCAAACAGATATTCCTATATATGCTGTTCTTTGTGATATGGCTAGAATATTGTTGGCAGCAACTACAGCAATCAATCACTATCCTGGGTCCTTGTATTCTACATGTAATCATCTTATAGCACTGAAGAAGAAAGTACACAATATTGCACTATCCACATACAATATGTAGCATCGGACAAAAAAATACCACCTTCACACACCTGAAAGTTGCATTGCACATCAACGTATAATATTCACTATAGGCAAAAACTTCAACCTTCACACACCTGGATGTTGCACACTTGTCATTGAACTATCCACGTATAATATTCACCATAAGGTAAAAACACCAACCTTCACACACCTGGATGTTGCACACTTGTCATTGAACTATCCACGTATAATATTCACCATAAGGTAAAAACACCAACCTTCACACACCTGGATGTTGCACACTTGCCATTGCACTATCAACGTATAATATTCACCATAAGGTAAAAACACCAACCTTCACACACCTGGATGTTGCACACTTGTCATTGAACTATCAACGTATAATATTCACCATAAGGTAAAAACACCAACCTTCACACACCTGGATGTTGCACACTTGTCATTGAACTATCCACGTATACTATTCACCATAAGGTAAAAACACCAACCTTCACACACCTGGATGTTGCACACTTGCCATTGCACTATCAACGTATACTATTCACCATAAGGTAAAAACACCAACCTTCACACCCTGGATGTTGCACACTTGTCATTGAACTATCCACGTATAATATTCACCATAAAGGTAAAAACACCAACCTTCACACACCTGGATGTTGCACACTTGTCATTGAACTATCCACGTATACTATTCACCATAAAGGTAAAAACACCAACCTTCACACACCTGGATGTTGCACACTTGCCATTGCACTATCAACGTATAATATTCACCATAAGGTAAAAACACCAACCTTCACACACCTGGATGTTGCACACTTGTCATTGAACTATCAACGTATCATATTCACCATAAGGTAAAAACACCAACCTTCACACACCTGGAAGTTGCACACTTGTCATTGAACTATCCACGTATAATATTCACCATAAGGTAAAAACACCAACCTTCACACACCTGGATGTTGCACACTTGTCATTGAACTATCCACGTATAATATTCACCATAAGGTAAAACACCAACCTTCACACACCTGGATGTTGCACACTTGTCATTGAACTATCCACGTATAATATTCACCATAAGGTAAAAACACCAACCTTCACACACCTGGATGTTGCACACTTGCCATTGCACTATCAACGTATAATATTCACCATAAGGTAAAAACACCAACCTTCACACACCTGGATGTTGCACACTTGTCATTGAACTATCCACGTATAATATTCACCATAAGGTAAAAACACCAACCTTCACACACCTGGATGTTGCACACTTGTCATTGAACTATCCACGTATAATATTCACCATAAGGTAAAAACACCAACCTTCACACACCTGGATGTTGCACACTTGTCATTGAACTATCCACGTATACTATTCACCATAAGGTAAAAACACCAACCTTCACATACCTGAATGTTGCACACTCGCAATTGCACATCAACGTATAATATTCATCAAAAGGCAAAAACTCCAACCTTCACACACCTGAATGTTGCACATCTGTCATTGCACTATCAACGTATAATATTCATCATAAGGCAAAAACTCCAACCTTCACACACCTGAATGTTGCACATTTGCCATTGCACTATCAACGTATAATATGCACTACGGGGCACTGTACTACAGACTCAAACGTACGACGATTACTTGCTGGAATGTTGCAAATTTCTTACTACCCTATCAGAGTATACGATACACTACCGAAGAAAAATTCCTACCTCCACACGCCGGAACGTTGCACAACTCGGTCCTGTCCTCCTGGTTGACGCCACTACAGTCGGCACCGTTGAACTGTGGGACGGGAGTGTCACAGTTCCGGGTCCTTCGCAACATCCTCGTGACGTTGGTCCCGCACGTGGCGGAGCACTCGGTAGGACTCCAAGCACTCCATGGTCCGTATCCCCCGTTCACTGCACGTGACAACATCACCAATATATATATCGGGTCCACAGTTGCCACATAGTTTTTCAGTTCTAAATCGTGTCGACTTAATTATGCTTCTTGGTTACCCGGGAAGATCCGGGTTAGAATTGATCTTCATTAACCCATGCTTGTCGTAAAAGGCGACTGGCGGGATCGTGTGGTCAAGCTCGTTGACTTGGTTGACACATGTCATCGGTTCCCAGTTGTGCAGATCGATGCTCATGCTGTTGATCACTGGATTGTCTGGTCCAGCTCTATGACGGTGTACTCTTTTGAGTGACGTTTAACTCAACTCACTCACTCACTCCCCGACATTACTGACATAATTGTATTGCGTTTGAAAGTGCGTCAAACATTCTGCTCTCTGCATTCTACAAACAAACACATTCCCCTGTACGCACACTAGAATCACCTTGTACACATTTCAGACAGCTATGCAGGGGTGGAAATAACCCATTGCCCAACGCCCGGGTCCAGTGTTTTTTTCTGTCGGGCAAGCAAATTTGTATATCACACTGTACCGGTGTCCAGTTGATATTCCAATGTTAATTATGTTGTTTATTTAAAAAAATCAACAAGAAAACGTCCGGTATAGTGGAAAAATTATTCAGGGCAGGTGATTTTACACGTGCCACTGTACCGGAGTACACTAGCAATTTTAAAGTTATTTCCACCCCTGCTATAACACTATAGAAACTGAATCGGAACCTAACTTCATTAATCTATAATTAAAACATCCTCTTGTGTTTGTTGTTTACCTGGGCACCGGGGTACATTACACCTCCCTCGTGAAAATTCTTGATACGCCCCATCACAGACTCGTCCTCCATACTGTGGGGAGGGATTGGTGCAAGTCCGGTTCCTTGTCGTCACCCCGGTCACATCTAACCCGCAACTCTCTGTGCATACTGGACTTGACCATTGGGTCCACTCCGAGAAGCCTCCATCGACTGGAACCAGATACTTAGCAACTGACCATTCTGAAACGCTTTGCAAGCGTCTGACCTTCAATGTCAGTGTCGGTGTAATTAGAAACAGGCCCATCTACATGTATGGGGGCAGTTCAGAGAGTACTTCTACTGCGGTTGGGTCCAAATCTGATCTTACACCAGTACCAGTAAATAAGTGAATATCTCACATTAGTGGTATGGAGTAATTGACTAGAGCAGGATATATTTCTGTCTTGAATTTCATTTGTTCAAAAGGGAAAAAACACAGTAAAATATTCTACTGTTTCTATTATATCGATTCGTCACGATATGGCTGAGATATTGCCGATGTGACGTTAAATATTAACTCACAGACTCTATTATATCGAGTTGAGCGTATGTCGGTGGTATTTTGCGCCGCTTTTGGCGGTATTAAAGCAAGATCACTTCACATATTGAAACCACCTGGAGCATCGGTACCTAGTGTCAACCAAGCTGCCTAGTATCACTATTGGCAACATCGTTATATATCAATAGAGCACTAAAATTGAAATTGTTAAACAAATTATTTGAAATAATAATGCCAACTTACAAAACTCCATTTGCCTGACGGATGTTGGCTTTCCTCTTTTTTTAATACAAAATCATTTGACTGTACATCTAGCAATATCCTGAATGGATATTTCATTAGACATAAGACTCAATTATGTTCAAATTATGAAATGTTTATATTCTACTTTTTCGAACGTTTTGCCCACGCCTAAGGCAGATCTCTACTCTCTATCAACCCACACCACCTGCGCCACCTCGAACATTTACCCCATCCCCATTTCGTCTGAATAAAAAGCAAATAATGTTCATTTGTAACCGGAAATATATCAATTCTAACTCATTTTCAGCCACATCTTGACAATGCCGAGCACACCAAAACTGAATATTTAACGACTGTTACCGAAGACCGTCTGATAAGTATAACCTAACTGGCATTTTGCCACATGAATAAACGATAACCAATCCTATTTTCATTCCGCAAGATGCTAAAGAATGTCTATATGTTGCCTACTTGGGCATCTGGGCACTTGACAAACCCTGGGGGATGTCTCCTCCGCAGGTCCCACACAGGGGGGAGGCCGCCGTTCTGGGGTGTAGGAGAAGTGCATGCCCGTGTTCTCCGAGCGTCCGCCACGGCGTTGAATCCACAACTTGGACAAGAATCATGGGTCCAAGGTATCCATGACGACCAGCCTCCATCCACTGCATCATAAATTATGATATTATGTTACACTTCCTGTATTGAACATATTGTACAATGTGTCCCTTTGGATTCGTAACAGTGCACCCGTGGAGATCAGGGTTAGAATTGGCCTTCAGTAACACATGCTTGACGTGAGAGGCGACTAACGGGCGACTTCATTGACGCATGTCATTGTATCCCAATTGCGTAGATAGATTCTCATGATATTGATCATTGGATTCTCTGAGTGGATTATTTATAGACCGCGGCCATACAGCTGGAATATTGCTGTGCGGCTTTAAACCCATGCCTTCAAATCCAGACAAACATGGGTTGATGAAGATCAGTTTCAACGAAGACCTTCACGTGTGCCGAGTATCACAATGCAAGGAACGATTAAGGTGTATAAACTTAGAATTGCCCTTACATGTGAAATGGGTGTGTGATATGTAAATCCATGTGCATGACAACTCTTGCATGGAATAATTCATGGACTCTACAGTGTATTTATGCACAGACTGTGAAAGTTATTACATGACTGTATTTTGGGCCAACGGCCTTGGTACTGGAATAAAATGTCTGTCTGTCTGTCTATAAAGAACAATGTCAAGTGTCAGGGCAATTAACGAGGGAAAATTCCTACCATTGATGTTGCATATCCCATCCATGAGATTAAATCCATTACGAAACGCTGTCATGTCGTCGTATTCAACTACGCGAGCGGCATCGGTGGCGACAGCAGCGAGATCAGCTTTAAATCTGTTGTAGAGAAAGGACACTGACTTGTAGAACCCAATGATGCCCAAGGCTTTGACGTTGATTCCGGCCTGACGCGCTGCCGTCCCAGCCAACTCTGTTTCTGTCGGGGAGCTAGTTGTGGAACCCAGGATTGCCAAAATGTGCTTCGGTGTTGTCACCCGATCTGCGGTTAGAAGATTGCGCGCCTCATCCAGTCCAAGATTCAGGTACGTTGCACCTCCTGGCTGAGAAATGGAATCAATTTGCATCCGCAGAGAGGCAAAGTTTGAGCTGAGTTGAATAATGGCTGACACGTTGTTGCCATACACTACCATACCGAATCTAAGCACACCCAGCTGTTGCAAGGCGTTGTTGATTTGTTGTTTCAGGATTTCTTTGATCCCATCAAAGTCTGTTGCCGTTATAACAAACTGCGACCCATCAAGGAGAACAACGACATCTGCCGGACAATCTGCAAAATCATTATGAAAAAGAAATTTGTAAAATGAGTGAGCGACTCAGTCATAATACAGGCGTAGGCATCATACTGACGCGGTCATCATATTGATTCAGGCGTCATACTGGCAAAGAAATCATACTGACGCAGTCACTATACTGACGCACTGTCACTCATACTGACGCAGTCATCATTGCACTGATGAAGGCATCATACTGACGCAGTCATCATACTGACACGGTCATGATACTGATGCAGTCATGATATTGACGCAGTCATCATACTGACACGGTCATCATACTGAGACGGTAATCATACTGACGCAGTCATCATACTGACACGGTCATGATACTGATGCAGTCATGATATTCGCACAGTCACCATACTGATACGGTCAATATACTGACAGAGGCATCATATTGACGCAGTCATCATACTGAGACGGTCAATATACTGACAGAGGCATCATATTGACGCAGTCATCATACTGAGACGGTCATCATACTGACGCGGTCATCATACTGACACGTTCATCATGCTGACGCGATTAGCATATATATCAAGTGACAAACCCTTTTCACATCCATAAAATACCTTATAAAAGTCGACTGTACCATTCCGACATTAATGTGACCATGTGTTCACGAACCATGATCAAATAGTGATGGAACCAGGTGTTCACGAACCTGTATCAAAAAGTGATGGAACCAGGTGTTCACGAACCTCTATCTTATAGTAATGGACCCAGGTGTTCACGAACCTCTATCAAGTAGTGATGGAACCAGGTGTTCACGAACCTCTGTCGTATAGTGATGGAACCATGTGTTCATGAAAGTCTATCTTATAGTAATGGAACAAGGTGTTAACGAACCTCTGTCGTATAGTGATGGAACCATGTGTTCATGAAAGTCTATCTTATAGTAATGGAACAAGGTGTTAACGAACCTCTGTCTCATAGTGATGGAACCAGGTGTTCATGAACCTCTGTCTCATAGTGATGGAACCAGGTGTTCATGAACCTCTGTCTCATAGTGATGGAACCAGGTGTTCACGAACCTCTGTCTCAAAGTGATGGAACCAGGTGTTCATGAACCTCTATCAAATAGTAATTGAACCAGGTGTTCACGAAAAGGTGAGAGTATCCTGAGTAAACCTCTGCAAAGACTAGTCCGATAAATAAAAATTCGGGAACGTTTTTGTTCAAGTCAAATAAGTGAGTGAGTTAAAATTTATCGTCACACCGGCAATATTTCAGCCATATCGTGACGAGAAAAACATAGTATGTACAAGTGAAAATAAGGACTTGGTTGGACATCATTTTCGTTACTGAGGCGTAAATTTATATCCTCAATATGTCTACCATAAAACCGTTTGAAATTGTAATTGAGGCCTTGAATGTTGTAACCTCAATCGAGCAACTTGAGCAATGAGCATGACGCTCTTTGAAACCTTGGTAGAAAGAGCATGTGCGATTGTACTGCCACAGATCTATTTCATGGCACACTGTTTTGACATGGTGGTATCTTTCAAGTTGATAGCTTTTCGACTACGTCATTAGTTGGTCATCTCGTTAGGGTAATGTAGACAGCTTCCCACTGTGTCGCAACAATCAGTGTTATGGCATTTAAACCTTAATTGGTTGTCCTCTCCACCGTGTCTGCCTTCACATCAATTAGTTGAGGGCAATGCTGTTGTTTCTTTCTCCCTCCATTGTTGTCACTTCGTCTGTCCTTTTTTGTCTATAACTATATCACTGTCGGGTACAGTGTACGAAATATGTGCACGTTAAATCTCTAAATCATCATCATCATCATCATCATCATTGTCCGGCAGTCTGGTATTCCGTCTACACCTGTATGTACGGCCGTGAGTAGGACAAACCTGCTTTCTGGTCTTGTCCAGCAGTAAAGTTATCATAATAATTTCTTAATGTAATCTGTTTGTTGTATAAAGAAGTTTGAGCCTGCGTATTCCTTCGTCTTCGCCAATTGAGGACAGTCCCCGTGGTGTAGTGGTTAGAGCGTCCGCGGGTTCGATCCCCGACCGCGTCATACCAAAAGACGTTAATATGTGGTACTTGTTGGTCCCTGTCTGGCGCTCGGCATTAATGGGTACAACAAGGACTGACCGGGTCGGAGTCAGTATAATGTGACTGAGTGGGGGATTCATGCTTAACTGCGGCATGGTATCTCAGTGGGCTAGCACTATAAAACCAGCTTTTAAGTCTGGGCTAGTATAAGCAGCCGCACATACCCATACACACGCATACACACGTCATATGAGCGAAATATTCTCAAGTACGACGTTAAAGCCCATGTCACCTCACCTCACCGTATAATTGACCTAGCTGCCCTGTCCATATTTACGTTTTGACAGTCCCTCAAAAGGTTTGAAATATAATCGGCAAGGGCTGGAACTTTTCGAATACTGCTCCACGTATTTAAACGCAGAATGACACTGACGTTCCGGAGTCCGTATGAAGAGAAAGCACACGTTCAATGAAATAAGAAATCTCACCTATTGGTAAAACTGTGAGGTACGCCTGAGTGGTCATTCCGTCCAACTTGTAACTGTATAGACCCGAGTCTGCTAACTGACCATTCACGATGACCAGGGTCTGTACAGTGTCCCGGGTTGTGATCTGGATCTTGTCCGACTTGGTCAGAAGCACATTATCTTTATACCACGTGCCCCTCGTTATACCAGCTTCTGTAAGATTTAACTGGAAGGTCCCGAGATACCCAGTCTGGATTGTCTGGTTGGTCAAGTCATTCACGAACTGAAGACCTGGGGAAGCACAATTAAACAAATGTATTGGTTTAAATAACCTGGTGGAGGGGCCCGTTTTTCAAAGCGATCGTACCGCTACGACTGTCGTAAAGTCTCTGTTAAAGTATGGGAGTTACGATCATCTTAGCGTTACGATCGCTTTGTGGAACAGTACCCTGGGCCTAGATGTTCGAAGCTCTCTTAGCGCTAAGATAGTCGTAAGTGCCATACATTAACATTAACTTACGACTATCTTAGCGCTAAGAGAGCTTCGAAAATCTAGGCACTGGGTCCTGTTTCATAAAGCTATCGTAGCGCTACGACGGTCGTAAGTCTTCGTTAAAGCATGGTACTTACGATGACCTTAACGCTACGATTGCTTTGTGGAACAGTACCCTGGGCCCCGTTTCACAAAGCTATCGTAGCGCTACGACGGTCGTAGGTCAATGTTACAGTATAGGAGGTACGACAGTCGTAGCGCTACGATAGCTTTATGAAACGGGCCCAGATCTGTAAAAGTATTAAGAAATCAGAATTAAGTATCAGAAAAAAAGATTACAGGACAGAATATATATTTTACTGAATTGATTACCTTTCTTTCTTAAGGGGTGGTGTATTAAAACGTTTTATAGGGTTATCAAGTGTGCTATATTTGTTTTAGTTTTGCTTGATAATTCAACGTTACATACAGTCTAAAAATTCGTTAGCTGATACAAATCTGGACTAGGGAATGTTAGCGCCCCCTTTCCCTTTGACAAAACAAATTTAATAAAGTACTGCTTCTCATTTTATCTCGATGCGTAGATCTTCATGGTCTAAGTGGTCTAAAACGTGATGAGGTATGACTATCAGGACAACATATTAATACCACTAGAACATTATAGAGGTATGAAACTAGGGACTCAAAGAACACGAGGAGGCGTGGTGACCGGATCAAGTTCTGAATAATCATGTTAACTGGTCGAATATAGAAGTCTTAGAATGAATGTTAAAACTGTAATCTTTGTAATCATTAATCTGTATAACAGTTAGTAGATAACTAAGTTGCTGATATCTAATTTTTAGTTAAGTTAGTGTCAAGACCCTTGTCCTAAAGTGTCAGGAAGTATTCCCGAGTTTCGGGGATAATTTTAAATCCCATTTCGTTTTAATGTTCTTTTCCCGTTTTATGGCCATTCCTAGTCCTACTTTTTATTGTTGTGACCCGTGCCATTCATCTGAACCCTGTGCTCTGATCCGCTGAACCTTGTTCGATGTACTTTGTGTAAAGATGATGCAATTAAACAGCTGTCAAACTGAATCAAATCGAATAGTGCCTTCTATTCAAGACAACCCTTGAAATCATTAAGTCATTAAATAGTTGATTTTAGAAATAAATATGTGGATGTATAATGTTGAATCAGTTAGCTTGCAGTATCATTTTAGGGGTAGATGTTAAAGCGTTCGCTCGTCACGCCGAAGACCCGGATTCGATTCCCCACGTGGGTACAATGTGTGAAGCCGATTTCTTGTGTCCCTCGCCGCGATATTGCTGGAATGTTGCTAAAAGCGGCGTAAACCTAAACTCTTTCACTCACTCACTCTACAGGAACGGCGTATTGCGTTTCGCAGTGTTCTGTACATCACTGGGTGGGTTAGTGAGTAGAGCTTAATATATCATCATTAGGAATTCAGTCATTCTCACTCACAGAGAGCATATCACCGTGATAGTGCTGGAATATTGTTTAATATGTGAGTAATACAATCGATAGAAGCATAACCATGGCGGATCTAGGGTTCGAACCCACCATTATGTTTCTAAGAGGCAACCCTGCACTTCAGACGATTGAACCACTCGATCATTTAAGTGGTTTGGTCATGGTTTTACGCCGCCTTTAACAATATTCCAGCGATATCACCAGAAATGGGGGACACCAGAAATGGCCTTTACACACTGTTCCTATGAAGGGAATCGAACCCGGTTCTTCAGCATGACGAGCGGACGCTTTACCCACTAGGCTACCACGGCTCCAATAAGTAAAACTTATGTCATTAGTATAAAGTTGTTACCCATACCTCTTGGTAAAAGAGCATGCTTGGATTGTCCTGTCACAGAGTAACTTCAAGGCGCTCTGCTTTGACAAGGTATTACCTTTAAATAAATCACAGATTCTAGTACTTTTTTGGGTTGAGTCCCATCCGGGATTCGAACCCACACCCTCAGAGTCAGGCACCTTTTACTAAGAAAGTGCAATCCCAAATATAACATATGTTACATTTGACCACTTTCTAAAATGGCATTGTGTATTTCATAGCTTTCGGCCGTGGGAGCCGTGCCAATTAACACTTATCAGAGGGGTACACAAAGTCCGCAGTCTAGACTACCAGTTGTCCGACTTCCCTTTTTGTGGAAGCCGCGGTGCAGAGCAGTCTAGGCGTCTGACTTTGTGTGCTGGCAATAAGCTGTCTGACTCCGAGGGTGTGGGTTCGAATCCCGGATGGGACACAACCCAAAACGGTACTAGAATCTATACTTTACTAAGAAAGTGCAATCCCAAATATAACATATGTTACATTTGACCACTTTCTAAAGTGGCATTGTGTATTTCATATTATCTTTTAAGATTGTAGATTTTCAGCTACCACTAGGCTACCCCATCTCCCCCGATTTCGTTTCACGTACCCGCACACAGGGGTACGGAACAGGGTAGTTCCTCAACTTCCTGCAGAGGCTCACTGCAATCAGTCCCATTGTTTTGAGGTGGTGGAGAGTCACAGAGCCTTGACCTTGTCCTTCGCCTTGTAATGGAGCGCCCACACGTAGCTGAGCATGACGAGAGAAACCACTGTCCCCACGGACCGACACCGCCGTTCACTGAAATCATTACCGTATTAAATACCCCTAAAGACGTAGTCTAATGGTTAACCTTAAACTTAAACAATAAAACATTCAGAAAGCGAATGATTATTGACACTTACAGCGTTTATAGAAACAATGCAAGGTCATTAGCAATAGGTTGTATGATGTCATTCGACCTTGGCCTTCCATTTCGAAATCAAGAGTAAATAATTTATATCATTGATAACTTGTCATTAATAACGCTATACTTAATAGTACTGGCACATCCGTAGTACAGACTGTGATCAAAAAACATAACTAAAGTAATGATAATTGCATCGACAGCAGTAAAAATAGATCTCTGCAATTAACTGCATACGTCAACATTCTGCAACTGAGGTGACCTAATATAGCGTTTCTTCTATATTATCATGTTTTTAGGGGTTTTATCGGTACAGTAAAGCAATCTGATAAACTTGGTATCCACATGTGATACATATGCAAATTAAGTCAATACACGAACTTCTTTTACAAAACTCCATACACGCCATGCGAATCCTAAAATGTTTTTAACATTTCATTGATGACGTTCTCGTGAGTTTACAGGGAGTTTTCCAATTGCGTGGGCGAGTTTGTAAACAAACATGGCTGCCCCCGTTATCGAAATTGGTGATTCTGTAAGAATTGATGACAGAGGTTCTGGAGTCGTTGCTGCAGTAATTGACTTTGAAAAACATGAAACGGAATACTTCGTTCAAATTGAAGGTACGGATTGTGAGGCACGAGTGAAAGGCGGTCGTCTAAGAAAGGTACCAACGAAGGATTTCGATCTATCGATCACAGCAAAGCAGACGACGAATCGATGCCGTCAGGTATCAGAGACTGATATTGATGAGGTGATCACTCGTGAAAACTCCCCGATTTTGTTGTTCTTTTTAGACAGAAAGATCTTATTTTAAGCAAGTCATGTTTGCACTATATTAGCGACTAGTCACAACCATATGCCGCTGCCATAAACGACCTTCACCTTGGTGTATCGCTAAGTATTCTCACGCGAATGCTCGATTCTCTTCCTATAATTTCACACACGATTTGGTTCTCATCTAGAAATTTTATAAATGATAGGAATAAAACATATCATGTATTATGCTCGTCAAAGGTTCGGATTATACAATTTTTGTTCCTAATAAATGATATTAATGATAAGAAAAAGACGAGCATAATGCATATTTTTCATTCCTAATGGTACGGAAATACACGAGGTTAATAATATCTCTATATACATGTATTTCTATGCGTGTAATCACCTATAGTGTATGTACTCACCCGGACAACGCGGCACATCACATATGACCTGCTTTGTTTGAAAATTCTCTCCATAACATAACTGTCCGTTGTTCCTAGGGGAAGGGTTGGTGCATGCCCTTGACCTTGACCTGATTCCTCTTACACTGACGCCACATGATGACAGGCAGAGTTCCTCCCACGCACCCCAAATTGTCCAGGCACCGTCAACTGCAAAACAAATACAGTGCATTATACAAGCACGTATTCTTGTTGGAGGAAGCTTGACGTTACATCAAGGCTTTACAGCTTAATGTTTTTTTCCTGATTGTTGTTTAACCCACACTCAGCAATAATCGAGTCTGGACCAGAACAATCCAGTGATCAACATCATGAGCATCGATCGACGCAACTGGGATACGATGACATGTGCTTGACAACCCAATGCCGTTAGTCGCCTCTTACGACAAGCATGGGTTGTTGAAGACCAATTCTAATCTGGATCTTCACGCGTTTCACAACCGAAGCATGAGTCTCATGAACCAATTCAGACAATGACCTACTTTTCTAACGATCCGAATTTCCTCATATGAAAGTGAAAAGAGACACTACAAACAACTACGGTTACACGAAATTCCAATTTCTTGTTTCATATGAAAATGATATTTACAAATGAATTCATTTTTTTTTAAATCGTATCTCTTTATTTTATGACGAGGTTGAGGCAGCATGACGTTAACTAAGATGTAACAGTCTGTCCCTGTTTGATGAGGTCGTAAAATGATTCACAATTCATCTGGCCCACTGGTTACACCTGTTATGTGTTCTTTGCGCTTATTAAGCGTATTTTTTACGTACAGTGTGAATGACATAATATCGAGGCCGTAGAAGACCGCCAAGCTTTTCTACCTCTGCGAACCTCGTTTTGAGATTTCCACGATTTCCAGATTCCCGTTTGTCAGAGCACGATGTACGACGTGTTTGCAAGGATTAGAAAGAGCGTAGTGTTGCAATACAAGTGGTTAGATTATCAAATAATACTGATTAATTTATATATCCAGTTGAATATGTTGGTCTCAACATTTTGGTTATTGTACTAAGTTGCGCAGTAGGATGGAATCCAGTCAGCAGGAAGCGAGACCGTTGTGTAATCAATGTTTTTATTTGCTTTATGAAGAGGAACGCCGGGCGTTATAACGACCTATAATGTTTACCACTTTCTTGGCAACCACGGGGACGGGTATGAGGCTGGCACACGAACACACAGAACGAATGTAGGATAATTGCTGATTTGATATTATTTCAAATAGTTAATATTCATATCTGGTAATATTATATGCGAATATTTATGACTAAGTTAATCAGGACTTACCGGGACAGTCGTTAGGTAACTGACAGCTGGCAGTCTTGCTCTCCACCCTGACGCCCTGGCAGTCTTGTCCTCCATTAGCGGGTGGAGGGCTGTTGCACACCCTGGTTCTGTTGATCGGCTTCGTTGCCTCTCGGCCACAGGTCACTGGGCAGTCAAAGACGGCTGGATTCCAGGCAGCCCATTCAGAGAATCCCCCATTTACAACAGCACCTGCAACACGAGCGTTAGGTTGGCAAAAGAATCAACAGCGTGTCATTAGGAATATTAAGGATGTCATTAAGAATCACACAGGTGTCAGTAGTAATCATGGGAATGCTATCAGTAATCATAGGGATGTCATCAGTAACCAAAGTGATGTCATCAGTAATCATAGGGATGTCATCAGTAATCATAGGGATGTTATCAGTAATCATAGGGATGTCATCAGTAATCATAGGGATGTCATCAGTAATCATAGGGATGTCATCAGTAATCATAGTGATGTCATCAGTAATCATAGGGATGTCATCAGTAACCAAAGTGGTGTCATCATTAATCATAGGGATGTCATCAGTAATCATAGGGATGTCATCAGTAATCATAGGGATGTCATCAGTAATCATAGGGATGCATCAGTAATCATAGGGATGTCATCAGTAATCATAGGGATGTCATCAGTAATCATAGGGATGTCATCAGTAATCATAGGGATATCATCAGTAATCATAGGGATGTCATCAGTAATCATAGGGATGTCATCAGTAACTATATGGATGTCATCAGTAATCATAGGGATGTCATCAGTAATCATAGTGATGTCATCAGTAATCATAGGGATGTCATCAGTAATCATAGGGATGTCATCAGTAATCATAGGGATGTCATCAGTAATCATAGCGATGTCATCAGTAATCATAGGGATGCATCAGTAACCATAGCGATGTCATCAGTAATCATAGGGATGCATCAGTAATCATAGGGATGTTATCAGTAATAGTCAGGATGCTACTAGTGATCACACAGGTGTTATTGATAATCATTAGGATGTTATTAGGAATTATCCAGGTGTTATTAGTAATCACCAGGAAGCCATTAGTAATTATCATGGCGTAATTAGGAGTGAGTGAGTTAAAATTTTAAGTCACATTGGCAGTATTTCAGCCATATTGTGACTTGGTGTCATTAGGAATCACCACACTGTTATAAGTAAACATCAGGATTCCCTTAGGAATCACCCGTGGGTCAATAGGAATGCCATAGGTTATCATTAGAATGTCATTAGGGACCATCGGTATCTGCTTGGCAAGGGTCAGTCGTTGGTCTGCACTCGTGATCTACATGGACACTTCTCAAAAGAATTTAAAGACATTCCGATTCTTTCATCTTGCTTTACATAATCTGACAGATCAAGTAAGTGTAGTATAAACTATAATAAGGCGCTCAAAACAACTGATTAGGCTTTCAACCTCGTTCGATAATATTCTATTTCATAATGACAGGGATCGGTGGGATAGTCTAGTGGTTAATGCGTTCGCTTGTCACGCTGAAACCCCGGTTCGATTCCCCACATGGGTACAATGTGTGAAGCCCATTTCTGGTGTCTCCCGCCGTGATATTGCTGGAATATTGCTAAAATCGGCGTAAAACTATACTCACTCCCTCATTGGGGACAGAAACAATGTGTCTGTCAGACCACTAACCTACCTGATACTGTTAGGAATCCGTTAGTAGGGAGACCTTTAACGGTGTAAGTGTAACCTCCTTGGTCAGCCCCTACTATATTTCGTATGATCAGCTGTCGTATGTCCCCGGCTTCTATGAAGGAGTACTTTGACCCTGCAGTCAGTGGTACAGAGTTCCTTGACCAGACCCCGGATGGTGCCCCGATAGGGGATACTCGGGTCTGGAGGACCGCGTCAGTGCCTTCTACAGCTGTCACACTGTTCAGTGGAGCTGAAATAGACGAAGTGAGAGACTAAAATTGCATATCGTATTGTACTTCAATGACGGAGCTTGATCGCTTCCAAAATTGACCGTGAAGATCTGGGTTAGGATTGGTCTTCTGCAATCCATGCGTGTCGTAAAAGGCGACTAAAGGGATCGAGTGGTCTGATTTGGTTGACACCTGCATGTCATCGTATCTCAATTGCGTAGATCGTTGCTCATGCTGTTGATCACTGGATTTTCTCGTCCAGACTCGAGTATTTACAGACCGATGACATATAGCTGGAGTATTGCTGAGTGCGGCGTAACGCAACAAGCAACCAATCTAAAACTGAAGTTGCCTTAACCGATTCCCAACTATGACGTCATTTCGGAAGTGACGCCATCATCTCTATCACTTCTTTCCGTTAGGGACGAGTTCAAAAGTTCAATATAGGATATAAAACGAATTTCCATAAGTTTCGACACATACCCTTCCTCCAAAAAACGTAATTCTAAAAATGTTGCTTTCGTTGTAACACTCAAACATACTTTCCTAAAGAAAGACAAACACAGTCTCGTAACACTCCGTACGTTGTAATCTAACGTGACCAATATTCTGGAATGATTAGAGAAGGAATGACTAACGAGTTTTGAAACGTACGCTCAAGCAGCGCCAGTGAGATCGTGGTAAAAATATGATCGGTGGAATAGGATGAGAAGTCTTGATTTAAGTTACCGTATAATGATAATTGAAAGAACCATTTAAGAATGAGGTAAATTGATTTTGATTGAAAAACCCGACGCCTACTCTCAGATTATTTGTGTTGGAAGTACTTGAACAAAGGTATAGCATCAAGCCGAGCCTGACGTCAACTCTGTTCATAATCTCCGGAACAGTGGTAGCTTTTTAAAAATGTCTTTTTGTCTTAAATGCTGACTTAAAGTTCTTAAATATATATGTTTTCACAAATGTCAGATTTTTACTGTATATTTCCTTCAAGGAATTATGATTTTTATCCAGCATCGAACTTTTGAACTCCATAAGTCCCTACAAAAGTTCATCGCTTGCTGCAATTATTTGTAATCTGATTGAATGGCACCTTGTGTAATTCGTACTCTAAGCTCTTGTTTAGCGCCGCACTCAGCAATATTCCAGCTGTATAGCGGCGGTCTGAATACAATCCAGTCTGGACCAGACAATCCGATGATTTATATCATGACCATTGGTCTATGTGGTGACCAAAACCTTGGGTCTAGGGTATTGATTATAATTAATATGATCGGGTCAGACTATACCTACACACAACAGTGAGAGTGGCCTGGCGGACATCCCCGTCGACGACCACGCTATAGACACCAGCGTCTGTATGCTGTACGTTTGGGATGGTGAGCCTGTAGTCGGCTCCGCTGAGACTCTGGACGTATCTGGTGTTACCGGACAAGTCCAGGCCGCGGGTCCGCCACATCACGCTGGGAGCATCAGCGCGACTGAGAGTTGTCTGGAAGATGCCGGAGTTGCCGACGAGTACGGTAAAATCACCTGGAGGACTGACGATGGTCACTGAAAGACAGACAGACACAAGGATTTACACCCCCAGTACACTGGTATTACAAAGTCCAGGAACAGTGTCAATGCGTTTTATATACGAGTAGTCAAATGTATCTGAAATTTGATTTTCACCATACGCCCAGTACACTAGTATCACAAAGTACAGAACAGCATCAAGATACACCGTTTGATACAGGTACAGTCAAATGTATCTGAAATTTGATTTTTACCATATTAAGTGGAAAAGTAGTAAAATTTATAGTACCATAGTCAAACTGCCCCTGAAAAGCTCCGGAGACTGCCTTACAAGCGTTTGTTACAAGAGAAAAAATACCGAATTCCACTGACTTTGCTATGGAACCGGAAAGTGAGTGAATAATACACCAGCAATATCACGGCGGGGGGCACAAGAAATGGTCTTCACATAATGTGCAAATGTGGGGAATCGAACCCGGCTCTTCAGCGTGACTCGCGAGCGCCTTAACCACTGGGCTTTCGCCCCGGAACCGGAAAGACTCTTTACAAACAGTAAGTACCATGAGGAATAACGTCGGCACAACGTTAGCGCTTCCTGGTAAACAAATAATTGTGTGCTTACATCTCTTGTGAAGGAAAACTACATCTCTTGTACATCCCCTCCACCTTGGACGGGAGTATTCGATTTCGTAATGCTAAATTTCCCGTGAAAGAAAACTAGATTCCCAACAATTAGTTTTCCCGTGAAAGAATACTAGATTTGTTGTGAACGAATGCAAGATATTAAGTGAAAGAATATACAATATCCTGTGAAGGAATACCAGATCTCCGGTGGATAAATGCCAGATCTGCAATGACTGTGTTCCCAGAAGTAAGTGGGTACCCGGTAGGATGAGATGTTTTTGTGAATGTTATCTTTAACACCTCCCAAGCACATTTGGCTAGTATACTCGCCATGGAGCTGAGAAAGAACACCGAGGGCATACTGAACCACTATCAAGGGTAATAATTACGGTAGCTAGCGCGTAGGTGTGTGCGTTAACGGACTGACTGTACGGCATGTTTGTAATAATGGTAATGATGATGATGATGATAATGATGATGATTATGATGATGATGATGATGATGATGATGAAGAAGAAGAAACATACCAGATTTTATATGAATGAAGGAATAATATACCTGCTTGAAACAGGTAAAGTATAGGATTATACTTTACGTAATTAACGTTATCCCACACACGATTGGTAAAGTCTTGCAACATATACTGGACATCACATATTGTAAAAATCCCTATTCCCAATGACATGACAAGACCTGTCATAAGGTCTTTTGACAATTGTAATATTAAAGAATCGGGTGTTCTTTAATTCAGTTGAGTAGTATATGTACACAGCAGGATTATGCTGAGTGTGTTCGTCATCAGTGGTAAATAGTGACGCCAAGCTTCTGTGCATTGCCTTTGTCGAGGCTTACTGTATTCATTGCATAACAAATGAAATGAAACTTTAGCATACGCCATTGTTCAGATTCTTTAGTATTCATCAATGGACAATAAGGATTTGTACAACGTCAAACCATTGTCAAGGCACTGCGAAGAGATTTAGGTGTATTTAGTTAGTAGTTTTCTTTTTCTGATAAATCAAAATGCATCATATCTTGAAACGCTTTCTAAAACAATTCTAAATAAATGTTTGATTTGCAATATTAAACTCAGGGCACGTTGACTGAAGCAGTCTACAGTTGGTTAAACATTTCACTGGGAACCGGTGCACGTTGCTGAAGAAACAGAAAACTATTATATGGTTTATTCTGTTGTACATCGCAAACACAGAATGAGTCAGAAACTATACAATGCATCACTATCGGTACAAAAACATTGCTATGGAGTACAAATACAAATATACGTACAATTATGAAATAATAACACGTAAAACATTTCTTAAACAGAGAATGTATTTTGTTTATAATCACATTAAAATCGAATTAAAACAAAACAACCTTCGTTCTGTTTTGCTATTGAAATAAATACATTACCTATCTCCTTGGTAACAGCAGACCTGTGTAATGCCGAAACAATGTCTGACGAATGTCCAGACAGTTGATCAAAGTCCGCCATCTGAATCACCGACTCGTTGGAACTAGCAATACCTTGAAGTTCAGTCCGGTACCTTCGATATATAGGTAAAAACCATTTGACATACACATCTATCCCAACAGCCAGCATGAACACCCCAGCTGATCTGGAGCTCAATGCTGCTGCTCGGGTGTCTTGAGGGTAGGTTGAAACACCATCAGTGATGACCACCATGGCTTGAGGATTTGGTGATGGATCCTCCAGAAGCAGCGTCAGGGCTTTCTGTATCCCAGCATCTGTAGCAGACTCCCCGCCGGGAAGATCCAAATCGTCCATTTGTGTGAGGATGGAGGTTATGTTGGAAGAAGCTAGAACGACATCGGTGACGACACTTCCGTACACGACAACACCGACCCGGCTGTCATTGTTCCTGGTGAAGCTTTCAGTCACTATACGTTTCAGGGCATCTTTGATCAGTAAGAAATTGTCTGCTTGGACGCTCTGTGACCCATCAACGACATAATATACGGTGTATGGTGCAGAGTCATCTACAATGGAAATAAGAATTCATCAGAGTGTTCTTCATACATATATTCATTGCAAGTATCGGAATTAGCCTATTTTGAAAAAAAAGCCTTCTTGTCAAACTCCTGTGTATCGATGTTGGGACGTACTTACTTCGAGTAATCAGAAGTCCGACACAAAATAACGAATAAAACGAAATACCAAGCTTATAGTTCCTTACAACCGTACGTTCGACACATCAAACTTCGACATAACGGTTTTTAACTGTATTGATCCAAATCAGCTCTCGCTGCTGGGCTCCTTAGTGAAGGTTCTAGGCGATTTGTAATTGTCAAATAAATAAAAATAGTGGGACCTAGCTTTGAAATAGTAAGTAACGTGTCTGCGAGGTCTCCATAGTGTGAACAAAGATATATAATATCCTCTTGAAAGGAGGAAGTAGATTTCAGTGACAAGCGATGTTTACCAGCCGATCTAGATAAAATGAAGTTAATTCAATTTCTGCATTGGTCGGGATAATTGGTTTTTAATCATGTTGATATGGATTGGTCCTTTTCCATTTCAAGGTTCGTTTATGCCAACAACGTTTGAAGCCCAAGGCTCCTAAAATATCTGACCTTTCATCGAATAAAATATCAGCTTTTTCAAAAAGGATAATTCATACAATAATGTGTGTCATGTATCTGTAACGGAACTACTAAAGATGCTACTACTACTATTACTACTACTGCGACTAGTAGTAGTAGTAGTAGTAGTAGTAGCAGTAGCAGTAGTTGTAGTAGTAGCAGTTAGTAGCAGGGGCGGATCCAGATTGGGGGGGAGGAATTGCCCTGAGGAGCATTTCTTCCTAACCTTTGGACTTCATGAATTATGTGCACCCCCCTTCTCCAATATCCTGGATCCGACCCTGAGCAGCGGTTGTTGTAGTCACATATGACTGACTGACTGACTGAGTTTGGTTTTACGCCGCTTTTAGCAATATTCCAGCAATATCACGGCGGGGGACACCAGAAATGGGTTCCACACATAGTTCCCATGTGGGGATTCGAACCCGGGCCAACGCTTTAACCACTAGACTACCCCACCGCCCAGTCACATATGACCGTTGTGGATACAGTAGTACAGGTTGGTCACTGTGATAGTCAGTGATTTCGAGAGTTAACTCCCTTTAACCTTGACGTTACATCATATATCCCACACTTGTCATAAAATATAAACATCATATAGCATCGCATATTTCCTGACTATTTTATTATTACTATTCGCAGATTTCAAGGAACTGTATGTATTTTGTTTCTTTGTACCACATCAACAAGGATGTTTGTCAATGCACTAACGTATAATCCTGTAGTGGGATGAGGTGAAACTATCTAAGACTATTATTAACTAACAGTACATCTGTGAATACCTTGTTGTGAGATATGCAGCAGTACCAGCGCCATGATGTAAAACCAGAGAGGAGGCTCGGTTCTTGTCATTGCTGGAATACAAGTGATTACAACTTCACTCACACAATAAAAACTTCACTTCCTTTCATATTCTTTAAAGTTATTGAGTTTAGCTTTACGCCGCACTCAGCAATATTCCAGCTATATGGCGGTGGTCTGTAAATAATCGAGTCTGAACCAGACAATCCAGTAATCAACAGCTCGAGCATCGCAATTGGGATACGATTACATGTGTCAGCCACAGGCCCTCATGTCTTTACGATGATGAAAGATTTTTCAAAAATATCTAAAAGTTTCAGATGACCACCCCCACCTTCCCGAAATGCCTCACAGTACAATACATTATGTCATATTGTATTGTACCGTGAAACATTTCGAGTCGGGGATCATCTCAAAGACAATATATTTGTTTATCTTTAATCCTCGCAGACACGAGGGCCTGTGGTGTCAACAAAGTCAGCGAGCCTGACCACCCAATTCCGTTAGTCGCCTCTTGCGACAAGCATGGGTTACCAGACACATTCTATCCCGGATCTTCACGGGTCTATTCTATTATGTTATTTAATTTTATAATGAAATCCCAGTATGACTTTCAATCCTCCTCTTAAGCATTATTGTTTACAAAGTGTGGTCGCGAAAATGCATGGTAAATGGAACATTGTCGTATTATCTTAATAAACGATAAATGTATTTAATGGAGATCTCAACATCGTAGGTATCGCAATGTGGTAAACATTTTATTTGAGAAGACACGCCAAACTTCATCTATGATTAAATATCTAGTTATAAGTACTACAGTAAAATGATTGACAGTACTTACCAATATGTCGTTACCGATACTTCTTCTCTTCCCTCCTGGTTTGCAAAATGACTCCATTCGCGGTATTTTTTCACTTGAGAAAATACATGATAATGTATACAGAGTGACCCCTTTAAATCGCGTCACGAAACTGTCTCTATTGTCGATCCTTTGTTCATTTGCATCTGTAGAATAGGCTGTGTGTTAATAGCTAGTGTGTTCCCATAGCGCCCAAGTCACGGCCTAACACCCATATATAGCACAACCCCTGCAATCTGTACACGTAACACCTTGTGAACCTCAGTCTTTTATAACTCAACCGCTTTTATACGAATACATCGGTACATCGTTACTTTTGAAACGACTGTTCAAGACTTCGTGTTGTAATTGGTTGGACCATAAGAAAAATACATTATAGTGAGTGAGTGAGTGGGTGTAGTTTTACGCCGCTTTTAGCAATATTCCAGCAATATCACCGCGGGGGACACCAGAAATGGGCTTCACACATTGTGCCCAAGTGGGGAATCGAACCCGGGTCTTCGGCGTGACGAGCGAACGCTTTAACCACTAGGCTACCCCACCGCCCCAAAATACATTATAGTACGGTTGTAAGGAGATCAAATAATTATGAGATAAACATACCGTGTTGGAAAAACAGAGGTATATAACGAAATTATTATAGCTCTAAATTTGATTTAAAACCAAACGCGTAGCTATTATAGTTTCGTTACATACCTCTGATTTCCCAACACGGTATGTTTATCTCCATTCAACCATAACCGCGTTATTAAGATTTTAAAAAAACACATACTGTGTTGGAAAATCAGAGGTATATAAAGTGATTATATACCTTTGAATAACTTTAATCAAATAATCACAATCCAGTATTTACTGAAGTCATGGTAGAATTCGAATTTTACACCGGTTCGTAGACTAACATCTAGTCTCTGAATGAAAGTATTTAACAGAAAAAACAGTTCCAAACTTAATAGTTCTAATAATAAAATATAATAAAAAGGAGCCCAGAGACTCTCTCCTGAACCTGTGGTAATCTGGACAGGCCACATTATGTTTTATCACTATATGATAACTTTTTAACATAACGGGATTGAATATGTTATCATTTGAATACAAATTGGTATAATGTATGTAAACTGCATTTCAAATCAGTGTTTTATCCGGCTAATGAGTTATTTATACAAAAAAAGGTTTATGATTTATACATATACAATAGAACCCCTTTGTTTCGAACATCTATAGGGCAGATATACAGATCGGCGTATCTGGAGTTCGACACATCCAATCCAACTTACCTATTAGACAAAGGAAAGCACACAAATTAGATATTGCATGCTAAGTACATAACACACACACACACACACACACACACACACACACACACAATAAGACAGGAAATGAACATCTACAACTTAGCTCGACTTATCACTGTAAGCCTATTTATTCGGTTTTCGAGACAACCGGGAGTTCGACATATCCAGGTAGGTATAGTGGTGCATAGAACTGTTGCTCGGAACCGGACGTAATTCCGCCGCTGTCGGGGATTCGACATATTCGAGAATTCGACACATCCGAATTGGAGACAACGGGGCCCTTCTCCACATAATAATAATAAGTCATCTTCACCAAATGTTTGCTCGCGGCGCTTAATCAGAATCTGATTCGTATTACCCCGGATAACCCAAGCTGCCTGTTAGGCGCTAGAAGGTTATAGTCACATGACTTTATCCAACAGGGTACCCATTGTATAACGCTTCTTCCAGTAGCGCATTGTGACTAGTATTTCCGTGTAAGCGTGTTCAATCATCCAGATGTGTAAAAACGTTTTTAAAGTCAATGTATGCTCATACGTGTTTGAGGATCAGTAATATGTTTGTACTAGTTACAAAGACGTCCACGTACATGTGCACTGTGTCGTTTAAAAAGACAACTCCATGTTGAGATACCACGCACATATATACATACTATTAGTAGGTATTACAAAACTATATGTTGATGTGTCATAAGTGGAACGATTTCATACATGACTGACTAAAGGAGTTTACCTTTCGAACAATATGTTGGGGTCAAACCGGTCGTGGGAAGCCATTGAGGAAATCTATTTGACTGCATTTTAATGCGGTTAAGGCTTCGAAAGCTGTCAAACTGTTAAAGCAAAACGGTGTCAACGTTCATTGATGGGAAGACCAGTTTAGAGATAAATAAACCACGAATGTCTCACCGAGCGTAACAGAGCTGAAGAAAGAGATCGCCGCTGTGTGTGTACACCCTGATAACAACAGGAGTGAATTTGTCCGTGTAATTATTTAGCAATTTGTCTATGTATCTGCCAGGTAGGTTTGTGACAGAATAACAAGGGTGCTCCGTGTGTTCCTAGCGGAATAAAATATAACAAATGCTGACAAGTTGTATCAAAAGGTTCAACATGGTGAATAAATTTACGAATAATGTGTCGAACTCGTAAAAGTCGAATTTACGGTCGTCTCGAACTGAAGCTTCTAGTCTGATCAGTTGTCCTACCTTGTCAATTATTTGAGTGAGTGAGTGAGTGAACTTGGTTTTATGTACATTTCTGCAATGTTGATGCCGCGAAACGCCGACATGTCATTTAAACATTTAAGCTAAGGGACTTTATTTTGTCACGGGTAGAAAAGACCTGATTTTAATGATAACACTGATCAAGGACCTGCGATAACATTGCTGCTCCTAATGCAGCTCTAAACTCCATGCTCTGGTCGTGTTGAACGCGCGTGCCAATATATCAATATATCGGTGTATATTCCTTCTTCTTTTCTCACCCCCATGGGGAGTATACAAGTGCCACTAATGGCATTTGTATACAACGTTAATAATCACGTTACTATTCTACCGGGTACCCATTTACTGCTGGTGAACAGAGACTTATTTCGGACAGCATGCCTCAGAGGCACAGGTGAAGCTGCATGTAATTTGGAATGGTACTGGCTACACATTTTCAATATTTGTCTTTTCTTTTGATTTGTCATTAAAACATGCACTGAATATTGTTACATATCTTGCCAAGCAATTGCCATTAAGTGTAGACTTCCGGGTGGTGTGCGTAACGTTGCAAGGTGCATGAACTCGAACTGGGCAAGAGAGCAACATGTTTATTGCAGTCTTAAGGGATGGATATGGATACGAGTTGATAGAATGATCAATACAGTTTTATAAAGATTCTGAATCAAACTGTACTGTATTGGCCGATGGGAGAGTAATACTTGCATGCAACCTTGAAAATAATACACATATGCTTCATATTAGCATGTCGTTGTTTGTCATCTAAAACAGAGAATTAATTACCTTGTGCAGGGCATTCATTAGTCAGGCCACAGTTGTCTTCCCTTGACTGACTATTGTCTCCCTGGCAATACCGGCCATTGAACAGTGTAAAAGGGTTGTCACAGTTCCTGTACCTGTAGACCGTCTTCGTGGCTGTCGTGCCACACGACGCCGAGCAGATGGTTGAAGCAGAGTTCCATGCTCCCCAGGCACCCCACTGACCATCTCGATCTGGAACACATACAGAATCACTGACCATCTCGATCTGGAACACACACAGAACCACTGACCATCTCGATCTGGAACACACACAGAACCACTGACCATCACGATCTGGAACACATACAGAACCACTGACCATCTCGATCTGGAACACACACAGAACCACTGACCATCACGATCTGGAACACACACAGAACCACTGACCATCTCGAGAACCACTGACCATCTCGATCTGGAACACATACAGAACCACTGACCATCTCGATCTGGAACACACACAGAACCACTGACCATCTCGATCTGGAACACACACAGAACCACTGACCATCTCGATCTGGAACACACATAGAACCACTGACCATCTCGATCTGGAACACACACAGAACCACTGACCATCACGATCTGGAACACACACACAGAACCACTGACCATCTCGATCTGGAACACACACAGAACCACTGACCATCACGTGGAACACATAGAACCACTGACCATCTCGATCTGGAACACACACAGAACCACTGACCATCGATCGATCTGGAACCACTACAGAACCATGACCATCTCGATCTGGAACACACACAGAACCACTGACCATCTCGATCTGAACACACACAGAACCACTGAACCACTGACCATCACTGACCATCGATCTGGAACACACACAGAACCACTGACCATCTCGATCTGGAACACACACAGAACCACTGACCATCTCGATCTGGAACACACACACCAGAACCACTGACCGATCTCGATCTGGAACACACACAGAACCACTGACCATCTCGATCTGGAAACACACACAGAACCACTGACCATCTCGATCTGGAACACACGATCTGGAACACACACAGAACCACTGACCATCACGATCTGGAACACACACGGAACCACTGACCATATGATCTGGAACACTGGAACACACACAGAACCACTGACCATCTCGATCTGGAACACACACAGAACCACTGACCATCACGATCTGGAACACATCTCACAGAACCACTGACCATCTCGATCTGGAACACACACAGAACCACTGACCATCTCGATCTGGAACACACATAGAACCACTGACCATCTCGATCTGGAACACACACAGAACCACTGACCATCTCGATCTGGAACACACACAGAACCACTGACCATCTCGATCTGGAACACACACAGAACCACTGACCATCTCGATCTGGAACACACACAGAACCACTGACCATCTCGATCTGGAACACACACAGAACCACTGACCATCTCGATCTGGAACACACACAGAACCACTGACCATCTCGATCTGGAACACACACAGAACCACTGACCATCTCGATCTGGAACACACACAGAACCACTGACCATCTCGATCTGGAACACACACAGAACCACTGACCATCTCGATCTGGAACACAGACAGAACCACTGACCATCTCGATCTGGAACACACATAGAACCACTGACCATCTCGATCTGGAACACACACAGAACAACTGACTGTCTGAAATACATACAGAACCACTGAATACCACTGTCTGAAATGCAGACAAAACCAGTGACCATTTCTATCTGAAACACAGACAAAAGCACTGACTGAAATACAGATGAACTACTGACCATCCCCGTATGAAATAGAGACAGAAGCCCTGACTGTGTCGGTTTCATATTGACCATCATTACGGAAATACAGCTGTCATATTGACCATCACTATCTGAAATACAGCTGACCACACCACCATCTCTATCTGAAATACAGCTGCCACACCACCATCACTATCTGAAATACAGCTGCCACACCGCCATCACTATCTGAAATACAGCTGCCACACCGCCATCACTATCTGAAATACAGCTACCACACCGCCATCACTATCTGAAATACAGCTGCCACACCGCCATCACTATCTGAAATACAGCTGCCACACCGCCATCACTATCTGAAATACAGCTGCCACACCGCCATCACTATCTGAAATACAGCTGCCACACCACCATCACTATCTGAAATACAGCTGCCACACCACCATCACTATCTGAAATACAGCTGCATCACATCTGAAATGCCACACCACTATCACTATCTGAAATACAGCTGTCACATTGACCATCACTATCTGAAATACAGCTGCCACACCGCCATCACTATCTGAAATACAGCTGCCACATTGACCATCACTATCTGAAATACAGCTGCCACACCGCCATCACTATCTGAAATACAGCTGCCACACCGCCATCACTATCTGAAATACAGCTGCCACACCGCCATTACTATCTGAAAGACAGACAGATGAGCTGAAGACTTCCTGGATCGGATGGTCAGGCTGAATGACTTGCTTGTCACAGAATCCTGCAGGTCCTAATGAATGCCATCACTGGCTTGAACAATACCACAACAGTATGCATCCCAATTACTGATTCTATTTTCATATCATGGAACCTTTGAACAGTAAAGTTCTGTACAGTTCAGCATCCTCGTCCTTGTATGGATTCCGATTACTCGGATTCTAATTGAAACTTCTTGGCATTGGTCAGTTTGTCAAATGCTGTAACATTTGTGTGTTCATTATATCAAATTGATTTCATGGGGTTCGTGTTACTGTGATTACTTTTAAAGTAAAACAGATCAGAAAAATACACTAGAAGAAGTAATAATTACTGATGTGTCACAATGCGATAGTCAGATGGTGTGTTTTTAAAATATACACAAATGTACTGTTTTTTAGAAAGCAATTTCACTTTTTGTTTTGAAAGATTCTGAAGGAAAGCTAATTATGATCTGTACAATACCTTGACAGAAATCTCCTCCATGCCCTGCCGGACAGACACACGTGCAGGTTAATGTGTTCAGAGCGCCGCCATTTTGACAAGACTTCGTACAAACTGTAACAGATTATTCATGATTTAATATGTGTACAAAAAGAGTGACAGTAGGTCCGTTTAATCCTTATATGATACCTGCTTACGTTGGTTGTAAAAGTGCTTTAGTAGGAGAAGATTTGTTTGGAAAAAGCAAACAGTGGGAAGTAATACTCTAGTCAATCGGTGAATTCTTCTGTTTGATTCAACCTTTGGTGTATTCCAACGTGCAATCCATTGGCATATTGTTAAACACTACTCGTCAGGCACAATAAATTGCAATAATCTCAAAATTAATTTTCTAAGGCATTGTCATCGAATAATGTGTTTTCGGAGCCATAGACCATTGATGAAGATTACAATGGATATTATATGACGATTTCTCACTCGGTCATGTGTCAAATTGTTCAAGAGTCAGTCCGATCTTGCAGCAGTGTCTGATCTTCCCAAATGACCGGTATTCTAACAGTTCAGAGATAAATTCTTACCTGGCGGACACTGGCTGAATCCGCAGTTCTCATTTCGCGCGTCGGTGTTCATCCCCGGGCAGTTCTCACCAGCGTTCAGAGGGAACGGGCTATCACACTGTCTGTACCTGTATACAACCTTTGTCGTCGTCGTTCCACAGGTCGCTGTGCAGATACCGGAAGCAGAGTTCCAACTCCCCCACGCACCCCAGTTTCCATTCCGGTCTGAAACACGTGAATATTCAGGTGGTATTATTGAATGAGAGACCCGTAAAGATCTGGGTTAAAATTGACCTTCAACAACCAATGCTTCTCGTGAGAGGCGACTAACGAGTGGCCAGACTCACTGACTTGGTTGACACATGTCATCGTATCACCGTTGCGTAGATCGATGCTGATTATGTTGAATACTTGACACGTTTCATGGATAACAACTTCTATTTATTCTTTATACGACGTTTCAGAGATAATTCTTGCTCCTTCTTTCTCCTTCATCAGGTCCCCAAACGAAGGAACAACAATTAGCTATGAAACGTCATAATAAGATAACTTCTTTGAGTGGCATTTTAGAAGTTGGGAAGTACAATATAGAACAAACTTTATGGATAACAACTTCTTTTTATTCGTGAGTGCGACGTTTCGATACAGATTCTTGTACCGTTGTCAAGCATAATGGAACATGAAGAAGGGGGAAGTATATATATACTGGATGTAACAATGTAACAAAGAAAACAACATAATTAACATAATTGGCTAGGCAGAAAGCTGATGAAGCCAGAGAGTAGACAAAGGACAGGCGTGGAAGCCAATGATGTACAAATAATAATGAGATGTTTATACAGCAGAGTTTACAACGGTACAAGAATCTGTATCGAAACGTCGCACTCACGAATAAAAAGAAGTTGTTATCCATAAAGTCTGTTCTATACTGTCATAATAAGAATAAATAGAAGTTGTCATTAATGAAACGTTTCATGTATTCTGTTTGTCCAAATTCTAAATGCTTTACAAGAAGCTCATGATGTTGGTCACTGGCCCAGTCTCGATTGTTTACAGACACATAGCTGGAATATTGTTGAGTGCGGTGTTTACCAACAAACTAATGAGTGAGACAGTAGGATTAAGGTCGCAGAGAACATTATTCAGTAAAGACACAGTCGTTTCATATCGACAGAAACATAAAACAGAATTGAAACATTTTGCAAACTTGTCCTTAGTCCAAAACCAAAAAAATCATAATCATAGAATTTCAAAAGACCATGGCATGCCGGGAGAATGCAAAGACGTAAGTCTCATTTCGATGCTCTAAAACACTGGACAACCCGTTCCATGTAACTTCTTTGAGAGGTATTTAGAAGTTGGAGCAGTAAGGAAGGATAACAATATACGGATGAACAACTTCTTTATTGCTGTCAGAGCGACGTTTAGGTGTAGGTTCTAAAAAGCAAGTGATGAACAGCATGAGGATAGAGGAGCTTATATACAAGTTAGAGGAGATGTGTCATACTACATTAAACAAAGCTACAACTAAGAGTTTCCAAAATTTCTGGTAATTAAATTGATAATTCTATACTGACTGACTGACTAAGTTTGGTTTTACGCCGCTTTTAGCAATATTCCAGCAACATCACGGCGGGGGACACCAGAAATGGGCTTCACACATTGTACCCATGTGGGGATTCGAACCCGGGTCTTCGGCGTGACGAGCCAACGCTTTAACCACTAGGCTACCCCACCGCCCTGATAATTCTATACATATAATTCAATGGTATCTCGTTTGTTCCTCTTTGCAGTGATTGTTTGTACTTTCTCGATTGCATTCGGTGGATCTAATGAGATATCTGATTGCATCATGGTTTACGAAATGTGTTGGTACAATTGGTAGAAATAGTCTTACTTTCACAGACGTCGCCCCAATAGCCTGTCTGGCAGCCACACGTACAGGAAAGAGCGTTCAGAATGCCGCCATTTTGACACAGTTTTGTGCAGGCTACAATGAAAATAACGTGTCGAGCAAAATGTGTTGCAGAGTACAGAATCATGATTAGCAATAGCATTGTAAATGTGTCATACGATATTAATTTCTCTGAAGACCAACCATTACATGTTCAAGAAAAAGGTTTTTTATGTATAAAATGAACAGGGGCACAGATACCGGTGAACACATCGTCTTATTAATGATATTACGACTGTTCAACTTGGACAAAGTACCAACAACCTGTACCTAGCCCCAAGTACGTAATACCAACACAGTTGATTTATCATCCAGCCCCACACAACATGGACAAACTCCCAACACCCTGTACCTAGCCCCAAGTACCCACCACTAACACAGTTGATTTATCATCAAACTCCTGTACCTAGCCCCAAGTACGTAATACAACACAGTTGATTTATCATCCAGCCCCACACAACATGGACCAACTCCCAACAACCAGTACCTAGCCCCAAGTGCCCACCAATAACACTGTTGATTTATCATCCAGCCCCACACAACATGGACAAACTCATCCAGCCCACAACAACATGGACACACTCCATACAACCAGTACCTAGCCCCAAGTGCCCACCAATAACACTGTTGATTTATCATCCAGCCCCACACAACATGGACAAACTCCCAACAACCAGTACATTGCCCCAAGTGCATATAAATGTTTCATCACCACGCTACGCTCTCCACATTCAGAACAGCATCCGTTGTACATATCTTAGCACGCTGATTTTAGACGAACGATAGAAACTAGAGTCTGATGTCCAAATACTGACATTGTTGGCATTGCTGCAGCTGACAGTTTTCATTGCGCTCGTCCCTGTCAGATCCAAGACAAGTCCGGCCATTATTCATAGGAATGGGGTTGTTGCACGATCTGTAACGGTAGACGACTTTAGTGGCAGTGGTTCCACACGTGACGGAACAGGAAGTAGAGGCTGAGTTCCACGCTCCCCACTGACCCCAGTTTCCATCCAGATCTGGAATAAACGTCAACCATCTTTGTACACTGAACCGTTCGTACAGACCCGTTATCCAGAATGATATAACTTTGAAGGAAATTTAAGAACAATCCAGAAAAATGGCATTGTACTTACAATTTCCTCATCTCATTCTTCACACTATTTGAGATTATTTTTATATGTGCTTATTTCTTCTCATATCCTGCTTGCTAGAACTTAAACATGTACTACAAATTAGTTAAGGGATGACCGCTCTGAGGAACATTAGGGGTCTTTTATTAATAAATGTTTAGTGGCTGATCTCTTAGGAGATCAACATGTGGTATTTTGGGATTGGCAGTGACGTTACGAAAAGAAAGATTATATATTACAATGTAAAGGATAAAAAAGGAACTTCTGAATAAGAAACATAACAAAATAGAATTGTAGAATTTCCACCCCAACACTCCTTCCAAGGAGTTGTGAAACATTTATTTCAAGGTATTGTGCATGTATCCTCCAAGAATTCACAATGCATTTCTGAACATCTGACTGAAGCAAATACCATCTCAAGCATAAATCCCCGTTAGGCCCCCCACAGAAGATTAAACGGTCGGTCTCTAAGTCTTTACATTATCTTACCTTGGCACTGGTCTCCTCCAGTTCCAAGTGGGCAGCTACATTGGCAGGTAGCAGCATTCAAAGCACCGTTATTTTGGCATATCTTGTTACAGGCTGCAAGCACACATATTAAGGGTGCATAAACGTAAGGCATGTGGAAGAATTTCTGTGATTATTTCATGAACAAAGAGCAACGTAGGGGTTATTTCTTGATGCTGAAATACACAAGACTACAACATTCGTAATCCATGGGGTTAGACGTGGCCTTCAACAACCTAGCTTGTAGGAGGAGGAGACTTAGGGGTTTCGGTGGTCAGGCCAACTGACGTTTATATGCATGTCATCGTATCGCAATTTCGCAGATCGGTGCTCATGATGTCAATCACTAGATTATCCGGTCCAGGGTTACATACTTACTTACTTACTTACTTATAGCTTTAAGTGCATTTTGAGCGGAGTTAAAACAAACACGATGTTGAAGAACAACATTTCTCGTTGGATATGTTTAAGAGCGCAATAATGATGCATGGGTCATTTCAACCCAACGTTAACATTGTAAAACGAGCTGAGGTATTCTAGACATAATGTCTCACTCTCTCAGGGATTGTTTTGTGCGAACACGTTTAGGAAGTTGATCCATGGAAAAGGACTCGGATCTCATTTCAACAACAACACGACATAATTGTAAACATTCAGACAGACATACTGAGGACTCTGCCAGCCTTTATATCACTTGTCACGGTCCACGGTGACTGTTTTACCTGGGCACGTGTTATGGCGTAGTGTGCAACTCTTTTTAGAATATGAATGTGAATGTGAATGTGAATGTGAAAAAAACAAAAAGCTTACTTTGGCAGAAGTCGCCCCCAAACCCTGCTGGACAGGAGCACAGACAGGTAGCCGCGTTCAGACCGCCGCCATTTTGACATGTCTTCGTACAAGCTAGAACAGAAATATTATTTCAAATGAAATAATTATTCCACAGAGGAATACATATACTGTCTCACAAGTTTCTTTGGTGCACAAAAGATTAAATCCTCCACGGCGCCGCATTTCCATTGAGCAGAGTTGCGTCCCCTGTGCGTGCCCGGATCATGACCCTAGGTTTCGCAGCATGGGCTTCGCCACAGTTATGAACATGTGATTGCACATCACTTGTGCTTTATTCCCTAATCAGACTGACACACCGTGAAATAACTAAGATAATCCCAACAAAACGCCCTCTTATTCCATAGAGCCATTAGTTAATAGATTATCAAGTTCAAAAGAGAGTACCTGTAGATGGTAATTCTGGAAAACTGTTTCGGTCGATGATATCGACGATATAAAATTACATTTACATAAAGTTTGATTTCGAGAATGTAAATGTCTCCCACAAAAATGATAATAATTAAAGAAAACAAAACAAAGCTTACTTTGACACAAGTCTCCCCCAAACCCTGATGGACAGGCACACTGGCAAGTGAGAGTGTTCAAACCGCCGCCATTTTGACACGACTTAGTGCAAGCTGCATAAAATAATGTAGACCAAGTTAAACGAATAAGATCGTAATAATCTTCTTATATCTCAACGAATACTTTAGATTTAAAACGTGGCAATCGCAAGGCATTTGAACAAGTGACGAATCTGCCAGGACAATTTGATAGCAAAGTCTTCTGGGAAATCGTAAAAAGACTTACAACTGAGGTACACAGGTGCTAAAATAATTATTTATGCCTTATTAGAGACCATAATTACTGATTTGCAACTACAACGACATACGACAACGCTTACTTTCACAGAGATCTCCCCCGTAACCCGATGGGCATGAACACGAACATGCAGCAGAGTTGAGAACGCCGCTATTTTGACACACTTTGGTGCAACCTAAAACGGAAACAGAGTGTCTGTTATGTTTCGAAACATTATGTTTAGAACACATATTAATTCGATTATATGGAAATGATAACTGTCGAGAAGTAGATTAAGAATATAAAAAAAATGTTTTATTATAAAATTAAAAATTTGCATCAATGGTATGTTTAATGATAAAAGAGTATGTTTAATGAGAAAAACAGGTGTCCTAAGTAAACGTTGCAAGGGGACCTCAACGTCCGGTTGACGGATATGTGGCCCTATTATGCAAGGTTTCAGCAAACTGAGTTCTTCTGGCGTCACAGACTGGATCCCAGATTTTCCCCTTTATTCGATTCATGGTGATTCATGCTATGAATCAACACCAGCCTTATTAACATATTTGAACAACAGGGCTTTTCCCAAACTTGAAGATGAAACGCTGTGATGAAACATGAATACTGTTCGTAGCAGCGTTAAGCCAAACTCACTCCCTCAGTCGTCAACACGTAGACTTACCACCCGGAGTGACTGAAACAAAAACAGTAATGGTTTAATGAAATTCAGTATTCACAAACGGAGGAATATTTATGTCACATCCTCTTGTTTTCTTATTAAACTGGAGTACTATCGTCCTGGGTCCCGATCTACAATTCGTAGAGTTACGAGCTGTCGTAACTATATATATATATGTGATTTATCATAGGATTACGAATGACGTAGTGCTACGAACGCTGTGTGGATCGAGCTCCAGGGTCTTACTTCTTTCATAGATTTCGAAAATATATTTTGGCCAGATGTCGTTCAGCTTGGAAAGGTTCGTAGCACTTTAGAGTCTGAGAATTATGTACATGAGAATTAAATATTATTTGTACTTGAAAGTGCCATGAACCTTTTGAATAAGAATGTTAATTTCTAAATTAATAGAGTCCACCAGATATTCTTGCTGTTCAAAACTCCTTTGACATATTATATTATGAGTGTTTTCTGTACATAAACGAATTATACCCAGCACAAGTATATGTCTATTATATATTGATTGATATTATATGTTTATTACTTATGCAGACGAAAGCCATGCTACAATTTACTGTACAAAGTATCAGTGGTCACACTGTGATGTACAAGAGCGTACAGTGTACACCACACCTTCAAATGTAAACTGTAACTGTAGATGATGCCTACAAATACAACATATGAAGTTCTGTATGATGCTTCTGCCTACACTCAGAACAAGCAAGGGAAGCCCGACACCCCCCTGCCCCCCGTGGCTCCACCGTTGAAAACCCTTCAATACCCTGTTAAGGATGTAAAGGTTGTAGGGTCGCTTATGCCTACACTCAAATACAGGCAACGAAAACACTTGTCCTCGCTCCACCTTCAAAACCCTTTAAAGCCTACACTTGAACCATGTAAAGGTTATAGTGTCGCTTATGCCTACACTCAAATGCAGGTAACAAAACCCCTTTTCTTAGCACCACCGTTCATAAGCCTTTAATGACTGCACTCAAATACAACCATCAAACTCCATTTTCCGAGTACCACCGTTTATAAGCCTTTAATGCCTACACTTAAAGCATGTAAAGGTTATAGTTTCGCTTAAGCCTACAAATACAAGATGACACTGAAAACCCTTCAATACCCTGTTAAGGATGTAAAGGTTGTAGGGTCGCTTATGCCTACACTCAAATACAGGCAACGAAAACACTTGTCCTCGCTCCACCTTCAAAACCCTTTAAAGCCTACACTTGAACCATGTAAAGGTTATAGTGTCGCTTATGCCTACACTCAAATGCAGGTAACAAAACCTCTTTTCTTAGCACCACCGTTCATAAGCCTTTAATGACTGCACTCAAATACAACCATCAAACTCCATTTTCCGAGTACCACCGTTCATAAGCCTTTAATGCCTACACTTAAAGCATGTAAAGGTTATAGTTTCGCTCAAGCCTACAAATGCAAGATGACACTGAAAAACAGCTGCTTATGCCTACAAATACAACATTTTACACAGAGTACAGCTGTGAACTAAACAAGAAGCACTCAGCAGTTTGACATTGTTAATGCTTACTTACCCTGGCAAAGGTCGCCGCTGTATCCTGTAGGACAATTACACAGGCACGGCAACGTGTTGAGGTTGCCACCATTTTGACACACCTTGGTACAGGCTGCAACACAAAAAAGAGTTGGTTAGTTGGTTACATTGAATAACATTTCAATTACTAGTATATATATCAAGATGTGCGCGCTTGAGTGAGTGAGTGAGTGAGTGAGTTGAGTTTTACACCGCAATCAGGAATATTCCAGCTATATGGCGGCGGTCTGTAAATATTCGAGTCTGAACCAGACAATCCAGTGATCAACAGCATGAGCATCGATCTGCATAATTGGGAACCGATGACATGTGTCAACCAAGTCAGCGAGCCTGACCACCCGATCCCGTTAGTCGCCTCTTACGACAAGCATGGGTTACTGAAGGCCAATATTCTAAATCGGACCTTCACGGGTCGTGCGCGCTTGATGTGAGAGGGAAGTGGGACGTGATGCAGGTGTCAAAAGGTTACGAGCCACGACCACTGACATGATTGATTGTTTGTTTGTATGTTTAACGCCGCACTCAGCAACATTCAAACAATATTCCAGTCTGTAAATAATTGAGTCTGGATCAGACAAAACAGCGAACAACAGCATGAGCATCGATCTACCGAATTGGGATACGATGACATGTGTCAAGCTAGTCAGCGAGTCTGACCACCCGATCCCGTTAGTCGCCTCTTACGACAAGCTTGGGTTGCTGAAGGCCAATTCTAACCCAGATCTTCACGGGTAACCAATGAAATGAATGTGCGAAGGGCAGAAGCATGATAAGAAAGAACCTTTGATCAGAACAACTAGACACTTATAATTGGGGCGCCTTGTACAACTGAGCTAAACACGCTGTGACATTATCACTGATCAAACAAGCAAGGTTACACGTGAAGGGTTTTAATGAATGAGTGAGTTATTTTTACGCCGCTTTTATCAATATTTCAGCAACATCACAGCGGGGAACACAACACATGGGCTTCACTCATTGTACCCATGTGGGGAATCGAACCCGGGTCTTCGGCATGACGAGCGAAGAGTTTTAATGCCTATATTGTGACATCGTTGAAAGCAATGCGCGAGAAACAACTCAGGGTGGGGATGGGGTTTGGGTTTGGGGTGGGGATTGTGCTCTATGAATGGTGTTTGGATTTTGCTCGACTGTACCGGTTCTCGAATGTTTTGACTTCAGCGTCTGTCTGTTTTAGCACCACAACTATGTCAATACTATATAAAATTGTATCAATTATGTTAAGTGTAATGGAGCCTAGAAATGATCAACCCGGAACTATTCACTTACTTAAAGGACAGCTACCACATAGGTAGGGACAGGCGCTCTTGTAGTTGTCGAATCGACAGTTTCCGGTATCGCCACAAAAACTGATCGGATGCCGGACATTGGACTGGAAAAGACAGAACACAAAATCTGTTAACTGACAAACCAAAAGTATAACTTAGCATTTGATGTTTATGTTAAAGTTATAGACTTTACTTCAATCTTTATTCAGTACTGAAAGCCACGTGTCCATAGTACAAGCATATATGTACAACAGTGGATTAATAGGACTTCACGACTGAGTGGATTAATTGTGACTTCACGACTGAGCAGATTAATTGTGACTTCACGACTGAGCAGATTAATTGTGACTTCACGACTGAGCAGATTAATTGTGACTTCACGACTGAGCAGATTAATTGTGACTTCACGACTGAGCAGATTAATTGTGACTTCACGACTGAGCAGATTAATTGTGACTTCACGACTGAGCAGATTAATAGGACTTCACGACTGAGCAGATTAATTGTGACTTCACGACTGAGCAGATTAATTGTGACTTCACGACTGAGCAGATTAATTGTGACTTCACGACTGAGCAGATTAATTGTGACTTCACGACTGAGTGGATTAATTGTGACTTCACGACTGAGCAGATTAATTGTGACTTCACGACTGAGCAGATTAATTGTGACTTCACGACTGAGCAGATTAATTGTGACTTCACGACTGAGCAGATTAATTGTGACTTCACGACTGAGCAGATTAATTGTGACTTCACGACTGAGTGGATTAATGGTGACTTCACGATTGAGTGGATTACTGTTTCTTCACGACCAGTATGATGTTGTCAGATGTTGACTTACAAGACCTATTATACTTTAACAATCACGTGTACGATGAACATACAATACTCACAGGTTTCACAGGATGGACCAGAAAAACCACTAATACATTCACATGTACACGTGGCAAGTTGCAATGTTCCTGAGTTGAGACAGACTTTCCCGCCGCAATCTGAAGGAAAATACAGACAACGTCAGTAGCGTTAGTATCTACTTTATATAAAAAGACTCGAGACAATACCAGAAGCGTGAATCCCGACTTTATGTCATGAGGAACGAGATAATACCAGTAGTGCGCATCTTTACTTCTTTTGAAAAAATAATGCTAAAAAACCCCATTAATGCTATCACATCCAAAGATACCAATTCATATTGGCTAGATGATAGATGATAGATAGATGATGACAGTGTACTTGGGATGCAAGCGAGACATTTCAAAGGCGAGGTCCGCATATTTAGCATAGTATTCGTGAATCTTGCCAATGACATTGCTGTCAAAAGGGAAAGAAAATAAAATGGTGTAAATAAATTCATTGGCTTTGTCAAAACGGACAAGATCAGGTTGGCCTAGATTCTTATGAGGCTGTATATGGGCCTATTCCAAAGAAGTTTGAAAGCATGATTTCTATGACGCCCTGGACATGTTCAGGGTCGTACCATGGATGGACCTCGGAGTCAAAGCCACAGGCATGGCGAAGACGGTAGTAGGAGCAACAAGCCATGCCATCATGTCTTTCAAGATATGCTGTTTGTACCGAGGAAGGGCGTCCACTTACAAGGTGTTTGACAGTCTACATTCATTGCAAAGTCGACAAAGGTATTATTGTTATTATAACTATTATTAAGTTTACCACAGAGCCCCTCAGTTGATCGCTTTAAGCAGCCAGTCATACAGGTGGTAGTTGGGTCACTCACTTTGCACCACGGCTTGCTCACCTCGGTGCCTCTCTGTCTGAAATAATGATGTCAAACCATAAACCTCTCCGGACACAACCAGGAACAGACCATTAGATATTCATCCTACCTTAACCGTGTAAAAATCACTTTCATGACTGTGATAATAACTTTGAAGACAACAAATAAACCATATTTCATAACATTCTATACAATTTGAGCAGAGCTCTGGATTTTATCATGGATTCCAGTCAGTCTGACATTCCATTTGTTTGGCACTATGGTAAATTATGTGAACGTAATTTCGAAACAGATACAATAGACCCACAGACACTAAGCAATATCTGCAGTTTAATCATGTTATACATGACATAACATGCCATACGAAAAGGGGCATTCCATATAACTTAACGTCGTTTCTGTATGATTGTCTACAAGGAGTACAACCCGTGAAGGTCCAGGTTAGAAGTACCTTCAGTAACCCAAGCTTGTCGTAAGAGGCGACTAACGGGATCGGGTAGTCAGGCTTGCTGGCTTGCATCGGTTCCCAGTTGCATAGATCGATGCTCATGCTGTTGATCACTGGATTATCTGGTCCAGACTCGATTATTTACAGACTGACGCCATATAGCTGGAATATTGCTGAGTGCGGCGTAAAACTAAACACAGTCACTCACTACAAGGAGTACACGACCTATCCACAATCCCGTGGATATTTTATTTGGGGAAGATGGAATAAAGAAAGTAACAGATAAAGACAATTTTTTTATAAATGAACAACTTCTAAATTCGGATGATGCGACGTTTCGATACAGATTCTTGTATCAAACAGGTATCTGTAAAGTATCTGTTAGGAAGTTGTTTATTTATAAAGTTGTTTATTTATAAAGTTTGTCCTTATCTGATTCACTAACTTCTAAACATGCCACTCAAAAAAGTTAAGAAAGTAACAGCCACCGACAGAAAGACCCTGTTGAAAGTGGGTGATGAGTGAAAAATAACACTTTCAATCTAAACTTAACATAGCGTTAGGAGACATGTTCCAATTATAAAAGCTGCTGTATAAATGAATTACAGTCAGTATGACAATGATAAAAAGTAGTAAATAGATATGAACTCTGCCAAATTCGACTAATGTGTGAAGTCTACAGAATTCAGAGTATCACAATGTAAACGGACAAAAAGTGGCATTGTACTTTATGTACAAAAATAAAAACAGGAAAAACGATGCTATGGACACTTTGACCTGGACTGGAAATGAATTTTTCAAAATGAATACAAATAATGCACACATGGAACAATTTCATCAAAATGTTGTGTCCATCTTTGAGTGAGGAAACTTGTATCTAAAATTGTGAAGGTTGTTATTGTCATCGTAAGAGCTGTGTGACGCCACGGTAATGTCATGTCACAGAATTTGGGAACGTTAAATTGAGATTTTCGTCACAATATCCCTGAACATAATGTTGCAACGCGTTCGACTAAACTATGAAACTCACGATCTAACATAGTTGCAGACATAGTAATTGGCCGTATGTCCAGAGATTTCACACAATGCTTGACCGCACCCAATACGAGCCAGGGCATCAATGGATATCTGTAATGAATGTATAAATGTTAGGGGTGGGTATTGCAGAGAGTTTTCATATTGCGATATATTGCGATGCGGAAGCATTGCGATATATTGCAAGGATTATTTTTTAACAAAAACTACATATAATCGAGTTAATGCTTGATTATAAAGCAAAAAGACAACAAGATCACTATGATTGATTAACCTATTATAAAAACTTTTAATCATGACAAAATAAAAATGTAAGTAACATTTGGCACTAATGAAACAGGAAAAGAACAATTCAAAAACGGAAATATCCGAAGGTTTCCTGAGTGTTACGAAGTTTTCCGAATGCATGTCAAAATACCGGTTTTCGATCAGCGTATCGCAATACGTATCGTTTTCATGTCTGAACCGGTAAATACCGATAAACCCGGTTATATTGTGCAGCCCTAATAAATGTACATATTAACATTTTAAGTTGTAAACAAGGTGTTTTCTCAATCACGTCATAACATAGTTCGTTCAGCTTGCAAAGGTTTGGAAGTGTATGAGGTAGTGATCTGAGGCGAAATAGGGTTCTACTTTGCATGCTAAGATTATTGTCCTTCAATTGCTGGGCGGTGGGGTTGCCCACAAGTGCTGAAAGCGTTAGGGTTTAGATTATACTTTCTCAGTAAAGCACGATTCTAGTACTTTTGTTGGGTTGAGTCCCATCCGTCACTCACACCGTCAGTGTCAGACACTTAATGGCAATTTAAATGTCATTTGTGTATTCAAAATCTAAACCCTCGTAAGGAATCCCAAACAATCTCAATAAATTCTGAACAATCAACAGGCAAAACTGAAATGACAAAAGGAACCACAAGATCTTCCTAATTCAACATATACTCAACGTCATTATTTAGGGGTCATCAGATAATAAGAGGTGTAAGCAAAGACGACGTAGTTTTATTCTTACTTTGTAACTAGTCATGGACTAAACCACTGAGTAGCTTTAGGGTAGGTGATAGGTGATATTTAGTCATCAACCATCAACCAACGCCGACTAAACGACCTGTTGTCTCATCTTGTCAACATACGCAGTATACTTGTTGGCATATGTCATATTCGACATGGATGACAATATTTGCTGTCATTTCAACTGCATCACTAGCTATGAGAATTAACCAAACACAGTTGTGTCGAACTTTGATGAGTCGAACCTGTCTCGTATGCCTTAATTAGTCATTATCATGCGGATGTTTCGAACCTCGGATAACTCGAAGTATTTACGTTGTTTCCTTCAAGTTCGACACAATGTTGTGTGGAACTTTGATGAGTCGAACTTGTCTCGAACTTGTTTCATCCCTACTTATTCCTTACTTAGTCATCATCATGCGGATGTGCCGAACCTCGGATAACTCGAACTATTTACGTTGGTTCCTTCAAGTTTGACACGATGGTGTATGTGTGTATGTTCTACAAGTTCTTGTATGTCTTACCTGTGTATAGTGACGCACTTCCTCGCCATTAACAGAACCGGTGCCATATAGGAAAAACTCGATTTCATCATACCAGGCTGCGAGAGCATCTAAAAAGGTTGCCTGGCCAAAGGCAATATTCTGTCCTACTGGAATACCCGGAAGCTCTGTCAAAACAAAGAAATACACAAACTGATACTGAAGTGCCACCATATGTACCAAACGTGTGGTACCCGTGAAGATCCTGGTCAGAACTGATCTTCAGGAACCATGTCTGTCGTAAGAGGCGACTATCGGGATCAGGTGGCAAGGCTCGCTGACTTGGTTGACAAACGTCATCGTATCCCAATTGCGTAGATCGATGATCATGCCGTTGACCTTTGGATTGTCTGATACAGACCGCTGCCATGTAGCTGGAATACTGCTGAGTGCGGCGTAAAACAACAACCATCCAACATGTGGACATCATATATCATACAAATAATTATTCTCATTCTTTTCGTTATATAGTTATTAATTAGCAATAATACCATATAACATTAGTGTGTTATTGATACACATTATGAGCCTGTCTAGATGCAACAGTCACTCGCTCTCTCTGTAGAGACTGATTGCTCGTTGGATCATCAAAGCACGGATGATAATATAAGTTGTATTATTCATGAAGACTATTTACACCAAGGCACCGAATTTTGGGCGCAAATCATTATACTGAAAATGTGTTATATCCTCTGTACCTCCAGGGATATTAGCCAGATTGTGTAAGATGTTGTATAAGCTAAGGCACACCTGATTTCTTCATATTACAATAACTGCTCTGTCATTAAAGCGTTTTCGTTGTGTTATGAAAGAATCGGCTAAACCAGAATTACTAAAATGGTCCGTAAGTCATTTTGATAAATATATCCCTTAATCTGTAGAGAGAATCATCGAAAACCTACTTGGGTCTCTTCTCAGAACTTCAGTACTTTCGTGGTTGAGCGAACACTGCCGGGCCCATTTAGCCGCAATTTCAGCAACATCGTCATCCCACACCTACAAAAGAGAACACGCTAAGGGACACAATTACAGTTGAATTAACCAAGCCGTTATTAACCGTTATTGAACAAGTATTGTTCAGAGAAAATGGCATAAAGGTGGCGAAAAATATATGAATAAACACCATCTGTTCTTGAAAAGGGAAGCCATGTCCTGCTCTTTCAGTAACAACCACCAGTCACAAAATTTGTATCAAAGTTAGCGTTTACATTTCACATAGGTCTGTAAAGAATATATGTTCACTGTGGAGCTAAAGGTCGTCATTCATGTCGATCCCAATTGGTCCCACTTTGCCATCTCTGCAACTCACCAGTAGTTGCAGAGGAATTCCATTATATATTTAAATGTGAAGCCTTCATTTCTGGAAGATCCATTTTTATCTCAAATCAATTCCTACAATGGCTGAATCTCTTAAAGATTGCGAACCTTCTCAAATGGAATAGAACCAACATTTTACGTAGATTAGCAAAATATATTAGAATAGTTTTCAAAAAGGTCCAAAATTAATAAAATTCTATTTTGTAACATTTACGCTTTTTCAATTAGTTATACTATCATATCTTTCTAATGTATTATAAATGATTCGGGTGATTCTCTGTACATCCTTATGATCTTGGTATGTATTATATATATTTCCATTTACTTGTCTCATATACCACCGTTGGTGGGTTTTCGAGAAATGAATAAAGATGATGATGGCACACAATTAGGCCCCCACAGTGTCTCACAACATTAATCCTGTTGTAATCGCCTCTAAGTGGGTGGTGGGATAACATAGTGGTTAAAGCGTTCGTTCGTCACACCGAAGACCCGGGTCCGATTCCCCACATGGGTAAGATGCGTAAAGCCGATTTCTGTTGCCCCCCGACGTGATATTGCTAGAATATTGTTAAAAGCGATACTCATTCACTCTTACGATAAGAGTAAGGTACAATGTACATGTACAGGCAACCACCTCCACTCCCAAATCTCGACAGGGGACTTGACCTAAGACGATTAAACACAACCTAAAGTTAACATAGCTGTGCAAAACAACACTTCTCACATCAAGCATATCGAGATCCGGGTTCTCCACCAAAAAGGCCATCATAATATTCGAGTTTCAGGTGTCACTCCATGAGTATAGGGGCCAGGGTATGGTTTACGACGCTTTCAAGCTTGTTCATCCGTGTACTTACAGCATACTGCATGTTCGTCGCATCTGCAGTGTCCCCGCGGTAGAAATTATGTTTGTTGAGAAGGTCCTGTTTCACCGTGTCCGTTAACGTCACAGCAACAGCATTGGCGTTGTCGGTAAGACACATGGTGTGACCGGCGTCGATGGCCGTGAAAAGAGCACTGCATGTCTGAAGGACAGATTATCAATGAAACGTCGTTCATCGCAAAGTAGTTCAGAACATGAACAATCATAGCGGTTCCCGGATAAAGGATGCTGACAGAACAACTGTAATTGGTAATAAGAAAATAGACTCTGACTCTGACTATTTTCTGTTTTACTTTACAGACAGACAGTTTATGCAGAGAAAGGTCATGATACAGAAAATGTTTAAGAAAATGTTTGGTTGCATAAATCATGCATGACAGTGAACTAATTAATTAAGTTTCTCCTTACTGTTGAACCTTACATAATTAATGGCATTATATACACCTAAGTTTTCTAATGAAATAATTTCATTAAAAGATGTTTGGTGTCGGACCTTTAAACTGTTAATGATACATATACTCATGCCAATAATGGTTGTCACCCCTCCCCACCCCAACCCCCACACACCTCACACTCCCCACCCCACACCCCTCTCCAAATTAAAAAATTGAAGGGGGTGACAACCATTATTGGCATGAGTATATTTCTTAGGGTTGAATAACGCTCACATACAAGGAAATATATGAAATTTCTCAATAAAAGATCTTCCCCTTTCTACACAATATTTACATAGTCGTTCAGTGTATGGGGCATTTGTTTATCTCCTAAAATCGATTGCAAGTTTAAACATCCTACATCTGAAAGGACCCATGCATGTTTGATGTACAGGGATAGGGACTGTAAGATACTTTTCAAAATTGAAAAGGTATTTTCAAAATGGTTATAATAAAAGGAATGAGATATCCTGCTGACAGAACTACATAAAGATGTAACGTCAGCATTGTATTCATAACTGGCAATATATACAGTATATCTGAAAACAGCAGTGTGTGTGAATGCACGTAGAGGGAGATTAACTATTGTGAAAAATCATTTACCGCTCTCTTCTGTCGCAGATGGGTATCTGAAACCAAGATACGAATTATGAAAAGCCCAGCTTCGTGTAAGAAGAAAATATAAACCTGTTTTGCACATAGGTATGCTCCAGTGAAAACATGTAAACACTAAACAATATTAAATACATGTACGAAACAGGTCTTTTGAGGTAGTATAATTACAGATCCACCATGCTTACATTTTAAAGTATCATGACTTGTTCGTCTTTCGTTAAGGTATTTCGTACATATATTACATGACGCATACTCAAAATGTAAGAGATTGTTCCTGTGTCTTGCACGACTGAGTATGAGCTGTCTCTCTCTTATTACGATTTAGATAGACAATCATATATTTGAGAATATGCGTGAGGGAGGGAGAGGGTGGAGGGAGGGAGAGAGAGGGAGAGAGAGAGAGAGAGAGAGAGAGAGAGAGAGAGAGGGAGGGACAAAGAGGGAGAGAGGGAGAGAGGGGGAGGGACAGAGAGGGAGAGAGAGAGAGAGAGAGAGGGAGGGACAGAGAGGGAGAGAGAGAGAGAGAGGGAGGGACACTAATCTGTACTTAAGTGTCGTCTTTTACGTGAATGTTACGTTTGAAGAAACAATCTATTGATAGAAGGAGATCGGGATGTTTCTATTCCAGGACAAGTGATGAATATACGGGAATTGTGACAACAGTCCGAAGTCTTAGCCTAAACGCAAAACAGCAACGATTACCTCATTACTGACATTTTGAAATTTGTTGACGTGAAGATGGAATTAATTTCGTCCATATTGACACCCATGACGCGAATCCTAAATACAGGATAACAGCGGGCAATGATAACATTCGACAACGATCTTGATCAACAAGAATCACTCACATACACAAGTCATCAGTTTGGTGACTCTTGATGGACATTTTGAGCGTTTGTGAAACGTAGGATGGGTTTAAGTACTTCAGTGCAGAATGCACTTTACTTCTAGGCCACAACGCTTCACGCGTGGCTACAACACGTAAATATCGCACTGGCGACAACCTTCGTCTGTCAGTAATTGTTTACGCTTTGGAAACGAGTAGAACGGGTTTTCCTTTAAAACCGCTGTGGTCAACAGGGTTCAATACGCATGTTTACACACCCAGAATAGATAAATGTAAATAACAGTTCGTCAGGACACAATACGCTACCTTGAACCCCCTGTCTCCACTGTGAGAGAGAGAGAGAGAGAGAGAGAGAGAGAGAGAGAGAGAGAGAGAGAGAGAGAGAGAGAGAGAGAGAGAGAGAGAGAGAGAGAGAGAGAGAGAGAGAGAGAGAGAGAGAGAGAGAGAGAGAGACAGAGACAGAGACAGAGAGAGAGATATGGACAGAGATATGGATCTATTTTCCTTCATCTTTACAACTTCTAAATTGCCTCTCAAAGACTATATAGGTGCCTTTAAGATTTTCATTTATGACAGCAACATAAAATAGTATTCCTCTTCAATGTAATAACATTTGTTTAACAAACACACTACAGTTTAATTCAATTAATCCCCATGCGAATGTACGAAGATATTTTGTTATATGACATTGATGACTCAATGCTATATAAGATTCAAGACGTGATCCCTGCGCTAGTATCACATACCTTGTTTCTCGCCATAGGAGGTAGCAATCAAACACGGGAACACAATCCGAAATATAAATGCTGAGAGATCCATCTGTGTGGGTATCAGTATGTTTACTACGATCCAACTCCACCGCTATCACACATGTCAACTATAGCACACACATTGGTGTGTAACTCTACACATATCTTATTCCCAGTTTAAGTGCAACTGGCAAAAATCCCTGTATTGTGATACACAGCCTATTGACTTCAAGATCAAATTGAATTCGTATCACACCCTTTCATCTTTGTATTCTGTGGCATAGGAGTGACTGAATAGAATCAGGACATGGGGTAAATATATATTGTGTGCGGCTCGTCAGGCACGATCTCACCTTTGTAAGCACGCGTAGACTGTTCACTGAACGCTTGACTGGTAAATGCGTATCGTATACAAGAGGCAAGTGAGGGAGTTGGATTTTTGCGTCGATTTGAGCAAGATACAAACAATATCACGTCGGGGAGTCCTTTCCATGGCACCTCCTTTCATAGTGAAGGAATCTTGTAATTACTTTTGATTAACGATAATTTTTTGGTGTATTTTTAACACCTTGTATATGCAACATTTGATAGTGTTTCGTAAACACATGCTTATGATATTGTCAGAACTGTAAATTGAAATTACCTCTGGATGTAGAGGGAAGAGTTTTGTGGCTACTATTTACATATATTTCACTAAATCGATGTATCTCTTGGATGTGTCCAGAATACAACAGTGGATTTATTTTTTTAAAAACACAAGCGCATTTCCACGAGTCTTTGAGCCATACCCATATAACTAAAATCCCGCTCGTCGCCCATGGTTTAAGCAAGCCACAGAGCATGGTAGCAAGCGAACGAACGAACCAACGAACGAACGAACCAACGAACCAACGGTTTGGTTGAGGATGCTACCAGTAGACCAGGAAATGTTTCCCCGTTCAGCGAACACCTGGTGTCATGACTGGTTTTCAGTGAGTCGTTCATTTTACCAACTCTTCTGGTATGTCTTAAAAAAATAATCGCTTCCTTTGCTTTTACTGTGTATATTAACTTGAAAATACAATGTGAATCGAAAACAAAATATATTCCCATCTCAAACCCTTCGTGTCGAGATGGGCTTTTTTCACTTTGTACCATTTGCTTCCATTCGTAGAACCATCAATTCCAGTTTGCCTTAAGAAGTAATCGTTAACGTTCACTTAGCTTTCACAGCGTAGATTTATTTGAACCATTTCCTTCGACCATAGTGTGTGCGTGAATCATACGAAAATCGTGTTTCATAAATGTCTAAACTCTGACAATAGAATGTGGATATTACGTACAATGCCCCACCCATTGGGAACAGTTAATGGGTAGGGTAAGTCTAACATAACAGCCACGAACTGCTTTACGTGAATGGATTCACTGAGTCGGCTAATGATATAGCTTGGCACCAATGTCCATTTCCTATCTGTAAGTGTCACGCATTCTTTTGTTGGATTGAATTCATCAGTACTGTCGCTATGGTGAGGAATAGTCTTCCCACAATGGAAATCGAGATGGTAAGAGGAATATTTAGACTGGAATACTGTTTGAAATAAATATGGTAAGATGTGACACACTGCCGGGTCACAAGGTCACGAAGAACATAACTGGTTTGTCATCAATCATAACAGCCCAGTTCGACATACTCGAGCGATTTCTTTGGACACGGTTCATTGTGCTGAGATTCTGCACTGGTTCGAAAGGTCAACTACAAATTAATATCCTCCGACGTGGGACAGCGTCCTCTGTGTCCTTGAACGGTAATTGGTTACTTCACAAAAATTCGGGGGATTTCCCGAGAGTTTATTACAAACAGAATAATGAATCGTTGACCCTGGAATTCCATATTTATAATACGTTGGCCAAATCTGACAAGGAAGGACCAGAGTCTTTGAAAGGCATTTAGAAATGACACCCATAAAGGCGAGAATTAATGGATGTCAGCTTCTTTATTTTGAGGGTCACGACGTTTCAGAGTGTATTGTTACTCCTTCATCAGGTGAATGAAAGACTAGGAAACAGACAGCTATATATGAACATGTGAAATGATATATGCATGAATCTGTACAATTACAACAGATAGGGAAATATTATTCTTCCAAAATTTCAGCGATAATGCCATGAGATTCTTTGTATGTACTGTACTGCTTTTGCGAATAGTCGTCCGACCAGTGAATGATCAGGCTACTAATCCGTAAGTCACGTCTTCTCGCGGCACGTTAATAGATGTCAAACATGAGTTTCGGGACAAGCTCTTAAATGCCTCCTATTCAGTGACGCTCGATCTCTACATTGAATATTGTTTAGGTTGTTGATTGTGTGGATTTATAGGTAGTCGTAGATCTGTATATAAGGAGGGTCGTGAATGAATATAAATAGAACTGTGGAAGAAAAGCGGGCCACTGAACGTGACAAACGTTGGTCACAACAGGACACCACACCCTCATGGTGAAATGTCTATATAATATTTATAACTAAAGTGAGACCAAATTGGCGATTGTAAACAAGATATATTTCTCTCCAGTACACAAACATGTTTCATCCTGACTACGAATAAAACTAAATTGACTGATTTTCCAGCCAGAACATGAATGTACCCATCCAGCTGCCACATTGTCATGGCATCAGACCTCTTGAATTATGCATTGCCCCTTCTCATTGTACTGATGTTAGTTGTTAGTACTGGCAAGGGCGGTAGGGGGTAGCCTAGTGGTTAAAGCGTTTGCTCGCCAGGACGAAGACCCGGGTTCTATTCCCCACATGGGTACAGTGTGTGAAGCCCATTTCTGGTGTGCTACATCGTGATATTGATGGAATATTACGGCGTAAAACTAACCTCACTCAGCCATTACTGGCAAAGGCGTTGACAATTTAGTCGACTCATCTGTCGTATTCGGAAAATGACTTCACAAAAAGACGACAGAGATTGAGAGGTTCATGTAATAGTCCCGAAAGTATTCATTAGGGGATGGCACAGAGTGCAAGATAATCATCCAGAGAAGGTTTAGTCACCAACCGATCAAGAGTTAAGTAACCGAGGATATAACCGGCCACGTGAGTGTGTGGGCGTGTTGCTATGGTGAAAGGTTTTCTAAAGTCTGTATTACGCAACAGGGACGGTTGTTTTTCAGTTTGTTAAGCCGGATACCAAGGGTAGAAGAATGAACGTCACAAGATCAAACGGTCACGTCGACCGTACTGTGATTTATAACCATCACACATTCGTGTTAAGTTACAGTCAACTGCATGCAGTCAAGCACACGGACAGAAAACCAGCCTCATTTAATCTATGATGTTATCTTCTTTCTTTAAATATAATGAATAGGTAAGGTGTATGTAGGGTTTTCAAGCTTTATAAAATCTGTTTGTAAACAAAATTTTAACCGGTTTTCAGTGGTTGTATTCTTTTTAAGCCAATGAGATTAACAATTATGTACGTTTAACTGTAGCAGTGTAAGTGTGACAGTTTGCTTTTTGCAGTATTCATATGTCACTGCGTGTCAGCGTGACAAAGCTTGAAACATAATCAGGACGAACAAGGATTCGAACCCACATTCACAGGTTACTGGTGTGCACAGGGGACGTAACTCTGGGCGGCCAATTGCGGTACATTCGTTAACTGGTCCACCTGTGCATCTTACCAATTTATTGACGTATCATAACTTTGCTTGTATAAATGTGACGCTTTATATTTTCCGTTTTGGGTGAGTTGAAAGTTTGTGTAAAATTTTAAACCCATTCAGTTATTATGCTGCAATGCAGTGTTATGCGAGAGGAGAGCTCATAGTGAGTTAATTTGTAGCAGGTGAGGATCTTCTCTCCAAATGGTGGTTCGTGGGCTACTTGAGCTGACACATCCTCACAGTGATAGGTTAGTACACCATCAGGAGACTAGATTTTATTGATACGGATACCAATACAGGGGCGGATCCTGGATCTTGGAGAAGGGTGGGGTGTTCATAAATCATGAAGTCCAAAGGTTAGGAGGAAATGATACTCAGGGAAACAAAAATCGGGTAGGATGGGGCGTGGCACACCCGCACAAGACTATAAATGGCAACGCTTTCATGAGTCTATGGAGGTGGGAACATGATTCAGTATTTGCCCATGCTGAAATTTAAATCAAAAGCATTCATTCAAAATTGTTCTGGTACATATACTTATAAAGATGGACCAAATCTTACTTTATCCAGGTATAAAAGAAATGATAAACGGCATCTTATTTGGAACTTTTTATTGTTTTTCTGTACAAATAAAATAAGCATGTACACTGGATACACTTGCATATGTACACATACTGTCAAACACAACTGGGTGGAAGAGGAAAGGACCTGCATATACTTCGAGTTATCCGAAGTTCGTCACAAGAGCCAAATGGTTATTTAAGAAGGAATACACTCGCACATAACGTTTACTCGAGGCGGTTGTTTGTTCAACACATCAAAGTTTGACTCATGTATACTTTGATACATATTCTTTGTATATAATTAATTTTCCAGTAATTGTTGTTGTGATTGTTGTCTTTCTCAGTATCATACCTGTGTGGTTTTGTTCATGATAATAAAACGCATGAAATAGTGGCTTTCACTTGATGTTGCACTCATTTGTATTACATTTCCATATGTATTTTGAATAAAATCGGAAAAGTCGCATCGAAGAACCATGCGATCCGCTGAATGCTCTACCAAAACCATGTAGATACACAGAAGCTCAATATATCTAAAAGTACGCGACGATTCTAACTGTTTCAGAATAGGTTGCCAGGATCACACTTGTATATAGATACCTGCAACAAAGAATACAATTGTATTACGTGTAAAAAGAAATCTCACGAAAATAGATGGGTAATTATTGTATGAGACGAAAATAACGTGTAGGCTTTCTTTCCATAACTGTTTGATCGGCATTCTAGAAGTTGGTGAGCCAACAAATGAAACATTTAGGTCCTTACTAACCATGCCTTCATTCACTTTGTCCATACCTTTCCTTTATCCAATACAGTATGTATGACTAACCATGCCTTCATTCACTTTGTCCATACCTTTCCTTTATCCAATACAGTATGTATGACTAACCATGCCTTCATTCACTTTGTCCATACCTTTCCTTTATCCAATACAGTATGTATGACTAACCATGCCTTCATTCACTTTGTCCATACCTTTCCTTTATCCAATACAGTATGTATGACTAACCATGCCTTCATTCACTTTGTCCATACCATTTCCTTTATCCAGTATTTCCTTTAGTATGTATGACTAACCATGCCTTCATTCACTTTGTCCATACCTTTCGTTTTCTTTATCCAATACAGTAATATGACTAACCATGCCTTCATTCACTTTGTCCATACCTTTCCTTTATCCAATACAGTATGTATGACTAACCATGCCTTCATTCACTTTGTCCATACCTTTCCTTTATCCAATACAGTATGTATGACTAACCATGCCTTCATTCACTTTGTCCACAGCTATCTTTATCTAATCGAGTATACATGACTAACCATGCCTTCATACGCTGTGTCCATAGCTTTTGTTTATCTAATACAGTATCTATGGCTAAAGGTGTCTTCATTCACTTTGTCCATAGCTTTCCTTTATCTAATAAAGTATGTATGACTAACCATGCCTTCATTCACTTTGTCCATAGCTTTCTTTTATCAGCTACTTTGTCCATACATTTCCTTTATCTAATACGATTTCATGCCTTCATTCACTTTGTCCATATTTCTCACCCGATTTCTTTATTATAACCATGCCTTCATTCACTTTGTCCATACCTTTTCGTTTATCTAATACAGTACCTATTTCTCACCACGATTTCATTCACTTTGTCCACTTATGTCTCACCACGATTTCATTCATACACGATTTTCACTTTTATCTAATACAGTATGTATGACTAACGATGCCTTCATTCACTTTGTCCATACAATTCTTTTATCTAATACAGTACCTATTTCTCACCACGATTTCATTCACTTTGTCCATACCTTTCTTTTATCTAATACAGTACCTATTTCTCACCACGATTTCATTCACTTTGTCCATACATTTCCTTTATCTAATACAGTATGTATGACTAACGATGCCCTCATTCACTTTGTCCATATCTTTCGTTTATCTAATACAGTACCTATTTCTCACCACGATTTCATTCACTTTGTCCATACCTTTCGTTTATCTAATACAGTATTTATTTCTCACCACGATTTCATTCACTTTGTCCATAGCTTTCCGTTATCTAATACAGTATGTATGACTAACGATGCCTTCATTCACTTTGTCCATACCTTTCCTTTATCTAATACAGTATGTATGACTAACCATGCCTTCATTCACTTTGTCCACAGCTATCTTTATCTAATCGAGTATACATGACTAACCATGCCTTCATACGCTGTGTCCATAGCTTTCCTTTATCTAATACAGTATCTATGGCTAACCGTCCCTGCATTCCCTTTGTCCATGGCTATTCTATATCCAGTAAGTATCTGTGAACCTACCATGTCTACATCACCAACAAAGGCTGTATTTGGAGTCCCATCAGATCCTATCACGAGACCACAGCCTAGGATAGTCACGTCAGGAGCTGAAAAATGGCAGATGAATAAACTTCAAACTAAATGATCTTGAAGGATGGGAAATTATATGATCTGACTGGGAAGTATGCCTTCAGCATATGAAAACCTATAAAAATAAATTCAAATTGTCAATGTCACAGAATACCCACTGGAGTTTATGTGCTGAAACAGATTCAATTTCACACCAGAGCCAAAATAGTGATGCATTAAATTTAAGTGGACTGCTCAAAATAAGTAATGATTCTGAATCAGGTTGTCTTGTTCTGGCGGTTGCCTTTACATAATATCTGAATATGTTATCCAACTGAGGTGCACATGTATTCAAAGACTTACCATGCAACTGTGAGATGTATTTGACGTTGTTGCTCTCAATGACCCCGATCAGGAAATTGGATTTATACATCACAGTCACAGTTTTCAGTTGACTTCGTGGAATCCCCTAAGCAGGAGCATACATGTTAGTAAATTGCTATATAGATATATAGACATTTAGATATAAAGATATATAGCCATTTAGATATATAGATATATAGCCATTTAGATATATAAATAAATAGACGTTTAGATATATAGACATCCAGACAGACATCCAACTTTCTGTTGTTGGAAGATGATTATAGCTTAGCCCATTACATACGATTAAATTTTACATACAAAATGTATTAATTATCCCAGTAAGTTTGTTGTAAGAATATTTTGCTAAGATTGGCTATCTTCCCACAAAAGATGCTTGATTCTGCACAAACTGTAAAAATACTTTAAGATATGCTATGCTTTTTGTTTGGGATTTGGCCTTAACATAAATTCTGACATTGCCGGTGGACCCAAGTTTTTATCACTACGCTTCATGTTGTGTGGGAAGAGATTTATAGTTTTGGGAATTCGTAGACCGAGGCTTTTCAACTGGTCGAATTGGGAATTTGAAGCAACCATTTGTAGAAACCAGGATGGCTACAAGATGCTAGCTCAAGAAGTCAGTTGTGCCTTACCTGCGTTGACATGAACATCCTGTAGACGTGCCCGTACCACGACGATGTTTCGAAATATATGCCGTTATCATCAGCTGTAAGGATTAAGGAGTTGCCTTCCTTACAGTCACTGCCGCTTGCAACAGTTCGACGGCCAGCTGCATCTGCTGCTTCCCGGAATACCAGCTTCAGAACCGGACACTCAGTCGAGCTTACCTTGATGTTCAGATTCAACTGGCTGTTCGTGAGCAAGCGCGCCATGCCCCCAGATACAGTCACGTTGCTCATATTCAACCAAGAGGGTGCAGTTGTTGAATCAAAGCTTTCTTCGTAACTTGCAACGCAGGTACCTGAAATATGCGTCGATATAACAACAATAATTTTAATTATGCATTTGTCACACACGTCACTGGGGTTATAACGTATCCATATGACAGGAAACTATGGAGAACTATGTAGAACATGTTGTACTTGACTTGTACCATGGTGACTCTGTATATCCAGGAAATGGGTGTGTTTTCGATCATTCTACTCTTCCTGGAAATTGATATTTGTCTCTCCCTCAATAAACATATTTCAAACTCACTGATCCTATCTATCTCTGATGAGTTTCTGATATTTTCGACTTTGTTTGGGCATAAGTCAGACCCATACGCCAGATGAGAGCGACCAGTTTTCAAACTGTCTATATCAGTTAAGTGAGTTTCTAACAAGAGGGAAGACTTGAGTACCTTCGGATATCTCGCTACAACCGCAGTCAAGAATGTCGAAGTTGGTTCTCGATGCACATGAGACTTGTTGCCATCCACTACTCTCTGTGTAGAAGCTATATCCTGTCGAAGGACTCACCCAGCTGGGTCGGTTGTTACACACATCTGTAAAATATTCACTTACATCAGTACGATCGTGCCCAAAATGGCACACTTTGCGAATTCGACCGCCGATATGGTCCGATACATTGAAAATATGATCATAACAATTGATTGATGATTTTCTGAACCATATGACTTAAGATGTGACTTTAAATATAACAGTTAAAGAAGTATGGCGGCGACTGTCAAGCACGGACCAGTACATTACAACAAAGCTTTAAAAAGGAAAAACAGTTCTTGAAGGAATGGTGATGAAAATCATGTTGGTGACATGTTTCTGTGAGTGACTCTCCGTACGCATAGCATGTGTTGAAGAACATTTGCATCAACACCACAAGCAATATTTTAGAAAGGTAGGACTACATGACGTTTAGCAAAATATTACTTTCATGGAAGGAAGAGTACCTTCTGTTATATTATTTAACAACCATCCTAGTTCATTGTAAATATTATTCAGCAATAGTCTCAGACCTCACCTCTGGAAATATAGGGAGTTGGACACACGTCTTGACAATAGAAGTTCGGACGACAACCTTCTTCTTCTGTGAAGCTCATCTTTTCGGGGCAACATCTGGCCACTGATCCGTTCTGGGCACACTTCCAGTACGACCTACAACTCCCCTCCATCTTGTAATTTGGCTTGCACACCCCTGTGCATTTCTCTGAAATTGATTAGCGAAAGGGTTATGTTTCCTGACAAACTTTCCTGAGAAAATTTCACTTAAATAATATCATAAACGTCTAGAAATGGAACTGCGTCAGTGTTTTGGTCATTGACAGGTACAATTGAGAAACAGTTGAATTCCTCCACATAACTTTCCTAGTAAGGAAAAACGAAATGAACACTTAGCCTTGTGGTTAAAGCGTTCGCTCGTCACGTCGAAGACACGGGTTCCATTCCCAACATGGGTACAATGTGTGAAGCCAGTTTCTGGTCTCGTCCGACGTGATATTGTTGGACTATTGCCAAAAGCAGCTTCAAAATTAAACTCACTCAATCACTGGGACAAACATATGATTACTGACAGGATCAACCAGACAAGCGTCATCTTATGTAGGATATTCTTTACATGGCTTATACTGTACCTAGAGGACATGACACCTTCCAGGACACGGCACATCTGAATGTAACTTGGTTCCAGTAGTAGCCGAAGGGACAGCTTCTGTAGACACCGATCACGTTGCCATTGGGGTTGAAGAAGCACTGGACGTACTTGTCACAGTCAGTTGGGTGGTAGCGGTATCCGACCTCATACCTCATCACAACATCGTTGCAAATCCCAGAACCTGTCATCACACTTGTATTGACTATACGGATATTTACATCATCAACACAGGTTCCAAAGAAGTAAAATTTGAATGCGTATTGATAATATCAGGTTAAGATACAGGTTGACATGTATAAAGTGTACGGTTCCTAACTTATAATCAGAGTGAGTGAGTGAGTGAGTGAGTTTGGCTTTACGCCGCTTTTAGCAATATTCCAGCAATATCACGGCGGGGGACACCAGAAATGAGCTTCACACTTATAATCAGAAGATATAGTGAAAAGAAGCCCGGAGATTGCCTTCATTTTCAGGAAACTGCAGCAATATTGCCATATATTCTAGACTTGCATATGCTTCTTAGAATATATTTGCTTCAAGGTCTGTATGGCAGAATAAACACATTACAAACAAGGATGAACGGTTGGTTAGCCTTATGGTTAAAGGGTTCACTCGTCACGCCAAAGGCTCGAGTTCGATCCCCATATGTGGACAATGTGTGAAGCCCATTTCTGGTGTCCCCTGCTGTGATATTGCTGGAAGATTGATAAAGTCGGCGTAAAACCCAACTCACTCACTCACTCACAAGGACAATGTCAGTAGATCATGTTTTATTTAATTTCGGACAATACCTGGACAGGGGAGTATGCCGCATGGTTTCTGCGCTGCATCTTGGGTGGTCCCGACACAAGGGGAGCCCCCATTCTGGGGAGGCGGGCTGTTACAGGCTCGAAACCTTGTGGCAGGTGTCATGATGTTCGAGCCACATGACTGACTGCACGGGCTCAAGGACCACTGGGTCCAATCACCGAGTCCCCCCGTTAACTGAAACACGAAAACATCACCTTACCATGACAGCCAGAAGCAAACGCGAAATTTAGAAAAATATCTACAAATAATTGAAATAATGATAAATTTCGATTGAAATATGATTTGCCACAAACGCGGTTCCATCAGGCTTTCGTAAGTTGGCACCATGAACGGACAATATTCTGCATTAGTAAAAGCTTCACAAACATGCAAACACCTGAATTCGCGTTGCTATGTAAGTACGATAAGCATGACTTTAAATTTAATTCACCTCACTTTCTAGCATGTACTTGTTTTGCTATATTCCATTTGTAGCAATATTTACAATAATTATTGAAATTTCTTTACTATTACTAGTCGGAAAACATAGCTTCATGGCTAAGACAGTTGAGAAAAACTAGAACGAAACTCATGCACATCTTTCACATTAATATCAGTGGAAATATTGCTACTTGAAATAGTATTGTAACAAACTAATTTCAGTAGAGTTCGTGTTTTCCGGAGAAGAGTTGAGTTCTTACTTGGACATGCTCCCGTGTTGCAGGGTTGTGACACTGTGTCGTTCAGAGGACCTTGGCAGTCCAGGCCGCCGTATTGGGGCGCAGGGTTGTTACAGAGGCGGGTGCGAGTCGATGTCAACGTGCCAGCCCCGCAGGAGACGGGGCAGGTGGGGTTGTCCCAGTTACTCCAAACAGAAAGACCTCCATTAACTGTAAATAAAAACGTTAGTTGGGTAAGGAAGTTCTCGCTCTCCACCACAGCACGAAATGGTGAAGAGAGTGAGTGTATCGCCGCTGTGAACAGATTTCCTATGATATCGCAGCACCACAGCTGAATGTGTGACTGAATCTGGTTTTACGCCATTTTCAGCAATATTCCAGCAATATCATGGTGGGGGACACCAGAAATGGGCCTCTCACATTGTACCCATATGGGGAATCGAACCCGGATCTCCGGTGGGACGAGCGAACGCTTAAACCACTAGTCTACTCCCCGCCCAAACTAAAAGTATAAAGTGAGCCGAAGTTATACAGACCCTAGAAAATTAGCACTTTACTGAACCCAAATAACTGTTGTATCGTTATGAATATTATAATCAATATGTTGAGATCCTTTTGTGCGTCACTTCTAGAAACCACACCCGAGGCGACCGGGATTCGAACCCACAGTCCTAGATCGAAGCACGTCTGTACAGCGAAATGTGACAAATCGGTGACCTGCTCCACCCCCCACCCCACCCTTCCAAATCATTAAAATGTAATACGTTAGGGGTATATACGAGGCGATGAATTGCTTCATTGAAGCTAATCCAAATAATTACCAATCGACACAAAACATTTTAGTAAAATGCTAAATGTTGTAAATATTAAATATTAAATCTTACTGGCGCCATTAGTTTGACAAGATGTAATGAGCTACTAAGCAGGTCGTTTAAAACATATCTTGTGCCCTCTGTGTCAGTACGAATCTGAATATGTTGAACTTTGACAAAATATTATTTGAGTTTTGAGAAAGAGCACTTTAAACTACGAAGTGCCAACCACAAAATGTTGAAAAATTACCATCGTCTTCAGTAAATGAATACAATGTTTTTTCCAGAATAAAACAAATAAACATTCACACGAAGATTCATAAGTCAACTCAGTGGGATTGAATAATTGCTACTAAACAAACTGAAATCATAATTCTAAATGACGCTTTACTCTCCTCATGGGAACCTGTAACGGGTTTGTATGTGATGGTGAGTGCCAATACGCATTAATGACAGAATCCGCGTTATCACCTTAATTTGAAAGGAATATCACTCACTCACTCGACTAAAAACCCTCGAGTAACCTGATCGAAGAACCGATACACTCCAGACTGACATTACCCACAGATCAAAGCAGTTCCACTCAGGATAAAACAATACTCCTTCAGGGATAAAACCGATCCCTATGAAAATAAATAAAATACCTTAACGCTCTTAACAAAAATACAATTCTATAAATGCTGAAGGATACACAGCGTCGGTTCTTGATCCAAAACTATTGCCTTGAATATCTCGGCTCTTGAAAAAAACATCTTATGAAATAGCTTTTATATGTGCAGATGAAACATCCTACCTGGTTCATGGACTGTCAGGAAGCCTGATTTGACCAATGCAGGGCTAACAAACGTGTTGAAATAAATATATGATGCTGAATCTCCAAGAACGACGTTGGTGATGATCAGTTGGTGGTTGTTACCGGAGATAGATACCGAGTACCTCGGCAGGCCTGTAACAGGTACTCCATTCTTGTACCAGAACCCTTGGGCAACTCCCACGACCACCTGGACTTGGAGCGTTACTGTGGCACCGACATACGTCTCTGGATTGCTTTCCAGGTTTTGAATAGGATCTGAAACATGCAACTCTATTACAAACTACACTGTTACAGGCTGAAGGGTGCAATCAACATACTAGTCTGACCGAAGGATATAAACGTTTACAGAGGCAAACACTAAGTACGGGTGAAAATGGTCAGGTTCTGCAATGTAACTAACTTTGGCCACTAACAATGGCCAGGTTATGTAATTTCAGACTAACTATAGGTGCAATAACACTAACTTCGGGTGCAATGGCCAGGTTCTGCAATTCAGACTAACTGTAGGTGCAATAACACTAACTACGGGTGAAATTATCAGGTTTTGCAATTTTATACTAAATATAGATGCCATGGCAAGGTCCTGCAATCTCAGACTAGACGAACATAAGGTCAGCCAAACACAAAATATTTTTGAAACAATTTTTGGTTTTAGCAATTCATGTATGTGATCGAAGCCTTTCTGACTGATGATGACAGTCATATATGATTACATATACACAGGTTCAAGTCGTCTAAACAGACACAGTGTTATCCATTTGCAAAAAAATGTCACAAACAGAACAATTCCCCAATCCCCAACCATTACCACCACCAACCACCTCACCAGCCCAAGGTGCCCAACTAATAACAAAACGTCAGTGTGCACATATATCAGTGTGTTTTTTTATTTGTTGTTTGTTTGTTTGTTTTCTGCTTAACGCCGCAATATTTCAGCTATGTGGTGGGGGTCTGTAAATAATCGAGTCTGGACCAGACAATCCAGTGATCAACAGCATGCGTATTGATCTAAGCAATTATGATACAATGACATCTGTCAACCATGTCAGCGAGCCTGACCACCCGATCCCATTAGTCGCCTCTTACGACAAGCATGGGTTACTGAAGATCAACATTCTAACCCGGTGACATCCATGAGAATATCAACCTTGTGATACAATACAACCAATATCTCAGAAATAATGTTGTATGTGAATGTTAAGAAACTCAACCATACGGATAATAGATGATGACTGTCAATGAAATCGTGATGACATTTTCGTTTTGTCATTTGCCATACAGTTTATGCTTTACTGACTGACTGACTGACTGAGTTTAGTTTTACGCCGATTTTAGCAATATTCCAGCAATATCACGGCGGGGGACACCAGAAATGGGCTTAACACATTGTGCCCATGTTGGGAATCGAACCCGGGTCTTCGGCGTGACGAGCCAACGCTTTAACCACTAGGCTACCCCACCGCGTTTATGCTTTACGTCCATTGCATGACACGAATAGCACGAACAGTTATTGTCTATGAACGAGCGAACCCTTGCACCTAATTCCAGTGTGCTTACCTTGCTGACGAGATACATTGACAAGAATTAGAAGAAGACCGCAAATACATGCAAAGTTGCAGCGTCCTGGAAACATGGTTCCTGAAATACAAATGTCATAGCATCAATCACTGGATTATCTGGTTCAGATTCCATTATCTAAATCAGGTTATTGGGATATGGCTAAAAGAGCTTAAACCAAAATACAAACAAATCTGCTGATCACTTTGACATAAGAGCAGCGTACCCAGAGATAACAGTTTCTGTTAGGTTGCAATAGGCATGTCAAAACAACAAATACTTACACGTTTTACCCACAACAACAAGAGTTATAACAGCAGCAAAATACGACCATGGTACATTAATCGATATTAGTTGATTACTTATGCACAAAGAGAACATTTATCCAAAGTTTAACATTCAGCTGTAACACACCTGAAAACTGACAATTGGAAACAAAACACGACACAAATTAACCGAAAGAAACTTGATCTGCTTACGTGTATGTACAGTCAAGGCAAATATATCCTTCTTCTTCAACACGCCTCTACTTGGACTGAATGTGGGGGCACATAGCCGTTCTCTGGGGAGCTTTTTATGCAACCGTCAATTTCTAACTATACAGTTGTACATTACCTTGCCATTATATAGAGGCCGACAAAAGCTCAAAAGCCTGATGAATAACAAAGAGTGTTTCTCTCTATGGGAATTCATTTTCGCCGCTTTAAAATGATATCGTGGGCCACAGTGTCATGGGATCTGGAAGGTTGTAATATCGTCCTTATGAATACGAGTGTTCTGTCAATTGCTTAAGTACACATGTATTTATATGAAGACACGCCGTTATAAAGACGTGAAAAATTATCCATTCAAATTGTCAGCACTTTTATTTCCTTTTATGCTCAAAGTAACCGCATGTAATCGGCAGGTAATGTTGTTTATGTACCGTGGTCATTATACCGTTTCTTGCTGTTTCGATGAGTTGCGGTGGGGATTTTGGTAGCCTTATGGTTAAAAGGTTGTCTCGTCTCGCTGAAGACCCGGGTTCGATTCCTCACATGGGTACAATGCGTGAAGCGGATTTCTTGTGTTCCCTTGCTGTGATATTGCTGGAATGTTGCTAAAAGCGGCGTAAAACTAAAACTCAGTTTCCATGTTTGTTCAGATCAGGAGAATATATAGAACTGTGTAATCACTCATGTTTTAAGGCGAATTGTGACCTAGATGATCTTTTTAGACTCTGACACTAACAGGCTTCAATACCGATCCTCTGGTCGGACTTGTGACAAACCGGTTTATAAGTTTCGATTTCCCACATGGGTACAATGCGTGAAACCCATTTCTGGTGTCCTCTGCTGGAATATCGCAAAAACTAAAACTAAACTCACTCACTCACCCATACAGTGGTCACGTACGTCCACTGCTTCAGACAGATATTTCGTATGATTGTTGAAACTACTTTGTCGCTTTTCGCAGCAGCGAACGAATTGAATCTGGGTCATCGTGGACTTAATTAGTTAGTAGGTATGCCTTTTACATAAATAGATTATTGGCGGCCCCATCGTCAAAGATGCCCCATCACCGTTCAGAGTTACTTCCCCTTGCTCGCTCTGACAATGTGTACCGATATATACTACTCACACTTTGCTACGGATCACAAAAAAATCCAAACTTTACATAAACATAGATTAATAACTTGAAATTGTATCCATTCAAAACTAGATAAATAATGCTATGGTAACCCCTCTTTAGGCAAACAGTCACTTTAATCTAACCTTATGCACTTGATACATGAGTAATCATAAAAAATGGTTTGTATGGCACCAATCAACCATTTTGCATATCGTGGAACGAGTCACTGACAAGTACACAACACCTGTCCATAGCAGGTAGGGGATCCACAAGATGAAATGACATACTGAAACCTAGGATCCATGCTTACA